CCAATTTGAACATGGCCAACATGACCTATGCGACATCATCTCCAGCGGCCACTACTGGTGGACAAGGGAGCAATCCGGTGAGTGGCGCCCTCTTTAATTATCGTCGCATGTCCCTATCATGATTTTCATGAGTGGGCTTATCGCCTTATCTCTACACGGAAGTATTATCAGCGAGTCGACTGGGGCCTTGGCACCACCCGATCCGTGCGCCTCTCCCTTATCGAGCCCGTCAAATCTCTCCCCAATCTTATCATCTATCACAACTCCCCCATCTCACGTTCTTCCTCCTCTTGATCTCCCATTTCCACCATGGCGAGCACATTGACTGACGACAAGCGACCCCAATTACAGCCTGTCTGCCAGAACTGCGGCACCTCCACCACACCCTTGTGGCGCAGAGACGAATCTGGCTCCGTTCTTTGCAATGCCTGCGGTCTGTTCCTCAAGCTGCACGGGCGGCCTCGTCCGATAAGCCTGAAAACCGATGTGATCAAAAGTCGCAACCGTGTGAAGACTGGCCAGGGCCCCAAACGTAAAGTGAGTACGCGACCAGCGCATCAAAAAAATCTCTGCACCTTGTCGTCTTCGGACCTTAGATAAGAAATTTCTCGGATTGCTGACACCCATTGCGATCTACTAGTCTGGCGGCCCTATCGATGCCAACGGTCTTGCGACACAATCCGATGTGGGGACCCCTCCTATGGGCTCGCATGGCTACCGTCGCGCGTCGCGTAAGATGTCCCCGGGTCACTCGGATCGCTCAAATTCCCCCTTGTCGCGAACAGAGACACCCGGTTTTGCTTCCATGCACAATTCGAACATCGCACCCCAGCACATGTTTGACAGCGTCACTCGAGGCGACGGTTCTTTGAACTCGAGTCTTCCCTCCTTCCCGCTGCGTCAACCCTCCCCATCAGCCGTGGATCGTCAGCTTGAGTCCCCCCAGACATACGAAAGCCTGCTGGCTCTCAACACGTCGCTGAAGACCCGTGTCAGTGAGCTTGACCTGATCAATGAGTTGTTCCGTGGTCGCGTCGCAGAGCTTGAGCAGAGTGACGCTAGCGCGCGTCGGTCGGAGATGATTGCCCGCGACTCTGAGTCGCGTCTGCGCCGGTCCCTCGAAGAGTCACAGCACCGCGAGGAAGAGCTTAAGCGACATATTAGTGATCTGGAGCGCCAGTTGAATGGTGACGGCGAGTTCTTAGAGCCCCATGCCAAGCGAATTCGACTCTCGGACGTGGTAGAGCAGTCACCCGAGCAATCCCCGACACAGGTCAAATCACCAAACAGTGCTTAAGGAAACGAAAAAACTCCCCCTCCCACCACTCAATCTTTACGGCCTCACTAGCCCTCCCCGCCGATCTCTCGGTCTGGAACCCGGCTATAGCTTGGCTGCTGGCTTGTCCAATCTTCCCTGGTCTCTTTGATACCCTTCCCGACTCTTTCGTCACCGGTGGCTTGGATTTTTTTTTCGTCTCGTCCCTTTTCAACACAAAAAGCTCATGGTTGATTCTAATCCCCTTTATGATTCTTGTTGGAATGCTCTTCAAGGGCTCTCTTCTAATTTTTGCTCTTCGCCACGGGTCTGTGTACGGAATCTCCGATTATGCTTCTAATACAGTGTTTCTTCCCTTCTCTTTCTTATTCCCCTCTCTTTTTTCTATGGAATCTCGTACACAGGGGGATTGCAAGATCAGACAAGGTCAGTGGTGAAACTTTAAAAAAAAAAAAAACTATACATGAATGCCTCTTTGTTTTCCTTGTTGGGGATATGCGTGTTTGCAATGTTGATCGAGAAATCGATCAGTGTGCTTCCAAAGTTTTGTTCTTTGTTGCCCTGATAGAGGCGATAGGTGCCTTTTTCTTCCTGGTTTGACAGGTCAAGCCAAATTGTTTCTTGAATTTGATACTTCAATGGTGTTTTTCTTCCAGGGGCTTGGTAGTTTCAATATAGCTAGCTGAATGCTAAAGGATCTAATTCAGGATCATCATACTTAGACCTTAATTTATGCTGCTCACGGTATTTGTCTACCCAATGCTCCATTAAACAAACTCACTGCGCATATTCCTTACGGTTTGATACCTCAACTTCCAAAAGCCTTATGTCCCACATGCACTTCTGAATTGCCTTGATTTCCTCAGAATATATCGGACGGGTTTGAAAAACGACTAAACACGGTATCTCATACTGTTCAGTCTACAGGGAGGGGATAAGTAACGGAAGGAACTAACGCCATAGGTTGTATCTACCACAGTTTAAGAGGTACACGAGTGAAGCTTCCGCTGCATCTCAATGACCATGTTTCTAGATGTTGAAGATCTGAATACCCCTGTTCGTAGGATAAGAACCGCAAGCCTTCACAGTAAACGAAGTCCAGCTCATGAATTAAAACGTTCTTAGCCGGGAGAGTATATGGTCATCATGCGGAAGTAAAACCAGCGACTCAGACTGCTTTTCTGAGGCTCCGGAGGTATTGAGTATCCCGAGGCTACTGATACGGGTAGGCATATTCGGCAAGTTATCACAGACATCCCAATAATGACTCCAAAGTGTCCACCCGCTAGTAGATGAATGTTGATCTGTGGTTTTGACAGCTTTGAAGCTAATATATTAGAATATCCTTCAATCGTTTGGATCTAAGTATCAGAATTAGCATGATGTTATTGTTTGGCATAATCGTCCTTGGGAAGTCGGGATTACTCACACCTAGATAAGAGTAATCAAAGGCACTTTTGGAAGACAGTACCCAGGTTGCTGTCACACGCTCAGTGCGTTCCAATCGAATACAAAGAACACAGCCTTCATTTCGACCTCGCCAGATCGAGCGTCTGGGTTGCACGATTCTTCCTGATTGACGAAAATGCACCCCAGAACCAATCATTTCCCGATAGGAGAGCAAGAGATCGTCAGCATCGTAGCCTCTTTCTCCTTGAACAGGGTACATCGCATGAATGGCCTGTCTGTGTTCCCTGTGTAATCCGCTTGGCGTGGATGAAAAAAAAAGAGCATCGTTCTTGGTGCATAGAAGAGTAATAGGCCAGCGATTTTTCCCAAGTGAAGAGGTCTCCAATAGACGATCTAACATAGCGTTTATTACCATTCTTCAAGAGGTATTTAATCACCTTCAAATAAAAAAGGCCGATGGATGGAGATACAGTAGCCACGAGTACCTTGATCTGAATGTGTTCATAATCGTGGCTGTCTCATTCGTATAGTTGGCAAGCATTAATAAACCCATATATGTACATTCCCCCATGCAAAGAGCGGAAGAGCATAGTCATTAGCCCATGCATAAGGAACAACCCGCTTTATTGGCGCATGGGAGAAATTCGCTATAATATATCCACAGACTTCTGTAGCGAAAGTAGGCACCTAATAACCATGAGAGACAGGGTTCATAAAAAGGAACAGGCTTCGGAAGACCTCCCCATCAATCGTCACTCATTATCAGACTAGTCGTCTGGTCATGATCTCCATTTTGCCCAGTGTGAGCTCTGCAAGTGTCGGCGAGGAGCTGTCATGTCTCCAATGCAAAATGTCTGTTAGAAGACGCGAAGATGTTGCCTTTCAAATTCACGTCCAGGGAAGGCATCATAGCTTCCCCAAGGTCAAAAGAATGTACCAGTTAACCTTGGAGCCTAGTCTATCCTTGTAAGTGCAAGGGAACCTGAGAGTTGATAAGATCTGAGCTGAATACTGGTTGGTGGATACGGGTGGAAAACAATCGGAGCAATTGACGATCAACTACTAAATACGTGTTAGTATGTTCCGCTATCATTCACTTCCTCAAATGTTCATCAAACAAGCCATCGTGGTATAGTGGTTAACAAGGTCATCCCCCAATTACCGCCCGACTTCCGAGGCTTGGAAGGACAAATGCCTATTGATCATCCTTACATTCTTATCGCAACGGGTCAGAAGGTCGGCTTTCCTCGGTCCTCACAGGGTAGGGACTTTGATTGACGGAGGTTCAAATCCTTCTGGCGACAATATCTTTCTTTTATTACTCTTCTTCCTCTCCCCTCTTTCTTATGATGGGCCTTTGAATTCATCACTGTATAGCCGTGGTAGGCGTTATCACATCCGAGCACAGCATACTGGTTGGTGCCATTGAGAGAATAACCTTGTTAGATCTTTTTATTTATGCAAGTCGACATCATTTATGGGCGATTATCTTTGGCGAATGTTTATATGAGAAAGATATCAGAATGCTGTGTATTTGCTACATATATCACACAAATCCATTGGCCATTGATGTAGGTTGTGACATGTAGTGAGCTTAACAAAAGTTTCGTCGTTTCATATTGGACGCCTAAGTCCCCATTTCCAGTCAATATCAAAACAGACACAGAAACTCCCCGGTTCCTTATTAGCTCACATGTACAGGTGTTGGGTACACACGTAACACCTTCTCTTTCACCCAAGACTTCTCTTCCCCTATAGTTCCTGCGTGTATCTACCCGTCCAGCAACTTCCATGCAAGCACCCGTGCACAACATATCTTTACCCCAGCTGCACTACTCATTCTTGAGCTTCTTAAACTCAAATCATATACTTCAAGCCTTTACTTCGCTCGAAATAAGCTTCAAGTTTTCCGAACCACGCCATAGCTGGACGTTCGACCTCGTTAGGCTTCTCACATTCATCGGAGAGTCTCTTATCTCAAATATTTCTCAACCTCCAACTCCCATGGGTTGTTGGGTTGCTGTATTCAATTCGACGGCAAAAAAAACTCTCCGTGTCTTGAGCTAATTTATCGCTTTCCCAGAACCTTGGAGCTAATCTCATGTGTGAGAATGAAACGGGAATACACCTGAACTGGTCTCCGTAGTGTGAAGGAACTCAGGAGGAATATACAGACTAGTTGATACCAAGGCACGCATTGAGCAAATTCCATGAGAAGAGAAGCAGTTTATCATTAAATTATCAGGTTTTCATCGCCCTAGCGGTACATTTTTGCTTCCCAATTATTTTGATATATCACCAGCCCAGGCATCTCCTATTTCTGAGGGAGATAAGCACCCATGTAAGCACCAAGGTAATCCCTCTTGCCAAGAGGCACACCCTCCTTCCGCAGGATAGCATAAGCAGTAACGACATGGAAGTTAATGTTAGGCAAGGCAAAAGCGCTGGCATAGGCATCCGTACGCATGGGAATATTAACTCCAGGCCCCATACCAACCTCCGTCATGTTCTCGGCATTGCCGTTGATCAAGGTCTTATCGGCGCCGTTAAGAACCTCGAGGCCCTTCTCAGTGAGTGCAAGGGCATCAGCGAGCGATGAGAGCTCAGTGGTAGGCTCTGGGACCGGGGTGCCGCTCAATCTGGCGACCAATTTCTCGGCGAGCGAGGCGGCAAATATGATCTGGAAGCTCAATGGCTTCATGTCATCGTGGAGGCCGACTGTGAGGAGGTTTTTGTCACTGGGATGGTCCAGAGCCTTGCGGATGATACTGGCAAGGGCGGTGAGGGCTTGTTTGGCGGGGACAATGGATGTGTCGTAGAGTGTGTAAGACATTTTGGAGGATTGAGCCGTAGTAATGATGTAATGGTAGTATAGGTTGGTTTGTGGATGTGGAGTTTGAAGATGAGCAATATTTTATAGATATGGCAACATTGCTACAAGCCACTTGACTTAAATACCCCTGGGGAGCTTAGCTTGCATGAATAATCGTCTCCTCTGGCGGGGGCCATAGCGGGGCACTGAAACTATATCCATCTATTAGTAATCCTTTTTAGAAGTCCATGGATGATTACAGATGGGCTCACTTCCATTGCTTTTCATTTTCACTGGGTAATCTCGTTCGGGATTGCTTTGCGCATTTGTAATCCGCCCCTTTTATTGTTCCTTGTGGTTGAAGCAAGGTAGATCCCCGACTCCAGGTTGTTTACACCTGACGCACCGCCCCCAAACATATTGAACCACAGAGAATTCGCCGTGTGACAGCGTGGATACCCGACAGGATGACTCATACGGTCCGCGCTACTGGGAGGCTGCGAAGACAATTGATCAATATTCAATTCATGGTGAAAAAGGTCCTATTCAATTCCAATAGAAACTGTCAAGTACCAACGATGGTAAGGCGCCAATACGCGAGCCTCGAAAAAAGGACAAGAAAAGAAAAGGAAAAAGATCGCAGTAAATGCAAGGAGTATCAAGTCTAAACGAAGGAACCCAAAGAATGCATAATATAAACCCCCAATATTTCACCCCCAGGACCAGGAGATGTTGGCCAGCAATCCTGGATCATAACATGCGCGGAAGCGCATCAATAGCATAATGGCAATTACCCAAGACGAACGGAACCATCTATGTCCAAGATAAACACCTGGTAGGACTTCGTGCCAACCACTTGAACACTTGCTTGAAATTCTTCATGAATGAAAGGTCGCATGATCTACGCAATACGGTTGCCTGACTTCTTGCGCATGTTGTTGTGGATCTGCTTCTCCCGCCAGATACTCCATAGACAAACTACGATACCGCAGAGTCCGGAGAAGAATGTCATGTAGTAGGCAGAGCGGTAGCAGACGAGGCCGTCGGGACATTCGCTGTCGCCTTCGTGGCCGATGACGGAATGGCGGTCGTAAACAGTGCCGTAGACAAGGTTGAATACATTGCCGCTAAGCACGGGGGCTAAAGTCATGGCTCCCCAGTTCTGGGAGAGACCGCCGATACCAAAGGTGTGAGCGGTTAGAGAGGGGAAGACACCGAACAAGAAACCGTAGGCCACACCCGTGCAAGCGGAGACGACGACGAGGGTGTTGGGGTTAGAGATGGAAGCACCGGCGAGTTGGGTTAGGGTGAAGACCAGGGCGGAGATGAAGAGACACCAGAAGCGGGACATGTTGAGCTTCTTAACGAGAATATCGGAGCCAATACCGCTAAGGAGACGACCAGAGAAGTTACCGAAGGACAGGATAGAGACGTGCATGACCTGGCGCTGCTGGATGAACTTGGATGTAGCGCTGTCATCGTAGTATAGCCACAGAGCCTTGGCGCTGTTTCCAATGTTGTTGATGGTCATCAAGCCAATACCAGACAGAAGCGCCATAGTCAGGAATAGTTGCCAGAACTCGACGTGCTTGAGCATGGCCAGACCACGGATATCGGGGTGGTGAGCTTCCACGGCGATAGCGGCCAAGTAGTCATCGTCTAATGTGTCAAATGATGGCCGACCATCAGGCTTGGACACCAATGACGAGCTCTCATCCTGTTCAGTGTGGTGTCCTCCACGGTGATTCGAGACAACAGAATGACTGCGCGCATGCGCCGAGTTCTCGTGGTCGTAACCCGTGGAGTCGTGCATGTCCTCAGGCTGATCTTCGAAAGTGCTCGGTGGGCGCATTCTTTGCGATTCAGGGGCCTCTTCATGGCGGGGGATGGAGGTATAGGGATCACTTTCGGCATTGGGGAAGATTCGAAGGAATGGAATAGAGATCAAAGAGAGGATGGTGGTTCCGCAGGCAAGAAGCAACAAGAAGGCACCGGTGTCGTCCTTGAAGATCAGAGTCGATACATTGGACCAGAATAAAGCGCTTAGTCCAAAAGCAGCCAATGGGAATGCGGTAGCTGTGCCGCGGTTCTCTCCAAAGTTGGACGCCGCTGTAAGAAGGTTCGTCAGCTTCTCTACTTGATTTGACAGGGGATCCATTCTAACGTACCAACTTTAATGGCGGCGCCAAATGCTGAGCAACCACCAGTACCAGTCAAGAAGGCAAAAAAGCACAAGAAGAATACAGGGACCGATCCTTCTCCGTGTCGATAGGCTGTTTTCATGTTAGATTTGATACCCAGCTGCAGCTCCATTCCAAGAAACCTACCCAGGTAGATCGGGTAATATCCAAGACCCAAGCACACCGAACCAATCAAAGTGATGAGTCGAGGTCCCTTTGCATCAGTCAATAAGCCCATCGGGATACCCATGGCATACATGCCGAGGTTTCCCGCCACGCCCTGCCAAGCCGTCAACGTCGGAGCTCTTTGTATAGAGGAAGGTGTCACGACTCACGATAAGGTTGGACTCGGTCGAGGAAAGCTTCATGCGGTGCGCGAACTGCGGTGCCCACGCGGAGTATGCATACTAGAAATTCCCCATCAATCGGTCAGTCATCGCGCCTTCAAGCCAAGAAGCCGGGAGCCACGTACATTCGTCCCGCAGGACAGAGCTACCAGAGTGCCCGCAACCACGGATATAATCCGGGCGGTAGTATGGAGAGAGTTACTAGTCATCTTGAGAAAGTTCGCTTTATCTCAATCGGCCAGATACAGTCCGTCGGAGGACAATGGTAGCTAGAGTATAACGGGTGTGCGGGATGGGGGTCACGCGTTTATCGAAGCGCACGGTCGCTGGGGTTTGTCGAGGATTGGGAAGTCGGCCAGCGAAGGAACATCGGAGCCGATAAAGGAGTGACGGAGGTGGAATGCAGCGCCGGAAGATCCGATTCAAGGACAATGAACGAGGGGGACCGGGATAAGGTGAAGATTCAGGAGCGTCGTAATCGGCCTACGGGGAGGCCACGATAACGGAGAGCGGGCGATCCACTGCTCCACCCGTCTTGACCGGTAAATCCCCGGAGCGCCAAGCATTCTTCGTGCGAGTGTTCTATATAGATATTCTCTTAATTTGTCCTTGCAAGATGCTAAAGATATTCTTATAGGCATGATTTTGACTCTTAATATATACCCCAAAAGTGACACATGGCGTATGAATCACTGCATCACGTCATTACACAACTGATAAGGATGCATAAATTATGCACAATGCATGCAACGACTTCTGACTCGGTTTTCGTATATTACAAGTTCAGCTTGATGCCCGTGGTAGAAATAATCCGATGATAGAAACTGATGCAAGAAGCACAGACATTGTGTGATTTGCTCTATACGAGTATACTTCGTATATCAGCTGATTTAGCTCGACCATGACAGCACCTAATGTAGTTTAGCGCCTTGGCATCAACATTGACGTGATGCTCACGAGTATGGCAGCTTCCTGGACTGCAGCCAAAATTCCAGGCATGTGAACCACTGACTTTCTTCTAAGCACCTAGGTACTATCCCGAAATTACCGATGATGCTCGACGACCTCCTTTCACACCCGGTGAACTTCCTAGTCAAACAGTTGATGTATCAGCCATTGACAAAGATCTGCTGAAGAAGTCTAATAACAGAGCAATCCAACTAGTAGTCTTCGATTATCGGAAGAAGTACAATGAATAAGACCCCTGCTCTAAAATGCTACCCAATCAGCATCCCTTAGTGATGATATTCTGCGCGACATTTAGACTCTGAACATACTTCTCCAGAAGTAGGTTTCTTTCTGCATTTAGCACGCTAGGTGGCTCTAAAATTGATAATTTAGGCTTGATAAATTTAAGAAAAAAAGAAGCAAAGGATTAGAGGTCGTACGAAGTATATGGCGCAGAGTTAAGGGTGCAGAGTCTAAGGTATGGAGGGGGGCAGTCCAGAAAGCTAACGAATGCACCTTGAATATTTGGGTCCTGGAAAGGTTATCAAACATGAGCCCTGCTGACCTAGTGGTTTATCTCCCAGGGTCCTTGACAGAATGGCTTGGGATTTGTGCGTTGTCTTTATTATATCGTTGCTATGCGACAGACGGCTGTCCGAATGCATTTCTCACGATCGAGAGTGAACATCACTGACTCACTTTCCGATATTCAACGCATGTGGGGTATAGCAATTCCGGTTGTTTAGTAGTCCACAAGATCTCGAGATCTCTGTGTAGTTCCCCCCATTCCAGGCTATGCCCCGGAGGAATCATTTCAGGCGGGTCTTGCTCAATGAGGCGCATCCTGAACAAGGTCTAGATTGGCCTGTGCCGTTGAAAGAAAGTGAAGCCACCTTGGATGGAGAGGCGCCTCGAATCGTGACAGTATCACCCAAATATGACGATACGATAGCGGACCTAATACAGACTCACTGAAGCTCGCAAATGATACTATCGATACAATGAATCAGATAACGTAATTTTGGGAGGCTCGAAGTCATACTCACAATTGAGAAGCCTCGGAAGCGTCCATATCCGGGAGAACTGCTCCAGATGTAGACGGAGAACGGTCTGATTATGCTGTATATTTGACTGAAGCATAGGCTGAGCCACCGCGGTTGACTTCCTATGAAGATCAAGGAAAATAAGTGCTGTGAAAGGAATAAACGAAATTGCTGGATCCACTGTCATGCAGAACAATGAGTTCCATTGCTCCATAACTGAAGCAATATCCTGGCAGACCTCAAGAACCTGTTGCCAGGCTAAAAATGGCTCTTCTTTATTTGCTTGACTACAACAAAGGATTGCAAGAAGTAATCGTGCCATCATGAAATGAAGAACGGTAACCAATCTTGCGTGATGATCGTCGTGAGACTCATTTGCAAATGCGTTACGCACGGGATTGAACCAACCAGGCGGTAAAGATAATGAAAGTGTAGAGAGCTGGCGTTGAAGATCAGCAAGTGAGTCAGTCATGTCCATTCTCGGTCGTGAGAAATGCATTCGAATAGCTGCTGCCGTCTGACGCATCGCAACGATGGAAAGGATGTGGACATTTTTGAGAAACGTCTTTGGACTTGAGGAGAAAACCGAAAGCAATTTCCAAAGGTCTGCATAGTCTGATGGCAGATGGACTTCTTCTTGAGTAGTGTCCTCACCGCTTGACGACTGGTCAAAGTGGTCAAGAATAAAAGATGTGTTGACAAACTGATGGTCAATAAGATTTGGGGTACCTGATGAGAGATTGGAATAAGAATCCAGGCGGTAAATACACCACCATACAGATCGCCATTCTTGTATCTCGTCATTGCTAAACGAGGCCCAGTCGGGGTAGAGGGCGCGCAGGCTTTCAATTCGATCTAACCCTGTACGATAAGCCATGCGTGTGATTTGTCCAATGCGCATCCAGGACAGGTGTCCTGGGAACTGATGAAAGTCATAAAATGCTAGAAGACAAGCTTTGCGGAATTGATCGAGAGATGGTGTAGTTCCCATAATGTCGTCCTCAAGTAGACTTGAATTCAGTAGCCGGTCGATGCGGGCATCTAAATTTTGTCCGTCCGCGATAAAATCGAGGCCCATTAGCTTCGCAGTGATTGCAACTATCGTAGAGATGAGATCTGGGTCACATCGAGACTTTTGATAATCATGGAGAAACTTTTCCTTGGATAAAATAGGGTTTAGGTCCTGGACAATGCCGAAGTACTTCTCAATGCTGTTGTGAAATGTGTTAGCTGGAACCAAGCCGTGGAGGGAGGAACAGAGCTCATACAGAGATAAAGTCGATAATTCAGAATTATTGGTTAGCTCTTGGTATGACAAAGAGGATGATAAGCTCAATGACGGATGCGTAGTGTTGTGCCCGACCGGAGGACTCGGATCTGTATAACACCAGTCAGCAATTGTGTCAATCCTGACCGACTGGCTGCTAGGGAGCCTCGAAAGGGGTATTTACTGGATCCTTGGCGTCTCGATGAAGAGGTTTTGTAGCGCGAGCCACGCGAAGGGCCGGGCTTACGTCGTGTAGAAAAATAAGTGCATTTTTCTCCTCGATCGAAGCACCGGCCGCAGGTAGGCTGCCCCTGGTCACCTGAAAAAGCATCGTTTAGGGAATTGCCATCACGATGGACTCTGCCAGGCTTGAACCGTACATTTAACTTTCTTCCTGAAAACTATGTCAGACAAAGCATATTGGCGAGGGTAAAGAGCATATAGGTACCGACGTACCGTATACAGTTATCGCATACTCTCTTGCGATCTGGGCTGGCATTCCCGTCTGTGACCGACGCTCGTGAATGTGGAGATGCTAGGCCTACCTCGTAGCCTCCACTGTCCTGCATCTCGATTGGTCAGGACGTCGCCAATATAAAGTGTGCCTAGAGATTGTAAAGATGGGGTATGAATGATAATCATGGAGAAACAGAGGTCGAAGATCCGCCGCGAAAGTTCCTCCGGCGCTAGGCCTGACTTGGATTAGCGCCTGCCGATCTACGGTGCTTGGCGCCCAAATATTTGAAGTACACCATCAGCCCATTTCACGAAATGCCAACAACTCGATTTGCGTTTCAAAGTTGGAAAATACTTTTCAACCAAGATGGCCTCCTTCTCACACCTCGTGCGTTTCGAGTGCGCTGAACATGGCACAGCCTACTACGCAGACCTGGGACCCGATGCTGACGGTCCACCGGTTCCAGGAACGCGATTAGGTGCATTCAAAACTTTCCAAGACCTCGCCAGTAACAATTACAAAGAAAATGTGACCGTTTCTCGCGTAAGTTATTGACCCTCATTTTGGATTTACCGAATGAAAGCCATGCTCATGGTGCAAACAGTTGTTGGCACCACTTCCTCAGGAAAATATACCGATATACTGTGTAGGCCTGAACTACAGAAGCCACGCAAAAGAGGCACAGGTAAATGACCCACATCCATCATTCAGATCCGTGTGCGAAACCCGGCCTCATGCGCATTTCATAGCTCACGATCCCATCGTACCCCCCTCTTTGGACGAAGCCGGCAGCATCCCTTGCGCACCCAAATGAAGATATCCCCGTCAATGATTTCTGTGCTAAAAGCCTCCTCGATTATGAGGTAAGAGTACCACTACTATACTCTCAATACTGAATTCTAATTTGCCTTTGTAACAAGGGCGAGTTAGTTTTTGTGACCTCCGCAGAGTGCCGCGATATATCGCCCAAAGAGGCGGAGAATTACATCCTAGGCTATACAGTGGGGAATGATTTATCCTGTCGCATGTTTCAGCTACCCCAGAACTCCGGAGGGCAATTCTTTTTCGCCAAAGCATTCGACCGTTTCGCCCCAATTGGACCTACTCTGATCAGCCCAGAGCTTTTCAAGAGCGGCGATTTCAATCTTGTCACAAAAGTCAACGGAGAATTGCGACAGAGAGCCGACTTCCGGAAAGATATGATCTTCTCCCCAGAGAAGATCCTTAGTCACATGAGTCAAGGTAAGTGAACACATACAGGATCCTCTGGCCACTGGGCATGGGCTAAGCTAATTTTACAGGCACTACTATCCCCGCCGGAACGGCAATTATGACAGGCACTCCACAAGGAGTGGGTGCTTTCCTTACACCAAAATCATTTTTGCAAGATGGTGATGTTGTTGAGATTGAAATGGCAAAGGTCGGGACTTTGAGAAACAAAATTCAATTTGAGTAAGCCAGTTGTGGAACGGCCATTTACGGTTCTCGTTGCTGATTGTTCATCGAGGGTGACTTTCTTAACTCGATGCGTTATATGGGCACAGTGGCTTGCAATTCAAATTATTACTCGGTGGAAATAGTGTAGGTAGTCAACCTTTGAAATCCAATATTGTCATATAGGGTGAAAGCTGTGCAGCGCTAGGGTAGAATTCCAATGCTATTGAAAGTACGCCATTTCTAAACAGCTCTCCATGTTCTTGAGTGTTACCGAGGCATTTCTTCAATTTATGAGATAGTAAAGCAGATTTCCTCCGCTTGAAAGGAAAAGAACTCGAAAATTCGGGGGTCTAGGCCATCTGCCAAACTGTCTTGGCGAAGAAAGCTGGGCAAAGTGCGGGGCTCAGTGCGTCTAAAGTTGCTCCGAAAGTTCCTCCGAGAAACCTTGACGCTCTCTATGACCAGGACTTTGGAATAATATGTGATCTCATAAGTTCACAATCGACAGCATATGATGGCTGCGAATGTATATAAATGCCGGGAGCCTCCTCTTATCGTTATTTGACTCCCTCGAGATGTCTTTTGCGCATTTGATGTTCACTTTTCTCTCCTATCTCCCAAGACCCATACGCGAGCGTATAATACCCGACATGCGGATCCCTTCTATATCAAACGATCCCGAAAAAATTCAGCTGGACCGCCTGGGTCATGTGTATTTTGAACACCCAGACCTGCACAAGTTCAGCGAGTTCGCCAAGGATTTTGGTTTCGTCGAAGAGAAGAGAACCAAGGACCGGATATACTATCGCGGCTACGGCAAGGATGCTTATGTTTATGTCGCATCGAGAAGCAAAGACGACAAGCCAAGATTCCGTGGTCCAGCTTTTGTTGCTCGCTCGCAAGAAGAGTTTGATAAAGCGACCAAATTGGCCGGCGCCATGCTTAGTGACTTGAAGGACGCTCCCGGCGGAGGCAAAATGGTCACATTCAACCGAGCCGATGATATCTTCTTTCATGTCATATATGGTCAAGAGGAGCGATTGGTCGATAGCCAAGAACCAACTGCCACGCAGGATCAGCAAGGGCCGTTCAACAAGCCTTTCGACAAACCGAGACTGGGTTCGTCCTCGTACCCCCACTGTTTTCCATTCTCTCCCTAATGATTATTGCAGGTCAATTTCAACGCCACCACCCAGGACCAGCTCTTGTTCACAAAATAGGCCATCTGGGCTATGTCGTCCCAGGCTTCGATCGCGAACTCGCATGGTACACCGAAAACTTCAACTTCGTTCCCTCCGACATCCTGCACCACTGGGATTTCTCAAATGTAGATGTTTTGACATTCATGCACCTCGACCTTGGCAAGGAGTACTCTGATCACCATGTCTTCTTCCTGCAGCGTGCTGAACCTCACGTGAAAAAGACATTCGTGCACCATACTTCTTATGAGGTGGCTGATTTTGATACACAGCAGATCGGGCATGAGTGGTTGGCGAAGAAAGGTTGGAAAAGTGTTTGGGGTGTTGGGCGACATGTGCTTGGGAGTCAGATATTTGATTATTGGGCTGATCCCAGTGGGTTTAAGATCGAGCATTATGCCGACGGTGACGTTGTGAATGAGGATACTCCCATGAAGAGGGATGTTGTTGGGCCTTTTTCGGTTTGGGGACCTGAGGTTCCGAAGAATTTTGGGGAGAAAGGTGTATAAGTGAAGTCTTAGGTTGTGTCCTAGGTTGAGATATAAGGAGTAAATTTTGATTGGGAAGGTAGAGGATAGTGTTGATAGGTACCCTGACTCTGGCCATGCTGTTCAACGCAACTGATTATTTTTCTTCCTACTGTATCATGTCACCTACGCCTGCCCCGTCTGCTGGTGACCCACAATACAATACCACCAATGACCCTGGGCTACGTGATGTGGGTATCTTGACTGGAGCTGGATTCTACGATATCACATTCAACGCGGCGCGGAATTGGGAGACGGTTTTGGCTGCAGAGAACATACCTTACTTGAGTCACTACTCGATGAGCGGTGCCCATCAATGGAGCACTTGGCAAGAGATTATTTACATTTATTTAAGGAAAGCGCTTTGGCAACCTGTTCCGTATGGCCGGAACACAGACTTCAACCAGGTTGATCCGCTGAGTGGCGGTTTTCCGTATCGCAGGTGATCGGCAGAAGGACTTTCGGAAACTCCAAGGCATAGTGAGAGCCTATCGCTTTATTAAAGCGGCAGAAACTGAGATACACCCCCCCTGGGACTGTAATTATGGTACGCGTAGTTAGCTACGCACCCTCTATAGCCTTCCTAGTGCAAATAAAAGAAGAATCAGTTTCCGCGAGGTGAAGATCGTGGGCTGTGGTGAGTCCAATAGGTCCGCCAATCACAAAGACTTTCGACTTATTCTGCATTGATATCCGACAGTATGGCAGGATGGAAAGATGTGCGATCATGGCAATTCTTCATATTCTGTTTAGAGATAAGATCTCGACCCGAAAGGTCCGGATCACTGCCCCACTTAAAGTTACTCCGAAAAGTTGCTCCGACGATAGAGTGGGGTTCTGCATCATCAGTGGAGACACTAACGGCCTGTAGCTTCGATTTCAATTCAGCTGGAGAATTTTTTGTGACGTGTGTCATTCAGATCAATCTTTTCAGGGGGTGCTGCGTCGATTCCTTCTTCTACTGTACCTTCCACAATCCCGGTCGTAACTGACACATACGAGGTCACAAATCTTCTATCCACTCGTGCATTAAAAATACCAATATGAAGGTCCTGGTTTTGGGTTCCACCGGAAGACTTGGCTCCCGCGTTCTATCAGCCCTGTTGGCGCGAGGACATTCTGTTGTCGCCTTTGCGCGCGACTCCTCTAAACTCCCTCCCAGCATCATCTCCCAGCTCTTGGCCGTGGAGCTTGGAGATGCGACAAAAAGTGCCGAAATCACAGCTGCTGGAAAGAAGCACCAATGCGACGCTATCGTGAATACGGCTGGCTATGCTGCCATGGCACCTTGGGGGAAGAGTGATCTTCCATCAATCGTGGATGCAGTTATTACTGCCGCATTGGAGATGAGCCAGGATCGTGAATCTCCCTTGCGGGTATGGTTTCTCGGAGGACTTGGCCTCTTGGACCTCCCGAACACAAATTACCGAATTGTGGACTAGTGAGTCGATTGAAACTAGCCCTCGTGTTTGATATTCATTTGCATACTGACGAGGGTCTCAATATAGCTTGCGAATGTTTCCACAACACCAACACACCTGGGCTAAGCTCCAGGCCTTGCCACCCTCGGGCATCCAATGGTCTGTCCTTTGCCCCGGTCAGATGTATCCTATGAGTGCAACGACCTACCCTATCCCAAATGAAGCTTCGGCCGAAAATCTTTCGGTTGCTAGTACTTCACCCCCTGAGTGGTCGTCTAAGTTGTTGGGTATCCCGTTGATCGGAGGTTATCTCAACGTTCTGAGCCAAGCATCGTCCTACAAGACAGCTCTTGAGGAAAATGCAGATTTCATCGCCCAGGATCTTTTGAAAGGAGCAGAGAGCCCATGGATGTTCCAAAAAGTGGGAACAAAGAACAAGACGCAATGAGCGCTTCCCATGCTTATTAAGTACCAATCCGAGCAAATAAAGTTGGTCGTCAATATTAAACAGGTGCTGCCCAAAGTTAATGGACTCAAGAGGAATTAAAATGCAATTTATGCTGTGCAACATTAGGCTAAGCTCTACAGTGAACTTAGCATCAAATCTGATCTTAATTTGACAAACTTCATGATCAACATAGCTCCCATATCTGTACATTTCATTTCACCGGTAAGTCCAAGTAAGCGCCTTCGTTCGCTGGATTTTCTATTTTTTCATTGATTCATTCATAATAGCCTTGAAGCCTACAGTTAGTTTGTCAACAAACACAAAATTCCCATTGAAGCGGGAAACCATGGGCCGCCATGATTACATAACTATCATGTGACTGTGAATGACGAAGGCGGGCTGGGGATCATCAACTCCACTCTCCAAGAATCTATCTCCTCACTGCGACCTTGTCTCCCCAGCCTTGGACCTGTACAGAGGTCAAACAAAACCTATCGGAAGAGTACCGGTCGTCTGTTCTGCTCCGTTAAGCCAATCACATAAATCCCCATCATGGGTGCTCTATTATCTCTGCCGCTGATGGCAATACCCAGCATGGGCACGGTAAGTTCCTTTCCGAGCGCAACCGACGAGCCCTTCGCTGATCACTCTTCTTTGCTCAAATAGATCCTCACGGTCGGCGGCTCATGCTGTGGTGCGGCAACTTGCTCTGCGGTATGCAGCGCATGTGGAAAATTTCAGAATAGGTACGATCTTTTGGCTGCCTAACGCGGGAGAATTTGCACTAAATCCAGCATAGTATGGCAACGAGAATCGCCTATGCCTTTATCCTCTTGATCAACTCGATTGTTTCCTGGATTATGCTCACGCCATGGGCACTCAAGAAACTGCAACATCTGACCCTCGATTATATGGAAATTCGATGCGACGGCAAGGAATGTCATGGCTGGGTAGCTGTGCATCGCATCAACTTCGGTCTCGGTCTCTTTCATTTGATTCTCGCCCTCTTGCTTCTCGGTGTTAAGAACTCTCGGGATAGTCGCGCCGCTCTTCAAAATGGATTTTGGGGACCGAAGATTATCCTCTGGCTGGCATTTGTTGTCATGTCTTTCTTCATCCCCGAATCCTTCTTCTTTGTGTACGGCAACTACATCGCTTTCTTCTGCGCTATGCTCTTCCTTCTTCTCGGCCTGATTCTCTTGGTGGATCTTGCGCATTCTTGGGCCGAGCTGTGTCTACAAAAAATCGAGGATAGTGACTCGCGCATGTGGCGTGGTCTGCTCGTTGGCTCGACCCTCGGCATGTACTTGGCATCCCTGGTCATGACAATCTTGATGTATATCTTCTTTGCTGGTAGCTCATGCACCATGAATCAGGCTGCGATTTCGGTAAGTTCTTCTCAATATCCGCCAATCATGGTGAAACTAACGATTTAGGTCAACTTGATTCTTTTCTTGATTATTTCCTTCGTTTCCGTGCAACCTGCTGTACAGGACAGCAACCCACGAGCAGGCTTGGCTCAGGCTGCCATGGTCACAGTCTACTGCACCTATCTCACCCTCTCTGCCGTATCGATGGAACCAGATGACAACAACTGCAACCCTCTGATCCGCTCTAGTGGTACTCGAACCGTCACCATAATCTTGGGTGCCATTGTCACTATGGCCACTATTGCATACACGACCACGCGCGCGGCTACCCAGGGCATTGCGCTGGGATCCAAGGGCGGCCACAGCTACGTGCAATTAGATGATGACGAGCATGGTCTGGTTACGCAGCAGCCTAACAGCCGCCGCGAGATGCGCGCGGAAGCCCTCCGAGCCGCGGTTGAAAGCGGAAGTCTGCCGGCTAGCGCCTTGGATGAGAGTGACGACGAGGATGACTTCGAGACCAGCAGCAAGGACGACGAGCGTGGTGCCACACAGTACAGTTACACTCTTTTCCACATCATTTTCTTCCTCGCTACTACCTGGGTGGCCACCTTGTTAGCTCAAGGACTACAGGTTGACACAAACGACGTCGACTTCGCGCCCGTGGGTCGGACCTACTGGGCCAGCTGGGTGAAGATTGTTAGCGCCTGGGTGTGCTATGCTATCTACTTATGGACACTGCTCGCACCTGTTGTGCTGCCTGATCGCTTTTAAAGTACCGTAGGTATTGGTGGCTACTTTGGTTTTCGGGCGTTCTAAGCGATAAGTGATTTCAATTTCCATTTGGCATATATATTATAAGCAATGCAATTATTACTACGCTTCCGTAAAACTTCCGTGGGACCTGTATACTTCGCTCCGGCATAATCTTGGTGGATCAGGTGGAGCTCAAGCTTGGCAGAACCACTCCACGCGTAAAGTGCGACGCGCTCTTCAACACCAACAGCCATGGCATAATGGCAACAATTAAGGCCATCGAGGCCCGTTCGGTATGATTCCCGGTGAAAACTCGAAGTTTCTCCCAAATCTCTGACCCCTGTCTTGTCAGGTCCACCAAATCCAATCCGGCCAGGTCATCACTGACCTGTGCTCCGTCGCGAAAGAGCTAGTCGAGAACAGTCTCGATGCAGGAGCAACCAGTATCGGTAGGATCTCTTTTCAGAGCTTACGCGGTAAACTGATAAACTGACCTCTTCTTTTAGAGGTCCGGTTCAAGAATAATGGGCTGGATCTGATCGAGGTCCAAGACAACGGCGGTGGAATATCTCCGGACAATTATGAAAACGTTGGTAAGAATTAGATCTAAGGACTGAAAATACTCTATTGCAAGAACTCACATTTAAATCATTTCAGCCTTAAAACACTACACCTCCAAGTTGTCCTCGTACGATGACCTCACAACCCTCCACACCTTCGGCTTCCGTGGCGAAGCCCTCTCCTCCCTCTGCGCCCTAGCCGACTTCCACGTCGTAACCGCCCAAGCACACCAAGCTCCAAAAGCGAACCGATTGGACTTTGAATTCTCCGGCAAGCTAAAAAAGACCCAGATTGTCGCAGGACAAAAGGGCACCACTGCGTGCGTGGGAGGAATCTTCAAACGCCTTCCCGTCCGCCGACGAGAACTAGAGAAGAACATCAAGCGGGAATACGGCAAGGTTTTGAACCTCCTACATGCCTACGCATGTATCAGCACAGGAGTCCGATTCAGCGTCCGGAATACGGTCGGCAAGACAAAGAACGTGGTTGTGTTTTCTACAAACAGTAACCCCACGACCAAGGAGAATATCGCCAATGTCTACGGCGCGAAGACACTATCTGCGCTGATCCCTCTAGATCTGGAACTGGAATTCGAACCTTCGTACGCTATGAGAAAAGCCGGGGGCGATGGACAGTCAAACAAGATCCAAGTCCGCGGACACATCTCGCGACCTGTTTTCGGTGAGGGTCGTCAAACGCCTGATCGGCAGTTGTTTTTTGTGAATACGCGACCTTGTGGTTTACCGCAGATTGCAAAGGCTTTTAACGAGGTCTATAAATCGTTCAATGTCTCCCAGTCACCGTTCATCTTTGCCGATTTTCGGATGGATACTAATGCTTATGATGTGAATGTGTCGCCGGATAAAAGGACCATCCTACTTCACGATGCTGCGGCTTTGATTGAGTCGTTGAAGACGTCGCTGACGCAGATGTTTGAGGCGGCGGATCAAACGGTGCCTCAGTCGCAGATCCTTGGTTCTAAGGCTTCGGCGGGTAAGCAGCAAGGGCTGGCTTCGTTGCCGAGTTTTGTGACTGCGAGACAACTTGCTCAGAGTGGGTCTGCATCTGCGTCTCCTAAGACTCCGCGGCAGGAGCAGAATGGAGAGGAGTCTACCGATGATCAATCGGAATCACGCGGGCAGACTGTGCAGAGTATTAGTCGTTTTATGAGCTCGCAGGATGGTTCGAGTCAGGTTGATTCCCCGTCTTCTCCTACAAAGCATAGTATGGTGTCTCGGCAATCAAGGCTGTCTTCTGTTGCCGCTTCCCCTGGGCCTGATGTGGATATCACGCCTGGTCGGCCTAGGGGCCGGGGTGAAGTTACAATTTCGGAAACAACTGAAGCAACACCTGAGATGCCTGAAGCTTCACCTCGACCATCCGAAGTGGAGAATGTGCCGGAACCTGAGGCGCGAGACTTGGAGGAAACACCAAATGTGGTTCAAAATGCTTTTGATCGCATGCGTCCTCGTCGAATGCCTGCTGAGATGGCTACTATCACTATTGGTGGTCAAACGGTGAAATCCATGGTTGGAAGTGGCCTGCCGCGGAAACGCACCTCTGACTATGGGTCTTCCACGGACTACACTCCAAAACGCAAACGACTCATTCATATCCCTTCAAGGCCTAACATCTTTGGAGAGCATATGAAGGCCTTTGCGGCACCGGGTACGCAGACAGAAAATGATGAAGAGGGTGATGAAGAGGATGGGGACGAGGATGAGGACGAGGATGAAGAATTCGACGATGGTGAAGAGTATGAAGATGTTGAAGCAGAGGAGGCGGAGGCAGAGGATGAAGACTATGAAGAGGAAGAAGCAGGGCATCCAGGAGCTCCCGTGCTGGAGCCTGAAGATGAAAACGATGCTCTGGAAGAAACCCATGATCCCGCTCCTCAGCCGGATATTAGTCAGGAGATGGGCGAAGAAACAACGGCTGAAAGCCAAAATGATCTCGGTGAAGCCGAAAAGAAAGCCCAAGAAGAAGCAACAGTGCAACGCCTAATCCACCAGGCCGAGGAAACAGCCGTTCTTCCTGGCGAGCACAACACCAGTCGGGCCAACAAAATGAACAAGGGCGCCGCCCACCGTGACGCTACCGTCAACCTCATCAGCACAATCGATGTATCTGTCTCCCGGCTTCGGTCCCAGATGGATAAACTACAAGAATGTCTGCAACCAAGAAGTACGACATCCCAAGCCGACACCGCCGACGCCGATGAAAAGACGGCCGAAGACCGACTATCTCTCATAGTCAGCAAGGCCGACTTTGCCCAGATGCGCATAATCGGCCAATTCAACCTAGGCTTCATCCTTGCCGTCCGACCCGGCGATGATCACGACGAACTATTCATCATCGATCAACATGCTTCCGACGAGAAATTCAATTTCGAACGACTCCAGACCGAAACCATTGTCCAGAACCAACGGCTCGTCCGTCCACAGCGACTCGATTTGACAGCCGTCGAGGAGGAAGTCGTACTAGAGAATAGAACCGCTCTTGAGAAGAACGGTTTCATCGTCACAGTCGACGAAAGTGGTGACGAACCTATTGGTCGCAGGTGTCAACTTGTCTCTTTACCACTTAGCAAAGAGGTCGTCTTTGGATCTCGTGATCTCGAAGAACTGATCGTTCTCCTATCGGAGTCATCTGGCACTGGAAACTCCGTTCCACGTCCCAGTAAAGTACGGAAGATGTTCGCGATGCGCGCGTGTCGTTCCAGTATTATGATCGGGAAGACATTAACGACGCGTCAGATGCAGCGCGTTGTTCGGAATATGGGGACAATCGATAAACCGTGGAACTGTCCACATGGTCGACCTACGATGAGGCATCTGATGCGTCTGGGACAGTGGGAGGAGTGGAACGAGTACGCAGATCACGATCACGATCAACTAGATCTCGATCTAGATCCTGCGTCGCAGGATGAACCCGTGGGCTTAGATCTATGGCGACGATATGTGGATGAAATGGAGGAATAGTACTTGTAACGAATATATAAGATCACCACCAAGAAAACCAACTCCGTCTTTTCTCTTTCTTCGCATGGACTTCATTTCCATTCGGAACCCCATTCCCATTCGCATTCCCGTTCCCGTTCATCTCAACCTCAACTTCCCCAGCATTGCCATTCCTATCCCCATGCCCATCTTCACTCCCATCCAAATCCATTTCGCCCTCAACCTCATCCATCATACTCTCCAGAACCAACAAATCCCTCTCAATCATCTCCGCCCAATTTTGCACGTCCCCAATCTCCTTTAATCCCGCCCTAGTGTCATCAGCAATCTTCTCCCACCCGTCGTTCTGCTTCGCCAGCGCAGCCGAGTGGCCCGCTAACTCGGCTTCTTGGCGCTCGAGCGAGAGGGCGTTGCCGTTTATGATTGTTGCGCGTTCGCGGAGCGGTGCTTCGAGGTTTGTGCCTACGCTGTGGAGGGTTGCTGTGAAGGCTGCCAGGGCTTCTTTCTGGCGTTGGTCTGGAGTAAGGGCTGGGTCCTCGGAGTTTAAGGAGGGATCCTGGGGTTGTGTTGAGGTGGTTGGGTCTGTCATATCTCGTTTTGTATATATTGTTTGTAGATGCAGGGTGGCGGGTGTGTTGGTTCTGGTGGGTATATGGAAGGGAACCTTGGGACAAAAGATGAAAATGTGGGTTTGAGAGAAGTGGGGATTCGAATTAGAGAATTTGAACTTGAACTTGAGTCCTGTTGATGTAGGATGTAGTGCATGTGGATTTCAGGAATATAAATGTCTTTGCGGAGTCCGATCTGCAACCCCACTTGGCGTGGCGCGCTGTCAGCCTATTGATAACCTCCTAAGGGAACAAATGTATGAAGATGTGTACCCGCGCTGTGGTCCCGTGAACATTTAGTTTCAAATCAAACATGTTCTGATTGGCTTCAACTTCCAAGGTTGGTGATTCCCCATGCTTCTTTATCCAATATTGATCCCGAGCACGTTTTTCTCTCTTGATTGCTGCAAGCTCCAACCTCTGCCATATATCCAGCCTTTTAGACTGCAGCGGCGGGGTCTCAGTTAGGAAGGCCCCCACCCAGCAGACAATATCCTGCCCACCTACAGGTGTTAATATAGAGAAGTATTGATATTTACCAGACATCGGATTCATAAATTAAACACCAGATACACTGGGCATTATCGGATTCCTATGCTATGTTCCCGAAGATATGACTATTTTATGAACCGCAGACCAAGATATTCAAAGACAATGTTGAGAAATAGAAAAAACAATGTGCTCGCTCGAAAAGCTCTCATCCATGCAAATATGTCGCTCGAAAAAGAAAGAGAAAGGAATCGCAAAGAAAAGCTTAGATAACCTTGGACACGTCCAAGTAAAAGTCTTTACTAACACATGTTCGAATAAACTGGACCGAGACCGGAGGCTGAGATTGGCCGTTTATAGAAGACCTGAAAGAACGGCTTCGGTAGCTAGAGAATCACGTTAGTGGATGATTTGGAAACATAGAGGAAGATAATAACGTACCAGAGTTGATGTACGGCCGTTTGAGGTCCAGGTTGACACCAAATCGTCGTTCAAGCTCCTGCTTGATGCTCTTCTTTGTGACGCTCATCAGGTCGGCTGTGCGCAGAATCTCCCGGATCTCAGTCAAGAGGGCATCATCACTAGGCAGGTGGCTCATATCCTCCATACTAATGTCCGAGTCCAGATGACGGCTGAGCATCTCAGAAGGCGCGACGGAAAGACGCGAGCCCGAATTAAGCAGCGGCAGATCTAGCTGGGAAGCAGGACGAGAACCAGGGAAGCCATATTCGGAATGAGGGGCCGGGAAGGCGTGGGCCCTTGTGCCGTAAGAGATACCCGAGATTTCGGAGTGGTCGTCGCGTGAGGTCTGCGCCTCCCACAATTCGACTTGGTAATCTTCCCACCGTTTCTTGGGGATAGAATCGGGATCGAATTTGCCTTCGTCGGAGACGATAAGCTTGTTGCCCTTCTCTCCTGTGATGACACGTGTGTTACCCCAACTGAAGTCATCCATGTTCCAGAATGAGTACAGGGGCAGAGCAAGGGTGAAGACGGGGATGGCGAGCATGTAGATTAACATCCATCCGATCATCTCCCATTTACGTCGGATGATGAAAATGAAAGCTTGTAGACCATAGATGACACCCAGGAGAACAAACGATGTCCATGGGATCACTGATGTGTCCGTGACCATCCAGACAATCAGATACACGATGTAGGCGACGGTGACGGGTTGGATAATGGTACTCAGGAGATCAACAAAGACAATGAATCGCATACTGAAACAGCAGAAACCACAAAGCTGTTGCAATGGAATCAGCTCAATCAGGTTGTGGACAGTCGAGTTGATCCATCGGCGACGCTGAGACAAGAAGACAGCAAAGCTCTCCGGAGCCACAGTCCAAGCATGGGCACGGAAGATGTACTTCGTTTTGAACTTCGGGTGATGTTTCAAAAGCAACGTGGTCAGGTATCGATCCTCACCTAGGTGAAGCAGGTTCTTCATGTGGAGGGTGTCGACACGAATCTCCGAGTAAGCCTCCACTACTTCCTTGCTGACGAACAATGGTTTGCCAGTCTCTGATGAGCGAACGCGGTACATGGTAAAACAACCGGGCAAACAAGTCACTGACCCGAACAGACTTTCGAATGCCTTGGTCAGGTTATGGGAAATATAGTACTCATAAACCTGAATCATGGTAATCATGGACGTTTTGGCATTGGACAGGGAAGTCTCTCCACAAACACCGATGAGGCGAGTATCAGATAAGAAAGATGAAACAAAGCGGGTACCAGCATCAGGTGCCACGACCGTATCAGCGTCGACTTGCAGGATAAACTCGTAGAACGTTGGATTGACTCCAATGATGTTCCGGATCTGGTGATGCATCTCGAGCTCCATGGGAGACATGGGTAGGTTGTAGTGAACCCGGTTCAGGAATCGCATGAGCACCATCTGGGAATCACGCTTACCGCGGTTACCGGGGCGAGAAACTTCGGAGGGTTTGCCAACCTTGACGACAACCAGGAAAGGAACAATATGGCCCTGGACTTCATAGAGGCCAGAATAAACCTTACCCATATTGTGCTGTCTCATACCCTCACCCAGACTCTCAAAGCTGAGAGGCTCTGGATCCAGGGTTTCCGGGACACCCAAGATATCCAAAACAATTCGAGGAGTAGGCCTGTCGTTGCCTTGACCGATAATCATGCCGTCACAGATGACAAGCAGCAGTTTACGTTTGTCATCGTACCGCATACGGGCCATGGAATCGATAGCACGACGAAGTGAATCCTCGTCTTCGGTGTACGCCGGCACTTGACAAATGATGAATTTATCCAAGTTCTCGGGCAGATTCTTCTTTCCAAACTGCAAGGCAGCAAGGAACTTGAAGACAATGACCGAACAAATCAGAATTGAGATGGCCAGAATGAAATAACGCGCAAATTGACACTTCGGCGAGTTTCGAGTATCGAGATGCCCGACAAAGAACAAGTTGTCCATGCACAATTGCATCCGGTTCCGCATTTCAGTGGTGAAAGGAAGATCATGCCAGTATTTCGAAACATCCGAACCCGATTTCTCCTGAATAAGACTAGTGATTAAAGGACTCATGAAGTCGGTATTGATATCACTGGTGGATTCGTTCTTGCCCTTGGGGAAGCGAGGAATTCGAGGACCTGCCATGTAGTAGGTCATATCGTAAATCTTGCCATCGATGCTCACAATCTGCTTGTCGTCATTGTCCGCGAGATCCTTAATATAGCTGGCAGTGTAGCCCACATAGCCTTTCTTGTAGCTTGCTCTCATCATGACCATCTGCTCGTAATACCAATCCGGACGGTAGTCACCAGTGACCCAGTATCGGAAGTCGTGATACTTGGAGTTAACATCAGTGCCAGTAGCCGTGGATGTGGAGCTAGAACTGGTGTTCAGGTTTGATCGATAGTCCAATGGCACACTAGGGTGCACACTACCGTCCACACCCTGACACAAGGCCGACACCTGAATGGGGAAAAGATCACTTGCGTCAGTGCCGGCATAAGCCTTGAGAGACTTTTGCGGAACAATGCTGGGATAATGCGAAGGCATGAACTCGCCAAGACCGAATACAACACCGGAGATGGCAATAAAGGAGCTTGCACCCTTTTTACCATTATGGGATGAGAGTTCACCCTTTGAGTAGACGTGTTGCGTAGGACAAACAAGTCCAGGGAAACCAACAATCATGAAGACAGCACAACCGCATGCGAACCAAATGATCATATTGATCGCCAGTTTTTCACGCCAAGCCGTACGCACTTCTTTCCGCTTCATACGACCCACCAACCTGATGACAAAGTCGGGGATGAAGAAGGTGAGCATGTAGACCAGGAACATCCAGCGTTTGCGAGAGCCTGACACAGGGACGTCGTCTATCTCCTCCATAGTCTTCTCGTTACCCTTCTGCAACATTTGCTCTCGGGTTTCCAGGTTTCGGAACATGTCGCCAGAGTTGAAAGCGGAACCTCCAGCGTCGGAACGACCATCCAATTCACGACTTCCAAAGTAGCCTTGCTTCGCTTCGTCTCCGTAGATGAAGGCACCAGGAGACTGATCATTTGGATTGAGGAGACGGACCTTGGAGTCTGGATTGCCCCCGGCAGTATTGAATGCGCCTTCACCTGAATCGGCGCCTGCAAAGTTATGCGAAGGAACAACACGTTCCCCGACCTTGGCAAGGTCTGCCCAGCATCGCTCGCTCAAGAAGACACCAGTGCTACCTACGCGAGCTTCGTTGCCAGGCCATCGACGTTCGTCCAACACAACTTCCGACTTTTCTTTGTCGCTCCCGACAACAACATTGCCAATTTCGGCCAATCCCAAGAATTCAGCAAATGGAAGAAAAACGCTGAAGTCGGAATTTCTCAAGCGTTGGCTGATCTCTGCGATGCCAAAGGTTTGAACTTGCATCCTCACGCATTTGCTGTCGAATTGATTCGCAATGCGGCGATCGTTAGGCTTGAGGCAGATCACAAAGTAGGGGTTCAAGTTCGGTGAACTCAAACTCTTGTTAATAATCTCCAGCCCTGACAGGAACTGGCCAGCCGCTCCTTGAGTTGAATTGCCCTTTCGGCTGGCCGCTCCGCGCTTAGAACTCGTTTCTTGGCTATCGTTATCCCCGACCTCTTCATTGTCGGCACCAAAAACATTATCGGAAGCTGCAAGACGTGCCTGCTGGTTGATCTTGCGCCTGGCCATACTAGGCATCCGGAGGGGCTTCGAGGAGACTTGAGCTTGCATAATGGTTGTCCTCTCCCGGGGGTGGGAGACAGTCTGCAACGCTTCTTGCCCAAATAGCTCGCGAACAAAGTCACTCCGAGTTGACTGCATAAGATTCATCAGGTCTCCCGAAATCACTTCGCCGTTCTCCTCGATCAGGCCGACGGTCGAGTAGTCCACCTCACCAGCGAAATGCTTGACTGTAAATGCACTCCGGGCTTGTGACATGTAGCCAGCTGTGGTGGAATCGCTCACGGAAATTGCTGGGTTCTTGTTCTCGAATCGCCTGCGAACGCTTTCAAGGAATTGGCCATCCGATCGGCCGCGACGGGTCTGATCATCTAGAATACTCAGCAATCCATTACCATGCTTCAAAAGCCCGCGCACGGTATCAGTGTTGTCAAAGTAACTTGTGGCAGCGACTGAGATCTCTTCGCGGTCCAGAACATCGGCCTTTCGGTCAAAGAAAGACTGCAGACAGTAATTGTACAGAGACTCGGTCGCCGCATTGCTGAGAAGTTGATCCAAGGTGGAGCCGCTTGCTGGAGACTGAGCAAAGCCGGGGAAATCAACGATCGAAATGGTGTTGGCTACGCTGTCCTCAGCAGCACAAATCTTTTGGTTCACGGTTTCAATAACGTATGTGACCAAGAGCGAGTAGATGGTGCGAGCAAGGGCATCAGCGTTCTGCCGGGCACCCTTGGGATCCAGCATGACCGTCACACGCTCACGATGGATAGTCTTGGTCTTGTAACCCAGACTGTTCTCCAACGCTTCAACACTGAGACCCAGGAATGCTGCCACATTGGCAAGGACATCCTTATTCTTGACCACAGTCACCGTTTCACCACCTTCATGGGAGTAGCCACCGCTCTCTTCGGCATAGGTTGTAGTTGATTGACCGGAAATAAAATCTAGCTGTCCAATGTGGAGAATACTAGCCAGAATCTGGCAAATTTCGGCTATCTCACCACGGGAGAACTCGAGTTTACGCAATGCAGTTTTGAAATGCTGGAAGCCCTCAGTGTCATTGACACCAACTTTCAGCTGCGTTGGATGGCCCAGATACCGCCATCGTTTATGGCTCACTGCGCCTGCCCCAGTGTTGATGTGGATGGGATTGTCGAATCCCAAATGGGACTTCTCAGCGGCGCTGGTACCAGCTAGAAGGTAGTAGAGTGCATGGAAACTGCGTTCACCTGTGGGCACAGAGGAGATCCGGCTCCGCTCTAATCGGTAGTCGATGATCTTACCACCAATCAAGGTCGGATTGACCGAAGATGAGCCATCGTACTGCAATTCGAGGAAGAGGCCAGCCTTGGAAGCTGTGGGCGTCGTCACAGATTTGGTCGTTGTTAATGTGTCAAAAACAAAGGCTGCATAAGAGAGTTTGGAGGAGAGTGGAGTTGACGAAAATGACAGAAACGATGATAGCAGGTGCGAGCGAAGCGTCGTTTTTCCTGAGCCGCTCTCGCCTCTAATTCATGCATTAGTTTGAATCATTGGAAGAAGGTTTGCATGAGGAACCGCTTACAAGAATACCACTGCCTGGTTCTCTCCGCGGGCCCCCAAGCGAGTGAAGGCCCGACGGGCCAAGTCCTCAGCTTCCCCTGCTGCGCTTCCTTCCTTCGCGCCATCGGGACCTTTGGTAGCGGAGGTGTATGTGTTGAGAGCGATCAATGCCTGGGAGGAGAGGTGGGCGGTCGGTAAACCAACATGGAATCTAGTCGGAAAATTAGTAGTTGTGGTATTCAACCTCCGAGAGTTACATACCGACTGGCCAGGTGGGCTGTCAGATGGGTATCGGACTGGAGATGTGCGGGGAGCGAGGGAAGAGAGGATTGGGCGTGCGCCGGGGCGCTGCTCAAGTTGCCCGCCATCTTGAGGTATCACGATGCCTCACAGATGGCCGAGAAAAAACGAGTGTATGTCCGATCAATCAGGGACCCGGAGATCCAGCTTGAATGGCTTCGACACGTCTCGGAATGAACGTGGAGTGAGGAATGCCGGGAGGAATGAATAGACCCCTAGCGAGTGAAGGTGGTACACATTAGAATTTTGGGGGAAACAAGTGGTGTCTTGGACACCTGGGGGATGCAGAACAGTGAAAACGCCGTAAACACAAGAAAAAAAGCAGGGAACGATTTCAAACAGATAAGAGTAAGAGTTATCTGGGGAGTTGTGTATGTATTGTTACCGGTAACGCACTAAGAATAGAGCTATGTGATCGGGTACAGTCCACTTTTTCTCTCCACGAGAGTGAGACAATACCGTCCAACATCAAAATCTGTTACATTTCATGAAGAGATTGATTACATTTTACCTATTACAGTAGGGGCTAGAGCGATATATCGAAAATTACTCCGTAATGTAATTCTCTATGACTATGGGCTGGGTTGCCTGAGAGAAATAAATAGATTTTGGGTCTAGTTCTAGTGAAGTTTCTAGTACAGTAGCAAGTAAATAATCGGGCCCACCCGATATTACATAACCCCAGGGTCTGGTCCACACCACGGATCTCCTGATTGATCATTTGCTTGTGGTGCAGGGTCTTTTCAGGGATTTCAGGGATTTCTCAGGGACCCCGAACTCTGATTTTAATTTTCTATGCTACACCTCCTTACTCCCGTCAAAAATTGCAAATCTCATGTATCTGTCTATATTTAAAAAATACTCCAAGACAAAAATGAGAGCGATCGCAAAAACAAATCCGCACTGGTGCAAAAACCTCCACTTGGAACAAATCCGAGGATTATGAGTGGACTAAGTGAAACTAGGGGGGTTCGTGGCGGAACGGTCAGCGTATCAATGGAATCCCAGGGTGGCAAGTTCCCCTTTGTGAGACATCCCAAATATAGCCGGGAGGTATTTGTGCCTGTTTGGTAATGGGACGGTTCCGCGCTCTAGAGGCTGTGGAGGCAAGACATGCTCGGCTACACTGCACATGTAACGTCAATCCTGATTGGTTGGGGGTAACAGCCCCGGCCACCTGACACATTCAGATTGTTTGTGTTCCCCTATTTCCTACACGGTTGGGCGTATTGAGAAATGGATTTCTTCTGGGGAAATTGACATTCCATGAAATGTTAGACCTTCAGTTCAACATGACGCCCCTGAGAAAAAATTAATAAAGCCCATATGTGATATCCAGTCCTTTCACCTGCATCGCCCCCTCACTAAAAGCTTCTAAGCTCCGGGACGATCTAGCTCGGGATCGGCGGTATTATCAACATCTGTAAACCCGTAACCGGGCCACCCTAGTGGTAACTTTGACCTGTATCTACTCCGTACACAATACCTTCTCCCCACGCCCAGCACTTTTCTTATCGTTGGTCTTTTTTCCTTTGCTTTGCTGACTTCACTTTTTCTGTTGTTTCCTTGACCTCCTCTCCACCTATAATCTCAACCTCTACCGTTCCCCTAGGAGTCCCTATCTCCAGTCACTCGCTCATACTTCCGGAGTATACACCCAGAAGCTCCCATTTTTGTTGACGTGACAACTTAATCTGTGTACCCACCATTCTGCTTCAGAACACGCGAATTCTCCCACTACAGCTCCTGATATACACCTGATGCCGTTCTGAGATTCTCAATCCGCTATCAACCTGGGACACTGATCCAGCGTTCGCCATGTCGAACCGCTACTCCGTCTTCTCTACCCAGTCCGCCGGGTTCTCGGCTGGGCCTCGGCCAGTTTCTCAACATGCTTCACAAGTCTCAACCACCACATTACTCAATGCTCTTCACTCGTTCTATACCGCCGGTCAGCCATATCAGCTAGATGCGAGCACTAGCTTAGTTGTCAACACTTGGCTGACAGCCGCAACTATCTTACCTGATGGTCGTAGTGGTGCGACGATTGACCGGGATTTGGCTATTCGAGCTTGGGAACATGCCCGGAGACGAGCTGAAGATGGATGTATCCTTCTTTGGTAAGTGACTGTGCCCAGATGGTCTCCCGTAATCTAATAGCTAATTGGCAATAGCTCTCTCCACCAATCTACACCTTCATTGCTAGAACCTTTCCTGACAGCGCTGCCGCTTTCTACCCCGGAAGTTGGGTATACAGCGTTGGCCGCCTTACGACCCTTCCTTGCGGCAGCAACCTCATTCAACCCATCGTATTCACTGCATTCAGCACTCTCAGTATCCTACACATTGACCCTCGGAGGCACAGTGGTCGGGCTATCTCTGGCTCTGTCAACATCCGGTATCAATGTGAACAAGGGTCTTCTGGAAATACCGGCAGAGGCGGGCTACCGTGCATTTGACGTATTTTACTATCTTCTGACTTCCGCGTCTACTCCTGCTGAACGGGAGTTCCTGGACCTAAAAGAGCCTGCATCGTATGCTCTGCTGAATCGATCCGGAACCTACACACCTCCATCATATCTACCCACCGCGGATGACACAGCAGCGGCAGAGGATCTTCGAGCCAATTTGAAGGCCATTGGTATCAAGGGTGCCACTCAGAGACATCTGCTTTCTGTTCTTGCGGGTTTACTGAAACTCGGAAATGCTGCAGGGCTCATGGTGGATCAAGAAGACCTGGAAGAAACCTGCGAAGAAGTGGGTGGCCTGCTGGGGATTGACCCTGAGGTTCTTTTGCACAAATGCTCCACCGACGAACGTGAGATCCTAATCGCGGGCATCTACGAAGCCCTCGTGGACTGGATCATTGCGAAAGCAAACGACGCCATCTCAGTCGATATCGAGAACATCCTAGAGAATGACTCTAGTGCCGGTGGTCCCAGCGCCGCCCAGCTGGCTAACGAAGACACTGTCAGCCTGACTGTAATCGATGTTCCACGCCCAGCTCTCGGAAAAGCGATCAGTATGAGAGGTGTTTTTGACGATGACCTGGGTATTAATGCTGAAATGAAAGACGATGGCATTACCATCCCACCTACCGGCCAATCTGTCATGACCGAAATGCACTCAGCTGTGTCACAAGTGGAGGCAGATCTTGGTATCGCAGGAACATCTGCGCGTGAACGTGAGCATGACCTTGACAGACGACAGGGTGTCCTGGAGAAAGTAGGAGTGGAGTCGGAGGCAGATTCTTTCCTGCGAAAATTGCTCTTCCCGGTCGATGGTGAAGGCATTTCCTTGGGTAAACGGGGCCGCTTCGACCTTGCAACGACTCTTTTGAGCAGCCGTGTTTGGTATCATCTCTCCATTCATCCCACCGATGATCTCCCCGAGCAGCTGAATGGCTCAAACCCTGCCTGGTCAGCCGGTACAGTGTCTCGACAGCTACGTGATTGGCGACTTCCTGAATGGGCAAATCGTCGCCTAAAGCAGCTGGATTTCACCGCGGATTTCGATGTTGAAGAGTTCGTCAATCGATATGCCCGACTTGGATGTGCCGAAGGCCAGGACGGCGTTGAAAATTGGATTCTCGAGAGAGGGTGGAGCAACGGTGAAGCGGTTGTGGGACATCAACGCATTTGGATGCGAGAAGGGGCATGGCGCGAAGCTGAAACCATGCTCGATCTTAAGCCAGACGAGAGCCCTATGAACCCCTTCGGATATGGCGCTGCGTTATATGAACCAGGCCTTACTCCCGATGGAAACCCTGTCGGGGAATCGTCTAACCTCCTTGGAGGCCAGCATGATTATATCTTGAACCAGTCTGCTATGGTTCCCCCAAGTGTCATGGGAGGCGCCAAGTCTATTGCCCCAACCTATGGTGGTGGTGGCGGTGACTATGGTCTCGGTCACAAGGGCGACGATAACAAGGGAGATGTTGCGTACTATGATGACTATGGTCGTTACATCGGTGATCTTGATGCTGAATTTGGAGATCCCAAGCACATCGAGAAAAAGAAGATTCCGTTTAGCCGTCGGCTCTGGGCAGGATTTGTATGGGCAATGACTTTCTGGATTCCCTCCTTCGTTCTCCGATATATTGGTCGCATGAGGCGCCCAGACGTTCGGATGGCATGGAGAGAAAAAGTCGTCCTAGTCTTCCTCATTCTACTTTTCAACGGCATTGTCTGCTTCTACATTATTGCGTTTGGTGATCTTCTTTGCCCTAACAAGGACAAGGTGTGGAATAACAAAGAAGTCAGCTGGCATACCGGAGATGACAATTTCTTTGTTAGCATCCATGGTCGAGTCTACGATATCAGCAAGTTCTGGCGTAAGCAGCATAGCGACGATGGCACTGAGACGACCTCGACGAATATGAAGGTTTTCGCGGGCTTGAATTTGGATGCTTATTTCCCTCCGCCGCTCACCCAATTCTGCAATCCCTTCGTGACCGATACGTCACTTGCGCTACAGAACAACGATACAACCGCGCTTTTATACACGGATGCCGACCACGATTGTGGTCCTACCAACTATCCATCAAACACGACCAAACTACACAAGATCACCTGGTATGAGGACGTCTTTTTGCCAAAGATCGCCGAATATTACAAGGGTGAGCTTGTCTGGACTAAGTCGACCATAGAGAAGCAAGCCAACGACTATTCACGATATTGGGTAATTGTAAATCAAAAGGTTTATGATTTGACGAATTACTTCTACACCGTCGATTTGTATTCGTCCAACACCGATTATGAATTTTTGCCAGATGCCCTTACCACACTGGTCAAAAATAATGCTGGAACCGATGTGACAGACAAATGGGGGACTAGCAAAGAGTGGCAGGAAGCTACGAGGTGCCTCGACTATGTCTTCTACCAGGGCAAGGTCGACTTCCGAGAAAGTGCTCGGTGTACTGTGAACAACTGGATTCTTCTTTCTTTCACCGTTCTCATCTGTGCCGTGGTCCTCGTGAAATTCTTAGCTGCTCTGCAGCTGGGTTCCAAGCGACGACCGGCACCTCAAGATAAGTTTGTCATTTGCTTGGTACCCGCCTACACCGAAGGGGAGGACTCTTTGCGAAAGGGACTGGATTCCTTGACGGCCTTGCAGTATGACAACAAAAGAAAGCTCATCTTCGTGATCTGTGATGGTATGATTGTTGGTGGCGGAAACGACCGACCGACGCCCAAAATTGTTCTGGATATTCTTGGCGTGGACCCGAAACTAGATCCCCCTGCCCTGCCGTTCAGATCCGTCGGGCAAGGCAGCGACCAGTTGAATTATGCCAAGGTCTATTCTGGTCTGTACGAGTTCGAAGGCAATGTTGTTCCCTACATTGTGGTGGTTAAGGTTGGCAAGGAGTCTGAGCAGACGAAGACCAAGCCTGGTAACCGAGGAAAACGAGATTCACAGGTCCTCTTGATGCACTTCTTGAACCGCGTGCATCATCGCGCTCCGATGTCTCCCATGGAACTGGAAATCTTTCACCAGATCAATAATATCATCGGTGTGGATCCCGAACTATATGAGTATTGCTTTATGGTCGACGCCGATACCAGTGTCAAAGAAGATTCATTGAATCGCTTGGTGGCCGCTTGCGCATCAGATGCTAAGATTGCTGGTATCTGTGGTGAAACTAGCTTGCAAAATGAGGAGCGAAGTTGGTGGACGATGATTCAAGTCTACGAATACTACATCTCGCATCATTTGTCCAAGTCATTCGAATCGTTGTTTGGCAGTGTGACTTGTCTTCCCGGATGGTAAGTCCTGTTCACCATATTCCAAGGATCTAATTAACCGCCATATAGTTTCACTATGTATCGACTTCGTACCGCAGACAAGGGTCGCCCTCTGATTATATCCGACAAAGTGATCAAAGAGTATGCTGACATCGATATTGATACACTCCACAAGAAGAACCTGTTATCACTGGGCGAGGATCGTTTCCTGACAACTATCATGACCAAACACTTCCCAACAATGAGTTACAAGTTCCTTCCCGGTGCGTACGCAAGTACAGCTGCCCCGGAGACTTGGGGTGTTCTTGTCTCACAAAGACGTCGTTGGATCAATTCCACCATCCACAACCTGGTGGAACTTGCTGCCCTCGAGGATCTCTGTGGCTTCTGCTGTTTTAGTATGCGTTTCGTCGTCCTGGTGGATCTGCTGGGAACAATCATTCTTCCTGCAACATGCGTCTACCTCGTGTACCTGGTCTATCTCGTCGCCAGTGGCAATGGTCCATTCCCGTTGATCTCGATTATCATGTTGGCTGGTATTTACGGCCTTCAAGCCATCATCTTTATCGTCAAACGCCAATGGCAACACATCGGATGGATGATCATCTATCTTCTCGCATTCCCGATCTTCAGTTTCGTGCTGCCTCTCTACTCATTCTGGAAACAGGATGATTTCACATGGGGTAGCACCCGTGTGGTCATTGGTGAGAAGGGCGACAATCGTGTCATCGCCGTGGAGGATGAAGCATTCGACCCTCGTAGCATTCCCCTGCAACGTTGGGATGACTATGCATTGGCCAACAACCTCCCTGGTCGACGTGCAGAGCTTGGCTCGGAGAAGGTCTATGCTACTGGTCAATATGTAGATGACATGGAGATGGATGAGATGCACTCGCAGTACTCATCCGTCAAGCCTGCCTCCACAATTCTCACTGGTTTCCCGGGTCATGGTCGCAACACTGGTCCGTACATGCCACCTCAGTCGCCGGCTCCATATGTCGGTGGCAACGTGCCTGGCAACCGGAACTCGCACATGTCTAATTTCTCCCGCTACACCGATTACCCCCAACTGGGCGGTCATCCCGCCGCTGCGTCCCGTCATATGTCCATTGGCAACCTTAGTGCCTACCAAGAAAACCAAGCCAATGCCAGTCGGCACAGTGTTGCCTTTATGCAGAGCAGTGATAACCTGGCGCGGTCACGCAGCCCCATGGGCCAATACCCCCCACGCCCAGCCAGCACTGCCTTCGATTTCCGTAGCAGCGGTACTGGACCCGATGAGGCCTCCATCACTGAAGCTATCCGGGGATGTCTCGCGGAGGTGGATCTCGACACGGTCACCAAGAAGCAGGGTAAGCTCAAACTCTATCCAAATTGCGAGCTGCAAATAACTAACATTTCCTAGTCCGCGTTCTCGTTGAACAACGCCTACAAACCACGCTCTCAGGCGAGAAGCGCGTATTCTTGGATCAGCAGATTGACCACGAACTCGCCAACATGTGATTTGTACCCGCCTCTTCTGCGCACATCTTTTAATTTTTGTAATAAGCATCTATTCAGCGCACTTGTCTTATCGTCTAAATCTTCTCGGCATATCTGGCGTTATGGGATGAGATGATCCCTTATTTCACATTCTCAAGAAACAGCATTCAGCGAATTGATATGACAGGCGAAGCGAGCCTGCTTAATGAAAACTATGGAATTTGCCATCCTATAATCTCCAGTCGCATCCATCTTTGTAATTTTTATATATGCTGTGCACCTATCGATGAAGAACGTGTCTTCCTTGCTCAAGAAGCTTTTTCCACCCCTTAGCTCCATGTGTCTGCACGCCAACATGATCATAGTAATAATCCTTCGCAGCATCCATAATAGTCTTGACCCGCGCAACGGGTACCTTTTCCTTCCGGTCATAGGAATAAAGACCATTAACCTCTTGCTCAATATCACACCTGTAAACCATCAGCACCACATCCATAATCCACTTTGATCCAAGTCACACTCACAATTGCGTATAAACCAAGCCGCAAGAATGTCCACCCTTAACAACCCCCATTACCAACTTCTCATATCTGATCAAGAAATCCTCCACATTAGCCGCAGTCGTGTACCCCCAATCCCGCTCTCCTTTCTGTCCATCTTTGGCTGGCGCGATGTTCACGCCTCCGAACTCGGTGCAGATCACCGGTGCACCTGCTTTGTGTTGCGCGCCGGGATCGAGTAAAGTGTGTCCTGAGAAACCTGAGTAAATGGGCTTCGTGAACATGTCATGTCCACCTTTTGGTGCCAGGATTCCACCTTCCATCTTTGAGCATGTGGATGTTAGTTCGGTTGAGTCGGCGTAGTCGTGGTAGGTTGTTAGATCTGTCAGGACGTGTTCCCAGCCGCAGTTGTCGTTTATAGGTCTGCTTGGGTCGATGGATCTTCAATTCACATTAGTTTCATCTCATGTAGCAAGGGTTTTGGTTAGGCTCGGTGTCTGAACATACTTGGTCAAATAGTAAAGTGACCGCAAATGATTCCTCTGCTCAATGCTCCCCTTCAAATCCGTATACGCCCAACTCTCGTTCACAGGTGTCCATGTCACAATACAAGGATGATTGATATCCCTTCTCACGGCCGCTGCCCATTCAGCATCCATCCGCTCAACGTAATCAGGTCCGAACTCATATGCATTCGCCATTTCACCCCAGACAAGCCAACCGAGCCGATCAGCCCAGTACTGGAATCTCGCATCCTCGACTTTTTGATGCTTCCGGCACCCATTAAAGCCGAGTGCCTTGGCCATCTCGATATCCGTCCGCAGAGCCTCGGATGACGGTGGCGTAAGTCCTGTTTCGGGCCAGTATCCTTGATCAAGGAAGAGCATCTGGAAGTATGGACGACCGTTCAATCGGAAAGTTCCGTCACCGGTTGTCCAGGATAAACTGCGCATACCAGTCGTGGTTTGAACCTCATCGACAAGGGCACCTGAGGAATCGTAGAGCCGGATGGCTAGATCATATAGAATTGGATGCTCGGGTGCCCAGAGCGCAACGCCATCATGCCAGGCCCCCTCGACATTGATATGCTCCAACTCCTTTCGTTTTTTCAGCGCGGAAATATCCTTCTCGGAAACACTCACGCTAGCCTCCAATTCGGCCCAATCCCGGTTGGCATGGACATCCGCTCGAGTCGTACTAACGGCCATACCGGCAATCGAAACCTCAATCTCGACACTCGGTCTTCCCTGCTCTTTAGCCGACGATCGTCCCGCAATAGACACATGAGCTCGAATCCGTCCAGCATCGATATCGTCGGATCGTAGCACCGTCCCTCCACTCCCATCACACAGCCTCATCTTCGGCACACTCTCCATCCAAACAGAAAGCCAGATCCCACTAGTAGGCGTATAAAAGATACTCTCAGGAACAGGGCCCCAGAATTGTTTTCCGCGTGGCTGGGCTAGATCTGTTGCGGAGTCACGGATACGTAATGTAAGTCTTGCCTCCGTAGATGCCGCCGTGAACGCATCTGTTACATCCACGTCAAAGGGGACGTGTCCGCCTCGATGGGACCCTACATAATTCCCATCGACCCAGATGGTACATTCGTAATCGACAGCACCGAAGCGAACAAGGAGTCTGTTGTTCTTAGTTTTCTCGGACTCTGTTCGTATATCGGTTATGAGTCGCTCGTACCACAGTACTTCGTGGACTTCGTGGATGTTTATGCCTGATGCTGGGGTTTGGAACGCGTAGGGGACTGTTATTGGACGTTTCTTCTGGGTTGGTGTTTCTGTTGGGAGGGTTGCTTTTTGCCATTGGGCCGAGAGGCCTTCATCTTTGTCGTCGAAGAGGATGGACCAGGGTCCATCTAGAGTTTCCCAGGTGGGGTTGCGGTGGAAGTCTGGGCGTGGGTAGGACTCCATTTTGATTTTAATTATTTGATTTGGCGTTTGCTATGGGTTGTTTGAAGAGCTGAATTGAGTGTTCACTGTTCAGGTATAATATGTAGTCGAAGTAGCATTGGCGAAGTATGAGAGGGGGTTACCCCACGTTCATGCTACGTCAGCGAGATCGTCATGTTTCACCGACTGTCTTCCCCCAAAAGTCCATATAGCTAGCGTGTCACTTTGGACAGAGCTCGTAGGAGAGCTTGATAGTTATTTCGAGCTACAAATTGGGTTGAACTGATTCCAACACAGTGTAGGATTTGGACCCCGGCGTAAGAGGACGGTCTTCCAGGATTGATAGTAACATCATAGATCCACATGAGCACTCCGAATGGTGATTACCCTACAACATGCCCCTATGTACTGGGTGCCACATCAATGTTAATTTTCAAAACTTCGTATACTTATCTGAAATCGTCTAGGTCAAATCTTATTGATGGGGATATCAAAAAGGTAAAACATCAACAGAATAGAAAGCATCAACCAAAACCAGGCATGAAAAGAAACGAGTCCAGGCGATGAAGGTATCCCACCCAGACCCGCTCAACAAATTGCAACAAAAAAAAATCAAAAAGAATGGGCAGGGAGAATGTCCCCGCTCTATCTCGCGCACAGATCTTGGATATCTCATTTTCTTTTCTGACGCCTTCGTTGCTTGCGTTCCGTGGTATCAATCAATAAATCAGAGACCAAATAAAAGAAACAAGACACATAGACCCGAAAAAAAACAACACGCTGGGAATAAAAAAAACAAATCAATCACAACCAAGAGGGTATACTGCTGTAAATGGATATTTTGGGTTTAACGCGGTGGCCCAATGGGGGCCGGGTATCCAGAAGTAGAATTCGAAGTGCTAGGGCGACCACTGTCAAAAGAGGCGCGCGGATCATGCTTGGGGGTCATGTCTCCAGGCGCCGTACCGAAAGGAAACTTCGTGTCAAAGCGTGCAGGCCAGCCGTTGGTGTTGTTGCTGTTGCTGCTCTTGTGGCTGTGGGAGCTCCCCAGGACGGGTGTGTCGTCCTCGGGGAGGTTCACGCCTGAGTCGTTCCACGGGTTGCGGTAGCCGCTGTCTCGGGATTCCATCGAGACGAGCGATGCCTTGGAGGCATTGCTAGACGCATGCTTGAAGAACGAGGCCGGCGATCCGGAGTGGTTTTTGCGGCCGATGAACGAGGAGAAGGAAGAAATGCTGCCGGGTTTGCGGAGACGCTCGAAGATCGATCCGCGCTCGCTGACCTCATCCACGAAGCTGGGCCGTGTGGGAGAGTCGGTTACGAGCGGGGCCGGGGCGTGCTGGAGCAATTTGGAGTCGAAGAAGGGCAGGGACTCCTCGAACGAGTCCGACTTGGGGCGAGGGATCGCACCCTTAACGGTGTTGGCATCGAGACCGTGAGCAACGCAGCAGGAGATCAGGAAGTCGATGGCATCCTTGAGGCCACCAGCGTTGTTTCTGGTGTACCCAAGAACAACCAGATCTTCCGGGGCAGGATCGGGAGAAGAAGACCCGTCCTCCTGATCTTGAAGATCGGCACTGGTGTCGATATTGATATCGACCTCGTATTGCTCTTTGAGCTTGGTGCGAACATCCGCGAGGAAATCAGGGGACTTGAAGTACACACGCAGCTCGGCGGAGCTTTGGAAATGAAGCTCGTGGCTTTCTGGCACCATACCCAGTAGGGCATCGACCGCCTGAGGGACCTGGTATTCAGGGCCGGAAATGTTCACGACATCGCTGGCAAGCTCGGTGCTAGGGAACTCGATCTTGCAGTTCCATTTCTTCTCCAGTTCGTCGATCTCCGTCATCCGAGCCAACAACTCGCGGTGGTATAGTCGGTTGATGACGACTCTCTCAGAGACATACTCGGCATCAACTTTTTCGACCATATCCATGATCTCCTGCTTTACGAGGTCCAGGCTTTGGGCATTGCGGGCAGGAGTTCGGCAGATCACATTATCGACCTTGATGTCATCATCCTCCTTGCCCATTCCGCCGCGATCCATGGCATTGGAGAACTTGACGAAGACGGAGTACTTCTTCATGATACGCTGGATGTGCTGTCCACCGATACCAATAATGCGCTTGTGGTACTGGTCTGGCACATGGAATGAGATGGAAGCAGGCATCTCCTGCTCGACCAGATCGAGGCCGTTTTTGGTGGACTCGTATTGGTTTCCACAGACGTCGATATAGAAATTATACTCGTTGAAGCCGTCGAAGATGATTTGCACGTTGCCTGTTTACTTATTAGTTCTCGTCTTTGCCGGTAGTCCGAGGGACCACTTACTCTGGCCCATGATCTTGTTGATCTTGCCGTTCTTCTTGCCACTGACGAACTCCTTGTGCTCATTGGCCAATTCAATCTTTACTCGCATCTGGTACTGGCTCCGGGTGACGAATGGAATCTGGTTTACGACCGTCATGGCGGCCTTGACGGCATCGTCGGACCCATTGATGGTGAACGTCAGGTTATCGAAGCTGACCTCTGCCTCCGAGTTGGTGCAGATATCCGAAAGCATTGAGCGAACGTCCGCTGTCGAAGGTGCCCGAATGCCACCCTGTGCAGGGTCGGGCATGATGATCCACCACGAGGCACTGTAGAATTGGCCGGCCTGGAAACGGTTAGTTTACTGTCACGTAAGATGCAACATTATTATCGTACCAGAGCCATAATTTCCCGCACGGTCCGCTCGACATGCAAGACCTCGGTGCCTTGGATTCGAACAAGACCGCGCTGACTGCCCAGCTGCGGGAAAAGAACATAAGAGCCATTCATCTCCATCACCTTGCGAACTTTGTCCAATCGGTCAAGCAGGATGTTGTCGATCTTGCTTGAGTTGACCACGACATCCTTGACGTATATTTTGACACCCATCACTAACTCCCGCAACTTCTGCTTCGCCCGAGCAATCTGTTCCGGCGTCTCGCCCGTGATGTATACTTCATCCTCGCTTCGACGATTCGCACCAGGAGGGGTGTATCCAAAGATTCGGGGGAACGGGGGAGGAAAGTAGATGGCGGTACCAGTGGCAGCTTCAATTAGCTTGATGTTCTTGCGAGTGCGACCACACACCAAGGTGTGCATGGTCAGCTCCAGTTTGATGGCATCAACATGGCGTTTGAGCTATGTGTGTGTTAGCCGATATCATCAGAGGCCGCGCACGGATAAAACCCACAATTTGATCGATCATGATCAGAACTCGTGTCTTGGCATGCTCCGAGCTTTCCATGTCACCGTAAATAGCGACCCGGAAGCGTTGGTCCAAGTCATTATCAGACGCATAGCCATAAGAAGAAACAACCGCACTGTCCGCATCGTGGAGCTTGGGTGTGAGTAAGAAAATGTCGGTTCCGGTGTAGGCGGCCAAGGTGTCCATGTGTTCAAGCACGCTGGCTCGAATTCCTTTGGTTGACCCGTCCATAATCAAGTGCATATCCATGTCGACAGTTGCACATCGCTGATTAGTCGGAAACAGAACCATTAGCAAGGGATGCCATTTTTTCTTTTCGACGGAGCTTCCAGGGTGCCGAGTGAGAAAAAAAAAATCGAAAAATCATCCACATACCAGCATGATCGGGGTATCATTCAAAATCTTCGCTCGCATCTTGCGCGCGGTTTCGCCATCACCAGTAACACAGACATTGGTCACTAGGCCATTGGGTCGTCTTTGTAGCGACGGAACGGCCTTGGGTTCGGACGATGTGACGGTGGCTTCGATACGACCACCGCTGGTTTCCGTGATCTGCCGACATAATCTCCGTAGTCCTTCGACATTGCTGGTGTGCACAGGTAGCTGATGCACCGAAGTACCTTCGGGTGTGCCTTCTGGGAATGTCCAGCGTTGGAGGGCGGCGGGACTGGCGTGGAGCACATCTTCGACATCGGGGCCGGCCAAGGTGGAGGAGAAGGGAACATTAAACGACAGGTTAACAGTCGGATCGATGCTAGTCGGCGGAGTCATCGGCGGAGCACCATGCGGCCGGCGAAAGGCCATGTCGGTGTGAGGTCTAGTGATCCCGAAGGTTGGCGTCATTCGTTCCCAACCATGACGGGCCTGGCCCGTAAAGTTGGAGATCTTGTGCATGACCGGAGGGGGGTAGAGCGGAATCCTTCTCTCTCACCCCTACGGAACTTGGGGGTTAAGAGGGAAAGGGGATGGTGGTGGTGAGGGGGGAGGTGTAAAAGAGATCAAGGCTACCGTTCTCGACAGGGATAGGAATGGCGCTGTGTGGGCGTTTCGGGAATGGTGGGAACGAAGATCGATCGATTGGGGAACAAGAACAAGAAAAAGAGAAAAAAATAAGAAAAAAAGAAGGGACCGAATCCACGACCACCGAATATCTTCAACAAGATAAAATCAAACAGAATCAGAATAAAATAATCGCATTAATGAATTGCACTTGCTTGAAAATCGAGAAGGGCTTGAAGTGTCGTCAGTTGTGCGGGTCATTTCATTACGGTAAAGATGGTCCAACGGAGGATATGATGACTCTATGTGACTGTGACGTCCAATTCAGTCCAGAAAACTCTAGATTTCTTTACAACAATTTCTCTAGCTTCATCTGCAGACAGTCTGTCCTTTTCTTTTTTTTTTAGGGGAAGTGGTACGGAGTACACGAATCCACATTTCAGCACTGCCTCGCTGGCAAAGAATGCGGTCGATCCGAGGGAATGACCTGGCAAGGGTTCTCTTGGCGGCATCTAATAGTCTCGGATGTACTTTTGACAGGTCCCAAGTACGATCAGGTGAGTTCAATGAGTGTATGCACATACATACTCCGTATACGGAGTATACAGCAGAGCTATGAGACGAAATCTGATATGGAGCAGGCAAATCATTGTTTGCTCGTCCAGGGTGGCGATATCATCACGTGACGGTATGGTACTGGGATGCAGAAACAAAAGTACCTTTGGATGAGTCGGTGGAGGACTTTTGGGGGCCCAATGCTTGGCTTTGGCACCGTCGCCGTTGGTGCGTCTGATGGCAGATCCAGATTTTCGGACCAGTGAATCAGAACTTGGGATCCGAGTCCTTCCGCGTCTCCAACACCAGCCATACCACCGATCCTGTTTCTCATAGGCCGCGGGAGTAGAAGCCCTGTACAACGTATCTGACCCGATCCACTTTAGAGAGGCCCTGGCCCCGGCTGGCCCGGACACGGCCACCGACTTGATTCACTCGCACCTGGAGGAGGGGGATTCTCAGCCCGGTGGATCATGAGGAACCTATTGCCGCTGATGTTGATGCCTGGAGGGGGGGGGAAGGAAACGCAGACCTCCCCACCCTTCCTTCCCCCCAAAATCCCATGTGCCACTCCACGGGGAACAAGCTGGTCGGTATTTGTTTGTGTAAAAAGCGGGCCACAATCCATTGTTTCCTGTACCACTGTCCCTTCAGAGGCAAAACCAACACTTGGATATAATGAGAGGGAGGTGTACGGAGTAGGACAGGGTCGCTCTAAAATGGTCGACGTCATTCTCTCGTATGGCGTGGTGGGTCGCTGGCTTCCAACGCAATCACGAAGACTCGATGTCTCGAAAACTGTTCCGACTGGGTGGACCGTGGAGGTCACTTTGAAAGCTGACTGCAGGAGGCCTGCCGCATCCCCAGTTTTTGGCCCCAGCGCAGGCGCTACTAGCTTCTAAGCTGCCCAGGTGCTTAGATTTGCGGTGGTGATCGCTGTGACACTCATGGCTTTATCCACCCCAAAGCTAATCGTACCAATGGCCACGCTAATCTCCTAAACTTTGGTTATTTCTACGCTGCGTACGGAGTCCACGTAGTCTGTCTTGAAACCACGTCCTTAAAAAAGGGAGTTTTCTGCCCGGATATCTTCATCTAATTAATACATACGATGGAGTACAATGTTGATGCTATCGCAGATCCTGCTTTAATCTATCTGGCGCAACTCAGCCACCGATAAAGCCAAGCGCCTAGTTCCAGTTGTTTTTCTCATACTCCATTCATATGGGCGTATTACAATTCTGGGAAATAGCCTGGCGTACCGTACTTACCCGGTACCTACGAAGTATAATGTCTTAGTGAAGCAGTTAAGCCGGGGAAGAACCCACTTAAGCACCCCCCTGCAAGCGAATCACAAACTATCCACGAGGCACAATGTGTGAGAACGGACTTAAAAGCGCAAAGTCAAATTATGGAGAGATAACAGAATGATCACGTCAGAAAACCCGTGCATATTTATCGATTGGATTCTAGATGTTGATCCCAATTCAGATACTCGTCCCAAATCGCCAACGCCTGCTCAAACCTCTCAGGAGAACAAACAAATCCCACCCTCAGGTACCCCTTAAAGTCCTTTTCATCCTCTGTACCGAATGTTTCACCACCAGGCACAATCAACAATCCAGTTTTGCGGACAAGCTCCTCACAATAAGACTTGTCATTAACCGGCGCACCAATATCGGGATCTATCACCTGCACAAATGCCGCCGACGCACCACTCGGCTTGACCCAACGCAAGTGGTCAGCATGCGACGCGATAAATTTCCCTAGCGTTGCGAGATTGCGTTCACACGCTGCTAATGATCGCTGAAGGATTCTCTCTCGCACCGGGGCATCGAGTGCATACGTCGCGATGTCTTGATCTATCTGCGAGACGGAAATGGTGGTGTAGTCCCTGGCCATGACGACCTGGTGCACTAGATCCGCATTAGGAGAGATAACCCAACCAACCCGAATACCTGGTAGTGAGTATGCCTTTGATAGGCTGGATGTAGCGATAATGTTCTTATACCAACCAGCGAAAGCGATGATTGAAGGGGGACTCTCTGTGGGACGGTGAAAGAGAGGACGGAAAACCTCATCACTAAGGATTATTATACCTCGCTTCTCGGCGAATGAGACGATTTCCTCAAGGACTCTGAATGGGATTGATGCACCGGTCGGGTTGTTGGGATTGCTAATTAACGGCATTAGCAATAGCCGCAGAGGAGAGGATAAATATTTACTTGATTATTATCATCCTCGTGTTCTCTTTGACCAGCGACGAGAGTTCTGTTGTATCAGGAATCCATCTTTTCTCTTGACACGTACGCCAGAGCGTTACCTGTGCACCTGCTCGGCGGGGTACATCGTATAGTTGTTGATATGTAGGATACTGGCAGATGACATGGTCGCCCGGACCTAGAAGCGTATCTAGTACCAAGAAGTTGGCAGATATGGCACCTTGCATAACGGTAAGAGATAATTCTTCGGCGGGATCAGTCACGTCGCTGGCATAGAGCGAAAGGATTTTGTCCCGAAGACCGAGACTTCCCAGCACTGAACCATAAAGCAAGGCATTAGACGCATTGATGGGACCAGTCGACGAGCTAGGTGCTTGCAATTGTGAGAGTTCTTGCAACGATAGTGGATCCACACATGTATCTAATCTCCCCTCGCTGTTAGGCATAAAAATTTACGGGAAGTTGCTAAGAGCATACACACCGTGAAGAGATGCGCTGGCTAAAGGCTATTGAGTCATCTATTAGCTATCCGTAGGCATATGATAACGCATACATATAGGCTCACTTTGAACTGGCGAACTATTGCGATCAAGGTTAGCGTATGATCCATCTCTCCTCCGAATCGGCATTGTAATTACCCCAGTTATCCAGAACGAAAGGCTTCACGAAGACCATTTTTGCTTTTGGAAAATACTTGACAATTGTAGCTAAGATTCTTGAGCAATTCTACGGGCTTACAGGTAAGCTTGACTCCTCCAATGAGTCATCGGTTGATCTTATCTGCAGAAGAACTAACTAGTGCCTAGCTAAAGATTGATCAATTTTGAGATTACCTCATCTTACGATTAGGAATGCCCCAATAATACTATTTTCAGACCCTTGAAATCAAGTAAACCTGAAACTCCTGGAAATTGATCTGTGTGACAACAGAGATTCAATAGTTTCTAGACGATCTACGCAAGGGCTTGATCGACAAGCAGATCGACATTTTCCAGCTGTGTAACTTGCAATTGATAGATCCTTTTTCAATTCAGAAAGTCTACGATATAATCAGAGACAGCTCCTTCTTGAATTCATTTGCAACAGATATCAGCGTGACAACCTTTGCTGCCACCTCACTAGCAGACGTCTCTCCAACAAAGAAGAAATGACTACCCGGGGCCGGATAACAGAGACGCTCTGGAGCAGCATGAACAAAATCAATCAACTCCTGCCACTTAGCTGTTCCTTTGACCTTCTGTAGCCCCTGTTTTCCAATCATGGCTTCCAGTTGATAGCTCATCAAGAAGCCCCAGCTTGCCCGATCCGTTAACGCATGACTAGCATCAAGGATGTCCGTCGGGTAAAGAGCCGTTATAAAAGGGAGATTGGCCACATCAAAGACCTTCGTATCCTCTTCATGAGTCAGTTCATCTTGAATAAAAGCTCCCTTTCCATCGTATTTCAACCGCACGCCTGTCAAATTGATCGGTGTCCCACCAACATATTCACGTAAGAAGATTTCCTTGGGGATAGGCGTTTGACCACCATTCAATTTCTCCATGACTTTTACTTGTTGATAGAAATTATCCAGTCGATCAGGGATGCAGAAGTATCCTGCCTCGCTGCATGCCATACCCGGCGTCGGTGTCCGAATACTTGAGATGCCAGGCGTGGCGGCAAAACTTATGAATTGCTGGACATCCAAGCCCAGTTCTTTAGCTGAGACATTGAACGGAACTATCATTCGGCCGGCCATGCTCCACGCGATCAAAATAATAGATCGTGTCGTTAGATCCTTCTCTTCCATGATCTTCTTTACTGTTGCTGCTGCTTGACGGCCCCAATCTTGAATTCGAAAGTTTGCACCGGTGGTCGGCATAATTTCCGGATCTGTTTCGAGCGGATATGAGAGTGACAGCACGTCAAAATGGAGCTTGCTAAGCTGGTATGCCAGAAAGTCTCTTGGGTTTGATCCTTTGTGTCCGCCGTAGAAAATTCGGCTTAAATGCATAGACCCGGGTATGCACACCACCAGTGGGTTGAGCTTTGTGTGATGATCGTGTTGTTTTTGGCTCGCCTGGTAATGATATAATGTGGGGAATCCGGCTACGGTTTCGAGAACTTCCCCTGGGTAAAGCAGAGGGTCTCGTTGGCGGACCGTCATGGCGCTTTCTGATGGTTTGATACAAGGGCCTCAGATTGGTCTGCGAAACCTTAAGGGGCGCTTGGACAGTCGACGTGGAATTGACAGGGCTGTTGACTGCATTATTCCCCGCATCTCCCCCGGAGTTCTCCATATAATGGGCCCGTTAGCAGTCACGTGTTAACGAGACAATGTCTGTGTAACAGCAGCGCGGTTGAGACTGGAATTCATGCGGATGTTTCTAATGATCTCAATGCCATTGTTTATGTATGAGCCCGTAAACGGCCCAGTTGGCGAGGTCAAATCTCAATGTTGTCAAGGTCTTTATCTACTCTCTCTCCTAACGAATAATGACGTACCTATTAGTATTTTGTGTATAAATCGACCTGCACATATGCACACAGGGACCGAGGTAGACGATCAGCACTCTGTCTGTTTGAGGATTTGCCGAGACCTAGGCGTCTTTCCGGTTGATAGGCAGTAATGTAACCCGTTCGAGGAAAGTTGCTCGGTTGGTAGATGCACGGACTTCGTTAATAACCTAGTTGTTCTTCACTAATGAAAATGAATTATTAGTGAGGGGTAAGATAGTAGATGTATAAAGGCAATGTCTTGCATTAAGGACTCAGACGTTTCCTTAATTGAGTCCTTTGGTGCATTCAGTTTCTAGCGCATGCCAGGATCCCGTCTTCTGACACTTCGCACCTTTCATTCCCGAAATGTACCAAAAAATATTGGTTTCAATCATACTTTTGGCGAGTTTAGGACTTGGAGCAGAATTAAAGAGTTGCTCTCTCCCTACCACCAACGATGGCAATTTCGAAACTGCGGCTCCAGAAGAGGTCGGCCTAACACCACTACAAGTTGACGAAGCATTGGCATATGCAAGCCTTCACGGGCGCTCATCCGTTCAAATCTTTCGCAATAATTGCCTAGTGGGTCGAGGACCAGCAGATCCGATCACAGACTCGATACCAGCTCAGGTCTGGTCAGTCACCAAATCCGTGGTCGGGATGCTTGCCGGCATGGCCATCGCAGATGGAAAGCTCGATATTGATCGTCACATTGGTGACTACCTACCCGACGAACCAGGCTGGGGCGATGAAGCCCACCGAGCTATCACTGTCCGAGACATTTTAACCGAAACATCCGGGACTCAGGAGGCTATAATCGCTGAAGCTGCGACCGTAGTAACCGATCCTAGCGTTATGCAAGAATTCTTAGCCCAGAAGATTACTCATCCGCCAGGGACGCATTTCGAGTATGGACAGCGTGATGCGGATGCCGCGGCTTACATTGTCCAAAGTGCTCTGGGCCGTGATCTCCAGGACTATGCCCAGGAACGGCTGTTTGGCCCATTGGGTATCGAGAAATCGTCTTACTTCTGGCTACGAGACCGATCTGGAAATACCTATGGTTACGCCTGGCTATTCATTGCGCCAAAGTTTCTCGCACGCCTAGGACTTATGATGCAAAATGGGGGGCAGTATGGTGGTCAACAAGTTGTGCCTTTTGAATGGGTCCAGGCTGTGGCTACTCCCTCGTCAAGGAACCCCTGCTACGGATACCTATTCTGGAATAATCGTGGCAAACCATGCACTGGCGCAAATATTCCAGTGGCTACTACAATCCAGCAGACAAGTATCGCGAGTTCTCCACATGATCTATTTGCCATGGTGGGAGCTTTGCAGCAGAACAATTTCATGATTCCCTCTTTGAATATGACAGTCACTTGGACTGGTGTGTTTGGTGATACAGCACCAAATTTGTCAGTGCTTCTGAGTGCAACACCTGGTAATCTTTATTACGATTTCTTTCGTATCCTTATGCGAGCCGTTTCCGATCCCAAGGTCCCGGATGCAGGCCCTTATGAGTCGCCGCCGCTCAGTCTTGATATCAACCCATTGAATTATTTGAACCCAGAGGTCTTGCTTGATGATTTGCTCTCAAACCCGGATTGCAATATCCTGGTTTGCAACGGCGGGATCCCCACGGAAGGCTTATTTGACAACCTCGAGGCTATCCTTGGCTACCGGCCGACCTTGTAGAGGTCTCGTCATGGGCCTAACTTTGCGTACAGATAGTGATGGGACCATGAGGATGAGTAACACAATCATAAACTGAATTAGAAGGGCTATTGAGTTTACTGCATTGCAGTATCCCTAATGAAAACTCTATGGCAATATAGACCCTAAACTTTTGAATCATTAACATCTCTCTGCGTCACTCTCATGAGGAACATATCAATCATCATTGTAAATGATAGCAATCATGCCGCCTCTGTACGGCTCGAAGCCTCCTTTGAAGAAGGATCAATGGTTTCTAGCATATCGAAGCCGACGGGGAGCTTCTTGGCCACACGGACAGGATCCCAGATAGACTTGGACTGACGGAAAATCTCATCAATCTCCTCCAATGATCGGCCTCGGGTCTCGGGATAGAACAGGTAGATGAGTACACAGCCCGCCGTGCTGGTTGCAGCATACACGATATCATATTTCCAACCAATATTGTCGCGCGCAACAGGAGTGACTTCAGCCACCATAAAGTTGAAGAGCCAGCTAGACACGGCTGTGGCCGCGGCAAGAATGTGACGGATCGACAGAGGAGCAATTTCCGAGCCGTACATGAATGGCATAATGAACATGCCGATGGGGAGGAAGTACATGGCGAAGAAATAGAAGAACACAGCTGCTTTGCCTGTAGCCGGGTTCGACAAATTCGATGTCAAGCCTGCAACAGCTGCCTGGGCTATAACCATAGAGCCTGTGGAGAACAGCATCATCGGACGACGGCCAACTCGGTCGACCAGGAAAATCGCGGTCAAGGCGCCTAGTGCCAAAGCCATCTGCAGACAGGCAGAGAAAATTCTAGCATCGCTGCCCGAGTAACCAAGAGTCTCCTCGAAGATCGACGTGGAATAACCTGCGATCACATTGATACCGGTCATTTGAGTGATCATAGTTCCACTGGCCGCGATCAACAGTCGGTGGAGGTGTCTGTTTTCGTTCATTGAGAAAGGATTGGAGGAATGCTTTTCGCGATGCCCGGCGTCTCTGGCAAGAGCAGCTTGGATGACAGCAATCTCTTTGGACACCTGAGTGTCGTCTTCAGGGAGGCCTAGCAATCTTGCCATAATAGTGGTTGCTTCTTCAATTCTCCCCTTTTTGACTAGATATCGAGGAGATTCCGGGAGCCATGGGGTGAGTGAAACAATGATGATAATGAACACCAGCTGAAGAGCGATGGGGAATCTCCAGCTGACTGAGCCTGTTGTATAAAACATGCCAAAATTGACCCATGATGCGATGGCCAGACCACTTAGTGCAAAGACACCTTCTACCAGCACAAGCTGTCCTCGCTTTGTGGCACTGGATGACTCGCTCACATACATCGGAACAGTTCCTGTGTAGAGACCGATTCCAACACCTATACCACAGTATCAGCTTGCCGGCTAATGGGTCTTCCATCGAAGATGAACATACCAGTAACGATTCTGCCAACTAGAATTTGCGCGAGGGAGTAAGTGGATGCTTGGATAACCACACCAATTGTACAGATGACTCCAGCTACCAGCATCGTCTTAGGACGACCAAGCCTATCACCAATAGCTAGGCATGAGAGAGCACCAATAGCAGAACCCAATTCAAAAATAGCCACCACGAGACCTGTGAGAATCGTTTAGTAAATCAGCCCACCACAAGAAGGGTCAGTGCATAACCAACCTAAGATCGTGGAATTATGCGACGCCTGCGCGCCAGTAGTGTTGACAGTATCGACCTCCGGAATGGCGGCCAGAAAACTGGGCAACGTAGTGAAGCCATTCATAACTGACTGGTTATATCCTTGAATCAGAAACGCGACCGCGCCAAGGATGGCGATCATGCGCTGAAGACCCTCTCCCTGTACATTGCGGATGCTCATGTTGACTGGTCCACCAAGGGATAACAACAGCCGTCCAAATCGACAATATGGACCCGAACCCAGAAACAATACACGATCTGGAGTAGTTCACTAGGGAAATGGAAAGGAAACGCAAAATAAAATTAAACAACGAGGAGTCATAATTGCCCTCGGAGTTACCCCTGGAGTCCCCGACTCTGGTCCAATGCAATCTCAGCTGCAGACTGCATAATATGCACCGTGATTGGTACAGAATTCAAGAATGAGGGTCTGCGGGTATGGCGAGCTTGGCCGATGTCAGGATCGAACCAATGGATTCGAGTTCTGATTTGCTGCGTTCCCCACTTTGAAGTTTATCTAATTGTTAGTTCGGCAAACTATTGACAATCCTGGCTGAAAGTATCGTGGGATCGGCGGTGGCATGTGTGTACTTGTTCGTCGGAGTCACAGGGCAATATGGGAAACTACACATTGTGTTTGAACTGCATTTAAGTGCCATTCTCTCTCCAGGGCTGTACAGATGCTCGCGACGTGACCTGCTAGGACCCTTGACGATTTTCACGTTATACCGCCAATGCTAGCCACGTACGAAAATCGCTGTTCTAGAGTAGATTCGTTCGCAAGACTTACATTCATGATGCCCTTAAGGCCTCTCAAGTTTATCTATGATTGTTCCTGGGTTCATGGAGTGGTTTGAGGTGCTGGTATGGACTTGTAAAGCCTCACAAAACTGGATAAGCAGGCATAGACAGGGTAATTTCTAGTACAATCTGTTTAAACAACTCATTAGATTGTCCAGATATGCCTCATAGAGCTGCTGAGAGGTATTATGTTGACATTGGTATGTCATGCTTACACGTAGATAAGAGTTTGTGGGCGAAAGTGTGGTCAACAACTGGTTTACATCCATGCCATCACTGATTTCTACGTGACTATCAACAACCACCTACTCTGCCTCTCTTTCTTCTCTTCCTCCTCCTTCCCTTTCCCTCCTCACACTATTATTCTCCTCAAAAGCCCCTTCTTCTATCTACTTCTTAGATACATTACTTCCAAGGCCGCCTCTGCTTTCATGTTGATCATATCAGAGGTTGAATTCGGAAAAAGGTATGCCAGATTGTGAAAGGTGTTTGCTATGCAAGTCACGTCTCCACACATCATGCATCATATCAATACACACATCCTGAGAATGAATGCACCATCATGTCCCCATCACGTCTGCAACTCGCTTCCTCATTGACGTCCTCCCCCAAGCGCCGAGCTTACAACCCGCAGTGCTCGCAGAGGATGGTGACCAAGAGAGATATCGTCCATACGTATCATGCTGAATGTTGTGTCACTCTGATACGATGCTACGTGCCTGTAATCCCCTCGATGCTGTGTTCCCACTAGAGACCTGTGATTGTTTCCTTGTTTCATTGGTTGGTTGACTTATTAAATGCTCACCACTATCCGCTAACAACCTTTCTATTGTTCTAGTTGTGATGCCACTCTGTCAAGGGCTTTCCATCCTTCGAAAAATGCCGAGGAATTCAGGTACTTGATGGTGTCGTGAGTATATTTCGAATCTTAATGGTGGTAAGTAATGTCTCCCCAGTGGAATGTGGAGAGGGCCAACAAACCTGCCCACGCAAATGATTAAAAAAGATATTGTTATTCGGAAAGTTTTTGTCGATAACTGGACATTTATGATGCGTGAGATGATGCGATATTGTGTTGAGCTTCTTAGCAGAGAACCATGACTGACTGAATTATATGGCCAGAGTTTTCAAGGCATGTTTGAGTTGCACCAGTTCAGGGTACTCGTGGAGATTCTGAGTTTGGCTCTTTAACACCCTTCCGACTTTTGACCAGTTTCAAGGACGTACAAATTAGGTAAAGGATCCACGGGACTTGTCATGTTGAGAAACCTACTTTCTGAGATGCGAAATAATGACAAAGCATGCTTACTTTGTCCCGACACATCGATAGCTCACGCTCCATGACATTTATAATGAGCTTTAACTCAGTTATTTATATTCGAAGCATATCATGCTGGAAACGTCCGCAAATGAGACGTGTGATATGTCTGGATTTTTCTATTCGGAGATCAATTTCCCCTTCTGATATGGATCGTGACACTTTTGAAGCTGCATGTTAACCGCATGACATACTTTAGGGTTTGCGAACGATACGTTCACCCTTCCCGCCGCAGCTACATTCGGTTGGGAATCCTGAGAAGAAGGGCCACCAGGAGAGACTTGCAAATGATGAATAGAGAATGACAATGAGCTTCACAGTTGTGAGATTGTGTTGTTCTGATACAGGCCGATTCCCCTCGACCTCCCAATATCATTGGTGCTACATCCAAAGGAATACCATTTGGACAGAGTGAGGTCCATTTCAAGAATCTCGCTGGAATATATTTTGTGTATACTGGAGGTAAAATTTTTCATCTCGCGTGGTGGGGCTTTTCAAAATGTATCCATGATGAAACTCATTTTCGGAAATAACCATGCCGACTATCTTTGAGACCTGATTGAATCACTATACATACTTCCAACCATTGCCATTGCTTGAGTTTACTCCGAAAATACAATGCTGACTCGTAACTATCTTCTAGGTCCGATGGTATCAGCCTGAACCCCAGACATGCTCGAATCCTTGATGCACAGCTGTCAACATCTAACCGGCATCAGAATCTGACATTTGCACAGCACAATAATGGCCGTTCTCACGAATAAAGCCCAGATTTATGCAACCTCCTAGCCATCTCATGACCTGCCAGGCAAAGACGATCCGCATAAGAAATGGCCATTTGTCCCGCTGAACTGGTTCAAATGCTCGCGCTCCAAGATGGTGGTTGTTATGAGAAGTCCGCATAAGCTGACATCTATTGAGATATCCACAAAGCTAGGAAGAAACCATCATGGATTCCATCGCCGTTCAGGACTCGACATGTGCAGACATTCATCGGGTATAGACGTATGCATCCTTGAGGTTTTGTTGCTCAAGAATGAGGACATGGCTTGTGGACAAACAGATGAAGGATCAAGTTTATGCTGCCTAGAGGGGTTTTTAATCATGTAGGAATACAATTTGAAGAAATCAATTGATCCAAGTGGATGCTTTCATAAGACATTAACTTATTTTACATTAATGGCAAGCTCATTGAACCGACAAACGTAGTTTGTGGCTTAAAATAGTCAACATTACATGAGTTAGAAGATAATTCAAAGCGCGCCAATGCAAATGCACAGTGAAAGAGAAGGCTAAAATAGAAGCGTCTTAGTAATGCTGAGGAGCACGATGCACTGGCTCCGTATTTCCATCCAACGCCATGCGATTCCCATCATCACCTTCATAATAACGTCTTTCTCGGACGTAGTAGGGTCGCTCAACATATTCACCCATGGGTCTTTCATCCACGTAAACTTCACGGCTAGGCCCAGCAGGGCGGGTACTTCCAACGCGCTGAATAATTTCATGGGGTTGCTCCTCGTATCGATGCTGGGGTTGTGGTCGCACGCTAGCGGTGCGGATCACTCTTTCCTGGGGTATAGAGTGCTCTTCTACATAATTCTGACGGCGAGGTATATACTCGGCAACCTGCACGCTACCGGAACGGGAATATGGCTCATGTCCTTCCAAGGGCGCGACGTAAGTTTGTCGTTCGCCAGCAATGGGCCGAGCATAATCAGCAGGGATGCGTCTGTAGACGGGCTGGGGAGGTGGCATCTCTTGGATATATCGATTGTCCATGTAAGGTTCTTGCACAATTGATGGAGCACGAACACTGGCAGTGCGGATAGGAGCTCGGTCGTCGTAAATTTCGGCTTGGGGAGCGGGAGCTCGAGATGCTGGACGGGGTGGTGGCGCCATGGTCTGTGTCCTTCGAGATGGTACCATTTCATACTCATTACCATGCTCGTCAACAAAATATCGGCGTGGGGGTGGAGGCATGGCCCGGGCAGGTTGATGTTCCTCGTAATACTGAGGTCGATAGGTGGGTTGTGGATGATCGTCCACCTCGATGTAACGTGATCCATAGGCCGGGACCTCCTCATAGTACCTGGATTGCTCTGGAAGGCGCCTCTCGACGACTGCATAGGATGCTGCTCTGATGTCACGAGGGTCGTGGTCGATGTACCCCTGAGGATATTCAGGTTGTCTTGCGTACTGCATACTGGCCACTCTTCGCAAATTGGGATCATCATGAACTGGACGCCTGGTGCTAAATCGAGACATAGTCCGTGGTGGTCCTTGTTCAACGGGGATCTCGCGATACTGGTCAACCTCATATACTGGTCCTCGACCGGACGGCTCGCGTCGCTCGATCACAGGATTATATCCCGGCGACGAGATGTCAATGTATACAGGCTGTTCCTGCGGCTGGCGGCTTCTCGAAATGACATGGTCATCAGTGAAAGGTGGCGGGGACACTGGCTCCTCTTTAATGTAGGTATCAGAAGAATCAGCATTCTGTCTCTTGTAGGATACACGAACGTCTTGTCCTTTCTCCTGTCTTCTTCGCTTTCGAGACACAGGCTGCGAGACCGGACCATTGGGACTGGCCCGACCAGACTCGGGATCAGAATAAACCCGTTCTAAAACATGTTCAAATCGTTCATCCCGGCTTTGTTGGACTGGAGGCAGCTTTTGAGTTGCCAGTGGTGAGACACGAGACGGCCGAGGAGCTGCTGGGGAGGTGATATGGTTTCGGACTACAGTGACATTCTGCCCATGGGGAAGTGCTTGTACTTCTCGAGGCTGCTCGGCGTATCTAGCTCTGCCTTGGTTGTTGGCTACCTCTCGCTGGTAATCCCTGTGATCAATCGGCGGGGCCACTGGGGCAGGAGGCGAGTATTCAGGTTCCTCCAGGGGATCAACTTGATGTGCTTTATGTAACCGGCGAGCCTCGGTGTGGCTTGGGTGCAGCTGCTTCTGGGGATGGGGGATGCGGTGGTCAGCAACAGAATAAGCATCTTGCATTTCCTGATCGGATCCAGTCCTGTTCAGAGATTCAAGTCGCTGCAACTCATCTGCAAAATGCTCTACCGGAGCCCCTGCCGAGGCACCTAATGCCCGAGCCGGGACCACAGGAGATGGGTCTTGCTGCTCGCCAACTGCAGGCGGCGAGTCAGGAGCTTTACTGGAGTAATAGGAATTCTCATCAAACGAGTTCTCTGAAGGATCGCTCAAAGAAACAGGCTTCACAATATCGAGTGCCTTGTTCAGCACATCCGAAACATCAAAATTCGGCTTCGTGTCCTGAACTGCAGGTTTCTGCTTTAGATCCTGTTTTTTCTGTTCCAACTGATCGCGAAGCGTTCTTTCCACCCTCTGCCGTTGTAATTGAAGCTCCGCTCTGACTAGGTCATCCGACTTTGTCAAGAATATGGGATCGATTTCTGACGCGGGCTTAGCAGCTACGCGAGCAGTTGGTGTTGCACTCGCGGAGGAAAGGAATGGCGCATTTCCAGGGGTCTGTTTTTGAAAGCTTTGAGGGTGGCGGGAAGTATCCAATAGAGGTACAGACCCCGACGCCGTAGGCTTGCTTTTCAATGCCTGTTGAGCCAACTGACCATTTTGGCCTGGTTGACCCTTCGGCTTGCGCACAACATTCTGGGGAACCTTGAGACGCGGGTGTGACCCCGAGAAAATCTCGTCGCTGATTTTCAAAATTCTCTCATATTCCCGAACCTCCTCGGATGTTATTGTCGCGGAAGATGCCATCGGTCCTGCTGTAAGGTGAGTTGCATGAGCTGCCGCCATGGTCCAAAGCTGGAGGAAAGGGATCAAGATGAAGCTAGCAGCTGTTTATGGAAGAGAGAATTGTGATCTCTAGAGGGGGTATAACCTCATGTCACCCGCGCTAATATTCGAGCGGTCAAAAGAAAAGGCTTACTTTTTCAGACCGCAAGAATGGCGTTGAAGCAAAACAAGAAGAAAAGTGACGACTGTGCTTTTTCACGCTAGGGCGGATTAGGTAACGCGGGTTCCTCTCCGCGCTGCCAATGACAACCCCCCAAACCATCTCGTTCTACTTTGGGTCCCCGACTCGCCTCATCCGCCTATTTCTCTTCATGCATCGCTCGTTCTTTTCTTTACCTGCTCGTCAGCTTCTTCGCCCTACTTCAAGTATCTCTAGAACGCCTGTTTTTCTCCCCCGACCCAATCGATACTCGACAATGACTGCCAACGGGATAAACGGTGACTCACGGCCGGTCTTCTTCTTCGATATTGACAACTGTGTACGTGTAACGGCGGATTGACTTTGAACTGGAGTTCGCGGGAATGGTATTGCTAATTTGAAGTAACTCTTTCTAGCTGTACTCTAAAGGTGTGACTGCGACGCCAATTGCGACTACCACGAGATACGGCGATACTGACCCTTGCGCGCAGGATGCAATATCCATGATGAAATGCAGAAGTTGATCAGTGAGTATTCTTGGGCCCAAGTCACCAATTGCGCTGAAACTAACCATTTCTTGCGCTTTAGACAAGTTCTTCTGCAAGCACCTCGATCTTACTCCGGAGGATGCGCATATGCTGCACCAAAAATACTATCGGGAGTACGGTCTTGCCATTGAAGGTCTGACCCGCCACCACAAGATTGACCCGCTCGAGTTCAACTACGAAGTGGATGATGCTCTTCCTCTCGATAAAATCCTGCAACCGAATCCCAAGCTCCGCACTCTACTGGAGTCCTTGGATACCAGCAAGGTGAAGCCCTGGCTGCTCACCAATGCTTACGTCAACCATGGAAAGCGGGTGGTGAAATTGCTGGGTATTGAAGATCTGTTTGAGGGTATTACGTATTGTGACTATGGCTCGCTGCCGTTGGTTTGCAAACCGAGCCAGGAGATGTATGCAAAGGCAGAGAAGGAGGCCGGGGCCCCCAGCACCGAATCGTGCTACTTTGTCGGTAAGTGGCTTTGAAATCTGAGTCCTGCGGTGAAGTTCGGGTTTCCCAAGCAAATGCTGACAATTCTGAACGTACAGATGATTCATATCTCAATTGCAAACATGCAGCGGCTCGAGGCTGGTCAACTGTTCACTTTGTGGAGGCGGGAGTCGAAATTCCACGCATTCCGGCATCAAAGTACCTAATCTCGGATCTTGAGGAGCTACGCGTTCACTTCCCGGAGGTCTTCAAGTCGTAAGACGACCCTGTCGGGTTTGATTTGACGAGCTCAACGATTTCATTTCTTGTTTATAGAGGTTTGAAACGAACCTAGATCTATAATCCGACGGTTGTACATAGATGGGCTGCTTGTTTGCAGTTGCAGTTCATTGCTGAAGATTTACCATGTTGATGTAGAATAGACTATCATTCTAATTACCAAAGACGTTATGATCTAGAAAGAACATGATTCCAATTTTGAGAAATTCCAATGCTGTTCACAATATCCAGGGGCACAGTCCCTGGCCACGATATGCACAAAATCACTAGCCATGAAGAGTTATGCTAAAACTTACAGCAACTGACTCCATATCTTGTGTCTGATTTTTTTTAACTAAGTAGAGATACAACTAGTTAATTGGACATTTGCTCTCATAGGTATTAGTTACCTGTTACTGAGCAACTACCCTTGACTAAGTTCATGGAGACATCCTACCTAATTAAATCCAGGTATACGCCTAAAGCGTGATATTTGTGCATTTCATCGACACTGTACAATGTACAATGTACGCGCTGCTGCTTAGTATGTCATATTTTCTGCCTCAGGCCATTGATGATCGGCGGCGCGCGAAGCGGACTCCTTAGTGCCTCGGGGCCCCGTCCCTCTTCTCCCAACTCACTTCGACAAACACCCCTCTGTTACTGTTTGAGCGCATCGTGGGTCTTTGATCCTTTGTCCTCATTATGTCTGGTCAAGATATATCACCTGGCTCGGTGATCACCTTGACCGACGGACGACAGGCCACCGTGCGCTTCATTGGCAGCACTCACTTCGCAGCTGGAGATTGGATTGGCGTTGAATTGACAGACGCCACGGGCAAGAACGATGGCGCAGTCCAAGGGGAGCGGTATTTTGATTGTGAAGCAGGTTATGGCATGTTCATCCGGCCCACGGCCGTTGGCGCGGTTCTACCACAAGCTCCGCGGGAGAGTAAACAAAGGACCAGAGCCGGTACCAATGCCACCACCGGCAGGCCATCCATCTCGACGGCTGCAAAGAAGCCTCCTGGAGTGCCGCCGAGTGCAGCCAAGCGACAAAGCGTCAATGCGTCCACCCCTACGCCAGCCCCGAAGATGGGCGCTCGATCATCTTTAAGGGTATGCAATGGTCCATAATGGTTCGCCGCGCAAGTACTCATTAATCTCTCTTTTTCTAGTCCCCTACCAAGTCCCCCACAAAACAGCTGTCCTCGGGCGCCCCTGCTCGCCCTTCGATGGGGGGTGCTGCGCGCACTTCCACCGTGGCATCTAATCGGCCCCGACCAGCACCTACCACTCGACCTTCAGTCGGCCCATCTTCAACTCCAGCCCCCAGATCATCACGCCCTTCTGTTTCCGGCTCAACCAGATCATCGCGACCGAGCTCTCAGACCAATGTGTCCGCACCTGCCTTGTCGAAACGACCCTCCGTACGCCAGGTTGCCCCCACAAAAGCAGCAGATGGGGAAGCCGGAACAAGTGGACCCTCAGAGGAGCCCACAGATGTTGAATCTCTAGATGCCGAGGATGGACCACACGATACAGAGATGGCACCTCCACCAGCCGCTAAGACCCCTCGACAGTCGATGACTGCTACGCGCCCTGCGGCTGCTCGGCCAGGAGCTGCGACGTCCACAACCCAGCGCCAGGGCCAGAGCACTGCTGTCAGTCGAGAGCTAGAGGAGCTTCAAACCAAGCTTCGTGTGATGGAAAAGAAACGGTCTGAGGACCGTGAAAAGATGAAAACCCTTGAGCAGCTGCAGTCTGAACGTGATAAATTCGAAGCTATCATTCAGAAGTTGCAGGCGAAGTACCAGCCCCAGCAAATAGAGATTACAGATCTGCGCAAGAAACTCAGAGATACGGAAGCTCGTTTGGAGGAAGTGGAACGTATGCAGGCTGAGCATGAATCACTCATGGAAATGGCGGGACTTGACCGCGAGATGGCAGAGGAGACGGCCGATGCATTCAAACATGAATGCGATGCGCTCCGGTCGAAAATGGAAGAGCTTCAATTGGAGGTTGAGGTTCTCCGCGAGGAGAATGAGGAGTTCAGCCAAGTTACAAGCCCCGAGGAGCGATCTAGTCATGGATGGCTGCAGATGGAGAAGACCAACGAACGCCTTCGCGAGGCTCTCATCCGACTCCGTGATATGACACAGCAACAAGAAGCAGACCTGAAAGATCAGATTAAGGAACTCGAACAAGATCTTGAGGAATATTCTGCTGTGAAATCCGAGTTCGAAGCGACCAAGGAAAGGTTGTTGGTTGCGGAGACAAATGTGGATGACCTCAAACAACAACTAGAGACCGCCCTTGGTGCTGAGGAAATGATCGAAGAGCTTGCCGACAAAAATATGCACTACCAGGAAGAAATCAGCGAGCTCAAAGCTGCCATTGAAGATCTGGAGGCTCTGAGAGAAATCAGCGATGAGCTCGAGTATACGCATATCGAGACTGAGAAACAACTCCAAGAAGAAATCGATTACCGCGACGGCGTATTCAGCGAACAATCTCGGAAGATTACCCAACAAGATGAAGTCATTGAAGATTTGGAGTATACATTGTCTCGCTTCAGAGAACTAGTGACGAACCTCCAAGCCGATTTGGAAGATATGCGCGCGTCTCAGCAGATCTCAGAAGCTGAGGCTACTGACCTCACGACACGGTCTCGCGCGATGATGGACCTAAACATGAAACTACATGCCTCAGTATCAAAGGCACAGACGAAGTCCATTGATGTTGAACTTAAGCGCATGGAAGCAGAAGAAGCCGCACAACATCTTTCCATTGTGAAGCTTTATCTGCCGGAGTACTATGAAGGAGAGCGGAATGCCGTTCTGGCCCTACTTCGATTCCAACGTGTGAGCTTCAAGGCTACTGTGATGAGCGGCACAATTCGTGAGCGCATAGCTGAGCAATCAGTAATCTCCAGCCACGAGGAGATTTTCAATGCCTTGGAGGTCTCCGAACATCTTCTATGGATCTCAACAATTTGCGACCGGTTTGTGACTTACATCAATGCCTGCACACCGGAGCAGTTCAACAGCACCAAGGCCGCTTTGTTCGAGATGGAGCCCGTGGAGCGCACCCTTAATTTCTGGATTGAGAATTTGAAAAAGAACGAAGTTAACATGGCCAAGTTCGCTGTAGAATTGCAACGCTCTATTGCTCTGATTGCACACCTGGCAGAGACTCTGCTTCCCTCAAGCCCAGAGAACTTTGCGGGTGAGCTGTCAATGCGCGCCAACTTATCCCAATCATACCTCGACCATGCTGCTACGGCCATCTCTCGACTAAAGGCTCTCATCCAGTCCAAGTTGCCTGCTCCAAAGGAGCTCGGCGAAAGCAATGAAGCAAATGAAGGCAACGAGGCCAATGAGGGCAGTGAAGGTGACAAAGTCGATACAAGCAATGAAGAAATCACCTTTGCTTTCAACAAACTCGATGCTTTTGTTTCTCATGCTCGTGGATACAAGGTAGCGATGGGCAAGATTCACCGGGCCGTTGAGGACTTACGTTCGAGATCTCTTGTTCTTTCAGAGCAGGCCGATGAGCCATTCAAAAAAATCGAGAACTTCACGCGAGAGCTCTCGGAACTTGCTCGGAAGCTGGGCGAAGCTGTGCTGAGTCTGACCAGTGATGAAGGTCGTGTTGAACCCTATACTTTGCAAGAGATATTGGAGAGCATGTCGCTAGCCTCCACCGGTCTCATGCAGGGCCCAGACACTCCCACCGAAAATAACGACCCACTCTCCCTGCTAGTGAACAAGCTACGCGATCTGGCCAGTCAACTTGAAGAGCTGGACTCAATCTCAACAGATCTGTCTAAGACTACCGAGTTCGAGAGGGGCGCATTTCCTTGGATTGCGCGAGCAGAGGAGCTCAAGTCTAACAAGACGATTTCTCCAGACGCCGACGAAGAGATTCGCCGCCTCAAGAACGAAGTTCATGAAGTCTCGACGGCCCTGGGCGTTAAAGACAATACTCTTGAAGAGCAAGGCATCAAAATTGAGCTTCTAGAGTCGCGGATGAAAGAAGCGAGCAAGAAAGCGTCTATGGTCAAGGAGCTTGAAGCCAAGATTGAAGAAAGCCAGAACATGAGTGCCGAGCTGGAGAAGACCGTCGAGCGACAGAAGAAAGAGCTTCAAACCGCCGAAGCGGAGCGCGACGAGTATAAGAACCGCCTCGAAAGAATGAAGCGTGTCTCTGGAACTGCGGGTGTGGCGACTGCAGCTGGGGGCCTTGTCATCGACAACGAAGCTTCTCTGGCAGCAATGCACGAGAACGAGTCTCTACGCGCTGAAGTCGAAAGCCTCCAATCCGCCGTCCGTTATCTCCGTGAAGAGAACCGCCGTGCAAACCACATGGACCCATACTCTGTACAGCGGTCAACAGACATGTACGCCTGGCTGGATGCCCCTCTCACTCGTACAACCCCAACGGTAGAGCAAGAGAAGATCCAGCGCACAGCCCTGGAAAGCCGAGACGTCTTCACCCACCTCCTCAAACTGACCAAGGACTCCCGTGTCCCAGACCTCAAATCCACAATGGTCCCACAGGAACGCGAGGAAGATACCGTCAACCGCACCGCATGGCGCCCATCCAAATCTCGACTCAGATACCAAGTTCTACGCCAACGCGAGAACTTCGAACACTGGTCCGAATGGCGCGACGACATCGTCAATCATGAACGCGAACAAGACCGACTGGCTGCCGCTAAGCGCGAGCGTGCTCTACGTGACCGCATGCCGAAACATGCCCATAAAGCTTCTGTCGAGTTCCCCCAGGGTCTTGGACATGGCATGATGGGACGTGCGTGGCAAATCCTCGGCATGCAGAATTCTCACAAGAACAGCTCAAGTGGACCTGCTCCTGATGGTGTAGAGATTGTTTCGTCGGAATGAGTTCGGCTTATTTTTTAGGCCTGTATAGTAGTTTGCTCTTCGTTTTTCATGTGCATCCCTTTTGGCTTCGACAGATACCCTCGCTGCACATATTTATTTGCATATCATGTCATACTTGTGGAATACGTTATAGGCCGATGGCTGGATATAGGATACTGCATTAGATGCACAATACGATATGATACCCTCATGGGATTTCCAACAATCCGTACCAAATATAAATATGCACCACGCACTGGGCATCCGAGTCCCGTTGACATAGAATCAAGAGCCATTAGCGTCCTTAGAGCTATACCTAAACCCCACTCCACTATATATCCACATTCCTATCGCATACATTTCCCCTCACCCAAACAACCACACTTCAAGCTTCAATTTGAATCACCACAATGACCAACTCCTTCAAAACAATCCCTCCGTCAGAAATAGGCGCTTTCACCCCAGGCGGCCCAACAAAAACATTCAACCCACCCCTAGACCCCGCAACGAAAAACTACCGCCTAAACCACCTCGCCCTCCGCATAACTGACCCCGCACGCTCCCTCCACTTCTACGTCGACCTCCTCGGCATGCGCGTAGTCTTCAATATGAATGCAGGTCCATTCACAATCTATTATCTTGGTCACCCACCAGATACAACAGACGAAGGAGGCATGGAGAAGTGGGTAGAAACGACCGCCCAAATGCCCGTTTTAACGAGGACGAGTGGACTTTTGGAGCTTTTCCATGTGCATGGGACTGAGAATGGCAATGGCGAAGTGGGTATCTCCAATGGTAATGTCCCGCCGAATCTGGGGTTTGCTCATCTGGGTTTTACGGTTCCCGATGTGAATGCTGCTGTTGAGAGATTGAGGGCTGGTGGGGTGGAGATTTTGAAGGAGCCTGGTGTTTGTTCGAGGGACTCTGTGCCTTTGAGTGAGTGGGAGGCTGAGAGGGGCGTTGGGGTTGGGGAGATTCATGGGAATTATGCTTGGTTTTTTGAGAAGTTTGCTATGGTTGCTGATCCGGTGAGTACCAACACCAAGAACATATCCAGGGTTTATTTGGGAGACATATTGACGGTAAAGTTCCAGGATGGGTATATGGTGGAATTGACACCGCAGAATATTTAGATTGTTATGGTTGCAAGGGAGGGATATATGAGAAGGTCGAGATCAAAGTGTCTCTGAAGATGAAAATAAATGTAGCCTATTCACAGGGTTCAAAGTACATGAGATAAGAGATTGACTATGCTCCCCAGCCATCATCTTCAGCAACATCATAATCCATATCACGGGGTGGCTGTTGTGGCACCGGGGCAGACACTGGCGTGGTGTCCATGTTTGTGTCCTGTTCCTCATCGAGCCCATTCTTTGGCTCTGTTGACGCAGTTGGCAGTGTGATAGGAGGATTGGGAAGCCATGCCAGTTGCACCTCGCCCACATTAGGGATGTTCCACGGGCTGAACATGAACTTCTCGGCCTGGTATCGCTCTTTGAAAGCCACAATGATGGAGCCAGGTGTGTTCGGGTTAGCCTCGATGGACTCGTACTCGCCAATGCCCTGAAGAATTAGTTAGTTGGTGATTTCCTTTAGTGGAAAAGGTACAACTTACAATCAGGTGCTGACGCAGGGCTTCGTCCTTGTCCGAGTGGAGCTCGACGCCTGTCACGGCAACTCGGCGGGGACGGTTGTCTAGACGCAAGACACCACCTCGACCACGAGGGGCAAATCCACCGCGGCCCCGGAATCCGCCACGGTATGAAGGGTCGAAGCCTCCGCGGCCACGGAACCCGCCTCGGCCGCGGTACCCACCACGACCCCGGTATCCGCCCCGGCCAGATGAGGCTGAGGGGTCGGAGGGGTCAATACCGAGACTTTGTGCCTCTGCCTCGAGAGCAGCCAACTGAGCGCGCAGCTTTTTGGTCTCCTCGCTCGCATTTTCATCAACAGCGGGATCTTCGGATTGAACATCCGCAGTATCAGGGCCGTTATTTGATGAGACGCCAAGACGTTGCATGATAAGTGCCTTTTCTTCTTGCTGCTTCTTCATAAGTTCATCACGCTGGCGTTCAAGTTCCTCCTTGGCTTTTTGGGCCTCCAGTCGCTTCTTCAACTTCTCCTCGTGCGTTCTCTGGGCCTCGGCTTGCTGTTTCTCGAACTCTTCCTGGTTGAATGCTGGAGTTTCAGGCTGGGATTCCCCGTTCCTGTCATTCGGCTTAGGCTTATGCCAGTATACCTTGACAAACCGGTTGTCAAAGATCACCTTTGGGCTAGACCACGCTTGTTTGGCCTCGGCAAACGTCTCATATCTAACAAGAGCAAGCTTCTTCCAGGGCTGCAACGAGACCTCCACAATATTACCAAACTGGGAAAAGAATTCGCGCACAGCCTCCTCCGAGAGCTTGTCGTCAGGAATCTGCTCCACCACAATTGTTGTGACTGTGCGGTCCTCGTTGGGTCCTGCGGATGAGAAGTCGGACCGGCCGCGTCCTCGTCCGCTGAAGCCACCACGCCCACGACCACGGCCTCGCTCGCTGCCGCGTGAAAAGTCGCCATCTCTGTTCGGAATTGTTGCGCTCTTCGGGTCGTATTCTAATCGAACATATTAGCCCAATACTCGGATGGATACAAGCTGCTAGACTTACCGTCATTCTTTCCTCCCGCATCGCCGTGTTTATAAGGACAAGCAGTACCCAAATAACAGATACCTTGAGTATCATAGAACGGACAGCGCTGGTTGGCCAGATGTTCCATGCCCGGCTGACCGGGCATTCCAGGCATTGGCATCCCGGGCATTTGCGGGAACCCCATTCCCTGCATCCCCATCATGGCAGCGGCCATAGGATCATTCTGGTCGAAGCCCGGGAACCCAGGCATCATAGGAGGGAATCCGCCTTGCTGGCCTGGAAATTGTTGACCATGCATAGGGTGACCGCCACCCATCCAGTCACCGCGACCAACACCACCACCACGGCCTCTTCTTGGAGTCTTAAAGGCGCGGTTCTGGATTGAGCCATCTTCGACCCCTTGGTCTCCCTGGAATCCTTCATTGAACGTTCGTTTCCGACTGTTGAAATCGTTTCTAGGGCCACTGGGCGGGTTGAATGGCTGAGCGGTTGCAGAGAAGATATGAGGCTGCTGCGGAGGCTGGGATTGGGGAGCAGGGGCAGCCTGCTTCGGGCCAAATTTTGTGAAGAGCTCGTCAACAAACGGCTGAGTGTCTGGTGGGTGTCAGCATTATCCGGCTAGACTGCCTAGTCGAAGTGTCAAGCGCACGTTCTCGCAAAAAGTCCTCCAAGTTTTCCACCGAAGCTTGTCGGATTTCATCGTCTGGCGCATCGGTTCTGATCAGCGCGAGTACGTAATCGGCAAGGACATCAGAGTCCGCATCGGAGCTGCAAGCATTGCGATCATAAATTAGCCAAGACGCTCGAAGTGAAGAAGTTATGGTTGATTAGGCATGAATTCAAGTGGAACTCACATGTCCTCCAGCTTCTTCACTACCCATGACTTCACGTCCGCGGCTTCTGAGTCGGTAAAGTGCATTGTGGCGACGGTTTCAGTAAGAATAGAAATGAATTATAAGCAGAATTGAGGCCCGAGGTGTCGCTAGTCGCAGGGATCCGGGTTGACGGTAAGCTGCAGACCGTCGAACAACCCAAACCAGCACTTTGCAAGGGCAATCGAGGGTTTTAGGAGATAATGTCTGACTCCCGGATCAAAACGGGTATCACTGTAAAGCAAAAGAAAGCTCTAATTATGACAAGGCGAGTCGTTGACAGCAAAAGGGTTTTTGGGTGCACAGAATTTCTGAAAACGCGAAGGCGCGCAAGCTGGCACGTGACTGCAGAAACCGGATAGCAAAAGCGTGCAGATATAATGAAGCTCACAATCTAATCTACATCTCTAGGACTTAAAGAATCTACGGATTTACAAAATTATCTAAAGCTTTGTTTAGCATACCATGTTGATTTTCATATCCAAACTGGTAAGCTAAACTAGCTAATAAGAAAAGGCAAAGAACCAAATATCACAAAAGCAACTAATGAGACACCAGCAAAGGATATCCAAGGATATATGGATATTCATAGAAACCCCGCAGGTTCTAAAAGATAACGGAAGAGTGCCTGCTAAGGCAATTTTTGATTGAACTGGGAAATTGTATTGCATTCATCAATCTCATAAAAAAAGATTCGCGTTGATTGGTAGAAAGGTAATCTGGCCAATGAACATTTTTACAGCTTGTCGTAGTACTGTGAATGGAGTTAGCAGATGATTCAGAATCAAAATGATCTTCAGGGAGCAAAAAACTTACGTTCTCGTAGCCGGGGACCTCGGGCTTGATACCCTTGCGGGTACGCATCTCGTTGACGACCTGACCGGGCTTGGTGGTCTTGTCCAAGGGGTCACCACCGGGAAGGATAGCCCAGTGATCGAAGACGGACTGGGGGAAGGCCTGACCACCAGTGGCGGAACGCAGGTCGGCGGGGAAACCGAAGGACTCGTTGACGGGCAAGTAAGCCTTGACCATGAACAGAGGGGTACCGGGGCGCTGCTCCTCAGAGTAGACGTGACCACGACGGCGGGTAAGGACACCGTAGATACCACCCATAGCCTGCTCGGGAACCTGGATCTCGACGTTGAAGATGGGCTCGAGGATACCGGGCTCGGACAGCAGAGTAGAGGCGAGCAGGACACGACGAGCAGTGGGGATAAGCTGACCACCACCACGGTGAATGGCATCGGCGTGAAGGGTAACATCCATGATGTTGAAGCGGACGGAGCGGAGGGGCTCCTCAGCAACGGGACCCTCACGGGTGGCCCACTGGAAACCGGAGACAACGGAATCCTTGATCTCGTTCAAGTACTGAACGGCCTTGGTCTGGTCAACCAGCAAGTTGGCACCGGTGGTGTCGGGACCGAAACACCAAATCTTACGGGCATCGGTGACATCCCACTCGTACTCGTCAGCCATGAGACGGGCACGGAGCTTGAAGTCGTCACGGGGGCTGATCTTGCCAGACTCGATGGCAAGAGAGAGCTCCTCGGACATGGGCTCAGCGGTCATGTACAGACGGTTGTGCTTGTTGGGAGACTTGGAGAGAGCAGTCATGCTGGACTTGGCAGTGACGGTCTCACGGTAAGAGACGACGGGGTCGGAAATGCGCAGGGGCACACCGGCGTGGTCCTCCTCAAGATCCTTAAGACAAATCTCGAGGTGGAGCTCACCAGCACCAGCAACAACGTGCTGACCGGACTCGTTGATCATGGTCAGGACACAGGGGTCGGACTTGGACAGACGCTTGAGACCCTCGACGAGCTTGGGCAGATCCTGGGCGTTCTTGACCTCAACGGAACGCTGCACAACGGGGGAGACGGAGAACTTCATGACCTTCAGGTTGTGGGCGGTCTCATCGGTGGTGAGGGTACCGGACTTGAGCAGGAACTGATCGACACCGACCAGACCGACAATGTTACCGGCGGGGACGTCATCAATGGGCTCAACGAAGCGACCCATCATGAGAATGGTACGCTGGATGGCCTTGATGTACAGGTCCTCCTTCTTGCCAGGAACGTAGTTAGGACCCTGGATACGGACCTTGATACCGGACTTGACGGTACCGGCGTAGACACGACCGAAGGCGTAGAAACGACCCTTATCGGAGGTGGGCACCATCTTGGAGACGTACAGCATGAGGGGAGCAGTGGGGTCACAGTCACGGATACCAATGCAGGCACGGTCATCCTGGGGACCCTCGTACAGAGTCTCGGCACGGTACTTCTGGGCAGTGACGGGGGAGGGCAGGTGGATACAGATCATCTCAAGCAGGGCATCGGCGGCAGGCAGGAACTTGCGCATGATGACCTTGAGGATGGCCTTACCCTCGAGCTCCTTCTCCTCGGTGGTGAGCTTGATCTCAAGCTTGTCAACGAGAGTGGCGATCTCGTCCTTCTTGGCGTTGTTGACAGCGGCGAAGATACGGAAGATGGGGTCCAAGATGAACATGTTGAAGGCACGCTCAAGGGGCTTGCCCTCAGCATCCTCACCCTTGTTGGTCCACTTCTTAGTCTTGGGGTTGAAGTAGTTGTCGCCCCACAGACGCTCAAGCATCTTCTTGCGGTCAACACCGAACTTCTTGGCGTACTTGACGGCGAACTGGCGGACGGTGAAACACCAACCGTGCAGACCGGAACCGAAAGCGATCGTACCCTTGTAGGGGTAGACCTGGACATCACCGAGAGTCTTGTCGAAGTAGGTGGAGATGATGACGTTGACGGACTCGATGGTACGGGAGAAGGACTGGTACAGATCCTCCTTGGAGACCTGGAGCTCGAGAAGAGCACGGTCAACCTTGTTGATACACAGAACGGGCTTGATACGCTCGGTCAGGGCCTGACGCAGGACAGTCTCGGTCTGGACACAGACACCGGAAACACAGTCGACAACGACAAGGGCACCGTCAGTGACACGGAGAGCGGCAGTAACCTCGGACGAGAAATCAACGTGACCGGGGGAATCGATCAAGTTGATCAGGAACTCGGAACCATCAACCTTCTGCTCAATCTCCTTAAGATCCTCTGGGTCGGGGAACTTGGCGTACAGAGAGATGGCAGTAGACTTGATGGTAATGCAACGATCCTGCTCATCGGGACGGGTGTCCATGAAACGGGTCTCACCGGCCTTAGCGGCGGAGATAATACCGGCACGCTGGACCAGGGAGTCGGACAGGGTGGACTTTCCGTGATCGACTAGAAAGAAGCAGGTTAGTCGAAGTGGTCATCATCTCGATTTCCGGGAAGGACATCATACCGTGAGCAATGACGGACATGTTACGGATGTTGGCCGGCTTGTCCATCAGGCCACGGATCTCCTCAATGGTGAAGCTGTTGAGAGAACCGATATTAGCATCCTGATCAAAATTTGCATGGTAGACATGACGGATCCCATCTGCGATGAGTGTCGACTTACTTGACCATCTTGGCGGTTTACTTCTCGTATTAGCCTTAGAGGCAAGGGAAGTAGGAAAAAAAAATAGAAAGAAGCAAACACACAGATGATCAGGACCTGGGGACCTAATCAATCAAGCCTATGTGCAAGTGCTCCGGAGAGGGAAGGGATGGAGAGGAAAAGAGGAAGGAGAAGGAGGGGTGCAGAGAAAAGTGGGAGAAAAAAATTGAGAGCGAGAGTGGGGACTTTGTGTGCCCCGCTCCGGGTTTGTGTGCGTTTCCAGATTATTTAATGCCAGTCCCAGTAGTAGTACAGAACACCAGCCATTTCATTTATTCATGCTTTTCTAATTTCCCTTCTGCCACACTATTTTCTTCTCAGTGAGTCTTATTAGCCTTTGCCATCGAGATTGGAAATCAGTCCTCTCTGCGATTTGACTCACTTTCCGAGGACATCCGTGGTTACAGCTCATTACTCGCAACGGAGCTAAAGCTAGCTAAAACCGAGCCCAAATTTGCCTCTCACTGTTTCCAGTAATAATATCCCATCTCTACATGTAAAATTACTGTAAAGAATTACGCTCCAACAAGGAAAACGAAGAAAAAATTGACTCGCATCCAATCAGCCCCGCTATCTCACCGCCTGCGCGGGGTGGTGGGCTGTTGTGGATTAATAATACACAGTGAGGACTGATCCTGCGCAGGGAAGTACCAGTGTAATCTACCTCAGACAGGGCTAGTTCGGTCATATGCTTGTATCAAAGAAAATCTTTACAGTACATATGCCCAACCCCCCATGAAATCATTTGAAAAACTCTTCTCTAGTACCGTGGCTTTTTTGTCCAATCAGCCACGCGGAACCTCCATGATTAGCTAATATCTAGCTACAGAGCTCGGGAGGTACACCCATGGAAGCCACCACACCTGAGCTAAGCTACATACCTTAGTTTATAGCTCTTGTACATATTCATTTAGCCTTTGTACGAAAAAGTCAACTTTGGATAAATATTTCGAATGCAAGGGGTATTAGTACACAAAAATGCAACAAGGCTCAGAACAACAATAATAGTACAATGAAAAAAGGAAAAAAAGACCAAAATATCGCAAAGCTCTAACTACGAAAAGCTCCAAGGGTTATAGGATAATCAAGTTCCCAAAATAGTCCCGTAGGCATCCTCTACCTCCTTTGCGATCTCCAATAAGGTCACGATAATGATCTGGTGCGTGACATTGGGCAGCTTATCACGTTGTAACCCGATCCACTCCAGTGGGGGCGTTGCCTCTCCCATGTCCCGCAGCTGTGGCGTCTCAATAACCGGCGGCTCCAATGCCGTGTATGTATACTTGGACTGTGGCACATTGACAACTGCAGTAATCTTCTCTTGTTGCTCAGCCCCTTCGCCGCCCCCTTCGGTACTGCTGCCAGGACCACCAGTAATCCGCACCGCAGACGGAGCGAGCGGCTTACCAAGCCGCGATGCGAGAGCACGCAAATGCGATTCCCACATGTCGCGGATGAAACTGATGCGCGAGTAGTTCCAGCCCACGTCAACTTTGCCTTCGAAGCTACTGTGGAAGATGTACTCGATCTCCCGATCACCCGGTGCTTGCCAGGTTTCCATACCCGCCACCAGTCGGGGTACCTTGAGAATGGTGCCACCGCGAGAGCCGGCGGCTCGTTGGGCGATCTCATCCACAGAGAGCTCTTCAAGTTGGGCGGAGCTGGGTCGACTGATTCCAGAAAGTGCCACACGGAGCTGACCAAGGGTCAAGCCGAGTGCGCTGTGGATTTTGTCAGATTCCAGTGAGACGGAAAAACGGGCCTGGGCATCGTAGGCCTCCAGCTTGAAGATTTGATTGTCGAAAAACGAGCTGGGGAAGGCACCAAGGTTGATATGGCGAATGCTGACAACTACACCGGTATGCAGTTGGATGGGTGCCCGCTCGGACTCCTCATCCTTCTGGTTCTGTTCTTTAGCGCGCGTCTCTAACTGGGAGGGGACCGCAGAGGATTTGCGACGAAGATATCGCTCAACCTCCCGTAGGGATGCTTCGTAAGCTGATTGCTTGTCTTGGACTAGTCTCTGCCAGGCTTGGAACAGCGCCAGGGCTTGGGATGCTGTCAAAGAAGTGCAGAAGACTTGTACTTCATCGCCTTCTAATATACTGAATAGTCGTTGGCTCTGTTCACCAGAGGGTTCACGAACATTGTACATCAAGAAGTCAAACATGGCAATATGCGCGACCAAGAAAGGCTGATAGTCGAAGGATACCTTGGCTTGAAGATGGTGAAAAGCGATAGAGGCTTGAATGAGTGGCGTGTGCCCAGCTTCACGGGACTCTGGCCATTGAATGGAGGTGCTTACTTTGAGAGTCCGCAATTCCACAATGCCACTCATGCGACCCTTACTCTCGATACCAATGGAATCAAAATTGATGCACATACTTTGCTCGTTATCGGAAGTCTTGTTGGAGGAAACCCACAAGTTGTCGATGGCAAACTGCGCCTTACCGAGTGTTGATCCCAGATCTAGCTGTATTTCCAGCTTCTCAATGGCAATAGTCGTGTTCCAGGGAAACGCTGATGCCGCAGCAACCTGTTGATAACGCTGGACAATGTAGGTCTGGGCCTCTGGCTCATGTGATTCCTCCGGTCGTGGTGTTGAGTTGGAGCTAGGCTCATCGTCGGATGGAAGCCAAATCTCTTGGAACAATAAAGAGTCTTGAACCTGCTTAGCATTCAAAATGACCTTCATAGGGCTCACTTTAAGAATAGCTGACACGCCACTTGTTCGGCCAAGATGCTTGCTGTTCATCAACGATAGCACCATGGACCGAACTTCGAAACTCGCCGTAGATTCATTGGAATAAACATGCTTCACCGAGGCCTCCAAATCATTGAATGCTAAAGAAAGAGCAACAAAGCGACCCTGTTCGTTGGATAGAATTGTGTTGACCGTAACGTAGACACTCTCGAATCGTGCCGTTGCTGCTACTCTGGCGATCGGCTGACAACTAAGACTGAATTCTTGTTTACAGAATAACAGTCCAAGGTTGACCTTGCATCGCCCAAGAATTGAACTTGGATCAGGCGCACCGAATGGGGCTTCTTGCATGATCTTTTGAGGCTGTAGCTTCGCTGCAGCGGATGGACGACGAAGGCGGTGTTGCTGATCTTTCTCTCTCATAATTTCCTTCACAGTAGCAGTCATTTGCTTGACCAAGGGCACAAGCGTCGGATACAAGACATTGGTGGATGGATTGACCTTCAACTCTGCATTAAGCGCTGGATCATCGGTCCCGTTATCTTCGAAATGAACCTTCAAAGCCACTCCTGGTGCCTGTAAAGTCGCAGTGGTTGCGGAATCTCCTTGTACATATTCGCCGTATCTCGCTTCGGAAAGTCGGCTACTCTTAATGTTGGCGGCCATCAAAGTCTGAGGATCCTGACTTCGTTTTCCTTGTAGCGAGACTGTAGCACCGGCAAAATCAACATCCACAAAGACAGATCGAAGGCGTCTGTTGCCAAAGAGACTCTGGCTTTTTGGGCCGTTCTCCGGATTAGGAGTTGGCTTCGTAGCCCAAGCAGCCTTGCCCTCACGCAAAGCCTCAGTTGCAGACGCAATAGAGTTCCGGATCATGTTTCCTGGGATAATGAACTCAGATGTCGCACGGATGTCGAGGGATTTACCGGCTGCCTGGAAAGCAAGCCAAAGTTCTTTCCCGATGGAATGATAGCCAACATTGAACACTAGTTGAGGCATGAGAGCGGAGTTCAGCGACCGTTTTTTCCGATCTGCACGGAATGGTACCATCTGCAGTTGCATATTCTCAATCCGAAGTCTGGCTGCATTCTTCTTCTTATTGGACAGCTCGACTTGCTGGATTGAGAAGACAAGGTCCTCTGGCTGGCGACCAGCACCATCGGAGAGAGGTGTCATGTTCCATGCAACCTGGATGCCCCGGAAATGAAATGAGTATAGGGCATTGAGGAATGCTTGCGCGGCAGCATCGTCGTTCACCTGAATCTTTGGAACGTCAGATTGAGCGCCGATTATTTCCTTGTGATGGCGATGACGTAGCCTGCGTAGGCGTTTGACTTCATGAGAGAGATCCAATGTCTTGATGCGCTCTTGTGTGTAGATGGCGATATCTACGACCAAGGCAGCCGTCTCCGCAAAAAGTTCAATGTCGAATTTATCGCTCGTGAAATGGTAGGCCCGCATGACCTCCCCATTCTCACGGACTGCGGACGTTCCAAGGAGCTTGACAGCAAATGTGAAACCACCGTAAGATTTGGTCTTTGTTCTCTCTAGGCGCCGCAAGAGGAAGCTAATTTGCGAAGCGTCGATATTGAACTCGGGGTACTCCATGGCATAGCCTCGATCTAGACCATTTTGGAGACTCATCTGCATCGTTCCAAGGCTGAAGACCATTTCTGCTTTGTAATCCTTCCCATTCAAACCAGGCGCAACAGCGTGTATCTCAAAACCAGCCATTGTAAGGCGAGCTTTGTATAGAATAACTGACTCTTCAGATAAAGGCGCCGGTTCTGCATTTGCCTTTTCAAGCGAAAGGGCGTTACTCAAGTGGGATTGAAGAACGTCCAAATTTTGTTTGAGGTCCTCGAGGAGATGAGCAACGTCTGGTCCTGTCAGAACACCCAAAAGACTTCGAACGGCGCTGGCCTCGAGACGAATCAGTTCAATAGTCAGATCTACCTCTAACTCCTTCCGGCCAGATGAGATATTTGCAAGGATCCGGCCATTGGTTGGGGGAATTTCCAACTTCGACAACGTTCGCGACTTTGCGCCTTCACCCGACAGGAACAGATGAGAGTTTTGCTTCACGTCAAAATCGACCTCAATCTGTGACGATTTCGTAGGCATAACCGACATGCGGGCTACGTCACCAGTGATGAGGTATGTCAGAGATGGAAGGAGGCTGAATCTTAACTGATAGTCATCCAGAAACATGGCCACGTTGATGCGATGGTGAGTAGGTTTTTTCGATGCCGGTGGCATTTCAACTTCAGGCGTAGCAGGCTTCGGAAGTTTGCAATTGCCGGTAAGCTGCCGAATGTATCTGACTTCATCTTCAATTATACGGTCCGCCACATGGGCAAGACCAACAGGGTCTTCCTTCATGTCAAAGCGAAGTTTTCGGCACGACGCAGCCACTTTCCAATCATTTCTACTCTGGGTCTCGTCTTCTTCAGAGACCAGTGAGAAATAGAAGTAAGGATCTGCAATACTTGACAGCATGAGTGACCCTGACTGACTCAGAAGTTCAGAAGAGCATGCATCCGCACTAAACAAAAGCGCGAGATCTTCTTTGTGGGCCGGTTTTGCGCCGTGTGAGCTGTGGACAATGGAGCTTCGTAGAGCCTTGGAGACCAAAGCAAGCTTGACGTTGATACCATCAAGGGTAATTGAGCCGAAATCAGTGCCAAATACAATCTGCAACTCCGTTGGCTCTTTTTCTCCATCATTCGATGGTGACTGAACTGGCTTCGATTCAAGTGTGACTGTAGACATGACTTTCATAATACCCTCAACGAGATCCAGAACCTCCCATCTTAAATGTAGAGCAGCAGATGAACAGTACGCCTGCAATGTGACGAGATTTTTGAGCCTCAGCTTGTCGCCATCTGAGGAAATGTTTTCAGCCACAAGCGATATGACTGTCGACAGATCCTCCACGATAAAGTCAGTCCCTCTTGGACCGGGGTCCAAAGAAAACCTGAAGGTCTTCACTGTGCAAGACATGAACATAGAGGGCTTTGTGGCGGCCTTTTCGGATTCGGGATTTGACCAAATTCTGCGCATGACATAGCTCTTTTCAACATGGGCTAGATCCCATGCTCGCCACTGGTCGAAGCCAGTAAAGACAGTGGATCTAGCATTGCGTGGCAATGGAAGATTGTTGCTAAGGCATTTACGGTCCAGCTCGCGCCGGTGATGCGCCGGAAGATTCCTATAGATGTTTCGGATGCGTGAAATGATCTTCCAAGAATCATGTTGTCGCAGATGAGTTGAAGCGACTCGAAGAACATTTGAAATACGTGCAAGGAAAATCGGGTCCCCGATGTCGGTGGCTGATAGCGTTGCAAAATAAATGAGATATTGGAGGCGTCGTGTGCTTGCAATCGAGACTTGCTGGAAAGCCGATGCAACAGAGTCAAACATGGTCGTGGCTCCTCGAACGAGGAACGCCAACCGTTCCACCGACCTAGCGGAGGTGATAGTGTTGAAAGTTCGCATCTGCAAATTCGAGCGAATATTAGGGGACGTCACGAGCCAGAAGTTCATATCACTCAGATTGCAGTTGAACGCGGCCTTTTCCTGGAAGGCGTCTGCTCGACTCCCCTCAACAGAAATAGAGATATGATCTGCTGCTGCATGAACAGTAATGCCTTGTTTGAGACCTTCAAGAAGATCGCCCTTTTGCCGCTGAATACGTCGTTGAAATTCGGTACGAAGGTGGTGAACCTCAATGCTGTATTCATCTCGGAACTCGACATGTTTGTTGTTGGGGGATTCCGAAACGTCCACCAATCTCAAGTGGATAGATGGAATGCGAAGAGAAACAGCAGTTGTTTTCTTGGGCTGGCTCATAGACTTGTCATAACCTACTATGTCGGAGATGACATCCTTTTGGAGCGAATCAATGATTTGAACTGGATGCTTCGGTTCGAACCCATCTAGTAAGGCAGACAAGGTGAACAGGAACCTTGGAGTACAGAAGCCTCTGATGCCCAACGGAAGATCTAATGCGAGGTTGGTGTAAGTGGTTTGGTCATCTTCAAAAGTCAAGAACATGGAATGCGGGGTCGGATATTTATCATCTTCGTTGTCGCCAGGATTGCTGCTGTTAATTGATGGCAGTTCAGATGTATCCAAGAAAAGCTTGTAATATGAGAATTTTGGTAAGATCCAAGGATTTGCATCTCTGATTGCAGCTGGAGAGTATGAGGTTGCTCTGGGAGTGGAATATCCATAGCTTTCATTATCCTTGAAGCGATTGGCTTGCGTAGTGCTCCTACTTGCATCACGGACAGGCGCAACAGGACGGCGCAACGGCTCTGAGCTTGAGACTGATATGGTACCTTGTATACCATTGCCACGAATTTTCGTGCTTTTGAGACTTGACGTTTCGGAATGGACAAGAAAGCTCCTAGCGCTTCCCGCAGGTTGAGTTCCTGAGAACCCTCTGTATGACGGCGCATTTACCGAGCTTAACCTTTGATGCATAGGTTCAGGCATCGAGGGTATGGCGATTGTTGGGGGTGAAAGGCCATCGTCGTGAGGGATGGAAGAAATTGGCGCAATATCTTCCCAGTCAAAGAGCAGCCACTGGGATCGATGTGTGCGTTTATCATGGACTTGAATATGCTCCTGTTGCAATCGTCTGCTTTCGGCGATATCCTGTTTCCGAAGAGCCATCTTGAATCGTATTGTCACCTGAATAATGCCGAGAGGATCGACTCTCTTGTCAGACGACTTGAAGGCTAGATTCGCGGACTGCCGATCGACTGCAGCGATAGTCAAGTCAGGCATCAGCAAATTCATTCGTTTTGAGAATTTGGTGTTCGCCCAGTCGTTGAAGTTGATTGTCAATGGCTTAGAACTCAATATGAGAGCTGTGTGGTCCAGCAAGACACTGACATGAGTCGAGCTAATCTTGGCCCTCAAAAAGGTCACGTCATGGAGAACAGGCGGAAAGATTGGATGCAGGGTATTTTCCTCGTTATCAAACGAGAAATCAAAGCTTTTAATGCTGGACGCCAGACAAGCCAGAAATTCCGGGGAGCATTCGCCAATGATTTTACCCACATCAAAATCCCAATTGCAAACATAGGTCGGCTCAGCGGGAGGCAATCCAAAAAGACGATGGCCATAGGCTGAGATACCATCGATGAAAAGCTGAGTATCGGATACGGCTGTTGAACCATCTTCCTGGGTAGATTGCTGATCTATCTTGAGTGGACTAATTGACAGTTGCATGTCCATGTAGTAGTTAGTGAAACGAAGATCAGCCTCAAGGGAAGCAGCGCGAAGTCTTGTGCATTCCAACTGGTCGTATATGTTTTCAGGGAGTAGAGCACAAGGACTGTCCACAACTACGTGGATCAATACATCCATGTCATTTGACCTCCGGTTTGGATTAATGCCTGTCGGATTGGCAGGCGGTTCATTAGCGAAGGCCAGCTCTTGGTATTCTTCTAGGGTCCTGAAGTGCATCTCATCACCAAAATAGTTCTCCTTAACGGCCATGAAGCTTTTGACCAAGAAGCCGTAGAGATAGCACCTAGGCGAAGCGCCATCGAGATTTAGCACCAGGGTATCTGTCAAGTCTGGGGACGTTGAAAGGAAGTAGGTGTAAGAGCCATCGATAAGGAGGCTATCAAGTGTTGCCATTGAAGTTCCAGGCAGAAAAGCATGGTGTGTATCCCACGCAGGGACTAAGTGATCGACACCCCCATCTTGGAGATTAACCCTGAACTCCACTGCATTCTGTTCAGGTTGATACTTATTCAATGGAATAATGACATTCGCCGTCAACTGCTTGCCCTTTATAACAATGAATCGGTTGTCTTCCCGATCGGAAGGGTTACTGATAATGTTCCGGTCGTTGACATTGATCAATAGCTGTAAGTTCGAGAAGCTGAGGTCAATGTTGTAGATGAATGGCACAAATGTGTAGTATTCGGATGGAGGGCCCGATGCCCAGTCAGTGACGAGATCGGTCAGGAGAAAAATGTGATCTCGCAAGAGAAAGAGCTCCATTCCATGACTGTCAACCGCAAATTTCCACGTCCGCAGGCTGTTCCAGCAGAGGGGGTTAGACAAGTCACAAGTGACCAACTGCCGTGGACATTGCCATAGAAGCCCATGGTTCACACTGGATGAGAGCTTTGATTCACGCAATTCAAGAGCAAGTTCATTTCGGTACCCTGTGATTGATGCTGCCATGTCCATGGTATAGGTTATGGTAGAGTCAGGGCCCACGCGAAGGGAGAGCCATCCAAAAGGTCGAATATCAGGACCAACATGGCCTTTTTCACCTTCCTTGGGGCGTGATTTACTCCTGTCACTTTGCTTCTTCCCTTTGGAAGTTCCTCCGATGGCATCTGCGCGGCCTTTCCATTGCCAGTCCTTCGACTGCTCTCGTGTGGGGATTCGAAGTATAAGCTCTTCGCAGATTTCAACACGCAACTTGAATGAGGTGCTTTGTCTCAACACGCCGGTTGTTAATGGCTCTGCCGGTTCTGCACTGCGGTAAAAATTGGGGAAGAAGACGTTCTGTAAGCCAATTCGCTCCCTGTCAGCCCAGGGTCCATAGTTGATTGCTCCGCCGTCTATCTTTAGATCGATTCCCCATTCTGGCGGAGGGGCATGATTGATATTTTTGCCTAAATCCTGGGAGGGAACAAGTTGTTCGGGCCTCACACGTCCAGGAATATCCCAGAAATAAGTGAAGTCTAGGCTTGGGCCATCAAATATTGTGGAAAATCGCGCATACTCGACCGAGTTCCATTTTTCATGGTCATCGTCATCATCCTCGTCCAGGTACCGGGAAAGGCCAGTCCAGCGGATAGCATTTGGGAACTCTGCCTGACTTCTAGGCATAATGTCGGCTTTTTTATCGCCCAAGGTGAAAGACTCAACGGAGGTTTGGAAGTAAGGAACAAGTTCACGAATGCCATGCCATATCTTGCGTCTCTGAGACCGATAGCTGAATAAATTTCCCAGCTTAGGCTTTGGAACAGGTTCTTCCTCTTCTGCAGTACTCAACACTTTGGCAGTGGCCAATTGTGTTTGTTTGAAGTCAGGATTGGGCCGCATCTGGATCACCGGGTGCTTGAATTGGAACGTAAACAGCTGCCGGTATAAATCAAGAGGTCCTGCCTTGCAAGCTGCAATGTTTCCCGTTGCCCCATCGAAAGTAGTTGTCAAGACAGACCGGGTGTTTTCATTTCCCATCACAATTGCTCCTTTGGTGCAGTCCAGCTTCAGAGGCAAAAGTCCAAGCATATTCGACACCGGGTCCGAGAGTTCGGCATTTCGAATATTAGAGTTTTGGTAATTCAGAGATTCGCTTCCATCTATGCTTCGTTTGGAGACGTTGTCGGCGCTTGCTTTGTTACCGGGCCCAGACTCCATTGTAAATGTTGTGTTGGTCCGCGCTGGCTGCTCATCGGGTTGAGGGTGTCCATTGTTCTCGTCATCATCCCATCTATCCTTGGTGTACCCGAAGCCAGCAAGAATGCTGTCATAAGCTGGGGTTCGGTTATAGACAAACCATTCCAGACCATAGACCTTGATTGAAATGCGACAAGGAAGATCAATTGTCTTCTCCGCTCCGCCTTGTTCCCCGAGACTGGCATTCTTGTCGCTGGAAGTGCCCGGAATAGAGCCTTTTCGTTCGTTCCCTGGAGCGCTATAACCGCCTGTGTTCTCCTTCAAGTCCTCGTTTGCGTCGGATAGATCGGTACGTGCCACTGGGCGTTTCCAATACCTCCAGGTGATGAACCCCCCATGGATGAAGATTGTCTCGTTCACGCCATGATATCGGATTCCCTTGAAGAATATCCTGCCACCCAACAACGATATCTGTAGCGCGTTTATATCGACAAAGACGCGGTAGTAGTGCCAAGTGTAGGCTTTGATTCCGTAGGAGAGTAGGGTCGCGAAGAGCCGATTGAAGTAAAGCAAGAAGAACAAAACACTAAGACATTAGCGACCAGTCAAGCTTAGTTTCCAGAGGCACTCACAGAATGCAACAAACAATGAGCCACAGGAGAAAAAACCTATGTCTCAATTAGTTATACAATAATCGTGCAAAAGTTCCAAATCCAACGGACCAATTGAAGCTTGGGTCTGGCGTCAGATAAGAAGCCGTCAAGCTTGTACTGGCCATTTCTCCGTAAAGCCGCCAGCTGGCGTGAGCATCGTCAGCGAGATAGATTGACTCGCAAGTGACGAGCCCAATAAATGAGCTTTATCATTCCAGGATCCAAAGAAATGCTAGAGAGCGCGGAAGTCGCGAATGTTGGAGATGCGGGATTGTTTTAATCTAAGGCGGTGTCACGAGAATGATCGTCATCGGAACACGCCTCCTGGCTACCTTATATTTCTCGAGCTCTCCCGCCCTCTCAGCGCGCCGAGTCACCATGTCTTACGCCTCTTACGAGTTTACGAAATGACTTATCGTATCTAGAGTCGCGGTTAACTCTATCCGCATTTGTCATACTCGTCCGTAAACATGCACGTCGCCGCCGCCGGTGGAGGAACAGGCTCCAGCCTAGCTCGTGCGATCATTATTGTCACCGGTGTCTCAGCTCTAGTAGCATCGCTACTTTCTATTGTGTTAGTGGATATACCTATGAGACTATATTTCCCATTTTACTGGTGACTACGAAGCTAACGTCTCCGTGCTGTGTGCAGGTCCATATGGTTCCAAACGTACAAGCTCCGTTCGCGACTAGACTTCCTCCGATAGTTGCTAATTTGGATATTATGTAGCAAAAATTATCGAAAGCCCTTACTCCAGAGATATGTTGTGCGCATTCTGTTGATGTGAGTACTGGTTCTCACTGCCAACCATCTCAGGAGGCCCAGGAGTGCTCAGGATTGATGCTGATCAAGAACAGGGTACCGATTTTCGCCGCATCATCATGGACGAGCATCGTATCCTTGACGGCAGCTCAGTTTCTTGATCCCATTCGTGATATATATGAGGTATTTCGCCCATTCTGGCGTGTGGTGGAGTTATGCTGACGGGTGACTTTGATAGGCTTTCACCATCTACACATTCTTCCAGCTGCTTATTAACTTTTTGGGGGGTGAGCGAGCAGTAATCATTATGGCTCATGGCCGTCCACCAGTCTCGCATGCCTGGCCGCTGAACCACATGCTGCCAAAGGTCGATATCTCTGACCCGCATACCTTCCTGGCTGTCAAGCGTGGCATCCTGCAATATGCCTGGCTGAAGCCCATTTTGGCTATTGCATCAATTGTGATGAAAGCAACGGATACATACCACGAGGGATATTTGGATCTCGGGTCAGGCTATCTGTGGACCGGCATCGTATACAACGCCAGTGTGACCCTCAGTTTGTATTCTCTTGCGATGTTCTGGGTGTGCCTTCACGATGATCTTTTGCCATTCCGCCCTATTCCCAAATTCCTCTGTGTCAAGCTCATCATCTTTGCCTCATACTGGCAAGGATTCTTCCTGTCCATCTTGCAATTCCTGGGGGCTCTTGGGAACGGTGTTGCTGGGTACACCCCGGACAATCTTGCTGCCGCTATCCAGGATAGTCTGCTTTGCTTTGAGATGCCTTTCTTTGCCATCGCGCACTGGTACGCCTTCTCATGGCATGATTATGCGGACCCCACCATCTCTGCTGCCCGAATGCCAGTGAAATACGCACTCCGAGATGCATTTGGCCCTCTCGATCTGATCGAGGACACAAAGATGACACTGCGGGGTGACAATTATGACTATCGAATTTTCGACTCGGGCGACAACATTATCGCGCATGAGGAATCGGGTTCACGAGTCAAGCGAGTAATGGAGGGAATGCGGTATGAACGAGGAGGAAAGGCAAAATACTGGATTCCCAAGCCAGGCGAGGCTAGCAAGACCGGAGAGGCTGATAGTCGCACCCCACTTCTTGCTGGCAGTAGCTCTAGTGCTCATGGTCGCCATGAGAGAGGCGGCGGCAGTTCTGCCGACCGATTCCGGTCCTATAGCGAGATTGAGGTCACGCTTGACGATGAGGATGAACATTTATTCACCAATGCGCGGGCACTGGAATTTGGAGATTGGAACGTAAGTCACTGACGAGTGAATGACGTTGCATGGAAGACTAACTTGAACTGCTACTAGTACCCTGTCATCACCGCCAACGAAGTCCCCAGAGATCAACGGCTGCCAAGAACCAGAAGTTACCAACAGTCCAAACAATCCGATGAGGGCCATGTGAAAAAGTCCCGCACGCACCGGAAAGGCCGAGCGTCGGGCAGCGACAGCAAGCAGGATCCCAATTCCTCGCGCAAGTCCAAGAGCTCCCGTGGACCAGGTTCTTTGCAGCGCAACGACAGCTCCACAAGCTCCCATCAATCGCATCGCAGCCATCAGTCGCACCGCAGCCAGCTGGTCGACCTCGTAGTGGAGAACCAGGAAGCTGAGGAGGAAGACCGAGCCCAGGCACAACGGGAAACCGGCTCTGCCTGGGGAGCTGAAATTCGTCACTACGAGTAAGTTTACTGATTGATTGGACTACACCTTTTATTGGGTTGCCCCTGTTGACCCTGCTTCTAGGAGACCTTCTGGGCAGCCAATTGAAGAAGAGGATGACCCCGAAGCCCCGGCCCAGGAATCCCCAACCGAGCCGGCCCACAACCAAGCTGCCACGCGATGGGCGTACAGTGCCCTAGGGGATGACAATGAAGTGTGGAAATAATGTACTTCTTTCGGACTTCTATATGATTCGGAACACACATGGCCTATCGCGTTGATTGGTCTCAAATCTCTGATCCCCTGCGCACGGTGTCGTAGTTTGTCCCGCACTCTATTTCTGGAAAATGTGTAAAATGGAGCTTGGAAACCTTCCAAGGCTGACTATCTTGAAACAGACCAGTAGACAGTCCATGTTGAACATGTCCCTGAAATGAAGACCACAATATTACGCCCAATCTGCCCGTTGCTCTTTCTTAGGCGCCCGAGGATGTGATAGCCCCACTTCTATACATGAGCCACAAATCTCCGGGTACCAAGGCAAGGATGTGACAATTCCCTTCCAAATCGGCGAATAAGGCATCATACCGTGAAAATGGAATAAGTATAGAGCCTTCAGGAACTGTCCACGTAGGTCGCCCTGAACAGCAGCATACTACCAGGAGCCGCATCGGGCTAAGATGCCGTACCTGACAGTGAGCTCCCGAAGCGATAGTAATAACCGGTTTCTTGAGACCAATCGCAGTCGTCGAAAACCTCCACTCCTGATATGCTATGTACATGTACTGTAGGTACAGACTTGCTTGCCAGCCACCAATCACCAAACAAAGAACGAGTCACGAGGAATTGTCCTTGACCGCTACAACGATTTGACTGCCACGGCAGCTGTCGGCTATACCTTGACGTTGCCTATAGTGTTTATGTTCTTGGTAGGGTAATGCATACCGCGTAAGCTAAACTTCTTTTCAACAAGGGTATATGGGCATTGCTGATCCAAATAATGCGCGAAAGCCCCATGCAAATCAAACCATGTGGATCATTGTGCAACGTAGATTTTGAAGCAAACATGTGAACGAACTATAACTTTGAAATGTGGAGTATCTGTCCCGCACTTGGGTGTATTGGGGCAAGTTGGGTATAAACACCCTGAAACCAACCAATGATGCGAACTCCCCGTTGAAACGGAAACGAAGAATAAAACGACAAATTTGAGATACGAAAGCCAACGCAGCCTGGTGCTCATACGCGCCCAAGGTGTGACACCCCACTCTTCTACATGGACAAAGCTCCTGATAAGCACAAAGTTTGTGACAGCTCCACTCGAACGGGCCAATGAGACTCTATAATTGACTCCGCAAAGACGATCCCCATCACCCAACCCGTCTGCTGAGAGTAAGTCACCAGGATGACTTGCTCTGTCCGGTATAGTTCCGGATCTTAGCGGCACACCGTCTCACCCGTCCCTGACGAGTCAAAGCTGGCGAGCGCACGGGCGCTGGAGAATATCCTGGTTGTACGGGCCTTTGTTTTTCAGTCGAGAGGTTTCTTCTCTTCCTCTCGAGTTGCGAGTCCTTTGCACCCCTATCCACTCTTTACTCCCACCTTCAGGAAAGGTGATGGATTAACTTCGTCGAAGCGCTGGTCGCCATGACAGCTTTTGAGCAAGCGGGGTCGCTATTCACCGGTTGGATACGGTCTTGCTGGTCATGTTTGCTACCAGGAGAGAAGGGTCAGGATGCCTTGCGAAGTGAGGACCATGGTAAGCATTCGTGAAATCTTGTGACTATCTATGGACCTTGAATTAACTTTTATGCCTTGGATCTACAGGTATCAAGCGGGAGATGGAAGTATGCCATACTCAACCGCATCTTGTCCCTCCTATGAAGCTGAAGGTGTACGATGATCTCCCCAATCCGAGGATGAATCACACCCGGAACTCGCATTCCTTGTCTTCGTGGCTAGAGGAAGGCCGGAACCTGGCTTCGAGGGCATCTTACCGGGCAAGTCTCACTACGTCTCGAAGGAGACAGCCCACTACATCGTTGAAAATCAGTGGCCCTTCAGACTTTCGCAGAGTAGAGTCTTTCCATGACTCTGTTGCAGTCGATAGCAGATACAAACCTCTTGATCTCAGCATCCATCGGTCGGGTAACCGATTGTCAGACCTACCCTCCTTTGAGTCTTTCCAGATAGACGAAGACTCTCATTCCCCGATTCTGACAGTGCCACCCCGGGCTCTCTCGCATCAAAGTATTCGTCATCGACGATGCGTGTCAACCGCTTCCGGTTTCACTGTATCCCGAAAGCCCGTTGGCTCAGGGGATCGTCGTTCTCTCGGAAGCATGCATCTCACGATCGAATCCGAAGCCCAGAAGCCGGTTCACATTGCGAGCCCTCTGGTGCCCCATTTCTCTATCGTCACCCCTGTCAAAGTAAAGGCAAATGATATTCTTCTTCCAAAGGGACCTTTGCCAGCATCTGCCCTACGACACAACAGGCCCGACTCGGGAGAAAGCAAACTCACACTGGATACTGATATCTTATCCGACAGCTCCAGTGGTGCCCAGACACCACGAGCAGTGCAAGACCTTCCCCAGACCCCAGTGAGATGGAGAGATACAGAGAACACATCAAGCCAGCACTCACCGAACGAATCCTCATTCTCTTTCCTTCGAGACTCTCCCTCGACATCTAGTTCAAGCACATTCCCATCCCGGCTGTCATCATTGCGCCGCCCCTCCTTCACACCAAGCGACTACCGCAAGACTGTCGCATCCGTGCCCCTTCCAGACCGTGTTTCCCAATGGTTCTCCCGGGAGAAAGACGTCCCGCCCAATCCAATCTCCCTCGATGGTGAGAATAAATTCGAGTGGGAACGAACTCGTACGCTGAGTGGTACTACCGTTGCCTCAACCATTACCACCATTACTGGCGGAGCGAAGTCTCGTCCACCCAACTTTTCTATCTCCAGCTCATTCACGGGTAGCTCTACTCCGCGAGCATCGCTGCATCAACCGTCTATAAGCAGAGACAAGGAGATCGAGTCGGGTATTTACCGTCCAACAATCTATGAAGGCCGGCCGCAACATCCTGGCTTCGCTACCTCTCGCCATGGTGAGCCGATTGTATTCCAGGAAGCCACTATTGGTGTCGCCTTCTAATTATGTTATCCCTTCATCCTGGGGTTTCCCGGGTTTCTCTGGGTCATCACGGAGACTGGTCCTCGTCGGTCGTTTCGATTAATTTACAAATACGTCTTTTTGTTTTGTTCGACTTATCTTTTAAATACCCCATGCTGAAATGCTGCAATACTCCCTTTTTTCGCGATTCTTATTCTTTGTTCCCCCTTGCTCAATTTGCGGGAAGGTAATAATAAGCTTGTGGGTGGATCAATTTGAAAATTCGCCTTTATTGTCTTTTGTCTTTTGATTTAATTGATCAAGATAATGGAATCACATCCTGAATCAATGTCTTCTACTGCATGGACGCACTCATAAAGTCTGGCATCCTAGTCACCCTGAAGCTGTGGGCCTCGCATAGTAGGTGGACATAGTCTAGATGCAGCCAGGGTATCAGGTATAGGTGGTCCGATAACATTAAAAATATGGCGGAAAGACCTTGAGGTCTTTCTTTGTCTAGAGACCTACGTTTATCAAAAAGCTTTCAAAATAGTCCATTGTAACCACCGTTATATTGGGGCCCGAGTCGTGGAAATTTCCATGCACCGGAAATTCAATCCGGAATGCTGAGTCCCCTTTCTCTCATATCAATTGATGAATATGGACCATGCTGAATCAGAAAAGAATCAAAAAAAAAAAAAAAAAAAAAAAAAAAATCATCTGTAAACCCCATAACTGCAAACTCAATGCGCCTTTGTGTCAATCTGAGGTAGGTCTTGGGTCGGAGGTCTTCAAGTCATCGTTAAACTGGGCGGCGGTATTAAAGGATTGAACCAGTGTCTGTCCTCGATGTGAGGTCTCCGTCATCTCCACTGACTCAGCGTCTGGCGGTGCTAAAGTGATTGACATTGACAAGATATGATCCACTTTCAGCTTCTTTATTTGTTCACGCTCCTCTTCGGTGTCATCGGAGAAGAAGTCCCTTCAATGTCCTTCAAGCCATCTCTTTCCCGGTATTGGTTCAGCTCAACCTGTGCAGCAAAGTAGTGATCGCGGGTTTTCTTGCATCGCTGTCGGAGTCTCTTGTTCGTACGAATCCGAGCCGTGATCTGGCGGTCATATTGGGCACGTTGGATTTGCATAGCTTTGGTTGCCTTGAGATGTCCTTGCTGTGCATCCTGGACCTCTTTGGCCAACTTCTCCTTTCATCCCCGACCTTTCCGTGCCCTCGCCATAAATGCATCGGAGTCCTCGACCACGTTAGGCTTCAGCATTGCGTCTTCTTGTGTTTCGAACCCTTCCTCCTGTGCACGGTCCACATTGACATATTTCCCTCTGGTATCTCGAGTGATCCTAGTAGAAGCGGCCTTCTTGATCCTGAGCTATCTCCTAGCAGTTAATAATATTAAATCGCGGGTAGTGGTATCCCGAATCGTATCACCCGGCGGTTCAATTTCCGAAGACCGGGTGGAAAGACATCATCTCCTCTCTTGGTCTTCGCGTCCAATAAAGACCAATACCTTCAGCGCAGTTATCCAGTAGAGTCGAACGCGACCTGGGTTTGCTTGCGTAAAACCGGTCGAAACCACATCAGCCCCATAATGTCAGGATCACTTAGCTTCTCAGTAAGCCGATGTTCAGTATCAAGTTCGGAAAACCTGCTCGGCAAATCCTCAAGGTCGTGGAAGTCATCGAATTCCTATAGTTATCGCGAGTCTTGATAAGATTCTCGGTTTGTCAGCCATGCCGACACACGTACAAGATAGGGTTTGAATTGAATCTGGGGCGTTTTCTTTTTTTTTTTGGGGGGGCTGACTTCCTATTTTTAGTTTCTCTTCTCTTATTGTGTCAAGTCAACCTCACCTTGCTTTAGCACTAATAGGCGAGGTCTGGCTTGGATTGTGCCTCATTTAAGGCCCTGCCGAGATATCAAAACTCATGCCGAAATGGTTGCCAAGACTTGGTCCTATAGGTTATATCGGTCCCCGTTGACGTATAGATGAAGCTAGGTAGAGGAAGAAGAAAAAGAAGAAAAGAAAAAAAAGAAACAGAAACAGAAAATGAAGAAGAAGAAGAAGAAGAAGAAGAAGAAGAAGAAGAAGAAGAAGAAGAACGATACGGAAGGAGAAGTAGGGAAGGAGTATCAGTTAGTAGTAAGAGAGGAATTGGAGAACAATCACTTACATCTAATGGCAATGTGAGGACTATACAAGAAAGTAATCCTGATCTAATTGAAATTGTATGAGTCGAGGGTTCGTCAAACATGGGCACAGCTACTGCTAACTGAACAGAACCCTTCATGTGACGTGAGAGACGTTGGAAGTCATATAGAAGTCAACGCATCTGGTTAGTTACCACAGCCGTCCGTTAACCTGGGAAGTCGCAATTGATTAAGGTAGACTCTGTATGAATAGTCATATATAACCCATAGATATGATGAGTTGAGATACTAGATTAACTTTAAGATACATTTAAGGTACTTTATGTCATTCCGGATTGCGATTGCGAGCCAGGGACGAATACCCGGAGTTGGCAAATCAACAAGGGTAGTTAGGCAACCCGCTGCGCTGGCGGAAGCAATGTTCTCAAGTCTATCTTAGAGCTGACCTCGTACAGAGAATATCACTCTATTTGTTCGTACGTACTCACAGCCACGAAGCTGGAAGCCTGATATCCCGCCCCCAGTAATCAAGGCCCGGTAGAACCGCATTGCCACGTACTAGAGGCCCCACCTACTCAAGACCCCAGAGCCAAGGCTGAATGCATCCAATAATGGTCTTCGCAGCTTCCGCCCAGATGGTCCCTTAATCAGGTGTGCGGGATGACGGTGCAATGGTTGTAATAAGCATTGATGGGATCCTTGAGCAATGGCACCAGGCGGGATATGGCCTGCGCCCATTTACTGCGAGGTTATGAAACCGTGCAACAGCCGTGAAAGTCCAAAATAGATTGGAAATCTCGGGGTGCATTATGCATAAATATCACCTAGCCACCTCCAGTCTAGTGTATTTTTTAAACCCAGATCAAATTCAATATAATTTCTAGAGCAAATATGCGGTTCGGAACGAACGCCATAGTTACAGCTACGTTGCTAGCAGCGGTACAAACCACCGCTAGCGTCATTTCTCGAAGCAAGAGCACAGATGCCTGTGGCCAAATATACCAGCGTGTTCATAACGCTAGGAATGGCAGTAAGGCCCCGTCTAGACCTCTGAACACCAGTGAAACAATACTAACGATTAAATAGACAGCACTGTAATCATACCAGGGGAGCTGGGGCTTCAGTGTCTTCAGGCCATGCCCTTTGAATCAAGTCGCGCTGTCTTATGGGTGAAAGAATTTCGCAAATGGCTCCTCTTCCAGTCCGATCTTGAGATCTTAAAGGATCCTCCGCCGGGCTACCAAATGCCCGCTACGGATCTCATTGGAACCCTCGATCAGATTGAGAAAAGAGCTGCTGGTGAATCCTACAAAAACCATTGGGAGTTTGACACTGATGTGAAAAATATGATCGGCTCTGCTTATGATGGGCACTTGGATGTTTCGACGTGTCCGTCTTCGCTCATGACTTACACAAACGATGTACCGCTTGTATCTGTTTCGTCGAATGGGATGGCTATTCCGAAGGTGTACACATTCGGTAAGATTCACTGCCTCTTTGTCCTTTGAATAAATGCTAACTTCAAAACCAGCCGACGCTAGACTATTGAAGTCTCACCAGGCCAGGGTGTCACCAATCGTCTCAATTAATGGGGTCGATGCTGCATCGTATCTGGAAGAAATATCATTGACATCAAAGTCTCAGGATCGTGATGCATTGTAAGCGCCAATATATCGCGTACTTATCTCTAGTATCTAACAGCTCGATTTTCTAGGTACAATGAAGTTTTTCTCTCAAATCCAATCGCGGCCAAAGGGGAGTCCTGGGCACTCAACGGTTTATTCAGTCAAACTACAGTCTGGCCTGGCGCAAATCATACGCTTCGCTACGCAAATGGCACTTCTCAAGTGGTCAAAACGGTTGTCGAACTTGAATCATGGAACTGGAAGTCCGGTAAGGCACGATACAATGCTTTGTGTCTTCCATCTTCGACCTCTTCGACCTCTTCGAAGCGCTCCTTGTCACCATCCTCTCAAGTCTCAAAACGCTCATCACGATCCAAAAGCCCTTCAGGTTACCTGATTCCGTACTCCAACACTACCGAGTACTCTCTGCTCAGTTTCTTTCCAAAGAGCAGCAACCTAAATGAAACAGCAGTTCTTGCCCTTCCTTCGTTCAAACCGGAGGATCTTGCGCAGTTTAACAATCTCGCCCGGAATTTCATCAAGAAAGCTGCTAAAGAGGGGAAAAAGAAGATGATCATCGATCTCCAGGGCAATGGAGGTGGTACTATTTCTGCAGGCTGGAACTTGTTTCGACTCTTCTTCCCGGATCAAGAGGTCTACTCCGCGACCCGTTTCCGTGCCCACGAAGGCATCAATTTCATCGGAGAAGCATTCGCACGTCTACCCCTCAACAATCCCGACACTTACGGTAATATGCTAGACTGGAAGGAGAATGTCACACCTGATCAAGAGGCTGCTTTCTCCTCCTGGGCAGACCTTTACGGACCCTACGAACTGTTAGGAGTGAATTCCTCCAGTCTCTTCGCAAACAACCTAACAGCAATTTCCTATCCCGGTGCGGAACCCGTGAGTGGATACGGCGCAATACCTCTCGATCCGAAGACCCAGACTTTCGCGGCCGAGGATATCATTCTGATTACTGACGGCTACTGTGCGTCCACTTGCACCCTATTCACCGAGCTGATGAAAGCTCAAGGCGTCCGCAGTATCGCCTTCGGTGGACGACCACTGGCTGCTCCTATGCAGGCTATGGGTGGTATCAAGGGTGCACAGGTAGAAAATCTCGCCGATATGGCGAACCTCCTGGCGGTTGCGAAAGAATTAGCCAAATCTTCGTCACTTCTTTCTGATGAGGACTTGGAAAATTGGGACAAATATGTCCCCAGTCCTCTCAGTGAGTTCCCTTACCAGACGAGCAATGCTACCGTGAATCTTCTGAACGCGTTCGGTCCTACAAACGACATCGTGCCCAGGCAATTTATTTATGAAGCAGCTGAGTGTCGTCGCTTTTTCACATTTGAAAATATTGTGGATCAGGAAACTACCTGGGCATCTGCTGCTGATGCTATGTTTTATGGTGGCGGTTGTGTGGAGGGCTCTATGAATGGCCCTGGAAGCCTTATTCCGGCATCAGCGTAGATGATGTTCATTTTGGCGAATTACTAGACAAGGATCATGGGCGAAAGGAGGAATGTGAATGATACAATATCTCCGAGTCCGAGTACGCTTACCATAACCATAACCTTGGCCTTCATTCTTCGTTAGTCAGATAGCCGAATAACCTTGTAATCCATTGTAATGCATAGAGTTGCACGCGAAGTCTTGTTGACATAATGAGATTGATGACACGCGATATGAGATAATATTTATCCCTTAATATAACGGTATTACACCATAATCATGTCATAGGAACGGAGCAGCATCCCTCGATGAAACATTTACGACCTGGGCACCATGTGGTGACATCGAGATCTACAGCGTAGATCGCGAACCACTCACATATTTCGGTAATAATGGGACTTGTTTCGCGCGCGTTTAAGGTTTACCGTGTTGTCATGAGCCGTGGGATCAAATTCACTTCCGGTACCAAGTTTTCCTAACATTCCTAGGCTTTGCGCCACTAATGCCTTGTTTTCGACGCGGTTAGACTCCCCCAAGCTGACTATCTGACGTCAATCGCGTTAAAATAAATAAAATAGACTTCATGATCCACAAAGCTGTTGAACGTTAGACCTACACAAGCCAGGATTTAGGATTTGCAAGGGCGGTTCAAGGCGGGCGTGCTAGCCCTAATTATGCAATGCGGATCTCACTCTAATGCTACCAAGTACAGTGCGAAACCATCAGTACAATAAATGTGGTACATAGATGCTAATAGTGAAGGACAGATCAAATGCAAAACGGAATAAACAAAAGGGACAGGAACGTTGACTAGTCGTGTACAAGACGTCTCAACCAATATAGTAACACTGTAGCTCACAGATCAGACTTAACAGCAAAAGAGGTCTTCTCAAAAGACCGCTCGGACTCACCCTCCCCCTCCGAATCGACAGGTGACATGACTTGAAGAATCTTGCCGTCTTCGAATATGCGTGCAACATCCTCCAGAGACCGTCCCTGCGTTTCTGGGAAGAGGAAGTATACCACGCCAAGGAAGACAACCAGACACCCAACATAGAGGAGGAAATATCTCCAGCGTAGTGCCGCAAATGCCACTGGATTGACGTACTGATTAAAGAAACAGGCAAGTGAGTCTGTAGTCAGGGTAATAGCGAGACCCTTTGCGCGAAGCTGGAATGGGAGAATCTCGGCGGGATATGCGATGAAGAGGGGCATATATGCAAAGTCGTATGCGGCACAGAAGAGGAAGAGCATAGGAATCACGGCAATGCCTGCTTCGATTATGTTTAGCTCGGAGAACAGAGCTGTCATGACTGTTGATGTGGATAAGAAAATCATCATGAGGGTCGTTGCGCTAAGCCATAGGACGCGGCGGCCGTATCGGCCTGAGGTACTGGCTCCACCGACGGCAAAAATCAGATTCCAGACCTGGAGGCTAATGTTCACTGCTGCTTGGTGGGCGGCATTTTTAATTCCAACTGAGGCCAAGATGGGAGGAAGGTAGTAAGAAGTAACGCCTGGAACTAGATTAGCAGTGAATTCAGGTCCAAGTTAAGTCAGAACTTACCATTTCCTGTCCACTCCTGCATGAATCCCATGAGGATACAGATTGACAAGCGATGCACATCACCTCGACTACTGAGAAAAGCACTCCACCCAGAGCAGGCCTTCATGTCTGCTTCGGCACTGATGCTGCTGCAGATCTGATCGTATTCTTCTTGCACAAGCGCACTGCTCAGGTCTCCATTTCCATGGTACCGCACCAGCATAGCTCTAGCCTCACCCTTCCTGTCCTTGGAAACCAGCCATCTAGGACTCTCCGGGATGACGAATAGTCCTGCCAATTGAAAGAGCGGAAACAAAACCTGCAGCATGCAAGGAACCCGCCATGACCAGCTGTCTTGAATACCCAGAGTAGAAAACGCGATACCAGCCGCGGTTATCGAGCCACAAAACCAAAGCGCATTATAGAGACTTGTGAGGACTCCTCGTTGGCGAGGGTGTGCCGCTTCAGCAATGAGTAGCGGTGCAGCTGTTTGTGAAAAGCCCACGCCAGCTCCTGTGACGATTCGGGCACCGAAAAAGATCCAAGGTCGTTGGACTGCTACCTGGACTATCGAAGCCAGGATAACGAGTGTAGCACCGATAGCAACGCAAGGCCGACGGCCTAGCCTGTCGGCAACGTATGAAGCAGGAATAAAGGTTAAAAAGGAACCTAAAGAGACCGCGGCGATGATAAGGCCTTCGGCATTGGCGCTGAGATCCTTCAAGAAAACGGCAACTGTCAAAGTTGAGTTAGCAGCTACTTCCACCACTGGATTGCAAGGACTCACACTCGGGTAACACCAGCAAACTATTGATCTGACTAGCATTATACCCCGACGTAGCAGAAGCAGCCAACATCAAAGCAATACCCAGATTCAATCTCCGCAAGCCTCCATCCACATCCTTGGCCATATTGACGAATCAAGCTGGATGTATAAAATAAATCTTATACTTTGTATCCAACACATAGAGCTACCCTCCACTTTATCTACCAAAAATGACGGAGCTTTTATCGGATAATTGTCTGACATTCCTGACAGCTTCGCGTGCGCCGATCTTACCAACTAAGGCTGAAATTTTTCGCCGACCCTGTGGAATGCTGGCAGGGGGGGGAACATTTAACAGAACGAATTGCCAGTTGAGCTTTTTACACTTATGCCTCTAAGAGAGTTGGGGTCTTATGATATGCAAGGACTGTCCAAGCTCCAGGCTATTTGTATCAGGAATTTAGTAACGTCAAGCTGACGACGCCAATCGGATCGAGTCCCAGGATAAATTGGTCAGAGGATTCGGACGAAGCTCAGCTGATCATTGGATATGGATCTCAAGGGGCTGGTTCTCTAGGGACTTTTGTTGCTTTTTCGGCTCTAGCGGTTATGTTGTGCTGGGAGCTTGTGTGGGGATGTGAGTTCAGTTTTGGGGATCTGCGCTAGCTTCCAAGCTCAGCTGCTACTTGTATACGCGTTCAGTGGGCTCCTTGAGGTTTATTGGGTGCTGCCTTGAGGATTTGTCTAGAGGGTACTGTAACCCTGGATAGATGGGGTTTGTGATTGGGTGGAGATGGACCTGAGTTGGAGATGAGGATACAATTTATTGGTGATGCTTGGATTTCAAAGGTGGATCTGTGGAGCTGATCATGCAGCTTGTACTCTTTAAATTTTCAATGTTTCAATAGTGTACATTCAAGATCCATTTTGAATTCTCGAGTCCTTGGGGGTTGCTAGTGGGATCTTCTAAGTCAGGAAGAAGCTCCTTGCCGAAAGGTCAAATCCATAAACGCAGAGCCGCCGCGGCCGAGATGACATGCATATACATTACAAGGGGAAGTCAGCCATTGGATATGTCACCCGGTACAATTAGCATTAAGTGTTGGAACAATCCATGACTCAGGCCAATCATAAGGTTCCAAGGCCGACCATGATTGGAGGAAATATATATGAACGCCAAAATCGGCTAAACCGACATCGAGGTTAGCATGCATGTGACAAGCGCCTTCAAAAATGCAAGAGAAAGAGGCAAAGAAGAAAGGTAGAGAAAATAATATCTGCAAAACTCAACAGATTTGTATCCTCATTCCCATTATCCACAGGAGGAAAGAAGCCTGCAAGCAAAGAACCAATAACTCCTCTAGAATAGAATGATCCTCGCTGAATCACCCACGAAAATGAAAAAAGAGAAACCTTTCCATCACACATTATCATCCTCATAAACGAAATTGATATCTCGAATCCGTCGACGGTTGTGCATTACGAACTCATGATCACCCGGTGGCCGCTCGTCTTTCGTGTTGGCGGTTAACATACTCTGGAGGCTCATGCAGACGCTCTCCACAGTCTGCACGGGAGACCAGCCTGATTGGCCCAGTAGATCAAGACAGATGATGCCGTTGCTGTAGATGTGGGGGTGCATAGGGATAGCTCGGGGCGTCTCGGAAGATGGTGGGAGTGTAATAAATTGGACTTCGGGAGGCTCTGCAAGAAACCGAAAAGCATATAGAATTAGATCTCTGAACTTAAAAGGGCGCGGGTTAGGCGGTGCCTTACCAATGGGGTATTTGGCCGAGAAGGTGAACTTGAGTCGGTATGTCTGGTCTTTGTAAAGAGGGTTGTCATCGAGAACTTTGATGTCCATCTGCCATTCTTCCAGACTGTCGGATTTCACAACCGCAATGCCAGGCGGAACATGGTCTTTGATCTATCAGCAATGAAACGTTAGTGACACCATACAATATTCCGGTATATAAGGTTCATAATTGGTGTGAGATGGGGCGGAATGCTTGTGGAACATATAGTGGGACAAGGATGTCGATCATGCAATCGATGAAGGGTAAAGTACCTTGATAAGCTCCTAGAAATCTTGTAAGTCGGGATACTTCCGAATTAAAAGTGAAAGAAAGGCAAGTGATGGGAATCCTTTGCTTCAGTAAGTGCGTACCTTGCTTAGACGCTTGTTTGCAAAAGAACGCGACATGGTCTCGAGCTTCTAGAGCTATGGAGAGAGAAGTGTCGATCACAAATTCTGGGCACGATTGACGTGGTCCAGTCCGGAGTGGGCGCGAAATAACGCGTCGCTTTGGCGGTATACCAAGGCAGCCTGCAGAGTATAAAGGGCTGCCACAATATGCAGAAGAAAATAAATGCCGATACTCGAAGTACTTCAAAGGAGATAAAGTGGTCCGAAACCGAAACGGCCGATGCACGCGGGGCAAGATAAGATCGTCGCACGTGATAGTGGAGATTGTTGCCTGTTTCTGTCGGACTCAAAGCCTCCCGTGTCCAAGCAATGTTTCTATGGCCGTTCGAATCGATCTCGTAAATCGAAATAATGTCCAGTCAATACATCTGACCGAGAAGCCCTGGGAACATGACAAATACATTCATCTTCTCAACGCGCAAAGCATGGGACGCAGGAGTAAGATCTCGAATCATCCAGGTGCGTGGCCGAGGTGAAAGCCCGATCGTGGAAATAAAGAAAGAGAAGGCGGTGAGAGGATCGATATAGTGGGATCGGCCGATTTTGCAAACCAGTTGTGCAATGGTCACGCACCGACCGCTCATTTCGACACGCCCTTCGAGACTACTGACAATGGCACTAGTCTATCCATGACTCCAGAGTCAATCTCTGAATCCAAAGGAGACCAATTGTAACTTGAGGAAACATAAGGTCGAATTCATGCAAGCGATCTCACTAGTGGTCCACATTGTGTGCAGACTGTATTGAATATGGGGAATCAAATAACTATATCCAAATCCAGGCAAATTACAGACATGAAACGCATCGAAAGAAAAAAAAAAAAAAAAAAAAAAAGGTATGAGCAGTAAGAATAAATGCAACCAACCATCAAGGCATCAAGTTAGGCATGTGACGCTTTTTCACGTGCTTCACGTTCAACCTTCTCGCGCTCTTCATTGTCCCTCACCTCACGCACCTTGGCTAGAACAACCTCACGGAAGATAGCACCACGAGCAATCTTACCAAGACTCCGCTTCTTAGTGTGACCTGGGGATGCATCTCCATTCGAGTCTGAAGCAGCCTCGCCTTCCTCAGAAGCCATGGCCATAGGGCTAGGAATATCGCCCTCCTCCTCATCCTCATCGTGCATCTTGAGGGCCTCAATACGGTTAGCGAGCTTGACGATCTCGATACCACGGCGGAGACGGGCCTTCGCGATGTAGGCGCGGATCTCGGGCAGCAGATCGCGGTCGCTGGCAGATTCTCCGGTGAGCCATTCGTGCTTGAGAGCATCCTCGGATGTCACTCGCTTGCTGGGGTCGGTCTGGAGCATGGTCATGATGAAGTCCTTGGCATCCTGGGATACATCCTTCCAGTAGCGTTCGTGGAAGATGATTCGGCCTGAGCGACATTCCTCGATAAGATCGCTAAGGTTCTCGGCTCGGAAGGGTGAATACCCGCACAGCAAGGTGTAGGTGATCACACCCAAAGACCACATGTCAACGGCCTTTCCGTGGCCCTGCTTGAGCATAACCTCGGGTGCGGCATAGCCGAAGGAGCCCGCCATGCTGGTGAGAACTTCCGTGGGATTGTCCAACATCTTGGCAATACCGAAATCGGCTAGGACTAGCTCAGAGTCGGCGGAGCGAGTGAGATAGAGAAGGTTCTCGGGTTTCAAATCTATCGAGTGTTAACTTCACGCCAATATCCAAGAAAGAAAAAAATAAACTTGCTAGGACTTACCACGGTGGACAATGTTGCGCTTGTGCAGGTAGTCAACCGCATCAAGCACCTGTCGAATGGTCTGCGACGCATCCTTCTCCGTGAATTTCCCATACTCGCAAATCCGATCAAACAGCTCGCCACCAGTGGCCAATTGTGTCACGATATAGAATTTGTCCTGGGCTCTGGTTAGATACAGCAAATCTCTATGCATGTTGGCAGATATCACAAACCTTAGACTCGAACCAGTCCACAAATGAGACAATGTGAGGGTGTTGGAGCTTCTGAAGCATTTTCAGCTCATCGTAGACCATCTCCTCATTTCCCCGAACATTCTTCTTCAGGATGATCTTGACTGCGACTTTCTTCCCGTCATGCGTCTCAGCCTCACGAACAATGCCGTAGGTGCCAGCACCAAGGGTTCGTCCGAACTTGTACAGAGACCTAAAACAAACAGAGCGGTTAGCGAATTCGGCAGAACATAGTTCCGCAGAGCACGTACTTCTTCTCATAACTCTCCGGCTGCCCAGACAGCTTGTTGAACATATTTGTGACTAAAAGAAACAGATATTAGCAAATTGTCTCCTCGTCCAAAGCCACAGCGTGGATCAACCGGCAATAAATAACCAGCCGCAGAACGACTCGAACAGGGGATATGCATTGAGCAGACCATTACACCAAAGGGTAAACAAGGCCAGAGCACAATCTGCCAGGTAGCATGTGGCATAAAACAACAGCATTGAAAAAGACATTATCGATTGGTTGCAAGCTCCAATAGCTTGCGAGTTGCGGTCCAATGCGACCCGCTTAAGAAAGAGCGACCGGGGAGACGGCGCAGGCCACAATGTGATCCAGGAAGCGCTGTCTATTGAATTGACTCACAACTCATGATGTGGGAATAGGGCTGTAGGCACCCTCGACTGATAGTATGTAAGGACCCGGTCAGGTAGCAAAAGCGGGCTGGTGAACCCCGCAGCGGAGGAGAGGGCGGGGCGAGAAGATGAGAGGTATAAGGCGACGCGAAGATTTCGGAAGTCCGGAAGATGTGGAAGAGTTGGTGGAACCTGAGGACCTAAAATGCACGTTTTAGCACCGGAACGAAGGAAAAAATCCAAATTGCACCCTTAAGGGACTGGGCGGGGCTTTAGTGGGCTCATGCCACGACGCTCTTGCGCGCTGAAATCAGGGGAATCACCGGGATATTTACCGTCCCAAGAGATCACGACGAACTCGATCTCGAAGATTGATGTCCAGGTAAGAAGAAACGTCAAACAAAGCCAGGGAAAGCAAAATGTTAAGAAAAGAGGGAAAAGAAGGGATCAGGAGTTCTAGACGCGCGATAAGGATGAATTGGGGCTGTAGGGTTTAGTGGATCTTGGCGTGCGTGTTCTCTACATTTGCACCGCCACGAGCTGATCTCCACGCAAATTCGGGGGCTGGATTCCACCTAGATATATTGTTGCTGCCTTGGAATCGCTCATAAAAAGGGGGCATCCCACCGAATATTGTACTCCATTCGACAAAGCTCCGGACTTTCCAGGGGTTAACTTTATGTTCGCATGAGGTCCATCCCTGTGTAACTCTGTTGTTGGTGCTCAACTCCAAGTTACTCGTCGCGACCAAGCAGCGCCACAACTCCACTACAACCAAGGGTAGGTAAATTAGGCCGCCAAGGCACGCTGCACTACTGTAGACTGCCCCTAGCGGAAGCCAGTGCGATTCATCCAGTACGACTGGTCGATATTATGCACGAAACGAAGTATGATGCAAAGCGCCATGCGGCTGTGATGCGATGTGTGCAAAAGCAAGCATGCAGAAGGCATAGTACAGGTACTGCATATGGACACTTCCAAAATTGACATCGTGCGGGGCGCAAATATAAAAATCTAGAGAGTTAGCATGCTGTGATGAGCGCCTAACCTGTGTGTTCAATTGGGACGCTGAGACGTTACTTGTTTCAGAATATGCCCCAGGAGCGCATCCTTAATATTGTCCACGTGATTCTCATTGACACCTCGAGGCCCATTTCGAGGTCAAGAACGAAATATTGGAGAACATGCGAAGAGGGATACCAGAGAGTCCGGCCGAGATGAAGCAGAAAATCTTTTAGTCCATGTGGGTGTTGTGCCAGACGATTGGCCAGAGGGCGCACATGAAGACGCTGTCCTCGTGAGAGAATGAAATGCAATTCGAAATTTAATTGGACAAAATGGCCGACGCATTCTCCTCCTGGGAAAAAAGCCCACCAAAGGAAGGTTTTCGAGAAGTCGGAACAGAGATAATGGAGCATCTTCGCATGTCATCATCCTATTACCAGCGTAGGTCTGCTTTCAGGACGGAAAAAGAAACAAAGAGAAAGAGAAAGCTCTCTGTAATACGAGTCATCAAATAGAAGAAACTTGTTCTTCATTCCAGAACGGAAGAGTGCATGGAATGGGTCCCTGTAAAATTACGGGTAATATTGAACATGGCAGTGATCTCGTGTGTGCTGCTGATACGCCTATGTAGTACGCTGGATAAAAACGATGGCTAGACGCAAGAGTATCAGCATCAATCTTTTTGAAGAAATGCGTGGATAGGAACATTGCCATCCAGTGTGGAGGTCTTTTTGACAAGAGATAGCTCTCATAACATATGAGAGAAAGCCAGGAGAGACGAAACATTGGTGTTAAATGTGTAAAGAATAGAAAACGAGCCTTTAATGGAGATGCCGGGCGAAGATGGATCCTTGATTTTCCGGGACGGGTGATCTGGCTCGTCAAGTAGGGTTCCTGAAATCGAGGATAAATCAAACATCGCCCAGTGGCAGGGCAGATCGCCAAGACATAGCTACGGCGGTGATCTTGGGTGTCCCCTGTGGTTGATGTCTGCGGTTTTTTAAACTGTGTCACCTTAATATTGGCCCGCTGGACTCGAAAATGAAACCAGAACACTCGAACTCCCAGTGCATGGCGTGTTACACGGAAAAGAAGTTTTGGTCAAGTTTCTGGCCAATGCTGATGACACTATTCGAGATGTACCTCCTGGGTATGTAGAGAATCAACAGGTCCCGGGTTCGATTCTCATCCAGGTCATTGTGTTTTGTCTCTATGACGTTCTCGCAACAAAATGTCCGAGATGATCAGGTATATCGGACTGCTGGTAAAGGTTATTTAAAAGTGGATTTAATTTCTATTTGCAATGCTGATTGGTAGGAGATTTTGTGGGCTCCACTTCCACCTTAATCGTGGCACGGCAGCGTCATATCGCTACGCCAGAACGTCATAGCCTGCAGGGCCCGCGCGTGGATAAATCATATAAACCTAGCATCATGGAAGAGGAAATCGATTCTACAAGATCAATCAAACCTATTGTATCAACCTCAAAGCTTCACCATATCAAATCATGTTTGTTTTCCTTCTTTACGTCGTCTCGCAGCTCGTTCTACTTGGTGCCTGGGTTTCGGGTACCTTGGACCCGTACCAGAAAAGATTACAGGAAATTGTCCTGTACATGATGGGCGAGACGAAGGTGTCTTATGGCCTTAAGAGTATGTTTGAACATATTGCAAAAACATCCATTCCATTTGTCCGCCATAGAATGCTAATTTGAGATACTAGAGAGTCTGACAGCCAAGATACTTGCCGAAGACACGAATCTGAGCAAGTTCCAAGATCAGCTGGGCAACGGGATTGGAGGAGCATTTGGCAAGGGTGGTGCTGGAGAAGGAGTTGGATCAGTGCTGAGCAAGGGACTGTAATGCAGCTCGATGTACTGATCATGAATGGCTCGAACGCATTTCAAGGGTATTGAAGGTTGTCCCATTGCATAAGCCTAAAAAGTTGGGGGTTGGATAATTTGACATAAATTCATTGGGTCGGAAGCCCATCTCCATTAATATCAGCAGAGAAACTTTTCAACATCCATTATTCAAGCATACGTAAATTCGAAGGATCGATCACCTTCATATCGTCGCAAAATTTCGGCTAGATCGTCAGATCAACCAGCTCTACTTCTCACAGGCGCATTTCACCGTCCCATGAGTCCAGTTTCTGCTCCATCAAAACCATAGCGCAAAGCTCCTGATAGTATCGCGACCCCTTCCATGTGCTCCGCGATGACCGCAATCCAACCGTATCCCAACCCTCAGCCCGGAGACGCATAATGCGCTGGTCTATCGTTTCCTTGATGAGGATGTTTCCAAACTCACCCACAATCCGCCCGAGCTCATGGGATGCCTTGTTATCTTCAGTCTCGGGAAGGATGGGATCAAAGCTCCAGAAGGAGGATGCATGTTTGGAAATGCGGTTGCGATGAATATCCTGAATATTTTCGACCTTTCGCACTTGCTGCCGGATTTCGAAGATACTAGTGGTGACCTGTTCGCGGAGGAAGGCGATTCCACGGTTGGAGCGAACGATTTGGGCTGCATGGGTGGGTGTCAGGTTCTCGATGGGGATTGCGGCTAACTTTATGCTGGGCTGTGTCGATGGTGGCGTGGAGTATGGCACATGAAGATTTGGAGTCATGGGGGAGAGGATAGCGGTGGTAGCTGTAGATGAACAGGACAGCTCGGATTTAGGCGAGAGGGATTCGGACATGCGAGCATTGGGGCGGGAAGATGGGATGACCTTAAGTGGCAGTCGTGGAGGACGGAACCTGTCTTTGCGCTTCGTCTGGCTGCTGTCCTCACTGTGGATTGAAATTCTGGCGAACTTTGTGAAGTGTTTCTCAGCAGGTACCTCGACAGGGACCTCACCGGAAGCCTTACGAATGAGAAGAGGACGAGGCTTAAGAGCCTCAGTATGGATCTCCTCCAGCGCTCTGCGAAGGCGGGATGGGGATGAATCATAAGTCTCATCAACAGTGTCCAGGAAAGGATCGTCTAGGCCGGAAATAGACGCATCAATCATGCGAGTAATGCTCAACATCATCGACTCACGTTCATAAGGTATTCCTTTAGCAGGCTCAAACGTAGCCAGGGATTCCTCCACACTGACAGGAGTGGGCGGCCATGAAAAATCATCTGACACCTTGGGAAGCCGAGGTAGATTCACAAGGGGAGGAAGAGCAGCAGCGCAATTGGCATAGTTCTCCAAAGCAAGACACAGGAGGAACACCTTGTTCGCAGAGTAGATATGGGCAGCCCGGCCCAAAAGTTCGTAGCAGATTGCAGCATAGAACGTCAGAAAGGTTCTGTGTATAGGTTCCGGCTTTGAAATTGTCAGCAGTGCATGTTGAATCTCATTGGGAAATACGGACTGGTCCCTTTGCATTGTTCAGAAGCTTCATGCAGTGAGCCGCACACTGCTCGTACTGCTTAAGCAGGTACAGGCGCTTCACCTCCATCAGCGCAGTCTTCCAGTCACGCATCGTGAGTGGTGATGTGGATGGCGAGGGGAAGGAGAAGGAGACTGGACCATTCTTGCTTGAAAATCCACCTAACATGGCGGAGGGGGAGGTTAGTAGATGGAGGAAATGAGCAGAAGGTCAAGTGGGGACATGGATCGCCATGACGATGTGTACGAAAATTCCGACATGATGGAAGAAGACGTTCGTTGATGTAGGGACGTGTAGGGGACGTGAATGTGGACGTGAATGTGGACGTGAAAATTCTGTTTACGATTGTGTCACTCGTATTTAAAATGATCAAGACGAAACCAGAACGACAGGGCCAATCCTTTGAGAGCAAGATTTGGAGGACTTGAAATTGCTTATCATCAAATTGGTTGGCTCATGCTCAAATATCACCTCGCGAGCCAATGCTTGATGATGATTCATGATCTTTACTTGGCGCAGATCCATAGACCTCGAGAACAATACATAAAATATCCTACGGGAAAACTAAGAGACAAATGTGGTATTGATTCCGGCTGAACACAGACATAAGACATAGAAGCCGACCACGAGCATAGAAGCTCAGACATGAAGCGGAATTAACATCGCTTGAAGTGCATACAGTATGTGGATAAAAACATACAAAGACTGTTGACTGAAGAACACAAACATAGAGGCTCAGACATCATGGTGGAATTAACTTCGCTTGCGAATCAGACAGTATGGGATAAAAGCATACAGAAAACCGCTGATCGAAAAGGATGTTGAGCTAGACATCAGGAGGGTCGTTTGACGCACCGTAACGAGAAAGGGCTTGTCCAGTGGCAGTCAGACCGTCGAGGAAGTCATCAAGAAGCCGCTCAAGCTCAGCAAGAACAACTGCATCGTCAGCACCTTTCATCAAGCTTTCTGCACTGGGTGGAACAAGGACGGGGAATGGAATGACTCCCGAGTCGGGTCTTTTGGTGGCGCTATCCCGAGCAATGGCAGCCTGGCGGATAGTGGGCGGATCATCGTAGACGGGAGAACCAGGCTCGGACACCGGCGTCGAGACCTTGTCAACATCACGAGGCAAGGGGAGGTCAAGCGGTGGGATGTTATTAGGGTCTATGATTTCAGTGTTTTCATTCCACAGAGGGTGAGGCTCCTCCTCGTCAGGACCGGGTCCATCAAGAGAGACGGATCTGTCATCGGGGAATTCAAAGTCTCCTCCCTTTGACAATGCAAAGCTGTTGGTGGAGTCAAATGATTGGGCCCGGCTGGAAGACTTGGATGGCGGGCCTTCAGGGGTGGTCGGACGATCAAACCGGAAAGGATCGTAGTCCGAGTCAGATGCACTTGACAAGTTGGAGGCGGATGTTGAGGGACGAGAGATGTCAGACTCTTCAACCGGCTGAAGCGGGGGTAGCGGTGCTCGGAGAGTGTCGTATTGATCCGTATTGGTGTCGTTTGAAACCTCGTCAGACATTACAGGGAAAGTCCATTCCATGGTGGCACGCTTTTCGGCTTGGAATGGCTCTTCTTGAGCAGGCTCGGGTGCTGGTGCTGCTTCTGGAGCTGGTTCCTCTTTCTTGACATCCTCATCCTCAGTGTTCTTGAACACTGGGAACTTCCAGTCCATGGTAGGAGGTCGTGGGCCTGACTGGGGTTGAAACTCTTCCTCTTGCGGTTCCATGTTTTCTTCACCACTGACAGATGACTGGGAACTATTGTCGTTGGAGCGACTACCACGGAGACTTGATCTGTTTGCACGTATCGTACCAGCATCAGCTAATTGGAAAGGCTGTGCGGATGGTGCACCAGCTGCATAGTGGGAAGAATCAAAGGAGCCAATGTCAATGTCAATGAATGTGGATGTTACGGAGGAACGGTCTGTTTCAGTGCGAAGGGGTAGGTCAGATGCCGGCTGAGGAGGCTCAATGGGCACGAAATCGTTTTTTGTTTCGTATTTGTAGCTCGGCTTCTCCTCATCAAACAGCCCCTCCATCGCAACGGCTCCTCGCCGGACCCGCTCGTCAAAGTTGGCCTTGTCCTCTGGGTTTAATTCATCCTCGGACGGATCATCGTGAAAGTCATAATCTGGAGTTGGGGTAGTTGAGCTAATTGGCTCTTCAATTTCAGCCAAAGAAGCAGCCAACTGATCAAGGTCGATGACCGAAAACCTCCGCTCAAACCCATCTGTTGTACTGAAGTTCCAATCATCCTCTGACTCTTCTGTACCTGGAAGTTCTGCGGCTGCAGCACCTCCAGGGTGGAACAAGGAGATACGTTGTCCTCCCCGTTGCGACCATTGATAATAATTCCTGACAAGCTCACTCACTGATGATGTAGGGTATTCTTCTTCAGTGCCAGCAATATAGGGGTGATCTAGGATATCCGCCATGGAAGGACGAGTAGACGGGTTAGAGTCTAGAGCATACGAGATAAGGTCCTTCAGCCCGTCACTGTAGTTCTCGCTATCAAGCTTGGGTGTATTGCGACTGAGCTGGCGTCCAATTTGCATACGTTCACGCAGGCCTGCATTGGGTGGGTTACCAGTGGCAAACTCAAACAATGTGCAGCCAAACGCCCATACGTCAATCTAGTTGGATTAGTAAAGGTCATGAAAGTAGATCAAGTCACGCACTTCACTGCCATATTGATGGGCTTGACCCCGAGTTGAGAACATCTCTGGTGGCATCCAATGAGGTGTGCCAATCCATGTTGACCGCTTGTCTCGCTGGGACTGCAGGATTCCGGCCACACCGAAATCACAGATTTCTAGTCTGCCTTCCTCGTGAATCAAGATATTCGCCGCTAAGAAATTGATCAGCAATCCTGCGGATCATGATTGAAATTAATATAAAGCTAATACCTTTTATATCGCGATGTATAATGCCAGCATCATGAATGGCACGCAGTCCCACGACTAGCTCCCGGGCAATTGGAATAATAAAACGCTCTTCCAATTTATCATCGGTTGCGCGCATCTGCAAGACCAATCAGAGACCGTTGACATGTAAACGGTAGGGCATACTCACCAAAGTCCGCACACTCCCGCCAGGGCAATATTCGCATACCAGCCACAATTGTGAGTGGATGGAGATCGCTTCAATAAGCTCATTGATGTTCTTGGCACCTGAGTCTTTGACCTGCTTCATAACCTTGGTTTCGTGGATGAAATCCTTGATCGACTCATCTCTAAAGTCACGCAGAGATTTGTAATCCAATGAATCAATGTCCAGCACCTTGACTGCAACAAGCCGGCCGGATGGCATCTGTCGGCCTTTGTAGACACGACCATAGGCACCCTTACCAATCAGCTCTTCGAATTCATATGGCGGGACTTCTGTTTTTGCGCGTCGGCACATCTCCTTCACAGCAGTTCCTTGCTCTCGGGCCAGTTTTATTGCTTCAGCCTTGTGTCTTGTAATCGCTGCCATCGCAGACGATGGGTCCAAGAATCGGGACCCACGTGTATCCATCTTGGTTTTCCTGTAAGGCTCAAATGATTTGTATCAATGACGAGGAACAAGGAGATTTTAAGTGTCGTGGATGATGAAATCGTGTTAGCAGAGGGTCACACAGCGATCACCAAAAAAAGAGGACAGACGATTCCTGATCTTGTTGGCAAATTTTTTTCGAGGTGAAGGGATTCGATGCGTGGAAGATCAGGGTCAGGATCCAGTGAGAGGTGAGTAGAAGTAGAGATGCAGATAGTAGGGACGGATGGAGAAGAAGTAGACTCGTTGTCACTGCTTCGGACGTGAGTTGTGGTATTGTCCTCCAATACCAACCGACAATTGCACAAACTGTCAAACGATCGTTTCAAACTCGGAACGATATTTGGGGTATCGAAGTTGAATGAACAACTGTCAATAAGTTGCTCGTATGAAGTTGCAAAATGAGCTCTCACAGTTCTTGCCTTGGGAGGTACAGCCAGACAAACTTTGCCTTCTGGGGTTGATAACTCAGCAGCACAGCTTTCAGTATCTCCGGCAGTACTGCAGTAGACAGAAGATGTGGGTGGAGTTCTAGGGCTTGGAGGTGAAGGACTGGAATCGTAAGACAACGACACCTCTAGCAAGTCAAAAAGCTCAAAAACCAAGGTGCTTGATTCAGAGAGGGAGTCTGGGGATAGGCTGAAATTATTTCCACTCGAAGACACTTCCTGGTGTTCAGCCGAAGACAATTCCAGGCCCTGGCACTGATCCAAAGACACTTCCTGACAGCCGAACGGAGAGGCTTCTCGAATTTGGACCAGAGACGCCTCCTGATGTCCACTCGGTGCCGTTTCTTGGCAGGGGACAAGATTCGGAGTCCCGTGATGCAGAGAGCTGATCCGGGGTAAGTGGCAGCGTTTCCTGAGTTGGGAAATGTAAGAGACAAAACTAAGCGATTTATTTTCAACAATCACCCACGTAGATGAGGTTGGCGCAGTTTCACTGATCACTGGCGCAGGTTCAGGTGTCAAGGATGCCTTGCAATCAGGTGTCCATATGGACTCTGAGCTAGATGCGAGAGAGAGACTCGACACGTCCAGCAGTCGAAGCACAAAGTCGCGCTCGGTCGGACTTAGCTCAAAATCGTCCGTTTCAGGCTTTAATTGGTCGCCGCAGTCAGCCATGGCCTTATTATTGGGTGATTGTGCATAGTGTGTTAAGTGGAAATGAAGATGGTGGTAGGTAGGTGGGTGGAGGGGTGAGGGAAGCAAATCAAAACACGGTATCAAGATCACACATGGTGTGATATTGGGGATGAGGATTGAAACGAACCTACTTGGACGTGACCCAGGCTCTGTATCAAGGCCTACTAGCACAGCAGCGCAGTTGCTTAACAGGGTCAACACAGGATCTTCATGCGGTATGTCCTGCCCTCATTGTCGTTTGCGAAGTCCACAAGATACAGCAACTTATTAAAGAGATGTCTATTTAATTGAGATAATATTGCATCAGTTGAGATAGATTGAAGGGGTTCAAAGTCTCATAGTGTACGTCGCCGCCCATCTCGCAACGGTCGGCGAGACATCATGCCACGTGACTACTAGCCTGAGGCGTCTGTTTTGCCTCAGGCCAAAATTGTATGCAAACCAGAGTGTAGAAAATCTACTTAAATTCTTTTCGATAGCTTGAATGACTTGTACCTCCTATTCCAGGGATGGATCTATTCAAATTGCCATTCCAAGTTGGGACTTTTCTGCATGAACCTCCTCAGGTACTCGCGAAAATTATAGCTTGTAACGAAATCATCACAGCTGCTTGCGTGAGCAACCTACACAGAGCACGCCATACGTCCCAAAGCCAAAGCTTATAAAATGCTTATAAATACATTGAAACATTCAGTCATTTTAGGAAGATATATAAAGCATTCATCTTGACCTTAAACAACATTCACAATTCATTCAAACAACAATCCACAGCAAATCAAGATGGCAGACAACCTCCCAACCCGCAAACTTCACCTAACAGCCTTCATGCGTCCAGTCTCCTTACATACAGGAGCATGGCGCTACCCAGGCTCCTACCCCGACGCAAACTTCAATTTCAAACACTTAACAAGCTTCATTCAAAAGCTTGAAGCAGCCAAATTCGACGCCTTCTTCATGGCAGACCACCTCGCAGTTTTGAACATGCCCATCGAGGCCCTCAAGCGCAGCCATACAGTAACATCTTTCGAGCCCTTCACCCTTCTTTCCGCTCTATCAGCTGTAACGGAGAAAATTGGTCTCGCAGCCACAGCAAGCACAACATATGATCAACCTTACCACGTTGCACGCCGCTTCGCAAGTCTAGATCACCTAAGCAGTGGCCGTGCAGCGTGGAACATAGTCACGACTGGCAACCCGGAATCGAGCCACAACTTCGGTTTTGATGAGCATATGGCTCATGGGGACCGATATAAGCGTGCGCGGGAATTCTACGATGTTGCTACGGGCTTGTGGGATAGTTTTGCGGATGATGCGTTTACGAGGGATGTGGAGACTGGTCAGTATTTTGATCCCGAGAGGATGCATGTTTTGAATCATGTTGGGGATGAGTTGAAGGTCAAAGGGCCCTTGAATATCGCTAGGCCTGTTCAGGGGTGGCCTGTTATTGTGCAGGCTGGGCAAAGTGAGCCTGGACGACAGCTTGCGGCTGAGACGGCTGAAGTGGTTTTTTGCAGTCCGAGAGATATTAACGCTGCGAAGATGCTTTATGCTGATATTAAAGAGCGGGTGGTGAAGGCCGGACGGGAGAGAAAGCAGCTGAAGATTTTACCGGCAGCAATGATTATTGTCGGGGAAAGTAAAGAAGATGCGCAGAGGAAGAGGTTGGATTTGGATGCTTTGGTACATTATGAGAGCGGTATCGCTTCTCTGTCGATTTTGCTTGGAGTTGATGCTAGTGTGCTTGATCCAGATGCTCCTTTGCCGGAGAACTTACCGGAGACGAATGCGAGCAAGACGAGCAGGGAGGGTGTGGAGCGACTTGCCAGAGAGGAGGGATTGAATGTCAGGCAGCTTGCGCAACGGTCTGGAGGATACTCTGGCTTAGCGTTCCTTGGCTCGCCAAGTGATATCGCGGAGGAAATGGAGACTTGGTTGAAAGAGGAGGCTTCAGATGGTTTCACATGTGTATTTCCATTCTTGCCTCAGGGACTGGAGGAGGTGACGGATAGGTTAATTCCGGAGCTGCAGCGAAGAGGGCTGTTCCGGGATGATTATACGGGCTCTACGCTACGTGAACACTTTGGCCTCGACAGGCCGGAGAACCAGTTTTTCCCTTATGTTTGATTGGATGATACTCATACAATAGTTCGAGCCATGGTACTCTGGCGTTCGAGAAACATTTGAAGAACCACGTGCATATGCCGTGCAACATATTATCTTGGCAAAGTACTATAGATGGAGTTGAGAGGCACTCCTGAACTTTTAGCTGGCCTGAGTAGTTCATATAGGCTACATAAAACGCCTTAAATCATCATAACACCCACAAAGTATCGACGTCGCCGACATGGCAAGAGATAAACAAGCTTTGCTAAGCTTTGTGGGGCCACTGGTACGTCATTCAGCCCTGTAGGGAAGCCAGAAGATCAACCAGTTGATCCCAAACCACTCTTACGTCATAATCCAGGCAATCACATTATTTTTGAGTCGAATTGACCTGATCTGAACCAATCAGCGAATCCACTGGTGAGGTCAGCTTCGTTAGCAGCGTGTCCGACCCCGCTTAGAGCCTTTTACGTCACGCCAGGAACTAACTTGGAATAAAAATAAATTCTCGAGTGCTACACGCAGTTCTCTTTGTTTTTGATTAGTTTACAATTCCCTATATCGTTATCGCAATGGTCACTACTAAGGTATATGGTCTGTGGAAAAAGGCGCAGACCGTAACTTCCGAGCTAGCGCAGGATCCGTCGCAGACTGCAGAGTCGATCTTCAAGAGATTGTACGAGCACCACGATATTGCCCACTCACATTTGAAGGGAAACGGGGCGCATGGATTATCCAAAGAGGAGATTGATGAGTTTGAAAAGAAGACTGCTGAGCAGAAAGCTCTAGCCTGCGGACATTGGGGATCTGCAGAGCCCAGTGAACTATTTCTTCGGGTAAGATTGAGCTCTTTGGACTGAACAGAAGATAAGAACTGATTCATTCCAGATTTATCACGATGTTCTTGGTTCCTTGGATAAAGAGCCCAGCACGGGAGTGGTTTCTCCCCCGTTGATTGGGAGCCGAGGCGTTATTCCCCTCACCATTGTGGCGCCACTACCGGATCTCTGCCGTCATTTGGGAAATTGCATCGCGCGCGCTGAACATGAGGTATTTTTGGGTACAAATTTTTGGATTCATTCCGACGCGGCCACATTGGTTACAAATGGTATTCGGGAATTGAACAGGAGAGCTGGAGAACGGGGTACAAAGGTGGTGATGAAGATGGTATATGATCGCGGAGACCCGAAGCAGGTGAGTGCATTGAAGAGAATTTTTCGTCGTACTCAATGCTAACTGGCCTCAGGTATTGGACAACCGCCTCGAAGTGAATAGTGAACAACGGACGATCGACAAAGTTAGACTTCCGGCACCGCATGAGATCCCGAACGTCGATTTGAAAGTGATCAATTTCCATCGGCCAGTGTTCGGCACATTCCACGCCAAATTCACAGTCATCGATCGACGCATGTGTCTCTTGCAGAGCAGTAACATCCAGGACAACGATAACCTGGAGATGCTGTCTCACATTGAAGGACCTATTGTCGATTCTTTCTATGATGCCGCGCTGCTGTCTTGGGGGAAGCCACTTGACCCTCCGCTACCTCAACTGATTTCTCCTGCTGAGAGTGCTCCTATCCCTGCTCATAATGGGGAGCAGAAGGTGGACCCCAACGAGAGCTTACCCGAAGATCTCCCGGAGCATACTGCGTCTTCTCCCCATTGGGATGTCGATTTTGAAGGCGAGGCAAAGAGGGTCAACAGCAGTATTAACCCTCGTGGAGAGGAAACACCCACGCAAGCTGTAACCCGTCATCTGAGTATGTTAGGCATGAAACCAACTTTCCAACAGCTCAATTTTACTAATTAGTGAACAGATACCACCATTCAACCTGACACAACCGGGAACGCGCCTGATACCGACCAAGACCCGAAAATGACACCATACATCCTCCTACCACAGCATGAGCCCTTTCCCATGGCCGTCGTTAACCGAGAGCCTTACGGATGTAAGTAACTATCACCTTGAAGCTGTGCCAAACAAACCAAATTCCTAATGATCTCAAAGCTCCAAACCACAGCAGCACCCACAACCCCCAAGATGCAGCCTTTGTTTCAGCAATCAATAACGCAAAGCACACCATCTTCATTCAAACTCCGAACATGAATGCCGAGCCCCTCTTGGAGCCCCTCTTGGCAGCAATTCGTCGAGGCGTCATTGTGACGCCCTACCTCTGCCTCGGATACAACGATGCAGGCGAACTACTACCATTCCAGAACGGAACGAACGAGATGATCGCTAACAAACTATATAATGCTCTCACAACGGATGAAGAGAAATCAAGGCTAAGAGTGCACTACTATGTTGGCAAAGACCAGATTCAGCCTATTCACAACTCGTTTAAGAAGCGGAGTTGTCATATTAAATTGATGGTTATTGATGAGCAAGTTGCTATCCAAGGTATGGCTCTTTCTTCCTTTACGTTCGGTTTTCGATGTTTCGTGAATACGTGCTAACATATTTTCTGTTGCAGGAAATGGCAACCTGGATACCCAGTCCTTCTTCCACAGTCAAGAAATCAATGTCATGCTGGACTCCCCGTTAGTTTGTAAGATGTGGTTGGAAGCTATTGATCGGAATCAGAATACCGGGAAGTACGGTGCTGCGAGCTCTGAAGATGGTTGCTGGCATGATCCGACCAGTGGGGAGATTCCTCCTGGGTCCATTGGTACAGACCCTGGACACTTTAGCTGGGCTAAAGGTGTCATTGGAGCCGTGAAACGGGTGAGAGGAGTTGGTGGTTTCTAGTTGGTGACATTCACTGCACATATTGGTTTGCTTGGTACTATTGTCATTTATTTGAGAAATTACTTGCTCTTTCGGTGATCAAGCCTACATGATGGTCGATTTCAGGGTCAGTGATTATATACTACATATTTATATAGACATTACCTCTCCATGTCCAAGCCTAGGAAAGTAGGTATACAGTATACTTAGAATTCACTTGGTGGTTTATCTCTACTTCAAGGTCTGCAATTTTATATAACCGGTGATGCAACTAGGAGGCTAGCAACATAGCTTAGTAGTCAGTAGCGTTATTGTAAGACTAGAAATTTTGCAATAAGACCCAAACACGGACATCATTGTTCAAGATCTGACGGTGAACGGGAGAGAATGGGTGGGAGTGGGCGGTCATAGTCGATTGTCAATTACGCTATGTGGACCAAAGGAATGATCAACCATTGTAAGTCATCCCGGCCTATAGCCTTGAGTCAGCGTTACATCTTCTTGAGACCCACGAACTCTATACATTAGGTCATCCTCGATACAGGCATTTTCAGCATTCTCTCTTGTATTTGCAAATTTGAAGACGTGAAGCGTAAATTCATTTAAGGAATAAAATCCCAGATAAACAGGTGGACAGCGCCGTTTTCTAGAAAGCCCAGCAGGGCCAACATATGTATGTACACTTATGGAAATTCTACCTAACTTATGAGTCGCGCAACCCAATCGCTTGGGATGAACGCTATACGTTTGCTGACGAAAGTCTACAGAGCGAACTGCTCACGCAGAGTAGTAGCGAAGCGGGAAATAGCTTCGTCGATCTGGTCAGAGGAAGCAGAGGCATAGGTCGCGCGGAAGAACATCTTCTCCATAGTAGCTGAGCTATCAGCTTTGAACCAGCTTCCGCGGGACAAGAGAACACTGTGGTCAACAGCGGACAGGAAAATCTCTTCTTCAATGGTTTCGCGGGTCTTGCCAGCGGCAGCGCCGGGGTGCTTGCGCCAATCGACTTCGATCCAGTGCTGGCCAAATGTTAGTATGATCTATGATCGAAGTCACGAGACTAGTGGTAACTTACGAACATGCCCGCAGCAGGGGCAACCCAGTGGGCAATTTCGCGGGGGAGGTGCTTCTCGCAGGCGTGCAGTAAGGCGTCACGGCGGTCGGTGTAGGACATGCGCAGAGCGATGAGCCAGTCTAAGTATCCTGAGTGGCCCCAGTGCTCGTCTAGCAGCTTGTAGAGAACAAGTTGGGAAATACCGCTAGGGTTCTGTGAAGAGACCTCGAAGTTACGAACAAAGCGCTCAATGATCTGCTCGGAAGCCACGATCCAACCAACACGGGAACCGGGAGAGACAACCTTCGAGAAGGACTCCAGTCGGACCACACGGCCGTCAACATCCATGCTTAGGAAAGAGGGGACGAGAGATTTGATGAAGTCGTCGTGGGTGGCGGGTGGGGGAGGGGCGGCAGCTCCCTCGCCGCTGTAAGGCTGCATCTGCAGGAAGTAGTATGGCTCGTCCTCGATGATGAGAACATCGTGCTTCTGGGAAACCTTGTACACGGCCCGGCGGCGCTCAGCGGACTGGGTGGCTCCGGTAGGGTTCTGGCCTGTGGGAATAGTATAAAGGACATAGGGCTTGCGTGCTCCACGAGCCTTGACGTCCCAGTTGCTGAGAAGCTCGTCCATGGCCTCGGGAACAATACCCTCCTCGTCAATGGGCAGAGCAAGTGCCTTGAGACCAAGCGGCCAAGCGGTCTCGGCAGCACTGGCAAACGTGTACTCTTCCATCATAATGTAGTCGCCCCGCTCTGTGAACAAACGGAGTGCGGTGTCCCAAGCGTAAGTGCTACCGGCGGTCAAGGTGCATTGCCAGTCAGCGTACGGAGGGTTGTGGATGAGCTGGCAATGTCAGAATTCGCTGTTCTCTAGACGTCAAGGGGATGATACCTCAGTATGTTCTGTGACGAATCGGAGAAGCTGGGGAGCTCCAGTAGCTTGGCCATAGTTCAGAGCAATTTCCAAATCTGCACATAATTGTCAATCTCAAAGCCACGCCATCAATTCTTGGACAATCCACATACCATAAAGGCTCTTTCCCTCTTTGATGTCGTGCTTTCCACTGTGCAACACAGTGCCGGACTCTCGGGTAGCTTCCGGGGTGAAGCCTGGGGGAGTGGGGACCTTGATATCGAGGTGCTCAATTGGGAAGTATTCGGGAGATGGCAGACCACCACCGAGAGAGAGCATTCCTGAAGATACATTAGTTTTACTGCAATGCAAATGTCTCCTTTGGTTTTCGTACCAGGGTTCTTCAAGTATTGTGCTGCGGTTTTCAATGTGGAAGCCTAGTAATCGGGTTAAACGGCTTATTGTGAAAAGTCCTGGACGGCGCTGGGATGCCAACCTTGCGAGACTTGGCCTCGAGCGACAAAAAGTCTGTATGACAGTGATAAGTGAAGTTCCAAAAATATTTGTGGCTAAGTGCAAGCCATTGGCCACCTCTGTAGAAGATCGCAAAACTCACGGTCAAAACGCTTCGCCTTAGGCTTGGTGTAACAAGCCTAGATGGAACGAACAGCAAAATTGGTCAGCCGTTATTGAAACACTTCCATCTCTCCGCAGAGAGCACAGGTATTGTATTGTCCTGGTCGTGGGGAGCATACCGGGCTCTTGAACATATCACTGCTGCACGCCGGCGCAACACCAGTGGGCATCTTGGCCATCTTCTCACGCCATCCAGGAACGCCATTGAGAGTCAAGGGATCAGGAATCGACACCGCAGAGGTGTCAGTGATCCCCTTCATCTCAACATCCACAGCGGAGGGTGGGCTCATCTCGACTCGGTGACTCGGTGCGGGTAGGAAAGGTAATTTGCTGTGATAATGCGATAAGTATGTTTGTGCGAAAGCTGCGCGGAGCTATGCTAAGCGCTAAGCTGGCAAGACTATGCGAAAATTGGGAGCGGCGCAAAAGTCGCTTTGATGTCGACTCACTTGTGTAAGAACAGTGAAGGTAGACGACAGAGTTAGAGCGGAAACGGAGGCGAATTGGTGCTATCCGGTGGAATTCACAAGAGCGTTATCCACCCGGCAGCACAGTTCCGATTGGGGAGAATGACTCATCAATACAGGTTAGATGGTACAATATGGGCGCTTTTTTTGGATCAGTTGGCGATTCGGCCAGTAGTCATGTAGAATGTGGATTTTTGTTATCTAATGCCGCTCCGTTCAGTAACATGGTTCGTGGTTGTTGGCGACGCAGCTGCGACCTTGTCAAAGAAGGGCGTGCAGATACACTTTGGAGGGGTACCGATACAAGCCAATACACCGAGCTCTTTACGATCCCTCGCAAACTGGCGGTGTATACGGCCAGATACGGTAATCTCAGGACGCTGAGCCCCGCCTAGATAAGGCTATCACCGGCATCGGCGCGATAAGCTTATTGTGCTCGGACTATATGATTTCTTTGATGTTCAAACGCCGAATCAGCGGACAATGTCCGCGAAACTAGCACAACGATCCTTCTTGCCCTGCCTATGGCTTAGTCTACAGCCAAGAAATCAAAGTAGATTATAAAGAGAGGACACCACCCGCGACAATGACGGAACTCTTGTGCTACATTCTCCAACTACCATTAGTCCCTCGTCATCCATGTTTGAGTTACTGAGCGTCCACTGATATTATTCGTCTTTTTTTATGAAACAACTCTCTTATGTATCGGTAGTGCTCTTGGGCTAGGTAAACCCTACGATCGAAAAGCATCGCATCACCCGACCATAACGCCTTGATATGGAGATGCGGTTTGCAGCCCCAGCACAAGAAAAGTCAAAGTGATGCAAAGTGCGCTGACCTCAAAAAGATTGATGTATGTTTGTATCACCAATATCAGGTGCTTGAAGAGACAAAAACGAGCTCAAAGAAAATGGAAGCCTACAAGACAATGCATAATTCGATTCAGTCTTATGGACCATGGTATTAACCAAATTTGTGTGGCAGTTTGGTAGTGCCATTGATCCAGGGCATCATCATGCTGGCTTTTCTCTTTTTTATCTATCTTTCATCACGTCTTCTCATTTGACATGATCCTGAAGCTCGGCATTGATAATATCCACACCCTCGATGTTCCTTCAAAATGCCATGGTCTTGGTGTTTGCAGTTGCAAGGTGTAGTTTCTGGGTGGTCTCATGGGCGATTTATAGGGGAAATAATATAGATTCATAATTCGCTTCAATTGTTTGAGAGGGCTGCCGTGATTTCTCCGGCATATTCAGTCTTGCTAGCAGGACTCGAGAAAGTGAGCATCACTAGTAGAAGGGGCTAACAGCATTCTTTATTCATAGCAGATGGCGTGAGGCGGAAGAATCAAAATAATTCACAATGGAACCTCTTTCCAAGTATCTGGCCTAGGGCAATTCATGTGTACAAGGTTTCTCGTGAATATTCGTTTCTCTCAACTGCTTCTAGGGCACCTTCTTTAGTAGAATGCTCTAACCTTGGGTGCGCAATATATTCCTGATGAGTAAACAAAGTACAAGATAACTAAACAGTCCTATGAGGTAATGCGGATATCCTCGGTTGACCACCACCAATCAAGGCCTTCATACTTATTTATGGAGAAGTCCGAGTCAAATAGCAGCGCATGGACACTAGTTCACTGTCATCAATCGGGAGAGCCACTGATTGGGTACAATACATATTGATTGCATTTAAGTTCATGTGAAAGGTCGTAAGAAATCATCTCTGACTGCAGACTCCGCTAGCAGCCCTCTGAACTCGCTGAAATAAAAAGTTAAATGATGTAGCGCATAGGGATTATAAGGATCCCTGGTATCATAAATCTCGTTACGCCGAAGCAATAAACCCCCCACTATCCTGCATATCTGGTTGGATTGGCATTTGGCCTGGGGCCCTCACAGGCGTTCCACGGATGACTGCATGGCTTTCGGGCTTTGTTCCATACTTCACTCCTCCTGAGTCTTCACTTCGCCATCCTGCTCGACGTGGACATGCTCGTTGGACTCGAGGGTATCGACGTGACCGTCTGGGTATTGAACACTATTGAACGATGATTAGCATTTGTGAGTCGTATTTGTAATTCGTAAATAGATTGGAAGGGGAGCAGAGTCGCAGCTTGAGTCGGCGGAAGAGCGTCTGCGGGGAAAGTGGAGTTCATACATGAAACCCTTGATGAGAGAGTACTCGTGCGTGATGGAACCGCCCTTCTCCTTTGCGATCTCCTTGGCCCTGTTGTCATAGATCTGTCAATATGGTGTTCCACGCCATTTTTGGAAAAGGTGGTGGGGAGAAACTAACCTCTCCAGCTCTGCATCCGAAGCACCGCTCTTCAAGGTAACCTAAAAGGCACCAATGTCAGCAGAAGCTTCGATAACCAAAATTACAAGAGACCAAAAGATAATGAAAATAGTCACATACGTTGTACTGAGGCATGATTAAGGAGTGTTGATTGACAGTGAAAGAGCAAGAAAGTGCAGCGGGGTGACAAGGTTAAGTTTGGAAAGTCTGGTGGAGATAAGAAAAGGTGGAGATGGCGGCGGAGGGGGAACTTGCTTTTTATATGTGTGAGCTGATAAGAGGGGCCTAACTTGGTCTTACGCCATCCAGTTACCAAGGGCCTTCTGCAATTCTCATAGCCCCTGGGCTTCCAAGGTTAGGCTTTTGGCTTTCATTCATCCAATGAAATATTACACCACGTCAGCTCCATAGTGTCAGACATTCACTATGTCGTGGTTTTTGACCAGAACTTGAAGCTATATTTATTTGAAAGCAACAATCAAAACGAAACGGATGCCTGATCAAGCTATGCAATCGCGCGAATTAAATAAATTGAGCCGCCTACTGCGCCACTTTTGCCCGAGTCTGACAGCTTAGATTAGTGACTCTCTCTCTCTTTTCTGCATCTCTGTGCTTTGCTATTCAAATTCCCTCCGCTGATGTAACCATGCGGCATGATTCCCGATGACGTGCGTCTCCGAACGCGGGGCACGATCACGTGGTATATCGGACCACTTCACAGTCCGACCATTCCGTCTTGGTCGCGAGGAGGCATGCTCATCCCATGCAGACCCTTGTATGCTGGGCTTGAAGGGGCTTTCCACCCGTCTAGCACTTTTTCATCGGCCAACTGATACACTTCAACCCCAAGTGGCCGACAGGTTGATCCCATGCCACCCTCCTTATCATCCCAGCCCCAGTTAGAAAGGTCGCCTGTGGAGAAAAGAAATATTAGTATTCATATGCGCCAAGTGATTGCCGATATATTGCACGTACCCCCAGGGCATGCCGAAAGGGCACATAAAATATCCACCTCGGCAAAGAACTCAAAGTACTCGCCCGCCTTTGCTGGTGAAGTCTCCATAAAGTACTTTCCCTCCTCATCCAATCCTGTCACTTGGAACACATTCAACACATCATGAACATCCAGCTCTGTCAAGCCGTAGGGTGCCACCGACCGCGTTAGATTAGAGTGACAGTGAAAGTCAAAGGTCTCACCACCCATAAGGAGATTCACGTATGGATCGCATCGAGTACCCAGTAGGTCATGCACGCGTCCTCCAAATTGCGTGGTGCCAAACACGACCTCCGGCTTCCGCTTTCCATCCGGTCCCAACACATTATGCAACTGCCCGCCTCCCAGCGAGTCTCCTGTGATTGTTACCAGGGGCCGTAGATACGGCAGGTTTGACCAGAGACGGTCGCCCACGGAGACGTGCGAGGCGTGGATCTGCCGAGTTCGTGCTGCCCACATTCGCTCACGGGGGTTGTTTGCATTCCAGATGTTCAAATCACCCACTTGGGGCCCTTTGGGCGTTGTCAGGCGGCAGATGTGGCCGGCGGGGACAACCCATGCCTGGGCGGAGCATGGTCGGATTGTAAATGATTCCTTTGGAATACGTGCGGCGGGGTCCAATGCAGTCTTTGAGATGGAATGGTAGAGCTGCGATGTCGCATGGATGCCCGAGTTTGGGGGTGCTGTGTAGGCCGGAGGAGGCCGACGAGGAGCGGCCATTTTGGGGTGGATACGTTCGATGTAAATAGCACGACACCACGTAGTGCGCTTAGGTGTTCATGCGACTGGAAGTTATTTTGATGTCAATTGAGAGACCAAGTAAAACCTTCGTGTTCCCTGGGGGAGTACCATAATATATACTATCTACAGGTATATATTCTCGGAGAATCGCCGTTATCTACATGTAGTCATATCATCTATGGGGTTTGCCCCGCATAGAACACCGCGGGAAACATGTCTATCAGGTCTAAGCGCTAGTGGTGCCAGAGAGTGTCGAACCACGGGCTGTATCAATCTGTTACGAAATCAAATCGTTACAACCCCGCCCACAATCCAGATGCGAGTATCGAGAGCCCTTAGGCATCGGCCCGATGAGAGGGGCTGTTCTTTATCGCTGAGAGCCGGCCCGGTCACGATAAACTGATAAGATAGCGAAGTTACCTCGGTTTTGATGCCTGAATTTGACACTTCACGCCTTGCTGCCTGAGGTGTCACACCAAGGATTGAGCTATTCTGCGCTAAGCCCCATCAAGATACAACTTTTTTTCTTAACCGGCTCCACATATTTCCGCCCCGAAATAATAATTTTGGACGGAGAGAGTTCGAGTTATCGCTGCTGTCGCTTTGCCCAGTGTTCTCTCTCTGGAATTAATCAGAGAAGCTTTGAGGTTTGAGACCTCCTCGCACAACATGGAGAACCAAGCGAACCGGTCGCACCGGCCCGCTAAGGAGAAGAAGAAATATGAAGGTACGCCGTTGAGCGCCTCCGCAAATCTGCGGAGATTGCATTGAGACTTGATTATCCAAGCCAATTCTTACTCACGCTATTTTCTATCGACAGGGAAAAACCCCAAGGCTTTTGCCTACTCCAACCCGGGAAAGCTCAACAAGCAGGCTGCGCGATCCTCAGAGGTACGCTTTACAGCCTAAGAAATCTCCGCATGGAAGCTAATCAATATTGCTCTTCTAGGTCAAGGAAAAGAGACTCCATGTCCCCCAGGTTGATCGCATGCCCGAGGAGGCTCCTCCGACTGTCATTGCAGTTGTTGGACCTCCCGGTGTCGGCAAGACTACTCTCATCAAGTCCCTGATCCGTCGCTACACCAAGCAGACCCTCAGCTCGCCCCAGGGACCATTGACAATCGTTACCTCCAAGAAGAAGCGTCTTACTTTTCTCGAATGTCCTTCCGATTCCCTCGCCGCTATGATCGATGTCTCGAAGATTGCTGATATCGTTCTCCTCATGATCGACGGTAACTACGGTTTCGAGATGGAGACCATGGAGTTCCTGAACGCTCTGTCTACAAGTGGTATGCCGGGTAATGTCTTTGGTATCTTGACACATTTGGATCTGTTCAAGAAGCAGAGCACCTTGAAGATGACCAAGAAGCGCCTCAAGCACCGTTTCTGGAGCGAGCTTTACCAGGGTGCTAAGCTCTTCTATCTTTCCGGTGTCATCAACGGCCGTTACCCCGATCGTGAAGTGCACAACCTCTCCCGATTCTTGTCTGTCATGAAGAACCCGCGTCCGCTTATTTGGCGTAACTCTCACCCCTACGCCCTGGCCGATCGCTTTTTGGATATCACGCCACCAACTAAGATTGAAGAGAACCCGAAGTGTGATCGTACGGTTGCACTATATGGTTATCTTAGAGGTACCAATTTCCCTGCCCACGGTGCCCGAGTACATGTCCCTGGTGTGGGTGACTTGACCGTCTCCGGCATCGAAGGATTGCCCGATCCGTGCCCAACTCCCTTCATGGACCAGCAAATTGCCAAGGCAACTGGAAAATCTTCACGACGCAAGCTGGGCGAGAAGCAGAAACTGCTCTTTGCTCCCATGTCCGATGTTGGTGGTGTGTTGGTCGATAAAGACGCCGTCTATATTGATATCAAGACAAATACGTTCAACCGGGGCTCGGATGATGAGGAATCCGATAACGAGGACCGAGGTCTGGGTGAACAGCTTGTGGTAAACCTACAGAGCGAGCGCCGCTTGCTCGGTGAGGCTGACCAGGGCGTTCGTCTGTTCCGTGGCGGTGAGACGATCTCCAATGCTGTCGAGGACGAAGGAACCGGCCGCAAACAACGGAGACATGCCCGACTAGCTGATTCCGAGCGCGTCCAAGCTGCATCAGATGATGAAGACGGCGAAGACGAGGAAGCTTCTGATGAAGAGGATGACGCAGGTGACTTTGATGAAAACGAGGATGATGAAGATGAAGTCGACATGTCTGCGCCAGCAGACTTTGCGGATAGCTTTAAGAAAAGACAGAACGGAAACGCCGATGCTGAGGACGATGACGTTGCATTCGCAGACAGCGACTCCGACATAGGCTCTGTCTCCGGTGATGAGCAGGACCAGGATAGTGACGAGGATGAAGACGACGAAGATGAAGAGGGTAACCTTCGCTGGAAGGAGAACATGCAGGAAAACGCCAAGGCTTTCCATGGCAAGCGCCCAGCTTTCCGCGTTGGCGATCTGTCTCGCATGATGTACGACGACTCGATTACCCCTGTCGATGTTGTGCAAACATGGCGCGGTGAAAATAATGGCGATGAATCCGAGGAATCCGACATTGAAGCCGATGAAGAAGCCGACGATTTCTTCAAGAAGACCAACAACGAGAAGGATGACGAGGCCGATCTTCGCGCCATTCCTGAATACGACTACGATGAGCTTGAGCGTAAGTGGCGTGATGAGGAATTGATCGAGTCGCTCAAACTGCGTTTCGTTACCGGCAAACTCGGCGGTGGTGGTTCAGACGATGACGATGTCGACGAGGACGATTTCGATGATGACTCGGATGATGAAGGTGATGGAGCTTTCGAGGACTTGGAGTCGGGCGAGGTTTTCGACGGATTCAAGGATGGCGATGAAGAGGAGGATGAAGATGATGAGGATGAGGAAGCGGAGCCCGAGGGCCTCGTGGACTTGGAAGCTGAGCGTGAGCGCAACGCGAAGAAGAAGGAAGAGTTGAAACTTCGCTTTGAGGAAGAAGATCGTGAAGGCTTTGGCAATGCCAAAGACGGCACCCGTGATGGTGGAGATGGCGAGTTTGGCGAGGATGACTGGTATGACATGCAGAAGGCAAAGATGCAGAAGCAGATGGATATCAACCGCGCTGAGTTTGACAACCTTGACGAAGCCTCTCGCGCGCGCGCTGAAGGCTACAAGGCCGGTACTTACGCACGAATCGTTTTGGAGAATGTGCCATACGAGTTCGTTGAAAAGTTCAGCCCTCGATTCCCTGTCATTGTTGGAGGACTGGCTCCTACCGAGGATCGCTTTGGATATGTTCAGATTCGCATCAAGCGTCACCGCTGGCACAAGAAGATCTTGAAGAGCAACGACCCGTTGATTTTCTCCCTCGGCTGGCGTCGCTTCCAGTCCATGCCCATCTACAGTACCTCGGACAGTCGGACACGAAACCGTCTGCTCAAGTATACTCCCGAGCACATGCATTGTACCGGTGTCTTCTACGGTCCACTTGTGGCTCCTAACACCGGTTTCTGCTGTGTTCAATCCTTCTCCAACAAGAACCCTGGATTCCGCATTGCTGCGACTGGTGTCGTCCTCGCCGTGGACGAGCACACTGAGATTGTCAAGAAGTTGAAACTTACTGGTGTGCCATACAAGATCTTCAAGAACACCGCTTTCATCAAGGACATGTTCAATTCTGCCCTTGAGATCGCCAAATTCGAAGGCGCTTCAATTCGCACAGTCTCCGGTATCCGTGGTCAGATCAAGCGAGCTCTCAGCAAGCCCGACGGGTACTACCGTGCTACGTTCGAGGATAAGATCTTGATGAGTGATATTGTTTTCCTGCGCGCCTGGTACCCTATCAAGCCACACCGATTCTACAACCCTGTTACCAACCTGCTCGACCACACTGAAGGCAGCAACGCCGACGGCGGTTGGCAGGGTATGCGGCTGACTGGTGAGGTCCGCCGCGACCAGGGCATCCCCACCCCTATGAATAAGGATTCGGCCTACCGCAAGATCGAGCGACAGGAGCGCCACTTCAACCCGCTGCGGGTGCCCCGTCAGCTGGCCGCCGATCTTCCCTACAAGTCCCAGATCACCAAGATGAAGGGCCACAAGGACCAGACCTACATGCAGAAGCGTGCTGTGGTCCTCGGTGGTGAGGAGAAGAAGGCCCGCGACCTCATGCAGAAGTTGACTACTATGCGCAACGAGAAGTCTGCTAAGCGTGCAGCTAAGCAAGAAGAGCGTCGCCAGGTTTACCGAGCCAAGGTGGCCGATAGTCTAGAGAAGAAGGCTGCCCGTGAGAAGAGAGAGCGCGATGATTACTGGCGCAGGGAGGGCAAGAAGCGCAAGAACGACGAAGACGGCGGTGGTGGTGGCAAGAAGCGCAGATGATCGAGTCAATTTTTGTACATGTCATGACAGACATGGGGATTTCATTCTTAGCATAGACGGCGTTAGAAGACCCAAAAGTCAATTGTATATTCATTCCAATGATCTAAGTCCTCATCCTCTCGTACACGGCGACGCGTCCACTCGTATTCGGCATCGGCAAGACCGCTAATAAACAGCCACACCGTTCTCACGGTCCATGCGAATCCCCACCCTATATCCACTTTCTGATGAAAAAGTCCTCGGTAATCATGTTCCTGCAGCACAAAGTGGGTCCCATGGTTGTCAATGGTTTCGGGTCAAGTTCCTAAGAAGTTTGGCTGTTGTTTCACCGATCATTAGCCTCGAGCTAGAGCTCCAAAGTCTTAAATTTTCTTGGCTCGCTTGGCATTAAGACTCACCACCGAAACGCCACCATTGACATCCCCCATCAACGTGAAACGCCCGGCCCCTGGTAGCTTGGTGCCACCGGACAATCTACCGGTGGAAAATATCAGTGTGCTCGAGTCGGTACCTTTTACCTGACCTGTTTAGGCCTAGAGCCTCCATTTAGCCAAAGTAACGTAGTTCTGACATATGAAACGACTCAGCCATGCTTTAAAAAGCGCCAGGGGCTGACGAGCTCATTAGTGGATTTTTCATGGACTCGAATCAGCGAAGTTTTGCCGGACACGCCTTGCATCTAGCCTGACCTTCTTCGGCAAATGGACCCAGTTCATGATGTAGCGTTTGAACTAAATTATTCCCCTGGATGTGGGTGTGTACGTATAAGAATCTTGAGGTTTCTCGTAGCTGCGCTTCTCGACTTTCATCCATATCATTCTTTTTTGTTTTGTCATTCACTTATTCATTCTTTTCATCCATTCTTTTCATCCATTCTTTTCATCCATTCTTTTCATCCATTCTTTTCACTATGCGCAGCGCGCTAGTTCTTTCTTTCCTTCCGGTGCTAGTCTTGGGATGTAACAATCCCGCTAGTCATGCCTGTCCTTCTGCGTACACTGCCTCTCGAGCCGAGGCTGCTGCTTTCTGTGCTACTTTCACAGCTAGCTCTGTGACTGCCACTACCGGGCTTCCTAGCTTTGCTTCTGCCTGTGATTACAATGTGAAGCACATGTCGAGCGCATGCAGCTGTCTCGACACTGCCTGGGCGACTGATTCGGCTAGTGTAAGCATTCTTGGTTTTACATAAATGGCTTTGGCAGCTAACTAACTATTCATAGGCGTCCGAGCCTACCACTGTTGCCGCTGTGACTACTAGCACTGCTGCTGTTGTGCCTGCTGCGACTAGCGCTTCGAGCTCGCCAACTACCTTCGTGACAGCTACCCGGGCTGCCTCTTCTACCTCCAGCTCCGCCGAGGTTGAGGTCCCTAGCACCACCGCGGCACCTGTTGTCGTGTCTACTGCCGCGGCCGTCGTGGCTTCTTCTTCCGAGGCTGCTGTCGTTACTGGATCTGCCTGTGTTGTCAGCGAATATGCTTCGCTCTCCTCTGCTGTCGCGTCTTGCACTAACATTGTGCTGTCCGACTTCTATGCACCTGCTTCTAGCACCATTGACCTGTCGAGTCTTCAGACCGGTGCTGCTGTTACCTTTGCTGGTACTACCGTACGTTCTATCCTCTTTCTTCGCGCGACTAAATATTAACAGACGGCAGACCTTCGGAGACACCTTCGACGATGACTTTGACCCCATCGTTATCTCTGGAACCAACCTCACCATTACCGGTGCTGATGGTCACGTAATTGAGGGTAACGGCGAGGCCTACTGGGATGGTGAAGGATCCAACGGCGGACAGGACAAGTGAGTAATGAGCCAACCGCCCCCAAAACGAACAAAGTAGCTAAATCCATACAGGCCCGACCACTTCATTGTCGTTAAGGATGTCTACTACTCCGAGATCACCAACCTCAACATCGTCAACTGGCCCGTTCACTGCTTCCAGATCGAAGATTCCGAGCACCTCACCATCTCCGGCCTCCTTTTGAACAACACCGCCGGAGACGCCGCCAACTCCGCCTCCGACGGCGACCCAGCCGCCCACAACAGCGACGGTTTCGATATCTCCAAGAGCACATACGTTACTGTCGAGAACACTGTCGTCTACAACCAAGATGACTGTGTCGCTGTCACCAGTGGTTCCAACATCGTCATCGACAACCTCTACTGCTCCGGCGGTCACGGTCTCAGCATCGGCTCCATCGGTGGAAAGAGCGACAACGTCGTCGATACCGTGACCTTCAAGAACTCCCAGGTTGTTGACAGCGAGAACGGCTGCCGTATTAAGAGCAACGCCGATACCACTGGCAGTGTTACCAACATTGTCTACCAGAACATCACCATGTCTGGCATCTCTGACTATGGTATTGATATCCAGCAGGACTACTTGAACGGTGGCGCTACTGGTGACCCTACCAACGGTGTGACTATCTCCAGTGTCTCGTTCATCGATGTCACTGGTACTGCTACCGATGATGGTATGGATTACTACATCCTCTGTGGCAGTGACAGCTGCTCTGACTTCTCTTTCTCTGGGGTTTCCATCACTGGAGGTGGTGAGACTAGCAGCTGTAACTACCCTTCTAGCGGCTGCCCCTAAGCTTCTTGAAAACAATTCAAGATTTTCGGCACCACAGCCACAGTGCTTGGTTTCAAGCTTGTTTTTTATAAATATGGACTTGTATTTTATAGTGGCTGTTGAACGGCGAATATTATAGACTCATGTCCGAAATTTCAGTATTGCTTTGTTTTTATCCGTAAAATATTTCCTCAAGGACGTCGATAGCCGTATAGGTGCCATCAGAATATGTGTAGACTTGTCCGTAAGGACCTCAACTCTCAAATACTCAAGTATCAATTTCACTGCCACTCCATCAAGAGAAGGTTACTGATAGATTCCTGTCGACAGACCCACACTACAGCTTTGCGACTCTCTCGAGGAGGCTAGCTTATATTGTTTAGAGGTTTGATAAGGTAATGTTTGGTAAAGAATATTTTCTGATCAATTAAAATCCCGAGATTGGAGCTTTATGTTCTCCGAAAAGTTGCAGTGAATCTTTAGAGTAAGTGGTAATAACCAAGCCCGAAATTAAACGATCTGGACGATTTAGATGAGGCACAGACTTGTCACTTAGACAATCTCGCCTTTGACAAGTTCTAAAGCAGCTTCGACCAGATAAAGGCTTCCCGTAACCAGGATTTGCGCCCCCGAACCAATCTTCTTAACCTGATCGATGCTATCTCCGACACTATCAGCCTTATAGATGGCACTGGAGGGCCAATTTGTTTTCCAGAGCTGAACGAAACCTTCCATTCGTGCATCTGCAGTGGTGAAATGATCATATTCAATATTTTTGACAAATATGACGTGCTGGACCGGCGTCTGTAGATATTTACCCAGCGTTTGTAGTATCTTGGACCAGTCACGCTTCCGCTCCGGTGAAAAATGAGCAAAAATGAGAACTCGAGTAGATCTGCTATTATTAGTATACTGGCTGGCATTAACACAGTGAACATACTTAGCATTGACCACTCGCTCATACCACTTTCCAACGACTTCCATGCTCATTTCGTTGTGTGCTCCATCCATATACCAAGTGCAGCCACCCGATTCGACGACATCGAAGCGCCCAGGCCAACGACACTTCTCAATCCCAGCCTGAACGTCTCGCTCATCGAGCGAGTGACCACTCATTTGGAGAAAGTGATGAGCGATCTGCGTGGCTAGTGCACAATTTTCTCGCTGTTCGGGCAAGATGCTTTCGAAGGCGATGTCGGTGACGAATTGGATTAATGCGCCCTTGACATCTTTGATAAAGTGTAGCGATGCACCGAGTTCCTTCTCCCGTCGCCTCATTTCATCTTCAGCTTCTGGAACCTGTGGGACGGAAAGTGCAATAACCCCGTTCTTGAAGATCCCACTCTTGTGCCAAGCGATATTCTGGATAGACCCCCCGAGATTATCAACATGGTCCAGACCAATCTTCGTAATGGCAGTGATGACAGGATGTTCAACAAAATTGGTCGCATCAAACTGGCCACCATGGTGGACCTCACAAATGACAACATCAGCACCTTCTTTGATGAAAGTGTGGAACGATAAGATAGCCATCATCTGGAGTAACCCAGGGATCTTGATATCAGGAGACGGCCTATCAGGGTCGATAGATAGCCCGGTACATACTTCACCGAAGCGCTGCATGAACATATCCACTGATAGCGGATTTGAATCAATTCGTATCCTATTTTGCGGCCACAGACTCGGCGAAGTATAAAGTCCAATTTTCCGCGATATTCCATTTCTTCTTGCGTGTTCCCGCAGGATACTATCCACATAGGCACATGTGCTGCCTTTGCCTTTTGTTCCGGTGACGTGGATGACATTCAAGTTATCAATGTCTTGAGCCTGTTCTTGGTTATCGGATTTCGGGTACATGTTTAGCGTTCAAACACATACTGTATGTCCAAGCAATAGTAGCCATTCTTTCATGCCCTCAATAGGAGGCGATCCTTTGAGTGCTAAGCCGTTTGGAGCCCTTGGGAATCCCGAAGAGGGGGTCGAGTTGGTGGGGAATTTGCGTCGGAATTTCTTAACATAATCTATAGTGCTGCGTCTGTTAGACTCGGAGTTTTTCGCTTCAATATGAAAAACAAACTTTAGATTCATGTTTAATTTTCGAATTCACAGCTGGCCTTCTTGTCCAATGTGGCTATGACGTGGAATCAGGACTCGCGCCGCCCCTCATGGACAATGCAGTGTAGAGCGCTAGGTGTCTACAGCTCAGTGGGGTCCCACTGAGATCTCAGTAGGGTGTGGGTGGCGGTCTCTACACTTGTTGGTGCCCGAGGATTAAGGCACCAAACCGTGATCTGGTAAAAATCCGAATAAAAGCAGACTCGAAGAGAGACACAATGCATAACTACTCAATTGATACACTTGTTTTGTTTTCTCACTTGATACTGCCCACATATTGCAGCAGTGAGGTGACGAGACTTTCTTCCGCTCGATGCGTTCATTCTGGCTTCCAAGGTTCGCATCCCCTCTTCACAGTATACTTCCCTACTACTTGGGATTCCGACTACTTTGTTCCCCGATATCCATGAATTTTCACATAAGCTCAGAGCTACTAGAGCACCAGATTCCTTATGCACTAAATTTCATTTTTTCTTTTCGTATATAACGATCAGTTCCGTAAGTGGCACCGCCGCACGTGACCGTGTCTCGAACGCGTCGCCGCAGAGGGAAAGCCGAAGGCGACATTTTGACTTCCGCTTCAGCGATTCCGGAGGAAATCTCAGTATTTGACTCCTACTATTCTTTTTCGCTTAAATCTATAACCCCAGATTCGTTCTTGACTTCAAGTGCGCCTAGCCACCCCGGATATCTGTTTCGGTGCCAGTGGAAAGGCTGCCAGTTGACCGTTTTCCTCGTGGACAACCCTGCGCGTTCAGGTCGATCGCCACTGGATTGGGCAGATGCTCCTAGTACCCGCATCAGCATCACTGCACACACCCGCCTCGAAGTTATTCAGATCCTGACCGTCTCTCTGGTATATCCCTGGTCGCTTCACGTCGGACATTCCCGGTATTCCGTCTCTATGCGGTGATTCGGCGCAAGTTACTTAGGTCTTGTGTGTTTAGATCCCCTCGTGGCCGCGTAATTTCGCAATTGCTGCATGGTCGCGTGGTAGCCGCCTTTGGTTTCCTCATTGTTCATTTTGCCAGACCTGTCCCCTTACATCCTGCTGCTCGACCATGAATGACCTTCAACATGCCCCGTCTAGTCGCGGGGTTCCGCATGTGGAGGCCAGTGCGAACACCGGATCTGTGAACACTTCAACATCACGAGCGCCAGGAGCCCCAACTCGCACGGAACAAATTCAGGTTCCTCGGTCTCCTCAACCATTATCTCTGCATATAGACGGGTTGAACGCCCAAATTCATGACAAGACCAGCGCCTTCCCACAATATGTTGAGTCCTCGGAACGCGATAGCGATACATCTGCTGATGCTCGTCGGCCGGAGCCACAATCCGCGAGCACCTTCACAGACTCGTTGTCCAGTCTTCCCTCCTCCTCGATGAACGATTCAAGTCAATCTATCAAAATTGAAAACTCTCAGTCCTCTACCGATGATGCACAAACCCCAAAGACATACTCGGACTCTCAAGACCAATTATCTGTGAATGGAAATGGGTCAACTGACGGCTATACTTCGGAGAAGAAGAGTAATGGCTCCATGTCTCCGCCGCAGTCACAAAATCATCCGATTTCGCGGCCAGGAAACGGAGTACACTTTGCTCTGGGACATAAGAGGACAGCCACTGGGGATATCAAACCCATATCAAGTCTTGCGCAGCCTCAAACTTTCGACGCCCAAGGGGCCCTCCGAAGGCGGTCGAAGAGCACAGGCTCGCCGGCTCATGGAAATAGAATCGCACAGGTAACAATGCCCTTATGCTTGTTTCGAACACGATATTAATGCGCGCCCAGCTGTCTGTCCACATTCGTACTCGCCTATCATATGCTGCGGCCAAGATTGAAAAGTCTCGACAGGCGCGTGACAATAATACTCAACTTGCCATTCAAGGATTAGAAAGTTTGTCATCAGCGACTCCAACATCAAACGGTGCAATGCAAGGCTTGACCCCAACATCTCATCCACAGCCTTCATCATCAACACCCACGCCTCGCAATTTCCCCTCACATCATCGTTCTCGTTCAGCCATCTCATCTGGCAAACTTCTTCATATCCCCAAACTAGCGCCTCCCGTTGATATTATATCATCCACCGGGGATACACGCCGGCGCAGACCTAATCCAAATACAACTACAAAACCATATGAGCGCAGCCCTTATGCCCGTCATCATCGACGGCACAATTCAGTCCAGGAACCCTCCCTTGCCAAAACGTTAGGGTCGCCACCAGCATTGGGACCAGGAAATTCACATGTTCCACCTTCTGCACGCATGCCGCTATCAGCACAGCACGAGGTCTATAGATCTCGCACCCATTCTCAAAGCACAGCGATGGAACAAGACGCAATTGAGACACTCATGTTCATGTCCAGTCCGGAGAATTCTGGATATCGCTCCAGTCCACGTCCTTTACAGCCGCCCGCCTCGCAGCTCAGTCTAAATGAGTCAATCCACTCGCTCTCGAACGGCGTGGCAAGTGATTATCATAGCCAAAGCTCATTAAGCGAAAAGTCCCATAATGGCCGTAGCTTTGAGCTCAGGCCTTCAGGCTCCGGGCTGGAATCTCACGCAGGAGACGAAATCGATCGTATATTGGATCAAATGGAAAGTGACAGTGAGGATGATGAGCGATATGCCTCACACCGCCCTCGACCTCGCCTACAGGCTTCCCACTTCCCGAGAACCTAATTTACACCCCAGGGAAAGAGGGTAGCACGGAATCCATTCTTGCAGGAGACTAGCTTTGCATTGCATCGGTCTCTATGGATCAAAATCATTATCATTATGTTCTAGTAGATACGGCTCAAGCACATGAATTCATGAGAGCATCTGTAGGGGAATAGCATCCTGCATTGATATCCTATCACGTGCTTTTTGAATCTTTGAAGCCTAATATATCATATTTGGGTGTAATGAAGTTATTATTTTCATGAACGCATTAATGCCACATTGACGCTGCATGCTTCATGGATCCGATCATCATCTAAATTAATCTATGTCTATTTCCGAAAATCTATTTTTTTAAGGAACAACTTATGTTCACTTATTCAACTCCTACGGGGTCTGGGTTAGCCAATGTCCAATACTATCGTTTCCAATGAAGAACTTACACTAGCCATCTTGCTGCGGGCTCGAATCCTCGGTCCGTAGAAAGCCAAGATCCAAGGCACGAGTGTAAGGACAAGTCCCTAATCCATCATTAGCAACAAGCTGACATCAAACACAAACTCGAACTTACAATTCCACCCAGCAGACTAGATGCCTCGGGGTATCCAAGGTTCGTAAACATAGCAGCCGTAACTAATGGGAAGACACCACCAAGTAGGTTCCGGCCTAACAACCAACATTAGTCTGGAAACCCAAAGACACAGACACTTCAGCTTGGAACTGGAAACTTACAGCAAGACTGCGCCGCAATCGCCGAGCTGGCGTATCGGTGGTACGTATCCGCGAGATAATTGAATGTCGCAAGGTAGATGGAAAAGATACCCATGCCCGCACATCCGACAGCAAGAGTCGGCACGATCCAAGGTACCGATGGGTAAGAAGTCCAGCCGAACCAGAATAGACCGATTGGGAGGAGGATGGATTCAATGCAGACGTAGTAGAGTCGGCCTTCGGCTGATGAGGGAATTTTTCCTCTTCCGATTACTGCGCCAATTTTTTCGTGATAGATGCTGATTATGGTGATGATAATGACACCGACGCAGAGGGCTGGCTTTGTTAGATATCTCTCTTTTATTTGAGGTTGATTTGGGGATGGTTGCTTACAAGTAAAGACGGCACCGGTTTGTTCGACGTTGAAGTGGTGGTTTGTTTCGAAGACCAGAGGGATGGAGCTGAATTGGAGGTAGAGCGTAGCCCAGCTGAAGGATACCCACAAAGAGAAAAAGAAGACCACGGGCTCGGTGAAGAGCATGTCTGAGGAAAGTAATATTAGTGCACAGATCTATTAGATTGGTATGATTCAAGACTCACGGAAAGGCCGATACAGCGAAATTTGAACTGCAGTTAGCAATGAAGTGCGCTGCTCATCGCTCTCCACTTTCCATCGAATCCGTCGGATGTTCTTCTCCGTGGGCTGCTCCTCGGAAAATGTGATCACGCCGACATGACCGGCCTCCTCGAGTTTTTCGTAATATTTGTTCAAGGCGTTGGCTTTGCGGCTTAGAATGACACTTCCGCGTGTCTCTTTGAAGAAGAAATAAATGATAACTACGAAGACACTGGAGACGATCGCGTGCGAGTAGTAGATCCAGCGCCAGGTGGTGTGGGTGACGACAGCACCTGCTAGCATAGGTGCCAGACCGGTTCCGAACAAGGCAGCGCCGGAGAAGAGCGCCATGGGAGTGTTTCGGTCGTGTGCATGGAAAATGTCACTGATCACCCCGCCGACCATAGTCGAGAATGTCGCTGGAATCTGTTAGTGTTGCGTTCATACTAACAAGCCAAGGGAAAACATACAGGAGCTACATCCTTGGAAGAAACGGGCGACCAGCAACCCGGCGAACGAGTTCGTTCCTCCACATCCAATCAGACAAGCTGCAAAACTACCGTCAGTGTCATCCTTCATAATCATGATTTCAAAATACATACCAACAAAGATAATGCCGCTAGCAACAAAAATGGGCCGGCGACCGTTGATTTCCGAAAATGGAGCCAGAGCCATAGGTGCAAGTGCAAACCCGATACAGAAGATCGTGATACTGAGGTTATAAACCACAGAGCTGATTCCCCATTCCTTACACAATTCGCTCGATGCCGGACTAACCTCTCCAGCGGAGTAACCAGCCAGCGCAGTAACCGCACAAGCAATCCAAGTCATCATCCATTTGCGCCACTTCGGCCACAGAAAAGGCGAAGTGTACTTTTCCAAGCTCGGCGCCTCAGGTGGTGCAGATTGACCCGCAGCTGGGGGTAAAGTAATGCATGGGGTAGGTAGCGGGGTCTCCAGCTCAAGGTAGAGATATTCAATTTCATTCGACTCCGCTAAGGAGTCGGGACTGGGTTCGCGTCTGTCCATGGCGACGACAGACCCAGTTTTGGTGAGGCCGGAGGCTTCAAGAGCCATATATACTGTGAAATATGGACTGGGGGACGTTTGTCTTTGGGTGAACCTCCTCACTTTGACAGGTCTAAAATTGGGATCAGACCTTATATAAATAAGCGTGGGTCGAAAGAGTCATGAAAAATAAAATTGGAGAAGCCGTTTCTCCAATTCTGGGCCCGGACAGAGTTGTTTGCTTCTTATTCTTTGGCACTTTTACTGGTGGGATATGTGTTATGGAGAGAAAGGAGCTGTGCTGATTTGTTCCCTGCACGTTTCTGACTGCTATTAGATTATTTGAGAGTGGGCATGTCAATCATTTGGCAGGGAATCTGTTTAGCCAAAGCTATTGCCGTTAGCGTATTTGACTTTTCATTATTAATGATAAGAGACGGATTCTCCACTTCGATGGCGATCTCCAATTTGGAGAACTTCGGGGTTTTTCCTGGGGTAATTCCGAGAACACCGAGACCTCGAATCTCGAGTCTTTACTGTCCAATAATTATGTTAGATCATGATGACGAGTCACATTTGTCAACCGTGGACTCATTCGAGAACTTCGTAGTCAAAACAATGGTATTCTCCAGGGAAGCATATGCGAAGGGTTAGAATGGTCTGGAATCTTTATCATGTTCAACCCCGCTCTATACTTTATGCAGCTATACAGGAGTCTCTTGATGACCTTACAAAAACCTCCAAACCTCGCTCTTGGTGTCACCAAATTGCGTTAAAGACTATACACTGGAAAAGTTGAGGAGCAAGACGTCATCATGGCCGCTTTGCCGGATGGTGCCTAGGGAATAGCTTTCCAAGGTTCGCGACCAGTGTGGCAATAAGCTTGCTGGATAGCTTCCCTCCTTTTAAAAAATAGCCCTCATGATTGGCATCAGCAGCGGCTTACTAGTTAGTACAGTGACGAGAGATTCAGGCGCAACGAGGAGATAAACGTTAGCTTGAGTAGACTAGCAATGCCATTCTAAAAATCAGAGATTCTTCGTCGAAAATACAAGCAACCACAACAAAGCATCGACAGGGTATTGATAACTAAACTTTTTCATGACTCAAGAGGCCGTGCTAAATTCTGCTCAAGACTCTGTCAAAGAAAGACACCATATTACTCCTTGTTATAGCAGTCCTTATAGAGGACCAGCGCGCGTCATCAGGTGACCTGTGATCCATCGGGTCAGGTGACCTCACTTGTATTGTAGAGTTCTCCAACTATGCAATACAGTAGCTTGTCCCTTTGATCAACCAATGCGCTGCTCATCAAATCATTTCATTTGCCTTCTATATGCTGTGTTCCAAAGAGCGACTATTAAAGCAGAGCTGGCAAATGTGTACACGCCACTGGTGAAATGTTACATTGACATCATGTAGCCGGAGTTAATCGGTATCTCCCCGGCTTCAAGATCAAACCCCTCTCCACCCGCTTAACGTCACACCTTGAAGCTATGGACGGCAAGCCCTATCAATGTCAGCGATGCTCCAGATCATTTGCTCGTCTGGAGCATCTCCAACGCCATGATCGGTCCCGTACGGATACTTCTCCAATTCGGTTCTACATTCGTACTAACACCTAGCCAGATACCAAGGAAAAACCCTATGCCTGTGCACAATGCCCTAAGGCCTTCACTCGAAAGTATGTTACATCATTCTAGTGTGATGCATGTATCTCTAACTTGACATAGAGACTTGCTCGCACGCCATGACAGACTCGCCCATCAACCGGGGGCGAGCCCCGCGAGCCATCAAACAATATCGCCGTCTCCGGCTCGGTCAAATTTAGATGGCCTAGATGCTCTAGCATCAGTTGTGACAGATCATGCACATTCCAATCGTTCAATGTCAGGGCGAAGCGACCAGTATCCGGATTCCATGTCCGTAGACCGAAGTTCAATGATTGGCCCTCAGTTATCCAATTCGCAACAATCCCCAACAAAGCAAACTGGCGCCCCGCCTCTGCAGGGATCCGAATTTGGATACCCGATGGGCGGTTTTTCAGCGGGGGCTTACGAAGATAATGACTTTACTTCTTTCCTAGACAGTGTTCCCCTGCCTAGCCATCCGTTCTCGCCGGCGTTCCAGCCGCTTCCCTTGTTTCCACCCTTGCAATATTCCCCCGTCGCGGAGTTTGAACAGACCTCCGATAGGGGCCCACCTACAGAGCCAGCTTCCACGCCACGAAGCTCGGTACTACCGCGTCATGATGCACAGCTACCATCTCTTCAGCCCGAGGGGTATCAGTCCCCGGCCAACAAGGCACGACAACCCACAGGGTTCCTGCCTGTGACAGCACAGTGTCGAGAGAAGATTCTTTACCGGTTAGCGGACTATTCCAATGTGGTCCCCGATCCATCCCTTCCCTCTCGCCATGCCTTATCTCGATGTTTGACCGGTTACCTAATGGGATACCACGATCACTATCCAATTGTGCACAAGCCAACTCTCGATATCGAGTCTATGCCTGTCACCCTGTTTCTATCCATGGCTGCGCTAGGCGCACGCTATTGTCGTGAACCAGATACCAGTATGCGCCTGTATCAAATAGCTAAACCAGTCACTCTGGAGCACGTCCGACGGACGTTCCAGTCAGGCAAGCTACCGGAACCAGATGCGAACAGTGTTGATATGCTTGAAACAATCCAGTCTCTGCTGTTCTTAATATCTGTTTCATCCTGGTTCCTAAATGACCCACCATACTACGAGGCATTGTCCATTCGAAGCACAATGGGCGCCCTGGTGCGGAAAGGGGGCCTCAACCGGCTTCCCGAACAGGATGGAACCTGGGCAAGCTGGATTTTCCGCGAGCAAGTCAAGCGTATAAAGCTTATTGTCTTCTGCTTTTTCAATATTCACACTATTGTCTTCGATATTCCTCCGGTCATCCTCACGGAAGAGATGTTTCTGGACCTGCCATGTACAGAGAGGGAATGGCAGGCATCTAGCCCCGAGCTCTGGCAATTAGCCCGCAGTCAAAGTCCCGGAGAACCCAAGTTTCAGGATGCATTAGCCGCGCTATTCAACCCTCACAGCGATATGGAACGCTTCTCGTCTCTTGGTGGATATGTGCTTATCCATGCATTGCTGCAAGACATATGGCTGATGACTAAAACGAGCCGCCTGTGTGTTTCGCGTTTTAACAACCGTCTCAACTCAGCCATCGCACCAACATCGGCACTAATTGTATTTGAGCAAGCTCTTGAACGATGGTGTCAGTTCTGGGAACGCAATCAGGAGTCATCAATCGATCCACTCAGTCCTCATGGACCTCTATCATTCACGTCAGCAGCATTACTACGGCTAGCATACATTCGACTAAGTGCCGATTGTGGATCCACCCGGCAACTTCAATCCTGGGACTCCGTTCAAATAGCCAGGAGCTTGAAAGAAAATCTCGCCGTGCAGCGTGGCGACCGCCTCACACGGGCAGCATTGCATTGTGCTCACGCACTCAGCACGCCAGTCAAACTAGGCATCGGATACGTGGCCCACTCCCAGGTCGCACTGTGGTCAAACCAGCACGCCCTATGCTCGCTTGAATGTGCTGTCGTACTTGCCAAGTGGCTTGAAGCAGTAACGGGACCGGATCCTGACCCCGTTCTGACGGAACAGGAGATCCGCTTACGGGACTTTGTGCTCGAAATGGTTATGGAGGTGCAGCATGGTGTTTCCCGTGAGTGGCTCTTGGCCACTAATACCAGGCTTAGTGCGGCAGTGACCCGCCTTTGGGCGCGCCTTTTCACGGCGGATTATATCTGGGAAATGGTTAATTTGATTGGGAGGTCACTAAACAGTTATGCGGATTTATTGGAAGGGACATGATGGATCAATTGTAACTATAATCTGATCAGATAATGTATAAGCCATAATAATCACTTTCTCTACAATGGTCAAGGAAAAAGCCGGTACGCGAAAGCTAGATGTACTCCAACTTAGTCTGTCAGCCCTGGAGAACGTATTAACAAGAATCAATTGGAGAAGCTCCGAGCGGCTCGGATTTTGCAGTTCCGAGGCCACACTCGTACAACATTAAACGTGGGGAATCAGTCAAGTGGAACTTCTTCTGACTCACGTCTATATCTGTACCCGCAGTATCCGCAACTTACATAATTATAACTGATCTTATTTATATTCGTCGAGAACTCGCATTCTTCAAGGCTCAAATCAACTGAACTTGAATCCCCGTCATGGCTCCTCCAACCCCTCTTACAGCTACCCCACATCTCCTCGCCTTCCTAAAGGACCTCCACTCTCAATCCCTGAACCAGGAAGCCAAAATAGAATGGTCCTCCCTTCCAGGCCAAACAACCAATGAATACGACAATATCATGCGTGACAAGTTCATTGCCTTGGACCAGGATAAATGTGAATTGATCTACCACATCCTGCGCAGCATTAACGCAACGACAATCGTCGAAGCAGGAACCAGTTTCGGCGTTAGCACCATATACCTCGCGCTTGCTGCAGCTCAGAATTCTGCACGTGGAGCTGGAGCCAGTGCTGCGGGAAGGGTTATCGCTACCGAGAAGGAGCCTTCAAAGGCCGCTGTAGCGCAAAGGAACTGGCAGCAGGCTGGAGAGGAGATTCAAGGTGTGATTGATCTTCGCATTGGTGATCTGCGGGAGACCCTCGGCAAGGATCTGGGCACTGTGGACTTTTTGCTTCTGGATAGTATGTTCATCTCGTGCAAGCATATGATATGCGTATAAGGTTCCATTACTGGCTGGTGACAAAGGCTAATTGCTGTATAGTTTGGACACCCCTAGCTCTTCCTGCTTTGAAGCTGGTTGAGTCGCATTTCAGGCCTGGTGCTATGATTATCGCGGACAATACTGTGAAGGCTGCTGCGGGTTATGCGGAGTTGTTTGCTTATGTGGATGCGCCTGGTAGTCGGTTCCGCAGGGTTACAATGCCTTATGCTGGTGGCTTAGATATGATTGTGTATCAGTGAGCATGATGTAGAAAGTCATTAACTGCATAGCTGAACAGATTCTCACAAATAAAAAAGCAAAGAAGTCATTCAAGTCTTATAATTCTTAATCCTCGTCCCTAATGTTGACTTTCGCAATGGTCGCCCATGACTGATACCATGACCAAAGTGATATAGCAGATGGGATCAATCCATCTCTGCTGAGTCTGTGTCAGACCAATACGAAGGCCAGTATATTGTGGGGACATATGCAATGGTATGGTTACGTCAGTGCGCAGTATGACATGGCCACGATACTTCGGCTCCTTTTTTGAACAAATTAGGGATTATTCAGATCGTTATAGCTGAGCTTTGGATGTTTTAGCTTTTGAAAGCATTTTCATGCAGCAGTAGCAATCCAATCGAAGTCCAGTCAAACTCGTTTGTGCTTGGTATGATTTTCCAAGGCTTGAGTAGATGCTGTCTTTTTCTAAATAGCTTCAACTGCTCTACTTGCGCTCTATTTAACAATTTCTCATGTAAAAAACAGCATTCGTATCAATTGAAAGCCTTTTCAAGCTGAATTATTGGGCTCTTTTTTTACATGATGAGATCTCGGAAGCGTCATTCGGATTCAAGTGAATTACTTAATCGAAATCAAAACTTGAAAATGACAAGGACCTCACCATCATCACCTTGAGTAGCTGTTCTTTGTCACATCTCATTTCCCAAGTTCCTTTCCTTGAACGAGATTGTGGAACAACGCGGAAAGTTTCCGGCTTACGAACACCAACAGAATCACGATTCATGTCACCCTCAGCACTCCAATGCATCGCGCCATTAGACTCTGTCGCCCTACATCATCTTTCTTCAATCTGAGCAAAATCTCAATTTCTTCTACCCAGCAACGTAAAATGTCGCAGGCACCCAGCATCCACAACCCCGCTACCGCTGACGGCTGGCATGGCGTCATCCCCAGCGCTCAATTCCCCGCCGAGAAAGGACGCTACCACCTCTACATTGGACTCTTCTGCCCCTTCGCCCACCGAGCCAATTTCGTCCGCCACTTGAAAGGTCTGACGGATTTCATCAAAGTCAGCATAGTCAAGCCTTATCCGAAAGGCGACGCGAACGGCTGGCCAGGATGGCGTCTCCCTGACTCAGATGACGAGTATCCTGGCGCAACAGTTGATCACCTCTTCGGAGAAGACTACTTACATAAAATTTATTTCCGCGCTGATCCGGACTATAAGGGTCGATACTCTGTTCCTCTATTGTGGGATACAAAGACCGGGACTGCTGTCTGCAATGTATTTACTTCACCTCTATTAAATCCCAAGATGGATTCAATACTAACGGTGGTGATAGGAAAGTGCTGAGCTTCTTCGCTGGCTCCCGACAGCCTTTAATGAGCTTCTTCCGCCAAAAATCGCCTCTATCGATCTTTACCCGTCTCACTTGCGAACCCAGATCGATGCCATCTCGACCTGGATGCAGTCGGATGTCAACACGGGCGTCTATAAAGCAGGATTTGCGCCCTCGCAAGAGATCTACGACAAAAATGTTGTCCCAGTCTTTGGCGCTTTGAACAAGCTCGAAAATATTGTTGCACAGCATGGTGGTCCGTTCGTGCTAGGAAAGGAGATGACAGAGCTGGATATTCGGTTGTATGCGACCCTGATCCGTTTCGATACGGTCTATGTCCAGCATTTCAAGTGCAATTTGGGTACCATTCGCCACGATTACCCTGTTTTGAATAATTGGTTGAAGGGGATGTACTGGGATGTTGAAGCGGCGAGGGCATCGACTAACTTTAAACATATCAAGGAAAACGTAGGTTGCTTGGTCATTTTTATTGTATTTGATGAGGGATGCTGATAATATCGCAGTATACCAAGAGTCATTCGGATGTCAACCCGAAAGCAATTACACCAATGGGTCCATTTCCTGATGTTGAGGAGGGCGTGGAGAGGGATTGGGCTAGGTTAACGCCGGGAGGTGTTAAACATCCTGCTGTGTTGGCTTATCAGAACACTTTACCTAATGTCTAGTGTTGTTTTCTGAGTGTATGAGACTTGGATTGCTCTTTAAATTCCCTGTAACCTTGAAGCCTAGGCAGGCATAAAAACTGGGATGATGCCTTTCCTGATTGTCTGTTCGTTGCAGCCCATTTCATTTAAATCCGCCGAACAATAAAGCGACTTGTGTCGCAGCTACAAAATGGCCCATGTCTCATGTTGCACAGTCTAAGGCATATGAGTACAGTAGACAATCCGGGTAAACCAATTATTTTTCTAGCATATCTCATAGGAAGGCAGGGAGTTGGGGGAAGCAGAAATCATTCCAAAGTTGCATGTACTCGGAAAGTACCCACCAAGGAACTTGTGGCTTCAAGAATTTAAGGTTCGAACTAAAAATCTTGATCGGACTTCATCTATAATTCCTGAGCAAATCACATTAGCGAGGTGTCCGTCCCGCCTAACAATTACAGTACACAGACCTTATCCTAATGGTCATTTAAATTGCGGAAGAATGATCAAATATGATATGCAGATGAAATTACCGTTAGAAATGCATCCCGTCAAAGCCCTAGTATATACAAGAAAACATTAGTCAATCAAGACTTTTACTGGGTTGTCGGCCAGTTCCCTTTCCACCGCACAAAGTGCTCCTCCTCATCATCCATGACCACAATCATCCAAACGCCGACCTCGCCATTATTCGCCAACAAAGGCGTACAGTGGATCCAGCGATGCCGGCCGGTCTCACTAAAGCGGGTGACCCACTTGATCCGGGCTGTGACACTACGTCCCTCCGTCATGGCCTGCACAATGCTATCCTTCTTTTCACCGGTATCTCCAATCCGTGATAAGAATGATGATTGGAGCATTCCCGGGATCTGTAGAGAGGGAGAGGTGAAGAGGACGCGGAGTGATGGGTATGGTCGGACGAGGAGGTACTAGATCTTTGATTAGCATACCGGTCAGGAATACCGGGGGAAGAATAAACAAACATTTTTATAAACGCCGGTCAAAGATCCACTGGGGTTTGCTGAGGGAGCGGACTGCTGAAACTCGCTGAGGCGTTTCTCTGCTTCATAATCAGGGCTGCCGGGTATGAATAGACGGCTATTTGTCGGGTTGACTTTTTCTTCAATGGGTTGGAAAAGATTGCCGCCGTAAGCATGGATGTTCTGTAACTCGCGCGGACTGAACAGTTCGCCCAGTTCTTGGAACTCAGATTTCGACTGTTGGGGTTCTTCTTCGCCGGCTTCTCTCCTCTCCTTCTGGGCTGTGAGAGCTTGTAGCGACTCCATCTGGGCGCCCTCCATAGCCAGACCGGAGACATCGACCTGGGCACCAATGAAGTATCGGACTTTGCCTTGGCTATCGCAGAGAGGAGCGCATTGAAGAAGGTTCATGAACGGTGAGCCGTCACGGCGACTGTTTTCCTTGTTTAGTTTTGGATGAGTAATGCGATTAATGATAGTAACTCACTAGTTGAGGAAAAGTTCCGAATGATGCCGACCAGCCTTCAATGCTTCTCGGATGCGCCTCACGCTGTTGGGGTTGGTTTTGGGTCCTTGCAAGAAGCGACAATTCCGTCCCAGTACGTAATCCATGCCATATTGTGTAGTGCGGTGGAATTCTATCATGAGTTAGCACACGATCACAAACATCTGCAACGTCAGATCTGTACCTCCAGATGCAAAAATAATCGGGTTATCTGGCCGCGACGGATCTGTCAAACAGAAAACCTCCGCTAGTGCATCGGCAGTCCCTTGGAACTTTTCCGGCAGGGTTCCACGAACGCGCTCTTCCACAACCTTGCTAGTAATGTTGATGCAGGTAGATGTAATGAAAGCCGGGAGCTCCTCTGCAGTAAGTGCATTCAACCCATCCTGCACACGAGCTTCAAGCGCAGGGTTTATGGTAAGCTCCACTGGCTGCTTTGCAGGCTCGATTCCAGTCGGAGGGAGAAGCACAGATAGTCTAATCAGCGAATTGGCGTATTCCAATGACTTCAATGCTTTGCTGGCATTGAGATAATACGTCAACACGGGAATTGATTTCGGCCGCTCGGTAAGCAGAAATTCTCGAAACCGTGCTAGGTAGCGTGGATTAGTGAGAATGGCTAGCATATGCTCTGATGAAAACATGGTATCCGCTTGGCGCTCAAGCGTGTGCAATGGGGGTTCGTCGCCCTCGTACGGAGCAACTAAATCAAAGGAACAGTCTTCGTCATTTTCGTCGACCGGATTAAATTCCTCGGCGCCATCATTTGGGTTCGTCGCTTGTAATAGAGGCAGCTCCTTGACATCGTTCACAGTATAATTGCGGCGTAATGTTCTTAATGAAGGCTGCGAGCGCAGATCGCTAGAATCATTGGGTGGAGTGGGACTGTCCCGGTCAGCGCAGCCGCGGAAAATATTTCCACAATGTTGTCACTTTCTCACCATTGCTTGGGCGTTTGTTCGCCATTTGTGGCATTGAGGCTTCCTTGAGCGCCGTTTTTGTACTGCGACTCTGGATATTCCGGGGTACAATCGTCGAGGACAATCGTGGGGGAGGTGAGCACCGATGCCGGCTTGTGCGGCCGGTCGTCTGGGATATCGGGAATATCCATCGTGTGAAATAATCTCAGGGACTTGTCCGACTCGACTGACACGACTGGCATATGCCTGAGGGCAGACCGCCCTTTAAGAAATTCACATAGCTACCGGCCATGGCCAGATCGTGGGCCTCCAAGCTAGGATCAGACTGGTTTATTGAACCCAATCCACGGTTCTCATCGAACCCGGCGAATAGATTGCATTTGATGCGGTGCAGCTGCTGACGATCTCCAAGATCGCAATTTTCGCCAAGTGGGCGATGGGCCCGATCGATCGGGCGATCGTCAGGTCCATGAGGTGCTGAGGGAAGAGATCAGGCGGCTTCATGGGCTATGATGCAATGCTCCAAGGCACCGCGATCATGTGGGTCCTGCCAGCTCTCGGGCAATAGGAAATCGACATCATAACCAAGAAAAAATGACAGATCGGCGGGGATCAAATCATTCCGGCACTTGAGAGCGTTGCCTCGGTCCCAAGGTTGGCGATCTCCACGTGGATATCTTTCTTTATTTGGAAATTTAATATCAGTCAAACGTCAAAAGTGAAGTTAATTCGCATAGCCAATTGTTGTCTAGGTGCGCCTTGGACAAGGGTGATAAAAGGCAACAGTGGAAAGGAGACCGCCCAAGTTGTGGATTGAATAATGGATCGTGAAGTCTTATGTAGCTGGAAACTTCCAGTCCATAATATTTATAGCAAGGTAGGTGCAAGAGGCATATGAAGATCCATTGTAGACCAAAAGAGACAGGAACAAACATCCAAAATGATATTGGTTTGAGCTAATTTTTTAGGAATTCAATGGTGTCATATACCGAAAGGTCCTATTTAGTGACTTAAGTTGCCGGTGTGACGCAATGGTAGCGTGTCAGCCTTCTAAGCTGAAAGTTGCGGGTTCGACCCCCGCCATTGGTTCTCTTACTTTTATTTTTTTTTTCTTCTCACCTTTTCTTTCCCATCTTTCTCATTGATATCTACGATGCTATACAGAAAGTGCTATAAACAAGCAGTCTAATATTAATATATCATTTGGTTTATGATAACAGAAAAATAAGAGTCTCTTTTTCCTACAGTAGTCGATATACATATGGCTGCGCCGAAGTAGGAATGACGGGGCGTTTGCTACATACTTCGAAGTCTCAAAAACAATGCATGACTTGACATCAACGCAACAGCACTTGGTCGATGTTAGCGTGCTCATTTGCAGCAGTCGTCATCCCTACAGCACGACCATCTCTAGCCGTATAATGCAGAGGCGTGCATCCATTTTTGTCCTAAACATGCAAATCTGCTGCATAGCCGAGAAGCTTCCGGGCCTCCATTGTCCATATTTAAGTGTTCGTCCTTCGTCATCTTGGTCATCGACCCAGCCTCTGTGTTCCTCGGATAGCAAATGCCGATCACTGTTCTGAAAATCACATGGGGCAACATAGTGTAAGACTTAATATAAAGGCATAATTTATGAAGCAAATGGTGTTTCCAAAGCCGAAGGTGGATGGCGCAGTCGTTTCCTTCGACTACCCCACTTTGAAATTTGCTCAAAGGACATTCCCCTTGAAACTCATCAATGCAAGACTGCTAGATCCTGTTTCCGACTTGTATATAAATATAAAGGCGTGGAGTTGATCGATTTCACAATGCTAGGACTTAGCTGGTCCGAACTTTTGAGAACGGAATCATTTAACGGCAGCACCGAAGTTGTAAGGGAGTGTACCGACGAGAGCATTATCGAATGATTCGATCTTATTGCAGCAATTTGATCATTTTATCTTCTTCTTTTTTTTTTTTTTTTTTTTTTTTTTTTGGGTAAAGAGGCTTGTTATATAATTCCCCATACCCAAAACCGCTAAAGTTCATCAGAGCAGGAATACCTTTACTCATATGGTGGATGTTATCAAACCATTCAGGGAGATCAATCATTGAACACCGCAAAGTTAGTTGGACACCTCACTAGCCTACATCTGTGGTGGCGCGGGATTTGTGATTCAGAGTCGTAATATTAACAAGTACATACCGAGGTACCTGCTTGTTCACATTAGGCTACCTTGGGATTTGAAGGTCAGTTAGGAGTGACGCCCGCTGAGACGGCGACTTTTCGATCTATATCCCGGCTCCAATGATGCCATTCCTTGCAAGGTCATACGCTCTTGATACCTAGAAGCTCAGGGACCGTACATACCCTGTTGTTTGAGTTACACTTGTCGCGCTAGCTCAGACATGGGCTAGTGAAGTGTCATCAACTTCCTCATTCAATTGACTGCGTATTCATTGGGCGCATGATGCAATCTTACCGGGATTCGGGTCAATTAATGCAGCCATTATCCCAGGAATCTCTCCGTCTATCTGTCATAAACGGTATAAAAGACCTAAACTAATCCAGTTTTGAATTCCATTCATAAAGATCAGTCTTGTCAAACGGATTAATATTCACTCCGACAATTTTACAGGCAAGTTTCAAGTCTACAACCCCCCACTAAGCAAACATCATGTCTACATCGAGCCTCAAGTATACCTCCAAGCTCGCCAACCAACGAGTTCTCATCTTCGGTGGCAGCTCAGGACTCGGCTTCGCTGTCGCTGAAGCCGCCCTTGAATATGGTGCCCATATCATCCTTTCCAGCTCTAACCAAAGCAAGCTCGACATCGCCGTCAACAGCCTAAAAGCAACTTATCCCAGTCAAACCGCAACGCAAACTGTCATCACTCACGTCTGTGATCTCTCCGACGTTGCCAACCTCGATACAAACCTCGAGAGTCTTTTTAAAGCTGCCACAGCCAATGGCACGCACAAACTGAATCACATAATCTCCACAGCTGGTGGTCCAGTCAATACGCCTTCACCAAACGATATACACGCGCACGGTGTCTACAGCGCTATGAATTTGCGTCTCGTCGCCCCGGCCGTGATGGCAAAGTTTATCCCCAAGTATATGGAGCCATCGCCGTTAAGCTCGCTTACTTTGACTGGTGGTGTAATAGGCCGCAAGCCCTCACCGGGTTGGTCTGTTATTACGGCTGGTACTTCTGGTATTGAGGGGCTTGCGCGTAGATTGGCGCTGGAGCTGGCGCCTGTGCGTGTTAACACAGTTGCTCCAGGTGCTGTGAACACGGAACTTTGGGATTCGTTTCCCAAGGAAATTGTGGGGCCGGCGCTGCAGTGGTTTAAAGACCAGTCAACCACTGGAACTATTGGTGGGCCGGAGGATCTAGCGGAGAGCTATATCTACTTGATGCGGGATCACTTCATAACGGGGTCAGTGATTGAGTCAAATGGCGGACTTTTATTGAAGTAGTTATTTCACGAAATATTTCAGAGCAGTCAAGACCTAAATCAATAGATGATTTCTTATGAAGCTTTCATGAACACAACGTTACCTCCGGAGGGCGTTATGGGAGGTGGCTAAAAGCTACCATCGATATAGACATGCGGCGTTAGGCCTGTTATCTCCGGTCGCGCAAACTCCGCTCAAAGCTCGGGCTCACTTTACCAAAGAACCTCACGCTCGACACGCACGAGCCATCAACGGCCCCTCCAGGCCCCAACGCCCCGCGTCATCGCTTATTCTGATTGAAGTATCATCTAGCTTTGGTCGGTACAAGTCTATCTCCGCCCGTGCCACTTAGAATCTAGACGGCGCAAGCCTGCCGCGACATTCAAGATGCAGGGCTTCAGTGAGTCTCACTTCCAGCGCTGCCGCAATGTCGCAACTTTAAAGCTAACAACTTGGCCTAGATATGGGACGGTTTGTCGCTACCCTCACCTTCCGCAAATCGCTGTCTGATAACATTCACTAACCCACCCACCAGATATGTCCCACCGGACCAAGAAGGCCTCACCTCTGCCAACAAGCTTGCCGGCAAACATCCCCTCGGCGCACGCGCGCGCCACCTCAGCACAACTGGTGCACTAATAGTGCGCTTCGAAGTCCCCTTTGCAATCTGGTGCACCACATGCAAGCCGCATGAGACAATAATAGGACAAGGAGTGCGCTTCAACGCCGAGAAGAAGAAAATCGGCAATTATTACTCCACGCCGATCTACAGCTTTCGCATGAAACACATTCCATGCGGTGGATGGATTGAAATCCGTACGGATCCGCAGAACACAGCATACGTCGTTCACGAAGGTGCGCGGAAACGAGATACCGGCGAGGACAAACCATTGGAACCTGGGGAGATCGCCATTCGGGGTCCCGGCCTAGGCCAGGATCCGGCGGAAAAAGACCCGTTTGCGAAGATTGAAGGTAAAATCGAGGACAAGCGGAAGGCGGATACGGAGGCGAGTCGGATTCGGGAGTTGCAGGAGAGGCAAGATCGGGACTGGGATGATCCCTATGAGCAGTCGAAAAGGCTGAGGCGCACTTTTCGCGAGGAGAGGAAGGGTTTGGAAAAGCTTGAAACAAACCGTGAGGATCTGAAAAATAAAATGAGTCTTGGTATTGATCTCGCCGATGAAACTGAAGAAGATCGACAACGAGCTGGGATGGTGGACTTTGGTCATGATCAGTCTGCTGCTGGGATTGAAGCAGCCCGAGCAAACCGCAGACGTCCTATGTTTGAGCAATTGATTTCGAAGAATACGGCTGAATCTGAAAGACGTGAACGCGAAAAGAATAAGGGCAGTGCTCGCCGGACCAAGGCCGCTGAGCTTGCTCGACGCAAAGCTTCTTTGCACCAAGAGCTTGCAGGGAATACACGTGCCGCTATCGATCCGTTCTTAAAAGATGCCAGTGATGATCCAAAATCTTGGAAATCAGCTCCGAGGCGAAAATCGAAGCCTGCTTCGTTGCGTTCTGCTCACCGTGGCGAGACTGAGACCAGTGACACGACCGACACTTCGAACAAAAACACACCGATATCCATGCCGGAAACCCTTCCAGAATCCCCTGGCAAGAGGTTGCCAACTGGACCCCCGCGAGCATTGGTAGACTATGGGTCTGATTCGGACTAGAAAGGGCATTGCATGGATTACTTCTCTTTTTTTATACCCCAGCGGGCGTTATGGGTTTCTTTATTGCTCCATAGAACAGAATCTTCATGGAATTAAGATACAATTCATCTATGAGATCTCCAGTTCGTGAGCTACGTGTCCTATGACGGGTATCATTTTCTTTCTATTTAGCCCAAGGTGCCTTAGTAGGTCCATCACCCCCTGGTGGCGGAGGGGCTTGTGAGGTTGCCCAGGGAGCTTTGGTTGGAGCCATAGGGCCTGGAGGTAGTCGAGAGGTGTCAGGAAGAGCTGTATTTGAAGCCTGAGGCACGTCCCTTCGCGCAGCAGCCCACGGTGCCGCTGTATTCCCCATGGGAGGTACACGAGTTCCCACTCCTGCATTTGCCCATGGTGCCCTCGTACCCAAATCCACATTCGGCCGTGCGGTAGTCGACGGACCACCCCCATCTGGCACAGCAGGTCGGGCTTGTGGACCCGAGGTTGAGTGGACGGTTGTCGGAGGCGCAATAGCGTTGGGGTCACGAGCCCAGCTGAACAAAGAGCCAAATGGGAAGTGCTGTACAACTGGGAACTTGGATAAAACCTCTGCGTTGTACATTTTCACCATGCCCTAGAGGAGGAAACATTAGCTTGCATTCATGGGTAGGCTACGCTTAAATGGCTTACCTTATTGATCTTGCCCCATCCGGCTCTAATACCGGAGATGTCGTACAGCATAGGGCTATGTTCCCAGAACGGCCCTTTTTTCACATCATAGATAAAACCAATGGCGGAGAAATACAAGTTAGTTCTCCTCTCCCTCTCCACGTTATTGGCTTTGGCGACTCCGCTGGGGTCAGGGGCATCAGGTAATGAACCTTCTTCTGGTGTCAGGTCTGTGTCACTGATAGCTGGAGCAAGCTGCGCGGAGCCTAAGATGTAGGGAATGAAGGAGTGGTCGTCAAGCCCCCATACACCATGGGACCCAGCTGGTTCAAGTGTGTACGTTTTGATCAAAGTCCGGATAAGTTCAAGGTATCTGCAGAACACTTTAGTTGAATTCACCACATTGTAATCGGCCATAGCTCGCTCACGGTTCAATAACTCCGAGAACAATGGCTCTCTCTTCGACGCCCGGGTCAGACGTTGGGAATCCGTTTAGTTTCCAAATGGCAGCTAAAAATGCCAAAAAGCTCAATTCATGGCCTGTGCCATAGTCCAAACGCTGACCACTTCCCCAACTACCGAGAAAGTATGCCTTCAATTCGGTCTCCGCTGTAGGTCCCTCGGGATCTGCTGAAGGCGTGTCCAAAAGCTCCGCGGGCAAGCATTCTCTTAGCAGAGTAGAGGCCCGCTCTTCCAGAACCTCATGCCATTTCCGGAAGCTAATATTTCCAAATCGACGTGGCCCAGTGTCTGGTGGAACCTCTTGTATAAGGTCCTCAAGCTTGGAAAGTAACTCCTGCAGCTGTCGAATGGGCGCGGAGAACTGGACAGCATCTGTACCCAAGGGCCATGCTTGCGATTCTCCGTCGGACATTTTTGTTGGGAATATCGAGCGGTTCAGTTGTAGGATGAAGGTCATAATATCAGTGTAAGCTTTCGAGACCAGGAAGGCCGGAACATCATGCGACTCGTGAATCTTCTTGCATGGCGTGATAAAATTGTGCGGTTCGGACGGGTCCAATCTGGCCAGGAAACGAACAGACCGGCCGGCCGGTTCCATTTTGAAGGATTAGTGAAGTATTCCAAGTATCTGGACTTGAAAAAAAAAGAGTTGTTGAAAGTGGGATGGAGGGGAAGGCAGGAATGACGGGTGTGGTGGAGCGGTCTCCACCCGAGCTTCCTCTTGGAAATCGTCAAAAGGACCCCAGATTGATAGTTTGACCCCGCTAACCACATCTAGTAAGGCGCAGTAATTGTAATTCATAGCACGTTCTGCCAGGTTTCGCAAGGATTGAGAGTATGTAGTCATATGGTGGCGTACGCTGAGTGAGACACCGGGGGTTGATTATATAACTTTTCGCCGGCTCAAGCCTCACATTTTGATTCATAATTGCCAATAAACAACACGGCAGTGGCCTCTGCAAGTTAGAGACATATTCGATAAATTTAGTCTTTATAAAATGATAGAATGTGCATGTTATACTTGGGGTATTCATGAGCACGCCTGAGAGCGGTCAGCTAAATATGGTGGGCGGTCTAACAATGCAGCGGTCTACTGGGTGCTTTTAATCCAACATGCACCTTTGTATGATATCTCCCTAAATACACGAAAGTGGTGTGGTGCACACATCTTAGGGCAGAAATTGGAACTCATGAGCATCCATGCCCAGTGGCTGGAGCCAGAAGCACCTTGACCGAGCTTAGATATGAACGTACCCGTGAACTCGGGCACAGGTTGCTATGAATTACAATTACCGCGCCTTACTACATATGGTTAGCGGGGGTCCAGCTATCAATTGGGGGTTCTCGTAACACCTACCTTCCTTTCATCTCTCCACAACGCGATTAGATCGTTCTGCAGCGCGTCACTCCCCTCGCATCCGCGGCACCCACTGACGGCTCGTGCCTTAACGCCATGCCACCACTTGCTAAGAAGCGTAAATCCCATTATTCCACTACTAGCTCGCTGGAGTTGCTCAACAAACCGCAATCTCGAAGACACACCACTCACAATGAGAGGAGCATTTTTGATGTTCCCGAATCACCCCAATTGGCAACGCGCTCTGTGCAGCGCTACGGACTTCGCCGCCAAAACAACTCTTCAATACAACAATCCAGCGAGGCCGACCAAGAGCAAGTCGAATCATCCTCCGAGCTCGATCAAGAGCAACCCGAGCCATCACCAGAGCCCAATAGGGAACAGTACAATCCGTTTTACGAGCTCAATCAGAGGCAATCGAGTTCATCTTCCGAGGGTGATCAGATAGACGATGCCCCCGACCCAAGTGACGATGAAGGCCATGTGGAGGCGACCAACATATATTTGCAGGATCACAAGGTAGAAGACCAAGAAGAGTCCCAAAACGAGCTGGAAAGTGTTCCATATGGGGGAGGTGAAGATCAAGAGACCCAAATCCAGGATTTTCACAACGAAGAGATCCAGAGTCGGCACGGTCAGAGCGAGGAAAGCCCAGATGAAAATTCACAACACGAATTCCAAGACGAGAGAGAAGAGGAAACTTACGCAAGCAACCCTCGGTCAAAAAGCCTCGACGCGCTCCAGGTCGTCATTCGTGAGAGCGTAGAGAGAGGCCCACGACAAAATAGCGGTGTCACTTCGCAAGGCTCCAGTAAAAGTGTGCCAGAGACACCACAGCCCACGACTCGATCGCGCAGGGCGCGTAAGGTACGTCAGGAAGGTCTAAGTACTGGCGGGCTCGATGCCGAGATGTCAGATCACAATGTAGCTGAGCTCCACGAAGGCATTGCCAAGCTAGATCATGATTTGAAAGATTGGCTGGCAACAAAGGTCCAAAGTACCCGTTGGAGTGACGACTGGATGCTCTTCTATGAACGCGCTTTCGAATTGCCAAAATACATCACTAGTCCTATGCCAGAATCATTCAATGATGCTTTCAAACTCATCGAAACCATGACAAGTCTGTTCAAAGATCTCGAAAACCTACCAGTTGACCTGGGGACGAAAGTCCAAAACCTCCGTGCTGCTACATTTACTGAAATAAAAGGCATACTGAACTTCAACGAAGTACCAAACGAGGATCTGGATCGAGAGATAGCCGGCCACTTGGTCATTAATGTTGAAGGCTACCTATTACCACACATCGCCATCATGATCATGCTGAGTTTCAGGGCATACACTCAGTACGGAGTACCGGCCTCCACGGCCTTCGACGATAGCCTAGGGCTAATGGTTGATTGTTCTGAACGAATCAATGCTCTTCGAGAGTATTATGAATCCAAGCTCAACCTTCAACGGTCCTGGCGCCTTGGAATACGGGCAAAGAATTTCAAGCAAGCACTTCAGAAGAACCAGTTGAGAGAGTTTCTAGCTGCAGAAGCACAAGCACCTGTCGAGACACCGAGACTTCCCCCGACTTTACACGGATGGACACGATCAGAGGAATCGTGGCTCTGTGATGCGTGGGAGCAGTACGATTGTGAGTGTCTATCTGAGTGTATCTCAAGGTTCTATTCATTCATTTCCCATGAGCAACGCTAATTCCGCCCGCAGCAAGTGAACCAGATGAACGATTCATTTTAATCAAAACGCACCTTGCATCTCAATTCTCACGGCACACTATAAGTTCTCTAAGGCTCAAGGCTCGTGAGCTTTTGTTGGATTCCTAAAACTTAAAATCTTAGGCTTCCTCTGCAGCATCTGGTACATAACTGCTTCAAGCGTGACTATTTCATTTGGATTTGAATATCATGAGCGGTGGGGGGTTTTTTTTGTACATACATAGCATTATACCATTCAAAATCAGCTTTGAGTCCTTTTCATAGATATTATGGACTGATGTAATCGGAATCTTCGGGTCCAACTCGGGTAGGAACCATGGAAATCATTGTTTTGGTCAAAAGGGGTACGCGTTTTGCACTTCCGTAGCATGAACGAGGGGGCCAGGTAAAGCGATGCCTCCTTTGTAAAACAACATAGAAATCTGTAGATTGTGATAACCAAAGAGATACGTCCTTTCTATGTTCACGCCGTTGAAACTGGGGTAAAGGTTAAAATATGGTGATCGACACTGCCGCCAACACCTCCCGAGGTCCTTTTCGAGGTAAACAAGCTTGAGTATGGCTAAACTGGATGAAAACAAGGGAATGGAAGGGTGTAACCCGCATATTTTAGAAAAGTTAATTCCTCGAAATTCAAACACAATTTCCCCAGATCTCTCGGGCTCGAGGTCGGGGCCAAGGGTTCAAAGGAGCAACGACGATCCTCCCCCTCCTCCCTCCACCGACACCGCTTTTACTTTTCCCGCTTTCTCCTTTTCTTTCTTGACTACTCATCCAGCTGTTTCGCTCTGTTCCTCCTGAGTATATCTCTCTGTGACAGCTACGCGCGCTGCCAGCTTATTCCTTTGTACTGAGGTACATCCCTCGAGACCCTCGGTGCTCCGAAGCCCCTGAAGCTTCTCGACCAAATCTGCGCGCTGCGCGTAAGTACAACCCGTTTGCTTTTGGTGCATGTTGCCCTTTCTCCTCCCCGGCTGCAGACTTCATGGATGTATGTCTTTTCGTCTTGCATTCTTGCCTTTGACAGCAATTGCTCCTTGACGTGTGAGAAATCAATGGCTGCAACACGCCGCGCTTTTTCAAAGTCGAGTCTGCCGAGCTTGAAAAGTTGTAGTCATGAGTAGCATGAGCTACTGGCATCATCTCGGAGTCAGTTATACGGCCCAAAAATTATACACTCCTGGTGATTTCTGGGTGCTCAAGATTTTCTGTACTGTACACATGCTGATCGCTTTTCTTTTTCTTTCATAGGCCCCTATTCTGTACATCTGAATTTCTTCCACACACCTGACCCTCAATCTATAACAATTACGTCGCTCATCGCAATTACTCCGATTCGATAATATGGCGTCCACTGAGGACCCTGTACCTGTCTCCTCCGATGTTGATGTTGACATCGAGGCTGAGATCAATGCCGATGTCGAGGTTCCGCCTCCAGCTACCCCCGTAGACTCCGCCATGCTCTCTGGAGGTGAAGAGGCTGCCAAGTCTAGCCCCGAGGCATCCAAAGAAAATATCCCGATGTCTCCTGCCAAGACTAGCGCTGGTACGCCAACAGCCAAACGTCCAATTGCGGGCACTACAGCTACCAAGCGGCCAACCCCGACTTCGACCGCGTCGAAGACTGGAGCTACGCCAACTGCTCGCACCAGTACGAGTAGCACATTGAACAAGCCTCCTACCCGGCCTACTACCACCACTACTGCCACTACTGCCACTCGAAAGCCTCTGAGTACTTCCACCACGTCGTCTCACCGGTCTCGTGCATCGGTCAGTAGCTCTGCGGATGAAAAGCCTCGGTCAATCGCAAGCTCCGGGGATGAGAGACGCAGCACCTTGGGGGCAGCCAAACGCACTTCTATGGCTGCTACTCCGTCTACACGCGCTCCATTGAAGTCAACCTCGACCCTTGACCGCAGATCAAGTGTGGCCGGCTCAGCTTTGGAGAGAAAGACTGCGACACCTTCCACTGCTACTTCCCGTACGACTACCTCCACCAGCAGACCGGTCGGCAAACTGACATCTTCGACCACTCCAAGTGCTCGACCAACATCCTCCACCTCGGCTACCCGCACTACGACGACTCGCCCGACGACCGCCACTTCGACCACTTCACGTCCTGCGGCGCCTTCAACAAGGGACCCAACCAAGCGGTTGAGCACCATCTCTAGCACAGCTTCCAGAACTGCTGGAGACTCGGAGAAGCTGCAGGCTCTGCAGGCAAAGCTCTCTGAGAGTGAGGAGACCGTCACCAACCTGAGGGCTGAGCTTGAAATTGTTAATGAGAAGCTGGGTCAACTCTCTATCGCTGGGGAAGAGGCCACTAAGGGCAACACTGCCACGGAATCCCTTCAAGCAGAGCATGCTGCTGAATTGGCGAAGCTGGCTTCCGCTCATGCAGAAGAGCTTGAGTCTTTGCAGGTCCGGCTCCAGGAGGCGGAGACACAGCGTAAGGACCTGGAAAAGAGTTCTCAGAAAGAACTTGAGGCTGCTAAGCAGTTGGCTATGGCTCAAGGTGATGCTCAATCCACCGCTGCTCTTGACGAACTCAAGGAAACACACCAGGCTCAGTTAGAGGTTCTTAAGAAAGAGCTTGCGGAATACAGGGACTCTGCTGCAGCATTTGAAAAGGAACTCGAAGCCCTGAAGAAGGACCTCGAGGCGCAGAAGACTCAGTTAACTGAAGAAAATGCTCTGGCCCTCAACAATCTCGAACGTGAATTGGAGGGTCGTGACCAGGTTCTCGACAACTTGAAGGCTGAACTCAACAAGTTGGGCGCTGCGAAGGACGAAGAAATCCAGGCCGAGAAGGATGCTGCAGAGAAGTCTACTTCAGCTCTTCGCGAGCAAATTGCTTCATTGGAAGCCAAGATCGCTGAGTCCGAGTCCAACACTCAGCACAATTCAGAGGAAACAACAAACTCCCTAGCCAAGAAGGATCAGGAGATCGCCGATCTCAAGCAGAGCCTCGCCCAAATTCAAGCAGACCTTGAAGAGGCACAGGCTGCGTCCGCTAATGCCCTCAGCGCCAAGGTCAAGGAATTGGAGGCCGCTCACGAGGCCGCCATTGCTAACGTGAAAGCCGAGCATGATCAGGCTTTGAGCTCCCTTTCCGCCTCGCATGCGAAAGAACTTACTGTTGCCAAGGCTGCTGCGGAATCTACCGGTTCCGAGCACTCTCAGCAACTGCAAGAGCTGCGTGATGCATTGGAAGCCGCCAGGACTGCTGCCCAAGGGGAGATCGAGAATGCTATTTCAGAGCTCAAGGCTGCCCATGAGCTTGAGCTCAAGTCTCTTATGCCGAGACTGGAGGAGTCTGAGAAAGCGCTGAATGAGTCTCGTCATGCTTTGGAAGGTCATGCCGCTGCGCGGGAGTCTGCCATTCAAGAAGTTGAGGCTCTTCGTCAGAAAGTTGGAGCCCTGGAGCCACAGGTCTCCAGCGGCGCCGGTAAGATCAACGCTCTTCAGCAAGAGGTTCAAAGCAAGCAGACCGAAGCTGAGGAGCTGTACCGCAGCTTGAAGAACCTCGAGGGAGAGTCCAAGTCGAGGGATGTCGAGAAGGAGAACAAACTAAAGAGTCTGCAAGACAAGGCCGCTGAGGCTACTCGGCTTCTTGAAGAGCACACCGCAAAGGCAGCTTCGGCGTCTGAGCAGCACGCTCGGGACATCGCGGCTCTTAAGGCCCAACACGCCGCCGAGTTGGCACAGGTTACAAATGAAACTTCCGGTTCTCACGCAGATGCCCTCCGTGAGCTCCAGCAGCAGCATGACGAGCTTTTGACAAAGAACCGCGAATTGGAGTCAAACCATGCGAACCACGCTTCTCGGGTCGAATCGCTCGAGGCTGAGTTGAAGTTGGTTCAAGAACGCCACGCTGGAGACATTGCGACTCACACCCAGTCTCGCGAGATCGAGGCTGCCGAGCTTCAGAAACAACTTCAGGAATCCCAAGCCAAGGCTCAGGCCGAGGTTGAAGCATTGCAAGCCTCCGCCGCTGCCAACAGTGATGCTCATTTAAAGGAGATTTCTGAGCTGCAGAAAAGCTTTGAGGAGACCAAGGCTCAGTTGCAGGCTGAGATTGAAGCTGTCAAGAACTCAAAGGCTGCTGATGCTGATGCCGAGCACGGAAAGGCCATTGAAGAGCTTCTCACTGTCCAGGAAGCTAAATTGGCTAACTTGAGAGAGGAGCTTGATGCATCTCACGAGGCTAGACTTGGTGATTTGCAGAAGATCCACGAGGTTGCCTTGGGTAAGGTCAATGAGCAACTCTCCCAGGCCAGGGCAGCTGCACAGGATACATCTGTCATCGATAGCCTGACAGCCACTGTGAGCGAGCTTGAACAGAAACTGGCTGCTTCGGAGAAGACCCATGTCACATTCCAAGAATCCGCGGCCACCACTTCGCGTGAGATTCAGGATAAGCATGCCGCCGAGGTTGCCAAACTCCAGGCTCAGCACTCGGAGCTTGCGGCCAAGCATGATGCCGCTCTTTCCCAAGTGGGAGAGCTTCAAAAATCTCTCGCCGCCTCCGGCGGCAAGACCTCGGAGCTGGAATCCATCATGAAACAGCTTTCTCAGTCTCAAGAAGAGATTACTTCTTTGAAGGCAAAGCACACCGCTACCAGCCAAGAGCTTGAGGAAACTCGAGCTGTGAACAAGACCATCGAAGAAAGACTTGCCGCCGGTGAGCAGAACTTGAACGACCAAATCGATAAGAACATGGCTCTTCTCAATCAGCTGGGTGATCTCGACTCAAAGATTTCCGCTGGCCGGCGACGAGTCCGCGAGCTTGAGGCGGACGTGGCTACCCTGAGAGCAGGAGGCAATTTGGGCGCAGAAAAAGACAAGAGCTCCTCATCGGGCTTGGAGTCAAGCCGATGGGCATCAGCGGATGATGGTAGTGAGCAAGCTGAAGATGGAGGTCCAGCCACAACAGAAGGTGAGCTTGGTTCATCCATCGAGGGAACGGTGGGAGTTCCCCGTTTTAAGTCGTCATACTCCTCAAACTTGCCCATTTTCCACCCATTTACATGAGACTTGAGCCACAATTTTATTCCTACAAACACTAATAAATGATCGTAGATGGCAAGCATTCAGGAACAGCTTAAGCACATTCGATCGGCAAACGATGAGTGGTATGATGAGCATCGCAGGTGAGTTTTAACTCTCCCTTCTATGGCCCCCTTACTTCCGGACTTGTGCTAATAATCTACCTTACAGACTCATCGGAGAATTGTCTCAGCTCTCCCGACGAGCCACTCCCAATCCTCCCAGCCAGACGTCAACACCCGGTCCTGAAATCGCAGTAACCGCTCCTGAGTCTGTGAGCAGTCGTGTTTCCGCCGCCAGGTAATTATGCAGTTTCTCTAGGCTGTTTTCTGTACCGCTCGTGGGTATATCAGGTATCCACTTGTGAGAGCACAAGTTTCCTTTGTTATCCTGTTTCGCTCGTTTTGTTCTATTCCTTCGGCATATGCAGTAGGACCCAGGATACCCTGTTTGACTGCTCGGGTCTTTTCCGTGGCCTTCATGTTTAGTACGTTTTATTGCTTAATGTCAGCACCAGTCTCTTTTCAATAAAGCTGGTGGTTGTGTGTACATTTATTTGAAGAGCCTTCATTGGCGAAACTATTTCCCTCTACAACAAGCTCATCTTCGGGTGCAAGGCCGATTGCAATTCTGTGGCTTAGATCAATGCTTTGACATTGTATACCATTTTGTCCATTTGGAATCACAATTATCTAGGGGTACGCACCCAGTGCATCCCGTCGCTAGGATGCATCGCGCACATAACTTGCCTATATTAACCTTCTAGGGTTGGGTCTAATAATCGAAATGAAACATCCAAGTATCATTGCATACGCCTCTTTTTCCAAACAAAGGGAACTGGTCCGGATTATATCGTCGGATCTAACGAATTTCTTCTAAACGTACATATGCAACAAGATGGAAAACCTCTCAGCCTACCTAAAACATGGTGGTGGATGGTATCAAAGCAAGCGAAAAGAAAATCTAGTGACCCTTGCTCACCAACTGCTCCAGCTTCTTACGGGTCTCACCAATCTTGTCCTCCATCATCTGGCGGGCCATACCGCTGTGTGCGATACCAGTGTACCAGATGTGCTCCGCCCGCTCCCGGAGAGCGATGTGCTGATCCGCCACAGCGGGGAACTTCTTCTCGTACTGCCAGGCCAGCTCGCCAACGTTCTTCATAGTGATGGGCAGGAGAGTGTAAGCAGCCACGGTACCGAAGGCAAGCGGCGACAGAGTGCGGAGGAAGATACCGCGGTTGCGTGACACGATGGAGCCGGCCATAGCGGCCACAACGACGTAGACACCGCCGGGGGTCAGACGCTCACCAGAATCAGCGGAAGGAGCGAGCGAAGCAACAGTGTTGGTGAAAGCATTTTCGATGTGCAGGGCCCGGGACAGGAAGTCGTTGAAGCCGTTCTCAGCGGCGAGGGAGTGCGAGTATAGGAAGAGACGGGCTTGGCGGACCTGGGAGGTCAGGATGTCTGTCGGGGTAGGCGAGGAGGGAGAGGTTTGCAAGAACGGCAGAGAGATGGCCTTGGGGGCTTCAGGCTCGGGCTCGGGCACGGGTGTGGCTTTGGAGGGTTCGGGGATGTCAGACGGGAAGTCGTCGTCGTAGATGGATTTCCTCTGTTTCGGGAAAGCAGTCGTGTGTCAGATGAGTTTATCCTCGACTATCATGTCTCATGTAGCAAATCAAATGTATCGGTGGTTCTAACCTCTCGAGGGCCTTCCGCGAAAGCTGTCTGCTTGGGGTACAGAGCCATGCCTCCTGCGAGGAGGGTGGCTGCGATCGGAGCCACAGCCCGCTAGACACGATTAGTTCGCCATTGACCCAATTACGCGGATGCGATCAGATGCTACCGCATTGCAAACATACCTGCTGCAAGATCGGCCGGAACGACATGCTGGGGTTGTGTGGGGATGTATAATAGCAGGAGAGGGAGGTTGAAGCAAAGTCGGGTTCACAGCCAAGACGGGAATTCTTCGGCTCGGCGGAACCCAAGAAAACTCCGTCATTGCCCGCGTCTCCTCCAAGCTCTCTCGTCCTCTACCCCAGCTTTCTCCTTGCAATCGGAGGTTTTAGTCTTTTGTTCTTCGTTTTTATCTAATATCACTCCCTCCCCGACTTTGGTATTTACCCATCTCATACCATGCTTCGCCCTATCGGGCGCCGGCCTTGGACATGCCGACGATGTCTCCAGCAGCGCCAAACCCGCGCATTTGCAAGCGCCGCATCGCAAGCTCCCCAATCTCACATCAACAATATACCTACGGATAATAGCGCTCCGATGAAGAACGCCGACGACGATACATTGCGCCGCATTTTTGACTCGCAGCACTTTTGGAAGGACTTCTCGCAGCAACGATCCGCGGATGCTTCAAGGCGAGCCGGACTGGTTCAGAACCAATACTTGACAAGCCCGGATGGTTTTAGGGCGTTCGCAAATGCATCGCTGCAAAAATGCCAGGTGATTGTTGCCAAGGTTCTAGCGGCTGAGACCCTAGACGAATATCGGGCATTGGCACGGAATTTGGACCAGCTCAGCGATCTCCTATGCAGGGTTATCGACCTTTCAGACTTCATTCGAACTATTCATCATGATCCGCGCATCCAAGAAGCAGCGACGCAGGCGTACGCTCTTATGTTTGAATATATGAATGTGTTGAACACTACTACTGGCCTTCATGACCAACTCAGCATAGCCCTGTCTAAACCCGAAGTCACATCACATTGGACCGAAGCAGAGACTATTGTCGCTCAGATCCTCATGAGGGACTTTACAACATCTGCAATCCATATGCCGCCAAGTGAGAGACAACGATTCGTGAATCTCTCAAACGATATCAGCCAGGTTGGCTCCGCTTTCTTCAATGGCGCAGAGCCAGCTAGATCTCAAGTCACGTTCCACGCAAATGCTCTTCAGGGACTAGATCCCATTGTGGTACAACAAATAAAGAAGTGGAATAATAAAGCGCCAGTACCGACTGCTGGAGTCGTCCCTCGGCTCGTGCTACGATCTGTGCGAGATGAATCAGTCAGAAAGCAGACCTATCTTGCTACTCGGACTTCTAGCTCACGCCAGATTCATCGCTTGGAGAAACTCTTGACTAAGCGAGCTGAACTAGCAAAGATCTCAGGGTTCAACAGTTTTGCTGATATGACCCTGAGTGATAAGATGGCCAAGAACCCTGAGGCTGTGTCGAATTTCTTGACGTCGCTTATCTCGAGCAATAAGGGTCCTGTACAAGAAGAGTTGGCCCAGTTGCAGCAGATGAAGGGCAGTGGTCTCCAGCCATGGGATCATGCTTATTATGTTCACAAGCGTGTGCTGGAATACTCCCAGTCCCGTCGGTCTCGTGAGTTAAGCATTATTCCTGAGTACTTCTCTTTGGGAACAGTCATGCAAGGACTCTCACGCCTTTTCGATCGTCTTTATGGTGTTCGTCTTGTTCCTCAGGAAACAGCTGCTGGTGAGACTTGGCACCCGGACGTTCGTCGTTTGGATGTAGTAGATGAGTCGAACAGGCATATCGCAGTTGTATATTGTGATTTGTTCAGTCGACCCACTAAGCACCCAAATCCCGCACATTTCACATTGCGTTGCTCGCGTGAGATTTCTGCTGAGGAAATCGCCGAGTGTGCTTCGTTGGATCAGTCTGCACACCCGAACGATGGCATGGCGACGGCAGTGGATCCGCAAACAAACACCCTGCGCCAACTGCCGACAATCGCTCTTGTCTGTGACTTCCAAGAGCCAGTCAGCAATGGCTCAGGCCGACCCACCCTCTTGAGTGAGCAGAGTGTCCGCACTCTGTTCCACGAGATGGGTCACGCTGTTCATTCCATTCTCGGACAGACCCCTCTCCAGTCTATCTCCGGTACTCGTTGCGCGACTGACTTCGCCGAGCTTCCCTCGGTCTTGATGGAGAGCTTCGCTACTGCTCCTGAGGTCCTTTCCCTCTATGCTCGGCACTGGAGTACCGGCGAGCCCCTATCCGAAAGCATGATGCGCAGCATGGAAATGGACCGTACAGCCCATGGCTCTATCTATGGCGCCGTCGAAAACGAGTCGCAAATTCTCATGGCACTCGTCGACCAGGCCTACCACTCCATTCCTAGCACGGAAGCTATTCAGAATGGCATCGACACCACTGAAATTTACCACCAAGTGTTCTCCAAGCACTCCAGCTTGCCGGATCCAGAAGATGTCCGACCCAAGACATCATGGCAAGGCTTCTTTGGCCATCTTTACGGCTATGGTGGTACCTACTACAGCTATATTTTTGATCGTGCCATTGCCAACAAGATCTGGCAGGATGTCTTCCAGTCTGGGAGGGCATCTGTTGACCGGGCTGCTGGCGAGCGGTATAAGAATGAAGTCCTCCGCTGGGGCGGTGGACGCAGCGGCTGGCAATGTGTTGCTGGTGTTTTGGGCGATGCTAACCCCTCCAATGCGAATGGTCGCCTGGTGGAGGGAGGTGATGAAGCCATGCGTGAGGTTGGTCGCTGGGGACTGGGACGAGATGGAGGGTCTGTGTAAATTATTATGATATCCTGACATACACTGGGTTAATATATGTGTTTCTCTTCCTTCAATCAATCTTTGTTTCTCTAGATAGATTAAATAGCAATAAAAAAAAGTTCCAGACCATGAATTGTATTCATCAGAATGAAGTAAAAAACGACGGCTGGCGGATTCGAACCGCCGCCTCCGAAGAGAATTGATTTCTAGTCAATCGCCTTAGACCACTCGGCCAAACCGCCTATTGATGGAAAATTAGGATTGTGTGTGTTATATGACAAACAAATACTCTTTTGTCACTTATCGTCATGTTCTCTTATGTCCTCACTAGGACGAATTCTTCTTGAAACTGATATTGTCATCTAAGTATAAATTCCTCTGTTTATTAGATATACCTCTGGGGTTTGGAATACTTGATTCTCTCTAGACTTCTAATACCGAGGTCATGACTTCTCAGCTTTTGTCAACCTTGGGTGGGATATATGGGCAGTAAAATTCAATAGTATATATAACCAGCAAGGCTATCTACGTAGCTCCCTATAAGTTATATGCGTAATGCCTAGTTACTTCAATCCCAAGATTGTAGGTTGGGCACATGACTGTCCCGATGCAAAGATACAAAGAATATTTTTAAGAACATCACTGTGATCTAGCAGACGAATAGGGTTGATAGCCTTTTTAGGTGGTGCATCACGAAGATTGTTGACTGAGGCTTACAGAAATCTGTTTGCCTATCACTAAGTGCAACATGTATTGGCAAAGCAATTTTTTGATCCAGATAACTACCAGGTGGTGTGATTTTTAATAAACATTATTCATGAACCTTCTAGCCCTTATCTTTATTATAAGATCGTTTCTGGAAGGGGAATACTTTCAAGTGCTTAACGGGATCTAAAGCTGATTCATCGATAAAGCTTGGTGGAGCAGTCCTTCTCCGCCTTGACCTTCCCGTCACTTTCGCGACCATTCCTCCCGTACCGTCACTTCTAATAGCTCCCATTTCTTCAGTCTCTCCTTTCTCACTAGGCGCGCTCATTCACAGTTAACTCGTGGATGCAGGATAGCCTGCCAAATGTGCGCATCTTAGCCTAGTTTCTTCGCCGGCCCGCGCCTCCCAACTTTTTGCGGTAGAACCCTCGCTACCCAGTCTTTCCTCACCACGACCGCGTCATAACCCGTCCAAAATGCCACATTCTACAAACCCAGATCCGGAGGCCCCGGACGATACGGACTTTGAAAATGTAATGCGACAACTGAATAACTATGAGGCTGGTCCACAACTTGACTTTTTGTCGCGCGACCTAGAAGTCGGTGAAAAGGCGGACGACGCTATCGATTTTGAAGATTTCGACGACGACGAGCTTCCTGAAGAAGAACAAGCAGAATCCGCGACGCGTCTTCCTCCCACTGATGCCGCTCTAGACTCCTTCGCAGACCTCGAAACCGACGATGCAGCTCTGTTCGGAGCCGGAGACGACATATTTGGGGATGGAGATGGTGGAGCCCAGGGCCAGGACGACAATCTCGATGATCTCTTTGGGGAGGGTCCCGTCTCTCCTCCCCAGGAGGGTCAGGGCGACCGCATTCAGGATCTTTTCGAGGATGAAGAATCGGCCTCGGCCATCCAGCCGGTTGAGCTCCCGCCTTTCCCGCCAGTGCCCGAGCCCCAATCCCAGGCAATGTCCGTGGTGGATGAAAATGAATTCCTTGATGATGCCAGTATCATATCGGAGGAGATGGACCCCTCGACCCTTCGGGCTTGGAAACTTCAGCAGGCCTTGTTTGCCATGTCCGGGACTGGACCAGACCACCCGCCAGCACCACCGGAGAACAACGAGGAACTTCTCCACTCCCTATTCCCCAGCTTTGATCGCGATACACTACCACGATGGCTAGAATTGATCCCTCACAAGAAGGCCTATTTCCGAGGAAAACAGCCATTGAAGATTCCCAAGCCAGTCCTTCCCACCAAGGTTAACATCGAGTTGGCCCCAGACCAAGAGCGAGTGTTTCGAACCGGCCAGCCCAATAAACGGGGCCTTGATCAAGAGTCTTTGGGCATTGTGTTTATCGAGTCCGCTCAGGATGAAGAACAGGAAAACAAGGAAGATTTCGACTTGGGCGAGGGAGAAGCAGATGAAACATTACCAGGTGGCTTTACTATGCATGACCTTCGAACCATGTGCGCGGATTGGGATATACAGGATGAATACTTGTCGGAGCCCGAGAAGCAGCGCGCTGAGCCCGATGCTGATCTATTTGACGAGGAGGATGATTGGCTTGCCGATGCAAATCATCCGGCCAAGAAACGCAAAACCGGTCCGACTCCCATGGATGTCATTGCTTTAGCGCATCTCGATATTCCGCTATTGGATGATCCCGAGCAAGCAACTGAGCGGATTGCGAAGAAGGTCACAATTGATATGAATGATCCTAACATTCTTGTTGAGGAGCTACAATCAGACTCCGTTGTCCATAAACCCAAACACACCGTTCCGCGTACCAGAGACGAAGTTGACTCCAACTTGACCCGTCGCCTCACTCAGCGCTACAACATCTCGAACGACCAAGCATATGACATGCTCAAGCAAAACCACCAGAATAAGATTCGGAGCACGCTTGGCAATGTCACTCTTGAGCACGCGATGCCAGCCTTGCGCCTGCAGTGGCCGTACTACAAGACTGAATTGGGTAAAGCTGAGGCTAGATCTTTCCACCGACCCGCCATGGTCTTCCGTACTGGCCAAACCTCCTGGTTCAAGAACCCTCTACATATAAAACGCAAGCAACAAAAGGGGAAGGATGCCAAAGCCCTATACTCTTCAACAAGCCAACTTTCCATGGCAGACAACTCCCATGTTTTGCTTGTAGAATATGCCGAAGAAGTTCCAATGTCGCTTTCTAACTTTGGCATGTGCAATCGGTTCATAAATTATTATCGGAGGAAGAATCCGGATGATCCCACTCGCCCTAGGGCCGAGATTGGTGAGACAACCGTCTTGCTACCTCAAGACAAGAGTCCATTCTCCATTTTCGGGCATGTGGATCCCGGTGATATTGTTCCTGCAATTTCGAATTCAATGTACAGGGCACCACTTTTCCCGCACTCGGCCAAGTCCAATGACTTCTTGGTGGTCCGCAGCACCACACAGTCCAAGGGTAGTACCTACTATTTGCGCAATATCGAGAATTTCTATGTTGCTGGACAGCAATTCCCATCCGTTGATATCCCCGGCCCACATTCCCGCAAGGTTACGACTGTTGCGAAGAATCGCATGAAGATGCTTGTGTACCGACTGCTCAAGAAGAGCCCCGATGAGCGATTGGCCATTAGTGACGTGACAGCCCACATCCCCGGCACGACAGATATGCAAAATCGACAGAAGGTCAAGGATTTCCTCCAGCACGACAAGGACACCAAATATTGGAAGCCTTTGGATCCCACTCTCCCAGACCAAGATACCATTCGAGCCTGGGTTCAACCAGAAGATGTTTGTTTACTCGAATCAATGCAAGTTGGCCAGCAACACCTGAACGACACCGGTTTTGGCGGCGAGGCTGAGAACGCAAATGAGAATGACGACGACGAAGAAAGTGAGAGCTTTGAGCAACAGATGGCTCCCTGGAAAGCAAGTCGCAACTTTTTGTTGGCGTCCCAGGGCAAGGCCATGCTCAAGCTCCACGGAGAAGGTGACCCTACGGGTCGTGGAGAGGGTTTCAGTTTCATAAAGACATCCATGAAGGGTGGCTTCAAGGCCATCGGAGAAAGTGTGGAGGACAAATTGGACGCACAGCGACTCAAGGAGCTCGGTGGCCACAGTTACAACGTCGCACGTCAACAAAGATCGTACGAGACATCGATTCGTCGTATCTGGGATGCTCAGAAAGCCAGTCTTTCATCAACAGTGGAGCATTCAGACCAAGAAAGTGACGTTGACCAAGGCGAAGAAGAAGAATTCAATAAGCCAACACCCCGTTCCGAAGCCCCAACTCCGGCTCCAGTCCGCCGCGATGACGAAACAACCTCTCAATTCAGTCGCATGAGTTTCAACAGCCAAAAGGGCAAGGTTCTCCGCATCACCCGCCAATTCAAGGAATCGAACGGTGAGATCGTGCAGAAGGAGCAGCTAGTCTGGGACCCACGAGTTATCCGCCACTACATCCAACACCGTCACCGCACCGAGGCCCTAACTACAAAATTGGATTCCCTCCAGCCAACCGGTGACCCTGAAGTCGATGCCCGCAACCGCAAACTCATCGAGGCCGAACTGAGCCGTCTGAACCGTAACAAGGAACGTCGCTTCGCTCGTGAGAAGCAGAAGGGTATTTCTCGTGCGGGTGACTCTCCCGCTGATGGTAAACCGACTGGTACCCAGCGCAAGTGTGCCAACTGTGGCCAAGTTGGACATATCAAGACAAACAAGAAGCTTTGTCCTCTGCTTAATGGTACCATGAAGCCTGAAGACAGGATTACGGACTCGGCTTTCTCGATGAGTGCGCCTGTGCTTTAATCATGAATACGTTTCTACATTTCATGCCTGTTTCGTTCAAAAATGATATCCCCTGTTTTTCTGTCTCAGCACCTACCAGTTGTGTGCCTGTGCCTTTTTGTTCCAGTCCGGATTCTGTTCCTGTACCTGAGTCCTCCATTCCATAATTGGGTCTCTTCCTTAGCCTAGATCGGCGTGGTGGGTGTACGTAATACGTCATGCTGGTCTGATCGTGTGTGCAAAATATTATGGTTTTTAACATCAAGGATACCTTCTACAGCGTGACGAAGATGAATCTGTGTATCCATGTAGCTTGTAGCCACGAAAGAAGAATTCATGTGATTCGTGATCAGATTACAGTGGGTTATTTTGATATCCAGACTGGTGAATGGTAATGCCTGATATTGTTACTAATAATATAATAGAGAACGAAAAGGGAAACAAATAGAGTCGCTCCCAATCTGTGCGGTGAAAGGCGTATACGAATAGTTGGATTTCACAGGCCTGGTCATATCCCCCCCAGCCAGCGCAGAAAGATCAAGGTTTTTACAGAGCGTAAAACTCTGCCAAATCACCCCTACTGAAAGGTTGGCATCCACGTTCAGTCTGCAGAGCCATAGCTGGGCCCCTCGGCCGACGGTATGTATAACCTAAGAAAGCACCCTTCTTGCGTATCTCCAAAGCAGCTTTGCCAATCTTCTTGTCTCTCAGGATCTTGTCACGAGGCCTCTTTCTCTCCCTTCGCCTCTCAGCTTCTTGTGCCTTTTTAGCACTGGCTTCAGCTGCCATTGCAGGGGCGGTGCCTGTCGTTGGAGGCTCAAGAGCAGGACCCGGCTGGGATTGGGGATGTTCTGGGGCAGCAGAATCTAGCTTTTCCTCACGATCAGTGTCGTCCCCTTCTGAGTCGCTTTTGGGAGATGCTTCGTCAATTTTAGCAATTCCCTTCCAATCATCAAAGTACCTGGTATCCTCCCAGTTTCGAACTCTGGGTATAAGTGGTGGCTGGGTCATGTGGAGCTCATTCCAACGAATACCTCTGAAGAAAGGATGGGCTTTGATATCGGCAGCGTCATTTGGATACACAAAGTAGCTCGTGATAGCTTTGTATCGGGGATCCATGGAATAAAGAAATTGGGCAGTGACAGGGCGGCCTGATAGCACGTCGTTGGCTTGATACTCTTGAGAACATAATCTGTAATGGCGTTCTTGCAGGATTCGGCTGATGAGATTGACAGCTTCCTGAGACACCAGCTTGTCGGTTTGCTTTTCCCTTGGGAATTGCAGACTTCGTGCGTGATGCTGGCCACATTGTTTAGCTTTGCTGAATCCGAGAATGACATGAGGACAGACTTACTAAGATCTTGAGCTTTGTATCATGGCGGTTTTCACAGGCAAAAGGAGTAAAGCCATACAGGCACTATAGAGTATATGAGAAAGGCGTTTCTCGGAGCTTGCGTCTTATATGCTCACCTCGTATAAGATAATTCCGAGGCTCCACCAGTCACAACGTCCATCATACATCTCACCTCGAATGACCTCAGGAGCCATATACTGACTAGTCCCAACCACGCTTTTGGCAAATCGCCGCCTCTCTTTGCTGTTGCGCCAGGCCAGTAGATTTGTGGTGGGTGCATGATAATTATAATAATCAATCAGACTCTGTGGGTCGCAAGCGGCCTTTGATGGATTCTTTCGCGCTTCCGCCGTATCCTTTTGGTCTTCAGCATCACCAGTGACTGTGATGCCAAGTTTCTCAAGTAAAGAATAGCGATGACTGTAGTAGTAGGACTGATCATGCGACCAATGTCCATTGAAAGCTAAGCCGAAATCAGAGATCTTCAAATGACCTGAAGCAGAAACGAGGAAATTGTCGGGCTTGACATCACGATGAATCCAGCACAGTCGATGGGCTTCCTCAATGCACAAGATCATTTCCGCAATATAAAATTTTGTCCAGTCTTCGCGGAGTATGTCTTTCCGAATCAACAACCCTAAAAAGTCTCCACCAACCATGTAGTCCATGACGAGATACAAGTGGTTTCCATCTTGAAAGCTCGCGATCAGTGGGACCACCCAGCGAGACTTTTCAGATGCAACCAGGAAATCTCTCTCAGCTCGGATGTGGCCTTCTTGAGAATTCCGGATCATGTCAGATTTCTTGATCACTTTCATCGCATAAACGTCCTTATTTTCGCCAATCATAGATCTTCGGCGATTGTTTTTTTTTCCATCGACAGCAGACTTTAGCATGTCGAGGGGATGGCCTCGGGCGATGGGAACTTCCTCCCCAATTGAGAAATCTTCCTCGCGAGTGGGCTTTTTACTCCCTTTCTCACGTACCAACCGAACTACACCAAAACTCCCCTTTCCAAGAACCTTGATGGCTTCATAGCCCGCCACTGAGATTGAATTATCACCCCCAATGGACCGCATAGCCTTGAGAGTCCGACATTGCCGAAGATGTTCGTTCTCCTGCAGCAACCAATTGCATCTCGCCGCAAATTGCTCATCGGGTGCAAGCTGAATTGAATACATACGCTGCTCAAGCTCCTGCTGTCGCTGTGAGCGTGGATCGCTGTTCTGGAATATCGAGTTGAAATAAAGTTCCAGGAATACCTTGGCCACGGTGGCTGCCTCCACAGTCACAATGGATGGCGCAATAATTGGGAACTTGCTTCCCTTTGTGGTCTGAGAAACAGCCACATCGGGTGCACAGTCTGGCAGAGACTGTAAATTTGTTACAGAATCTTTGTACTTCTCTTTTGAAGGTGACGGCTCCGCAGATGTAGCCGGAGTGAGAGGAGTAGAGTGTCCAAGTGGGGAACTATTGCTGCTGGGTGCTGTTGAAGGACCGGAGCTGTCATTTGCCCCATCTTCTTGTTTAATCTTTGGTTCAGGAGATATCGGAGACTCGAGGAAAGGAATAACCGGCCTCGAGCGAAAGTGAGTACGGCGAATCACTGTGGGTTTGCCAAATGTCATGGAGAGTCTTCGGGAGAGTCGATTGACAAACCTGGCACTAGGGGTTCTTTGATGCCCGGTGGCTGTTATGAATCCACCATCGTCACCTTCACCATTATGCTGTACGGACTCTTCAAGTTCAGCAGGTGATTGAAGTCCCGTCGAGGGGAGCGGCCTGCGAGCCTCAGGCTCAAAGTTAGTGGTGGGTGATTCGCATTCTGGTGAATTGTCACTAGTGGTATGAATATGATTGTGTTCCGTTGTATTAAGGGGTGGACTTCGCGGCTCTGCACTTTGTGGGTCTTCGCATGAGACAGATTCCACACTCGTCTTATTACCTGTTGATCGTCAGCAAGTCTGTATGGAGCACATGGCTAAAAAACTTGGTCTTACTGTTTGCAGAGCTCCCCAGACCCAGTAACAACAGGAGCTTGGAGCCACTCCGTGTCAGTCGGATCTTGAGTCGGTCTTTGCCCGGATCAGTGGTGATGATAGGTTCAGAAGTAGGACTGGCGTCGGAAATGGGGGAATCAGATGCAAAAGGACCGCATTTGTTGTAGGTAGCGGCTTTAGTTGGAATCCAAAGATTGAAAACACTCTTTCGAGATCTCACTTTCTTTCTACAAGAGACTGTCATGTTGTCACAATCCAGCCAGATCAAGGAACGGGGGTCTGCTAGTGTGAGGCCATTCGGTGGCAAACGAAAGGATGGTCAGGATGCTGGACTGGATAAACTCTGTAGCTTTGTGCAAGACAAGTTCATCCTCATCCCCAGTTAGGACAAAGTTGTTAGGGCAAGCGGCAAGAGCCACCGAGCTACACAAGGTTCTTTGGAAACTACGCAGGAAAACAAGGATTGAACAATCAAATGTAGATTTCAAATACAAATGCGCAGATACAAATTACAGGTCACAAAATCGGGCACTTTTCCATGCAAGGAGACAACTTCCTCGTGATAACCTCATTCCTTGGATCAAATCGATCAAGGCAAAAACACAAACGAGCCGGATATCACAGGAAATCATGCAATCAGACCGATCGAACCAAACACCCGAGCGAATCAGCGGTAAATAAAAATAAGGAATCAGGAGAGACGTCTATTTGATCTCAAGCAGCTTAATGTCGAAGATCAACTTGGAGTTGGCGGGAATGCCGGGGAGAGCCTTCTTGCCGTAAGCGAGCTGGGGAGGGATGGTGAGACGGCGCTCAGCACCGGGGGCCATGCCAGCGACACCAATGTCCCAGCCCTTGATGACTTCACCACGACCGAGCTTGAAGGTGAAAGGCTTGCCCTTCTTGTTGGAGTCGAAGACCTTGCCGTTCTCGAGCTTGCCAATGTAGCGCATGGCAACAGTGTTACCGCTCTTAGCGGCGACACCCTTTCCAAGCTTCTTGTCGTCAATCTTGACACCACGGACCTCCTTCACACCGAGGGTGCCGGTGGGCTTGTCACCGGAGGGAGTAGGACCCTGCTCGAGGTTCTTGGCGAACTGAACCTTCTTGTCAGTCTTGGCCTCCTTCTTATCGGCCTTGGTCTCCTTGGCCTCAACAGCAGCGGCATCACCGTTGTTCTTCTTCAGCTTCTTCTGCTGGGCCTTGGTCAGAGTGGGCTCCTCCTTGGTGGCCTTACCCTTGGCGCCCTTGGCGATTAAGTCATCAAGGGTCTCCTCCTCGGCGGCACGCTTGTTCTTGCCCTTGCCCTTGGCCTCAACAAGCTTGGGGGCCTCCTCCTCCTCACTGTCAACCTCGGTGATGCGGGGATCATCCATGCCATCAAGGTCATCACTCTCCTCGGCATCCATGGCCAGGAGCTCCTCCATGTCGAGCTCCTCCTCATCGGGGGAGAGGTCGTAGTCATCCTCATCATCCTCATCCTCATCGTAGTCGTCACGGCCCTCATCGAGACCAATGACGTAGTTGCCGGTGAGGAAGACAGTGTGGTTACCAGTGACCTTGAAGAAGACGCGCTCACCCTCGCACACGGTGATGTCAAGGGCCTGCTGGCAGTTCTATTTACATTGTTAGTCACTGGATTCTAGATGATCAGATACCAAAGGAGGCTTACCTTCTCGGGGCTCAGGGTACAGATGACACTCTCATCAAGGTCCAGGCCCTCATCGGACTCGTCGTCAGACTCATCATCGTCGTTGGCGGGGCCCTTGCCCTTGATGAGTTTGGAGATAGCAGCCTTGAGGTCAAAGTCACCGTCATCGGACTCGTCCTCATCGTCCTCATCCATGGCGTCCTCCAGCTCCTTCTGGGCAGCAGCCTTCTTCAGCTGGCGGGCCTTCTCCTTGTCACTGGGGCCCCCGTTAACCTCCTCATCATCGGAGTCCTCATCATCCTCAACATCGCTGTAGTCCTCATCGTCCTCATCATCCTCATCCAGGTCGAGGCCGGGAGGAGGGCGAACAATCTTCAAGGTGGCGCGCGAAGGCTTGCTGGAGTCACCATCCTCAAAATCGGGGGTCTCATCGGGATCAATAGCAGCCATGCTCACACGGAACTAGACTGAATGTTAGTTTAATGTATTGCGATCCTCATGGAGGGATAAACTGACAGAGGCGGCGGCATTGGGCACGGCAGGAATCAAAGCTCCGGGAGGAACGCGCAGAGCGTAAACTGCGACAGGCTGAACGGCCGACATCTTGAATGAATTGAGAAAGAGAAATGCAAATGGAAGAAATATAATGGGGAGGAAATAAGTGAATGAATGAACCACCAGAGAAATAGGTAGTGGATGGAGAGAAGAAGAAAACGAAAAGCTGCGGATCCAAATGCAGCAACAGAGATCGTCGAAGCTTCTGTCGCTCTCTCTTTTTTTTTTTTTTTTTACTAATTTTTTGCCTGAATTTTTTAACCAATCACATCATACCCCTCACTCACACCGCTCAATCATTTGCCTCAACTGACCGCCCATATCACCGCCCTAGATTTGTCTGAATTATGCCATTTTGACGCGTGATCTAATCGCGTCTTCATTCATTTGGGATCGATATTACTGTTGTATATGTGTTGAACTCGCTCGCCCAGCATGGGCTCTCGTCTAAATACCAATTCTGAGGCCATGCGCAAGAGCATTGAAAACCGTAAGATTGCTCTAGATACGAGATTAAATCCCTAATCTAATCTTGATGGATATAGATGACTTCCAGGACGAGACAGGCGAGGAGTATGAAGCCTCCAGCTTCGGCGGGTTTGGGGATTATATGCGACGCAAAAAGATGAAGTTACAGAACCTAGACGCAGAAATTCGAGCTTCTTCCGGGGACTGTCCCCCAATATTCCGTGGCATCGTCGCGCATGTTAATGGCTATACCCAGCCTTCTCTGCAAGATCTCCATCGTCTGATTGTCAGTCATGGGGGTGGGTTCCTGCAGTACTTAGACAACAAGACTGCTGCAACCCATATCATCGCGAGCTCCTTGACGCCAAAGAAATGCGAAGAGTTCCGACGGTACCGCATTGTGAAACCGGCTTGGGTCACAGAGAGTATCAAAGCAGGCCGTCTGTTACCTTGGAATGATTTCCGCGTCGTAGACGAGGGCCAGTCTCAGAAAGTCTTGAAGTTTGGCGGAGGTCGGATGAGCAGTCAAGCCAGTACACCACGGTCAGGTTACAAAGAGCAGTCCAGCACAAGCTGGTATAATTCCCAGCTTCAGGCTACGGGCACGACTGCGGCTGGTGGCGGTCAAAGTGAAAGAGATCCAATAACTCCTTCGAAGGCAACCCCGTCAACTCCTACTTTACCACTTGGATCTCCTGGATCAAATAAACGTGGTGTTCCCAGCTCTCTCGTTGTCAACAGCGAAGGTCATCCCGGGCCATCTGCGGACCCCGAGAGCAGCCAATCGCAGCCGACCAAAACCCCGTCTAGAAAAAGAACCACTCCAAGCGATTATACAGATGAACTGGAAAGTCCTCGCAAAGATGATTCATCTCGCATTCAAGTCGATCCGATCCTCAGCAACAGTGCGCTCAAGCCTTTGAACCTATCAGGGTCTCAATTCATCATGCCTCCCCAGCCCGAACCAAAAGCCTCACCTGCCCCTGTTGGGGATATCAGATCAAAGTTTGCAGCACATGCAAAGCCTCGAGACGATCACCGGCCAGGGTCACCTTGCCCACCTCCACGTAAAACCGAAGAACACCCCCAAGACGCGGGCAAGCCTGCCGACACACGTCAACCTAATCAGACTGAGTTAGATCCTGAAACTTTGGCGGCACTACCGGAGGATATTCGCAACGAAGTACTGGCCCATTACGGTCAACAAACCAGCGTGTCTACTCCAGCGCCATCGGTCACTCCAACGCCTTCGACGCGACCCACCCCTTCCAAGTCTGTTGGGGTAAAAAGATCTGGCTCGCCATTGAGTAAACCAAGCCGCTCTTCTAAGCCAGGAACAGGCCCTGCCAGGACCTTGATGCAGATGGGGTTCGTTTCGCAGTCTGCCCCTGCCTCGGACCCTATACCTGACTCAACGCCCAAAATGCCATCCCCCACCGCAGTGTCACAGCGGCGGCCTTCGGTTTCGACCCCTGAAAGACCACAAAAATCTGAGGATCGAAAAGAATCCGAGCAACAAAAGGAACCGACCCAGCAGGATAAATCGGAGAAATTAACCGAAACAAAAAGCCAGTCTGATCTCTCGGATCGACCTGTCTTCACATCCCAGGGCTTGTCAAATCTGGATGATCTTCGAGACGCTATCAGCGCCTGGCATTCCACCTTTACAGCTGAGGGTCCTTATAATGATGATGTCGAAGCGCTCTGTACATATTTACGCCGGGTGATCTCAGAGGAGAATGATGTCGATAAAGCTGTGTCCGTGGTTCGGTGGCTCATGTGGCTTGTTGATAAAGACTCGCGAGACGAAGGTCCACCAGAGTCCCGTCCTGAGGATGTTGTGACATGGTCTGAGTCTATAAAAACCATGCAGGAGAGCATTCAGTCTGCTTTGGAAGCAAGAAGACTGCCAGCCGTGAAATTCGAATAGTGTAAATAATGATTGGTCACGATGCAATGAATGATGATATGCCCTGCCGTTTTCTATTTCTGTATGATGATTGCCCGAGTGGATTAGTACTAGATGCTTTATGTTTATTTCAAACGACCAACAGAACAATAATAATACAGAGTGTTTCATGAACAAAAGAAATGGGAGAGGTCGGTAGCCGTGAACGGTTTTATTGGTATTGGCCTTCAGTAAAGAGACCGTTGGCTTCGCGAGGAAGCAACATGGACTGGGAGTCGAAACAAGCCATTTATTTTCTACTTAAGTTGTCTGGATCCAGACAGTGTTCCCCGACGTTCGGTACGCCGGCAAAGCATAAAGCGTATCGACTTGCTATCAAAAGAAACAGACCCAGGGTAGCGTGGCATAAACAAGAAAGTCAAAAAAAAAAAAAAAAAAAAGTAGCCAAATTAAACAAATAAGGGCAGCAAGAATCGAACCGGGGATCCTGAACTTCCGGAATCGTTAAAAAAATGGGGAAATATGTAATTAGGCAGCGATGAAGCTATATCAAATTTCAATATGGCTTCAAAATGGCCTTTTTGCTATCTTCACGGCATCAACCCCAACTTCAAAAATCAATAACAAATCAAATAAAACTGGTAAAAACATTTTCAGTTGACAAAAATATTGCCGATACATTGTGGTAGGTCCGCTGCCCAGCTCCTCACCGCGGCAACCCCCCTGATTAACTGGGCTTGGCCAGGTCTTCCGCTCGCCGTATCACGCAGTATCCCCATGGCTCCCATGGGTCCCGTGTTCCTGAAGTGGGGGCCCGCAAACCCAAGTGGAGACGATAGCGAGCTGGAAACCACTGGGCTACGTGGAGGCCGGATGAAATTCTACATCTTATTGTGATACTTAAGGGAGGGAGGTATGACTCGTTTGGTTTGCTCTTCTTCTACCCTTGCGTGGTTTGCTTGGCTGTTGGTGATGCCAATGTTCATGCCCATACCCATATTGTTCATACCTATCTTTCTTCTTGATGCCCATGCTCATTGTTTATGCCTACCCTTTTTTATTCACGCCCATTATCTCTATTCATGCCCATCCTTCGTGTTCACATCCACCTTTTATAGGACGCGTATCACAGCGTCTCTTGTTTTTCCTTTCTACCATTTCTCTTCTTTACTGCACTGTACTTGTTCACTTTCAATACTCGCTTTTCAGGCAGATCAATATCATTCAAAACCACACCAAACCACTCAACTAGTAATAGTTCAACTTCAGCTTTCGAATCTTCTTAAGCTTCTGCAAAATCTCCACCTTCCTTAACTCCAAAAACAAATCCTCCTCATCAGCACTATCTAAGTCTCCAGAAATACTGACCAACGGCATTTTGATAGGCTGCAATTCCGCATCCCCACTCTGTGATGGTGTCTTAAGCTTCAAAGTCGCACCTGCACCAGCGGAAACAATATCAGACAATAAAGAAGAGGTGTAATTTGGCTTGATGCTGTTCGGAGCAGGCCTTTCCACCTTCACCGTGGGTACGGGTACCGCATGAGTCTGTGTTTCGACTGTTCCATTGGCACAACTGGTATCCTTCAAGCTGTCATGATTCTCTCCAATCCACCCTCGACACATCCGTACTGCTTTTCCCCACTCACCAAACTTGCTAGCGCTATCTTGGCGAGTTATCTGGGGTTCGAAGACTGTTCCTCCACTGCGGTTGATGTCTCGGAGCTCGGCGAAGTTTCGCCATAGACCGACTGCGAGTCCTGCGGCGATTGCTGCGCCTAATGCCGTAGTCTCGCGCATTTTTGGCCGGTAGACAGGGATTGAAATGAGGTCTGCTTGGGTCTACCAAAAAAAGTTAAAATCATGTCTTTAGGAACCGTAATTGTTGATCTGACCTGCATGGCTAGGTCCGAGTTGCTCATTCCTCCATCGACAGCCAATTCGGTAAGAGCTTGCCCACTGTCTTTCTCCATTGCTTCGAGGATAGCTTTGGTTTGAAAGCATGTTGCTTCGAGGGTTGCGCGGGCAATATGGCCCCTTTGAGTGTATTGTGTGATACCAACTGACAATGCCTTAGTAAATGACCCACAAGGAGACGTAGAAGAAATACTTACAAATGGTTCCCTTCGCATCGTCAATCCAATAAGGTGCAAAAAGCCCGCTGAAAGCCGTGACAAATACACAGCCCCCGTTATCTTCCACTGAAAGCGCGAGATCATTCACCTCCTTTGGATCCTGGAAGAAATCCAAGTTGTTCTGCAGAAATTTTATCCCCGACCCAGCTACGGCAATACTTCCCTCCAGAGCATAAACGGGCTTCCCCCCAAAATTGTACGCAACCGTAGCCAAAAGCCCATGTTTCGAGAAAACAGGTTTATCACCAACATTGTACAGCAAGAAGCACCCAGTTCCATAGGTGTTCTTGGCCATTCCAGGTGAGAACCCTTTCTGTCCAACCAACGCGGAAGACTGATCGCCCAAGCAGCCCATAATCCGAACACCCGCAAGAGCACCGGTAGCAATCGCCCCATACGCACCCGCGTCTGAAGAGGGAACAATCTTCGGGAGATGAACCTTACCCTTGATTCCAAAAAAGTCTAAAAGCCTATCGTCGTATTGCAGCGACTCTAAATTCACAAACATGGTCCGTGAGGCGTTTGTCGAATCCGAGACAAACACGTTGGCTTGTACGCCTCCGTTCAAACGGTATACAAGCCACGAATCGACGGTTCCAAACGCGAGGGTCCCCCGATCGAACGCTTCTTTTACTTTTGGGACGTGCTCTAGCATCCATAAGAGCTTTGTGGCAGAGGAGTAAGTTGACAGCGGTAGACCGCAGATGGATTGGAGAGTGGATGCGTCCGGTTTTTGTTTCAAGTCGTTCACTATGGACTGGGATCGGGTATCTGTCCAGACAATGGCATTGTGAAGGGGTTCGCCGGTCTCGTGGTCCCAGACTATTGTTGTTTCTCGCTGGTTGGTAATTCCAAGGCTTTTGATGCTGCTACGAGAGTAGCCTTTGTTTTCGAATTCGCGGACTGCTTCAGAGATGCATGTTTCTACTGAGGAGATGAGCTCGAGAGAGTCATGCTCGTGCCATCTAGTTGGGAATGATTGAGGGTTAGTCTTTTGATACTTTCTTGAGCTTCTTCCGTCTGGGCTGGTCTATTTACCCCGGGTTTGGATAAATTTGGCTAAATTCAACTTGATATGAAGCGACAGACTCCCCATCTCGATTGAAGATTAGAAATCTGGTGCTCGTTGTGCCTTGGTCGATCGACCCTACAAAGATATCCGAAGGTTGCATGTTTTAGAGAGGAATTTAGTGCGGTGAAAAGCGACAACAGTACAAGAGACGAAGTGATCACGGCTCTTTCCGCTAGCTCAACCCGGGTATCACAATAATGAAAGACAGGTGTCACCCATCAAGACCAGGGCAAAGGCAAGTCAATATCTTAAAATAATCATCCCTGTGACACCATTTTCCCGTGTCTGCGGCTTCTGATTCGAGCTTATGGTGGGGGGAAAGGTAAGTTAAATTCTCGCAAGAGGATTGGTGGAATTACAAGAACCAGGGCGTAAAGATCCAGTGCCATGAACCGGGGTGTTCGAAAGATTGAGGCTTGAGCGTTCGGAAGGAATTGACCGGGATGGGGATCTAGTGTGAAAGCGAGGCTATGCAGACTCGAAGGATGTTATTGTATTGACGATAGTCATCTTACCCAGTGGAGTCTACATGTATACTGCATGCATATTCCATGTGACCCACCCCATACACTGCAAGGTTCACGGCATTTGCGACGATCACTCTAGGGAACCAAAAGTACCCAGAGATCAACCCCTCAAAAATCCATGTTCAAAGGGACCGAGTGATAACATCCACGTAAAAATGGGTAGAGTTTTAGTTTTTAACCCCGCCTTCATCAAATATATAGGAGTACAATTAATCTTATTCTATATTACGTATCTACTATACTAGGCAGTTCTATCGGATTTACATCAGGCGAGTGCGGGACTAATATTGAACGCAAGTTCCGTGATCCTCAAACCACCTCGCGCACCTGAAGGTATTTTTTTGCGCGTTATCTCGCTGAAATATCGTTTTAGGTTAATAGCGCGGAAGAAACCCTTCGAGCGCATACAGATAGAAATTAGCGGTATATCCCTCCACGTTGATAGCCCTCTTCATTATCACTTACTCTGTTCGACCGTATTCGATGTTCGTTGAACTATTTGAAACACTCGTCCGAAAGGATCCATCCTCACTAACCCGATATCCTATTCTCCGACTGCCATTTCCGGGCAAAATTCAGCGTTTTATAGCGAGAGGCTTAATTGGGATCTTCTTCGTCTTCACTTACGGATTTCTTATTCAATAAAATACGCCGAAGCGTGTCACGATGTATATATCCGGGTGTAGGGGTGGTAAGTCATCTACACCTATCATTAAGGTTCCTGCGGGCCAATGACCCATTGCATTAGCAAGCATGGTCATTACCCTTTCGGGACGATCGCCTCGTTGCCATGGTTGTTGGATGAGAGAAGAGACATATTAGTGGTTGCTGGGGTAAAACCGAAAGAGGGTCAAATTATTCCACAGACTTTTGCCGAGGACTAACATATTGAGCATTATGACCACGTCACAATCCCGCGCGATCGCTCCCACTAGCGCAACTCTCATGACTCATATAAACCAACTAATGCTGGAAAAGGCGGGGTCTTACTATTGTCAAGTTGTTTACGTTAACGATTCAAAGTTCCACTTGTCAAGGTGGAACCCTTCTAGCTTTCTGCAATACGATATCTGGTTAGGTACATCATCAAGCATAAGATATCTTTATGAACCGACTCAGTTCAGATTACAACCTGCAAGTTGGGATTGAAACCTTGACATCTGCGCAGCGCCTGTCTTGGCATTTTGGTCTCGTTCCTATCGGTATCGCGGCGATGGCCGATCTCGTCTCAGTGGAGGACAAGCTCCCTCCCTTTTCTCTCACACACCTTTAAACTTGCACGTTTCCATGATCATGACTGCCTTGCACGGTCGCGGTGATTCTACATTGCATGGAAAGTAGTCACACGAGCACTGGACATGTCTTCGTCACAAGGAAAACAAGCGCCAGATACTACCATCGGTTCTTGAGATGCCGCTCGGGAACCATGATCATCTTCCGATATAGGCAAAACCGTTATTATCAGATGTGAGCAGTCAGATTGTAAACCTTTGGTGAACTCCTTCGCTATTGAGAAAGCCTGTGTTACGGTTCGAACTTTTAGGAATTGCAATTGGGCCTGAGCCGATGATGGGGTAACAAAAGCATAGAAGCTTTCCTGTGTTGCTTCCGTATCAGGTCAATGCCAGGAACCTTTACCAGTGGGGATGGCACGCGACTTAAAGTGTTATCAGAGAGGAAATCAAAGCCAAATCAAAATCAATAGTTGAAGAAATTAGAAGTTGACCGGCGTTTTCCGGCTTTCTTACCCGATCAAACGGCTGTCAGAACAAACACACCGTATAATGGAGTGCATAGTGCACTATCAACCTTTTTCTCTCTTGCTCTTCCGTGTGGGGGAGAGAGAAGAGGGATAATGTGCCGTGCTCTCACTGAAGGCTTGAAACAATAAGCCGTCCCGAGTCAATCCTTCATTTTATGCAATTCAATACTCACTGCAAGCCCACGCAGACTTGAGTTTGGGAAGAGAATACGGTTCATCTGTAAACCGCTCTGTTTCATTATCCAACTTGAACAATCCGTGACGTGGTCTGTGAAAAGCTTTTTCATTTTTATTTTAAGTTGCAGGGGTTACACGATTATGTCTGGTCATTGATATATCGCAGGACTGCGGTTCCTTTTTCATCTCGTTGATTCTAGAGAGCCGTGCAATTCACTATCAAGTCAAGCTAACAAGGGTCCTTGGGCAGGCATGATGTCAACAACGCATAAGGGAACATGCTCAGCTCAAATTCATGAAAGTGGATGCACCTCTCTCTACCTAGGGAGCAAAGAGGAAGAATCAATTGTTGGTCTTGCCGCTGAGACCGACAATACTGCTCCACCGCAACCATTGGTCTGGTACAAAGTCAGGGCTTATGGCCGTGATGCATTCTCCGAATTCTTCGGCACCTTGATCCTGATTCTCTTCGGGAATGGAGCTGTTGCTCAAGTCCTACTTAGCCATGATGAGAAGGGGAATTATCAATCGATATCTTGGGGTTGGGGGTGAGTCCTTTCCTTTCGTCTCTTTGTGTGTCCATTTCTCCACCGGTATCCTGACACCAATCACCCCACAGACTGGGCGTAATGCTCGGAATATACGTCAGCGGCTCCTCAGGCTCGCATATCAACCCAGCCGTCACCTTTGCAAACTGTGTTTTCAGAGGTTTCCCTTGGCGCAAGTTTCCCGTATACGCTCTCTCCCAGATCCTCGGCGCCATGTGCGGCGCTGCAATTGTATATGGGAATTACAAATCTGCCATCGATGTCTACGAAGGCGGTCCCAATATCCGCACCGTCCCTGGATACTCGACTATGGCTACTGCGGGGATATTCTGTACTTACCCAGCCGACTTCATGACCAAAACCGGACAATTCTTCTCAGAGTTCCTGGCGAGTGCCATCCTAATGTTCGTGATCTTTGCACTGAAAGACGATAACAATCTCGGTGCAGGCCACCTTACGCCCCTGGCACTATTCTTTGTAGTATTCGGTATCGGTGCGTGCTTTGGCTGGGAAACTGGTTATGCAATTAACCTAGCCCGGGACCTCGGTCCCAGACTCATCTCTTACATGCTTGGCTACGGGATTGAGGTGTGGGAAGCGGGCAACTACTATTTCTGGGTAAGTACCGAGAGTCCCAGCAAGTCCTTCCTTTTTATCTACGATAGTTCCGAAGCTTTTTTCTGATGTACTGATGAGTTTTCTTTGAGATCCCTATGATTGCTCCAGTTCTGGGCTGCACATTCGGCGCCTGGATATACGATCTATTTCTGTATACAGGTCTAGACAGCCCGATCAACACACCCTGGATGGGAATCAAACCGTTATTTGGGCCCTTGCACAGAAAACAAGTAGCCCTTCAAACCCCGGTGTGACGCTTGTTATTGATAAGGTCTATGAGATATGAAGGCGGTTCTGAAACAATGTTGAGCTCGTTCAACAAAGTCAAATGTAAAGGGGTTGGACTTGGTCGATTTCTTAGACGATATCAGGATATCATTTGTAGCTTACGATCCAATGTTATACTAGCATGTTAGCGATCCATGAGAATTCAGTCTACAACCACACCCGCATCAATTACGCCATCCGAGTCAGGAGTTTATCCCCCAAATTCCCTTAATAGTCTGCTTCTAGTGTTTAAAAACATTAGCACGTGAGTGCGGGCTCATTATCCATGTAAAGCGCAAGATTATTCCGCAATATAAGGAGAGGGAAAGGGGGCAGGTCACTCGATTTGCCATTTGGAATGGGATTACGCGAAGCATATTGTCTGTAAGTGACGGTTTGCAAGAGTACATGACATGGAAATGCATGTTTGCTAGAGCAAGATAACAAAGCGATTGATTCATCTGAAGTCTTTTCCTTCCTTTTGCCACTTGCAGCGATAGTATGGGGCCGGTTCTTCTCAAAACTTGGTGCTGATGGCCGATACTAAAGCTTGGGCTCATTTGGGTTCAAAGTAGGGCAATGTTCATGCCAATGTCGGCGTGTGGACTCGTTTTGGCTGATCCTTTGGTTCGCATGGCAGTATGGGGTGGGTGGCAATTTTGTTGAATCTAGGCAGTCCTCCCAGTCAGGAGTTGAGGGGAATGTATCATTGACTCTGATTCAATTGCATCGAGCCGTCATTTCCATATCTGGTGCCGTTTCAAAATATCAGCAAGTATCATGGCCATGGTGAACGGTGTTGTATATGAAGCTCAGGGAGTTCCCGGTCATACGACTATACGAAAACTATACGAAATGGCCATCCTGCAGCAGTATGCGCGGCATCACTACACCTTTGACTTATGCATGTATCAAGATCCCAGCGATGCTACGGATCAATATGGTCCAAATTCTGCTCAATGGAGCTTATTTTGATTCTCAAGGCCTTTTGCCTATTTGCAAGCAGACGAAACATAATACAGGAAGCCGTGGGATAAGTTTCACATCACCATGTCAAGAATAAAACAGTCCCCGGGGTGTGTGTGTGGCACGGAAAGAAGGCATAGACAAGAAAATCCTTGAAGGTCATGGGCGCCAGTATGCAGGGTAAAAATCAACGAGCAAGAAATGGACTTCGAAGCCGGCCCCAAAAAAAAAGTATAAACGCCGTTTCGAGCTCATTCCATCGTGAGTTCATGTGTGATAATAGTACAGGTCGGCGCGAAGCGAAGTTTCATTTAAAGCGAAGTGAAAACTCCGCCAAGGAATGCATAAAGAATGCCGATGGCAGCGGGGGCCACGGTCAGGCTCACTGCGCTATTAACCGAGGGAGCGACGTGCGAGGTTTTGGTTGGAGTAGATCCAGTGTTGGCAGTAGACTTCTGCTGAGTCGGAATGCTCTTCGAAGCGGAACTGGTTGCATCTCTAGTCATGTTGCCCAAAGACGTCTCAAAACCAGATGGGAAAAATGAAGCCTGCGAAGAAGCCAAGGGTGCTGATATAGAGGGGGAGGTAGACTGTGGAAGTAATCCGGTCTTAGTTTTTGAGTCCATCGGGGTATTGGGTGGGGGGAAGTGCTCACCCAAAGACCCCCCAGTGGGTGGTGCAAATTTATGACCAGAACCAGATTCCCAGCCAGCGCTACCAGTCGATCCGGCGGTTGGTGAATCAGTGGCAACCCAAGGCCAAGTATCCGGGGTGGTCCAGGTTGCAGTCTCCTTGTGAGTTCCATCCCACGGGATGGGAATGCTCACTGTCGCGGTCACAGATGGTGCGGACTGGGTTCCTGTAGGTTCATCGGCCTTATTGCCATTGACCTCGCCTCCGTCTGAGGTGATGGACTCCCATGTGCCAGTCTTGTCGCTGTAGCTGTACGAGTTTCCGGTGGAATAGTCGGTCACGGTCATCGACTTCATGTACATGGTGAAGGGACCCTTGCTATAGTCCGTCTCGCCACCCGCCCATTCTATGAATCATATCAGTGCACTTATCTTTATTTCACGATATCACTCATACTTACGAATGGTGCCACTGGGATTGCTCGAGTCACCACCAGCCCACACACCAACTTTGATCATCATTGGTGTCTGTGGGTACTGATTGCTATCCGCAGTTGCCGGAGTGAGAACGCGGATATTGGTGCCATCAATGGCCCACACAGTCTGGCTACTCGTCCAGTCGACGGAATAGGTGTGGAACTCATCGTGATTTCCAGAATTGGCGCTGAAGGCACCACGGTCATAGGTGCTGGTGTCACCTTTGCCAAAGTAGTTGGTCTGAACCTGAGTGTTATCTCCTCCAAGCCACTCAAAGTCGATCTCGTCAAGGTCATCTGACTGGAGGACAGCACTGCTAACGATTCCAGTTCCAGGGGCAGCTTTGATTGTGTATTCAACCCGGCCAAACATGATGTAGAAGTTGGACTGGATCAGAGGGCCATCACCCTTCTTGGCGACCGTGAAAGAGGCACCATTAGTAGAATCATAGGTGACAGAGCCAGACGCCGTGAAGGCGGAGGATGCACCCGAGGTGAATGCAAAGGTCTGATCTGATTTTCCAAGTGCGGGATCCGCAGGGCAGGCTGTTGTCTGTCAGCTTGCATGTTTTGTTTACATCTGGGGCTTCGTTCCCTTACTTTTCTTGATCGGGTTGCAGCTGGTGTACGTCTGGGCGCTCACCATAACAGATGAAACCAGAAGGCTCAAAGCCACACCCAGAGTCAAATGCATGGTGGGCAAGAGGGGAGCAGTAAAAATGCGAAAGAGATAATCAAGTAAGAATCACAGCAGAAACAATAAGATTCAACTGGGAGTGTATGGTAAATGGGAGAATGGGAGAACGGAAGGGGATGAAGAAAGAAGAAAGCAGAAATCACAACAAAGTCAAGGCAACTTCAGATCTTGGCGCAGGTTTTTTTTATATCCAGGCAGGTGCCAGCCACCACTATTTCACTACTTCCATTCAATCTAATGATCCGTGGATCCCCAAACCTGTCATTGGTCCAATCAGCGTTGGGCTTTCCAGCACCACGTTTGGGGGCTCCGGATCCCTGATCATCAGGGATTCAGGGTACAAGGGTCTGTCTCCCGTGAAATTATTGCATTATCTTCCAAATTAACACGTTGCTATCATTGGTCTACTTCAAAACAATTCTAGCTCTTCAGGTTCCTTGCCATATTTCATATTGAGAAAGAAGAACAGGCTCATGACCACTCAAAAGGGGCGCAGGCAATACATCGGGCAGATGTGGGTCCCAGCCTCTTGATTTCCCAAGTTACCTAACATAGTACACCGATCATTTGCAAATCGAGTTTCAAGGTGCTAATGATTGCCAGCAGAAATGATGACAAGCCCTGCATGACAGAGCCAAGGTATCATACCTAAGCATAATGCGTCATCTCTCACTCGGTCGGATCAGGGTACCCTCGAGAGCTTCCAAAAGTCCAATGCTGGCAACGAGATTGACCATGGATTTCCAGAAGCTTTTGGCCAGCGCGGGCCATTCGTATATCCTTGATTATCCTCGGCAACGTGGTCAGTCTAGATTTCGGCCCATTTGGAAATGTCGATCCAACGCGGATGCAATGGAGATCCGGACCGCCACATGGTTTGGGCCCGATCGGGCCTCCAAGCTAGATCCGTGCAATATCACCAGTCTTTGAAGACCCAAAAACTAATACAAAAGATAAAAGGGGATGAAGTATGGAGTGTCTTCTGCATATGTGTAATGTAACTTGGCGGTCCATTTTTTCGAGTTGTGCAGATGTGACACTATAGGCCCTATCGGCTCCCTAGTTGCTGATTGGTAGACTAGGTGAGAGGTCCTTGATCACTGAAAATTTAACCTAAAATATCCTATCAGTCCTGCAGTTTACGACGGTTCTGGGTCTAGTCCATGGTAGATGGGCGACATAGTTATTGTCCGTTCTGATATTTCGAGGCGATCCGACAACGGTTGTCGGAATACCAGGCAATGGGACTTGGGCGAAGCTAAGTCTATTTATAAAGCCGAGCAGTCGGAACATTAATGCGAAGCCGGTCGTTTTTCAACATAGATACATTCGGCTCACAGTACATCATTTATTTCGCATCATCACATTAGCAGAATAGTCGACCTATCTTCACCATAGTCAAAGATGGACTAGTGCTGAGCACGTGCAGCCCTTAGCACCCATGATCACCTGATGGTGAGATCGAGGATGAGAACCTCTCGATAAAGTGTATAACTAACCTTGCCTTAACGTATAGGAAGCAGGGCTGGAAGAAAGAGGTAGAGCAGCTCGAGGTACAGGTCATTGATTGAGACATACAAGACGTCTATAACTAACCACATGGACTAATCACTCGCTATATATATCAGTTGTTATAATCATGAGCCCTTCGCCAGTCTGAATTTTGACGCTGACTTGGGATCGTTACCACCTAGAATACTATGCTTTAAAACGATGATAATGTAGCCGGTCGGGTTGCCCTGTTGAGATAATAGTGACAACACCAACCCTCCTAGGTTCACGTAACGGTAGAGCTGTCGAGATCTTGCATGAAATGCTTAGAAGCAGTAGCAGATATGCCTATCCTGGCAACTTACACAATTACCACAGAGTATCAGTGTTCCGTCAAAGTCCACAACCTTAACTATCTATTCAGTTTTGATACTGACAATGGTGGCGTGTCCAGTCACGTGCCTTCTTTGTTTGTTTAGTGCGTCATAGGACAACTTCCAACTTCTTACTCTCTTTTGAGTTGCCTTACTCTGTCATTTGATACTGATCCTGCTTGTCATACCTTGGTCAAAACGAAGGTATATGCCACAGCATTTGCACCGGAAGAAGCCAACATCGCGACCATTTGACCCACACCCCTTGTTGCCGTGGCTACGAGCCTAACAAACCGCCTCGGGTCTAATTGACAGGTGGACAAACATCCACTCCCATTTTTCACCCTTCATCCTCAGGCAACATTCCAAAAAAAGGAGCGATCGCTGGTCTTGCAGTCGCGTTGCAAACCTGACTCAACTCACTGTGCTCTGTCACAGTCCTTGTCTAGTGTGTTGGCGACCTGAGCTTATCGCCTATCCGCTGAAAAATCGACACCCCCACGCGCATCCACCATGGCGGACGAGCTCGAGTACTTGCAGCCGGACTTCGACTTGAACTCACTTACCGTTCCACGTCTACGCTCAATCCTCGTCAATCACGATGTGCCGTACCCGGCCTCCGCGAAGAAATCCCAGCTGATCCAAATCTTGGAAGATGAGGTACTGCCGCAGGCAAGGAAGCTGCTGCGGGATCGTGAAAGAGTACGAAGGACAAGTGCGGGTATTACAGACATGGGCAGCCGAGCGTCATCTGTTGCCAGTGATCAGTACGATCGCGACTCTATGCCTCCGCCACCAACGCCATCCACAGTTGCATCGACCACAGGAACCAGACGAGGCACATCGCGACGAAGTGCCCGTGCATCGACTACAGAACAAGACGAAAACTTCGCTCCGTCTACTCCTGTGCCTGCATCAAAGCGAAAAAGCGCAGCCCGTTCCGTAGGCAAGCACCCCCGGGCTTCGGATACAGAGACCGGCGATGACTTGATGGCGACCCCAACCGTGGCAGTCGGTGCTTCACCTCGGAAATCTACGACAAGGAAGCTTCGGCGCAGCTCCGTTCTTCCCTCGACGGAGTCCGACGAATTCACCCCATCCGTCAAGGCTGAGCCTAGGGATGAAAGTGTCTTCACTGATGATAATCCTTTCCAGAGTGGAAGTCCCTCTGAGATCCAGCGAAGCAGACCCGTAAGCCATGATGGTAAAAGAAAGAGCGGTTCACGCTTTTCGACTGAGAGCCCGATGAAGAGTGGCTTGCGGTCACGGAAATCAGCAACCCCGGCCAGCTTGAAACAAGAAGATGGAATCAAGGCTCCTGCCAGAGATTCCTTTGACTTTGCTCCTCGACTGAGGCCCACAAAGGAGGAACCAGAGGAGTCTGAAGAAGAGTCCGAAGATGAAAGTGAACTCGGTGCCGGGGAGGAATTCACACCGGAGGAACAACTCGCTCTTGAAACCGAACAGTATGCGCCAGGTCCCCAGACTCGCAAACGGTCTCGGAAGCAAGGATCTACTAGTGTGGTAGCTTCCTGGCTAGTGATACTTCTAGTTCTTGGGGGCTTCGGTGCCTGGTGGCGCAAGGAAAAGATTGAGATTGGGTACTGTGGTCTCGGAAAGCCCACCTGGTCGTTAGCTGAGACCAATGTACCGGAATGGGCTAATGTTTTGGAGCCGGGCTGCGAGCCGTGCCCGCCACATGCATTCTGCTACCCGGATTTCGAGGCACGCTGCGAACATGACTTTATTCTCAAGCCCCATCCTCTCTCTTTGAATGGCTTGGTACCTCTACCCCCAACATGTGAGCCTGATAGTGAAAAAGCACGCCGTGTCAAGGCTGTTGCCGACAAAGCCGTGGAAGAACTACGGGAACGCAGAGCCAAGTGGGAATGTGGCCAGTTGCAAGATGAAGGCAAAGATCCATCCCCTGAAATCAGTGAGCCAGAGCTGAAAGAGGAAGTCGCAAAGAAGCGTCGCAAGGGTCTCAGCGACTCCGAATTCGATGACCTGTGGAAAGGTGCCATTGGTGAGATCATTGAGAAAGACGAAGTTGTAAGCAAGACAAAGCAGTAAGTTTTCCCTCTCTTGGGGACATCCCCATGTATCATTGGATACACTTTTTGTTCCGGATCTCCATATTCCGATACCTATTTCTTTTGAAGGTCTTCGTTCTGACATTGCGCACCGGAACTAACAGAGGCGGCATCGCTATTACAGACCTTCCGCCGTCCTCGTCCTCACATCAACATCCACTTCACGACTCCCCTTCACATGCGCCGCCCGCCGCTACGTTCGACTCGCTCTCCTCGCGTATCGACTCCCTCTTTCACTTCTAGTTCTTGGCGTTGCTTCTCTTGCTTATGCTCGGGCTCGTGTTCGAGCCCGACGCTCGGACATTGCCCGTGTGCCCGAGCTAGTTGCTACGACCCTCGATCGTCTTGCCACGCAAGCTGCACTGCATGCCCGTGGTGGTGCGATGGAACCTTATGTCCCAATTGGGCAGCTCCGCGACGATGTTCTCCGCTTTGAATTGCATGGAAAGCGGCGCGAAGAATTGTGGAGCCGAGTGCGTCGCGTCGTTGAGGGAAATGCTAATGTCCGTGCTGCCATTCGTGAAGGCCGCAGCGGTGATGTCGCTCGAAGTTGGGAATGGATTGGCGGCATTGGCAGTGTCGGCACCAGCAACGGTAGTCTGGGCAAACTAGACGATAGCACTCGCCGTGATAGTGGTAGGCTGTCCTTGTCTTCCCCCTTGAGCAATGCCGAGACCGATCGCCACATTGTTGATAACTCCGAGGATGTATCCACTTCCAGCCCCAGACAGTCCCGCCGCTGGGACGAGGGCCGTCCAATCTACTAGTGGATCCGCTACCAAAATGAGGACGATTTGGGCATTTCTGCATCCTGAGATGCATCGTCTCCATGTCCTCGCTTATTTTCATGTGCCACACGAGACATCGTTTCTGTTGGGTCTTCTTGCCGTCATCTGAGGCCTCTTTCAATCTCCCATTCTCATAGTACATATTATCTATTCGTGTTTATTTTAGTTCCATTCACCAAGTTCAATACCCCTTCTGAAATACACAGTCATCATAATTCAATTCGCTAGACAAATTAGGATAAAACTGTCCGGTATATGTAGTCAAGTTTCTCTAATCAACTCAGACGACGCTCTGAATTGACGATCAATAAGATGCTATGTTGCCCGAATCCTGAAGCTAGCTTTTCAAATCCCGAGGCACTAACAGACCTCTACGCACCCTGTAGTTCCGTAATGCTACTACTACATTACCACACCATTTACATTATGCTATCTAAGGACCTTGGAAGGTAAGGGGAGTTTCAGCAGATATGCATAGAATTCCGAATAAGTTTTCAGATCTAGATAACTCGACAGGGGTAGCCCTGCCGCAATCCAAACTTTCGGATAACGTCTCCGGTATCCTTGGTTACACTGTGGTGAACCGGGCGTACGGTATTAGAGAATGTAGAGCGGGTCTGCAGACCCGAAGCCGTAGCTCGCACCGAAGTCAAGCCCAGTTCAAGCGGTTTACATGAAGTTGCCTACGCTTTACCTACTCAGGGAAGTCCGAAACTGGTGCTTGCGTTGGCTTTCAGATAGTCACAGATAGTCAGCCATACAGTTCACCGGTGTGGGAACCATCTGCAGAGTATTCGAGCGTCAACTAACTTCCCCTGATACAATTGGACGAGAAAAAGTCCACACTAAACCCACCTATGGGAAAATAAACCCACATGTGGTGGAACCGAAGATCCCGTGATGCACTGCATTGCGGTAATGTAAAGCTGTGGTCTACAGTTAAGACCAGGGCTTGCATCTACATCCTTCGAGTATGTAGGTACAGGTGCATACAGCACGATACCCAGTTGAAGTCAGCCCAATGATAGACCCCGATACGCGAGAAATGACATCGCTGTATCGTCCTGAATCGAAGTCTCCACAGAGAGTGTATAAGTTAGGGTTTCTTGCATACCCTCCTATTATAGGGCCTTCATTCGTAGCCCTAAGACCGGATGTATTTTCCTCGTTCTTGAAGGAGACGTTTGCCTAGCCCTAATTCCGCTGACCGCTTGTTGCACTGCACTGGGGCGATGGGGTATAGGTTACAGTAGTCGGTACTACTAACGCCTCCGTATCGTACATAACCCGTGTATACAAAGTGCTTCAACCTATGAATGAACGAGTGGATGCAATAACCGAGAGGGGCACTTTACACTACTACAGTATGTGTGGACGAAACATTCGCCCCGCTTCTGTGGCTTCCGACATACTTTCGCTTCGCATGGCTTTAGTCCAGGTAAATGTGGAACTTTGTGCCTTGAGAGATAAGTATCAGAAATGCTTCCCCTTCATATTTGGGTGGGTTAGATTGTATCTGATTGAATTAGATCTTGATTCCACCTGGCCTTGCAAGGGGAGACTTCGGGAAGCGCCAACCTCGGGATGCATACGAATAGCTTCCCGGCGTTGAAAGGATCCTCGGGATCTATACATAGCCAAGCACAAGGATTTGTATTATTGTACATAGTACATAAATACGAACCGATGCGGCCTTTTTTTTTTTTATGTAGACGGCCCAGTTTAGTAGTCTGCCGCCGAGGGACCGGTGTAAACCCGAACCGCCGGGTCGTTCTGCAGGATACCATCTCCTCAACTGAGATAGAATGTCGTAGACCATGAGAACTGTTGCAATCCTTATTGCTATTTCGCTATAGCCTCATGACGTGGGTGGGGTTGCATTTGTCCCAGAAGAGAAAATGCTCCTGAGACCGAGCCGACAGCTAAGACTGCTGAAGAATTTGCTCGGCAAAGATGTCAAATCAAATGCATCGGAAAAATGATCCTGATGATCAAGTTGAAATCCAGCGTGAGTTGGGCTTTCGTACCTTTTGGGTGTTTAAGCGATCGTTTTTGGTAATTTAGAGTTTCCTAGACCCTCCCATCCACACACATGGATCTACTGGGAGTGCGTCATGAATCGAGATTAAAGAATTTGACGGAAAAGGTCGCCGGCACCACTCAGTAGCTGTGAATCTCGATCCACTTTGATTAATGAGTGTCTAACAGTCAACTTCTTAGTGGATACGGGTTGTATGTAACCCTTTCATGAAGGGTATCTGTGGACGTTATAGATCGAATTTCTCCCCCTGTTAACTGATGATCCGTATTCTTCGCTGTTTGATTGATTCATCTTGCTTTTTTTGGGTTTCGAAAAGTTTTGAAAAGTAGAATGTATTTTCAACAGAGCCGTTTTGAATGGATTGTGACCAAGCCACCAGAAGAATGGCAATTTATGTCCCTTAGTTACATATATCCACATACGTCATCTGATCAGAAAGATCACCCAAAGGTTCCCCACAAAATACCGAACCGTTGGTCTTTTAAAGAGCCTGCAGAGGAGGATCTGGATATGTCATACTGCGTATTTACCGTTGTGTTCGATAAATCACATAGAAAGAGCGCCAGTGGTGGCGAATCTTCGGGCGTCTCTGGTCTGTCACGTTGTCATTCTATTCGTCCGGCTCGGGTGGATAATACTTCCGACCAACCATGCTCCGCCATTGTCCACCAAACTCAGCCACGTTGAAATACGATTAGAGAGGCACGTTCACTTGCTGTCTCTCGTCACTCAACCGCAAGCGCCGCACCGTGATCTGACGCGTGATAGGCTTCCCCATTGCTTACCACGACAAAGTGGAGGGTAGCCACAGTGGAGTCACCATTGCACTTGGTGGAGATAGCCCATGGCCGACGTCTGCGGCCTGACGTTTTTTGTGCACCGTGGCAACCGCTACAATCTGAAAATACGCCAATGCAAGCAACGCATTTTGGTCCCTAGAGTATGTGTAACAACATGGGAATCGGCAGATGATGTTCATATCCCAGATGTCATGACTTTCAAAATTCTGGATCAATATGACATCGGGTTGGGAATGGAATGCAGATCTTGGGTACAGTATGAAGTGGATTTCTGAAGACTGACTATGCCTCAAAAAGGAGTACGGGCAAACCAAAGCAGGGAAATTGCCCTGGATCTGGCCAATGAGACCCAGCGGAAGTACAGACTCGGCCGATCGGAGCTAGATTCGCAGAATTCTGACGCCAAATTGGAGATCCGTGGGCCTATCAACCCAGACGGAAATAGTTTCCGGGGTTGAATCTGCCTCTGCCAACAATGGTTTCCCCCTTGTTACCCACTCCGATCCATCGACGACTTATATTTTCTCTTTTTCTGCTGGAGAAAATGGAAATTTCCCAAAGAGAAAAAAAAAATTTAAGGAAAATAAAAAAAAAGAAACCCAAAAAATCCCAGAAAATCCAAAAATCAAGGGGAATTACCTGGCCCCAGAGAAGAACGATCATGGAAATCGTGGATAATCAAGCCCACGGCTCAGATCAGATCCAGCCATGGTCATTATCACCACATGCTGGACCATGTTTGTGGGATGGACCTACCTATCAGGACAATTTCTGACCTTTGGAGGAACAAGAGGCTCCGGGGAAAGGATACCAGAGCAGCATAGACCGCGCCGGTAGGGTCTGTGGTCGCTATTCCCGTTCGGTTTACGTGTAACTACCCTGTCATGGTTTTGTGGGTTGCCCACAGAAAGGGGGAAGGATTGAAATACATAGTTCGCAGTACCTGAACGTATGTGTATGGGAAGTTTTCTGGTTCTGGGTTTCTGTGGCCCCGAAACATAGGGAATGTCAGCTTTGGAAAGATCCACTTCCGCCACACACGCAGCTCTCGATCTGTCTGTTTCTTTTCCTTTCTCAACGCACAACTCTTTCCCTCACAGGACCCCTCCTTCGTCCCGTCCGACACCTCCACCTTCTTCTTTGGCCACTCTTGGGACAGTGCGCCGGTATCTTTGGCGTTGAAATTACATGAGGAGCTTAGCGCCCGACGAATTAGCACCTTGAGTCTTCTCGGACGGGTCCGTTGATATGATTCGCGTGGGATAGAAGATGTTGTATTAATGACTTACTCTGATAGAGTCTTGTCTGGCTCTTCTCTAATCTCTTATATTTCTGGATTTGATTTCTACGTGCTCATTCCTGTTCATTTTTACCCTTCCCTTGTTGTCTCCAGTTACTGCAGCTTTCCCCCTCCCCACCCCGCCCGCGATGGGCGACGCAACCCGGCCGTTCAGGCCCATTGCTCCCCGGACCTTGCCCTCAGGCGGCGCAGTCGGAGTCGGACAAACACCCCCCAATGGAGGACCGATGGAAGAGGGTCGAATGAAAAGAGCTTCAACGGCATGTAAAGAGTGCCAGAGGAGGCGAACAAGGGTACACGTCCAGAACTTCCCCTTTTCCCAGATTCATCTCTCTTTCTCATCTACTTTGACCCGTTTTTCTCTCTCCCCCTATATCCCCTGGTTGCAATCGAATACATATTCATTCATGTCTCTGACGTTTGTTCTTTGCTCCAATTAGTGTAGTGGGGTGCCTTGTACTGAATGTACGAATTCAGGAAAGGAATGCATATTCGACGAATTATCCGACAGGCGCCGCAAAGCCTCTGCGAAGAAAACTCAGGAGGAACTTACCAGTCTACGAGATTTTTTGGATCAATTGTTGAGCGCTTTCCGCAGCAATGATGGGGCTGCCGTGCAGCATCTCATCAACACCATCCGTGCCGGCGCGTCACACGATGAAATCCGCCAAATTGTCCTCCAAATTCATGCTCAATCCTCCGGCTCATCCCGTCCAAACGACATGGATCCAAACATGATAAATGATCATATGAGTAATTTTTTTGATTCTCATTAATATACTCGTTCCCCGCATACGAGGGGCTTCCTGTCGCATACCACCGGAGTGACTCAAAAAATTATAACGTCTGTCGCATGCTAGCATGAACCATCCGCCTGATTCTGCGCCGTCAACCCAATTTTCTTTTCAAAACCATATGCGCCTCCTTGGTTTTCTGATGGTTTCTTTGATGTTTATTTCCTGTTGATCATGTTGGCCCGCCATCATTCAGTCGTTCTTCTACCCGCGCGTTCTCGCGCTTGGAACTCTCTCCATGGAGACTCGTCCCATGCATCCGCCAACAAGAGCGGCATGTCATCTCAAAAGGGCAATTCGCACTATGTTGACCCTGCATCCAGGGCATTTTTCAAACCAGTGATCTTAAACATTTGTGCATCTCTTTTTTATTTCCGCCCCCCCCCCTTCAAATCGAGCCCTAGTCCTGTATCTACTGTCTCTCTGGTGGAACCCCTATACCCGACGAAAACCCTTCCGACACGTTCCTATCAAAAGTGAAAGCTGCCATGCGTATTGCCGAGCTCGGTAACGCGAAGTCCAAGCGGGCTTCAGACGTCCTGCAGTCTTTATCGCGTCTGGCTTCATGCGAATTTTCTAATTTCATTAGGGTGACTTTCCATCCTATCAATTGATTTGTCATTGCATGGGGCAAATGGCTTCCAATGAAATGGTCAAGCGGGACGAGATTGTCGGTTTCGGTCTCGGTCTCGGCCTTCAACTGAGTTCCACCTCGTCTCAGATGGGGCCGTCTAGGTTAGCGCTAAACGCCGAAAATGACCCAGATATCCATTCTACATTTGATCTTGGGTAACGAGATTGCATTGCAATTGGGCTTGATCAAACACTGCATATTTCCTCTGGTCCAGCCTGATTAGGCTTAGAGATCTTTATCTGTAATGTTTGACAGATGATTGGTACACTTATCTCCAGGGATTGTCCTTTTTCAATTTCAGATCGGGAGGTAACTTCTAATACGAATCCGGAGGAAAAGAGCTTGGCATCATTCATGTCTACAATTTTGCCGCGAGCAATGACAACTTGACCGGCTTCGGCCTAGCAGATTGTTCAACAATAAACTCAATCTATCACTTGTCTTCTGTCAAGCCAGGCTGCTCCCCTGAGACTATGCAAGCGCCTGATGTGATTAACCCGCGATATGCATTAGTACCTGAACCTAATGGCCCTACGTACCATCATCACTCTGCAGTGCTGATCACACCCGAGGACTAGGCCGCGCGAATTCCGTAAACTAGAACATATTAATAAGTCTTGGCGTATCTGATATCAAATCTAGATAGTAAAAATCCCAAATCAACCTCTAGTTGAAAGGCAAGAATCCGGGGCAAGTGGAGAGGGAGAGGCAAGAGGAAGCCCCGCACGCACACCGCGTGGAAATGGATCTCCACCTCTCCCCGGATTCTTCTCCTCCCCCTCTCTTCAAATCCGACTCTAAAAAGCAAAGGAAAAAGAAAAAAATCAAAATCAACACCCCCACTCACATGGAGCAAATAGAATGCACATCATCGCGTGACACGTTCTAGCCTACCGCCGATCTCGATGGCTATAAGTAGCGTGGACCCAGCCACGCAAGGGTCGATAGGGCCTGGATGGTCCAGAAGTGAGGATATTGAGGCTGCCGATGCCTGCACACCCGGACGCAAAAGAAAAGCATACGGCCCAATACCGACACCAACTCAAAAAAATGCCGCCACCCGTCAGAAGATCACCCGAGCTTGTGACTCGTGTAAAGTCAAAAAAACGAGATGCACCGGCACCTTGCCTTGTACTAGGTGTACTCGCCTTTCACTCGCTTGTGAATACAACGCTGCCTACTCGAGAGGTTTGCCTCCGGCTCCCTTACCAGGGTCACCTCTGACTCCGGGTGATAAGGTTCGACGTGTTTCAGATACCGGGCGTCTGTCTAGTGGGTCTCGGTCGAGGGGGAGTACGGGAATTCTGAACTTGAACTCGAATTCTAATTCGACAGCAAATCTGTTGGTTGATGGTAGAGATGTCTTGAGTAGTAGTTACCGGGGAACGAAACTGCAGCGCCATGCAGCAGTAATTTCTTCTCGGAACTCGCCTGAACCGGGCTCGACGGATTTTGAGGGCAATTATCTTGGTCCTGCGTCTGGGATCTCATTTATCAATCGGGTCTGGAGTCGGTTGCATCATGATGAACGTACGCATATTCCAGATGAGCTGCAGAATGAGTCTTCTAGGAATACGGCCGTGTTCATGTTTGGAGATAAGCCATATACTTATCCTGAAAATTCGGACTTTGCCCTTCCGCCTATTGAGAGGGCTATGGAGCTGGTAGCTATCTACTTTGACTTCTCCATGGTCACTTATCGATTTTTGCATCGGTGGAATGTAGAGGGCTGGGTCAAACAGATCTACGAGGATAATATCTCTATATCAAATCTGCCTGTTGGGAATATGGTAGCCCGGACGGCGATTGTACTGATGATTTATGCTGTGAGCACCCTTCACCAAGATCCTGAATCGGCAGCTGTGGCAGAGGCGCACAGTAAAAGGTGAGTTTTTTCTTTTGGTCTTGGCAAACAAACTACTGATATCTAAAGTGAGCATTGGTTTACCGCTGCCAAGTACTTGTCTTCTTTGGAATCAGGCCCTCCGCGGCTAGAGACTATTCAAGTACGACTTATCCAATGTCTTTATCTTCTGTCATCCTCACGGGCCAATGAGTGCTGGTACTCGTTTGGAACCGCATTGCAAGTTGTGACAGCCCTTGGACTACATCGAAAATGGCCTGCCAAGATTTCCAAAAATGGATGCTCATCTCTCGAGTTGGAGCTTCGGAAACGCATATTCTGGAGTGTATACACTCTGGACAAGTATCTTAGCATCATGTTTGGGCGACCTCGCTTACTTCATGATGAGGACATTGACCAGGAACTACCTGATGAGATAAATGACGAGGATTTACTGGAAGAAGATCCTATGCAGCGAACAGGTGCCACGGATAGTATGATGATTGCCTCTGTTCTTCATTACCGGTCAGTCGCATCAATTCTCTATTTTCCCAATCCTCTTTGACACATTACAGACTCGGCCGCATCTTAGGAGAAATCTCCCGTCAACTTTACAGCATCAATCCTCTCTCCCGCGACTCCCCATTAGACACCGCCGTCCGTCTTACGTCCGAACTAGAAAGGTGGAAAGAAAGCGTTCCACCCCTCTTCAATAGCGTCCAGCCTACCAGTCTAATTCCACCACTATGCCGCCAAAGCCAGGTCCTCCAACTGGCCTACTCTCACGCCATGATCCACGCCACCCGCTCATTTCTCCTAAGCGACTTTACCGATCTTAGTCGCAGACCCAGAGACTCCCACTCAATGGTCAGCACCTACGTCCAAAAATGTATCCAAGCAGCCGAGGACACCATGACCCTTATAGACAGCCTCGCCCAACGAAGCGTCTTCATCCAGTCCCTCTGGTTCACCCATTACGTGGGCTTCTGCGCTATCCTAGTTGTCTACATCTACATCATCCAGCAGCACCGCCAGTCCACGGCCCCGAGTGCATCCGTCGGGAGTCCTGCGGACACGGACAGAATGCAGTACCTGCTTTCACTAGCAGAAACATGTCAGCAGCACCTTGCAGAAGCGACACGGAAGAATTGTCCCAGTCGACGGTATAGTATTATTCTCGAGGAGCTGAGACGGGAAGTTCATAGGCAGATGGGCTCGGATGATCAGTCGGGTAGTCTGGCCCCGACACCAGTTGTGTCGAAGCCGGATCTCCGCTCGCAGATTCTTACCGGTGTTTCCAATGGTGATGATCACCCAGTTCAATTTGATGCGAGGAGTCTTGACTTCGCGAGTATGCCGGCTATGTTGCAACCACCCGAGATTGGGATTAACCCCGTTGAGGATGCTGGACTTCTCGAGAATCTCGAGGGCTCTTATTGGTGGGCTCAGCTAGACTCATGGGTATGTTTAGCGACCTGCCTATCTGTTTTCTTGTTTCGGTTGCTAATTCAAAGTTTGTAGGCTCTGTCTAGTTTTCCGAACGAAACATCTGGACTCAATTTCTAGGTGACCACAGCCCGGCATGTCTAGCCAGTCTTGATATCAGGCTGACGGTCACTGTACATAGTGTGAATATACCCTTAGAACTTGGAATTGAATATACATACGGCCTGTCTTCGATGTTCCCTTTCCCACAAAAACAAAATTGAGATATCGATGGAGGGATTAAGGATCTGACCAAATAAAAACAAAAAGAAATGGACTCGCGGGGAATCGAACCCCGGACCACTCCCATGCTAAGGGAGTATTATACCACTAAACCACAAGCCCATTGTATATGAGAGGTTTAATAATAATGTTTAATAAATGAGTTTCAAGAATTCTTGGCTAGTGCTAGACCATGGCTACATCTGGAAGACGACTGGCCAAAGGAGTCAACTCCAGCACCGATAATATCTATCAAAAATTTTATGAACATATCTTTTCAAATATAACATGAGCCTTTGCTCTTATCTGTCGAGGTTGGTCGTCAATTTATCTACCTTCTCGTAAGTTGCGTTATCCCATGGTCGCTTGAAAGAAATATATATCCGTGTTGTACGGGAAATTAGACATTATCGGGGCAAGCTGAACCAAACAGTTCCCACTGGGCCCTATACCTCCAACGAGCTGTCTAGTAAGGCAGCACAAAGTACTTTATTAGACATCAGCCAAGGCTCAGGCTGAATCTCAGCCCATGGTGATACTCGCACAGTGATGAAAGAGTTTCTAATGGTGGAACTTTTCAGAATCGCCGATGTACCGAGTGGCCAGGAAGGCCCTGTGGATGGAAACATGAGATCCTTCCATGGCAGTTTGAATACGCCGGGATAACCTGTCTGAGTTGAATTTTGATGGTCCTGGCTGTGCTTCAATGTTCGGTTGATGAACAGAGAGTTCCTAAGCATGGTGGCTTACTGGTTAGAGACCCTTGGAGACTAAGGTTTGGGAGAATGAGAATGCTCTGGAGGCTGCGAATAATGAGCAGCCCAAGCTGGTTACAGAATCTTCTCTTTGTGGACTCCCGTGAGACGAGGGTTTACTGCTATTTCCATTTGTATCACTTGAGTAATAGGCGTAGATATTCATTTCTCATTCAATACTTGCATTGTAGCTACATTTGGCTTGTCCAGGCCCAAAATGCAAAGTCGATTATACTTTCCAAAATTCGTGCACTCTATGCAGAAGCGCTCTCTCTGGAGCGTGCATAGTCCTCACCCTCCTTGACGAATACACAATTAAACTCCGCACCAGGGCTCAATGTCACCTCACATCTCAATACGGGGTCCTCGACGCGATTCTTTCCACTGACCGGAAGAGCGACAATACGCTCATAAGCCTGTAGAATACGGATGACTGTGTACCCCATCTCAATAGTAGCGAATTGCTGACCAATACAGATACGAGGACCTCCATTGAATGGAATGAAGTGCCATGGACGCGGCTGCCACCCCTCAACCCAGCGCTCGGGAATCCAAAGGCCAGGATCGAAGTAGTTCTTGCTCTCAGGGCCATCATATAGATCAGGATCCCGCTGCATCAGCATAGTAGAGTAGATGACCCGAGTGTTAGCGCGCACACCCACGGGGGCGAGACCGTCTGGTCCACCACCGCGGGGGAGGGTAGTGTCGCGTAGCGAGTAGCGAACATTGAATGGAACCACAGGGTACAGGCGCATGGTTTCATTGAGGACGGCGCTGAGATACTTCATCTCCTTGAGATCGGCATAGCTGGGCTTCTGGCCATCGGCGCCAACGCCCAGGCGATCACGAATCTCCTCACGCAGCTTGGCGACAACTTCGGGATGTCGTGATAGCTCAAAGAGACAAAAAGACAAGGTTCCGGCTGTGGTGTCTCGGCCAGCAAGTAGCACGGCCACGAGCTGGTCACGCAGGACCTGAGGATCACGCGTAAAACGAGCTAGGGCATCCAGGAAGGTTTCACGCTTTGAAAGCTTCTGGTCTAGTTCTGCAGTGGACAGAGATAAAACTGTCTCAATGTAGGGCTGGATGAATTGATCCATGACCTTGAGGTTCGCTCGGAACTCCTTGCGTGACATGAAAGGGCTGAAGACACTATTCAGAAGCACAGATCAGGTTACACGGATCTCATCGATAGGTGGATGCTGTATCACACAGACGAGGCTACTTACCCAAATCGGAATAGCTCGGCTTGTCGTTGTTGCACATATCGAAACGCTTCCGCAAAGCGAGTTGCTGGGTTTTCCAGGCTATCTGTGCCCTGCCCCAATAGATAATCGGTTGCTGCATCAAGGGTATAGCGGAAGAAGAGGGATCCAACATCCACAACTCGGCTAGCATGAGGCGAATGGCTCCCTCCAAGAAGCGGGATAAGCTTTTGCACATGTTTCTCGAAAATTTCGGTGTCGACAATTCGATCCCGGGCAAACATCGGACGGATGAGCTGACGAGAGCGCGACCATAATTCTCCGTCCGTAGCAAAGATGCTGTCGCCCAAGAACTCTTTCCAATCACGGTGGAATGGCTCCCCTTTTCCAAAATCCGCAAACTGCCCCGTCAGCAGGGCCTTCGTATTCTCTGGGTCTATAGTCAAGACCAAACGAGTAGAAATCCCAGCATCCAGCTCGGCTGTCTTGGCGTTCGACAAGCCTCCAGCGGTGGCGATTCTACTTTTCCAAAATGCAATGTCGTCGTTCGCCAGATTAGCTTTGTGGCCATCGTAAACGAAATCGAGAGCTAGATGGTCTAGTCAGCCTCTCGGTTCTATAGTTGCAATACGGAGAGGAGGCTGTCATACCGTAGGGTAGTCTGAATGGTATCTTGGGAGCTCTAGCACCAAGACGCGCGATCTGGGCGGAGGCTTGAATTTTGCGGAAAACACAAAAGAAAGTGAATAGTCCCAGGAACCACAAAGTGGCCTTCCCAGGCGTCATGCCCTCGAGGAGACTTTCAATCATAGTGTCGAATAGTTCAGGGGTCAGTGAATTGAGAATAGGATAAGGATAAGAATAGGGATAGATGTTTCTATATGGGCCGCTAAAACCGGTCCGTCATGCACATGTCACTAATATTGAGTCCGCGGGCCCGCGGTTTTGTGATTAATGCACGAGCCCTCCTTTAGGCTTTTTATTAAGACTCGGAAGGTTGGAATGACCCATACACAAGGAGATTTTTATCAATCGGGGCACAATAGGTCCGATTCCCCAGAAAAAGCACTGTGGATCACCCTATGATAGGGAGCCGAAAGTGACCCGGGGGTAAAGATGGGCGTGTTCTTTACCTTTCAAGACATTCTTGCGAGGACCAAACCCCGCTAAATGATTTCATTTCCGTTTGTCGGCCCACCCCCGGTTTTTATGCTTCTGCTGCTTGACTCGACCCCATATCTGATATTCAGAATGACTTGATCAGCCAGTGATGGATTCGTGACTACGTGCTTCGGTGCTCATACATTGTAGGGCTCTGATAATCCGGGGAAATAAGACTGGATATTGAGGGCCTCGGCTGTCCCGGTTTCATATGATCGCAAAGTGGAGATCGGTTAACTATGCCAAGGTTTATGCTGTGGTGAAATAAATAGGAAGTACATGAGCTGCCAAGACATAGACTATGCAACTTTGCATCGATTTGAACTGCTAGTGTAGTAGGAATAGGATTTAACATACTTCATGTAGACCTTTCGAAGAACGACATGTTCTTCATTCCAAATCTATGAATCAAGTTCGTTACTAGGATGCACTTCAAGGTGCTTGAAATTTGCAAAATGTTTTCAGAGTAGAAAATATTCTTAACGGTCGAATGTTCGTGTCGATTAGAACTTGCAACGCTGAGGTTTTCTTAGGCGAGGTATGGACAGATACTTCAAAATTTGCTTTTTTGTTGAAAATTGTGGCTCAGCCTTGCTATTTTCTCCTACTCATTGTTCTCAGCTTTGAAGTAAAGCTATCAAAGAATTGCGTCTCCTCATGTAGAAATTTGCCTGGGATTCTGGACGATTGTTTGCTACAGATCACGCGAAATGCTACTAAGCCACATTAGGACATATTATGTTTGCCATGTTTGTTCAGAAACCCCAAAGCACGTGACATTCAAGCCATTTTCGTCGCCGAAGCTTCTGCTATCGCGTCAACGACCATTCCAGCAAAGATCTGAACAACTACCATTCAAGATCTTGGTCAACTCGAAAAATCTACCGCTGAATCTTGGCGCATAATTCTATTATTGTCTCCTTGTCATTCTTTGATTGCCCTGAAACGTGCGAACCCTTTTTGTCTCGGTGGCGCGGAGTTCACCCACCATTCCTCAACAGCCCCGAACCTCTTAAATTCGGAACTGCGCCCATCTCACCTCACTTTACTACATTATCAAAATGCTTCCTACTATCACTCAAGATTCGCCCCTCGCGGCGGCCATCGCTAGGGTCATTCAGCCTAAACTGGTGGAAATGGGATGGAGTACGGATGATGGTCAAGAGGGAGCGCTTATTGAATATATCGTCCTCATGCTAGTGAACGGAAAGACCCAAGAACAACTTGCGACTGAACTTTCCAACGACTTCCTCGGACTAGACGAAGGCGACACACAGGCGCTTGAATTTTCAAGGTGGTTGTTTGGTCAGGTTGAAAGTCTTGACCAACAGATCAACGGAGCCTCAAGTGATTCCGCAACACAACAAGTTCCTTCGTTCGGCCAAGAATCCGGCCAATCCTCAGGGATGGAAGGAAATGGTATGGATGCAGAGATGGGTGATGCGAGTGATTCCATGTGAGTGTGCATAATATTTGAACCATGATGCAATATACTGACCGTGTCTTCTTTCTTGCTAGACCTACAGGACCCAAGGCGATGCGCAACGGACGACAAGCTGGCCGAGGTAGAATGATCAACCAGATCAACCGAAATCTCGATCGCAACCCTGACGGAACTCTCCACCGAGTCCGTGGACAGCAAGGAAATGGACGTATTGGAGGTCACGGCCGTGATCAAATGAAGGGGCCTCGGCGAGGAAACGGCCGAAACATGGGAGGCATGGGAATGCCAGGCAATATGGGAGGTGGACCGATGATGCAAATGAGCCCACAGAACCAGATGCAGATCATGTCGATGTTGGAAGAGCAGGCCAGGATGATGTCTCAATTGATGCCTGGTTTCGTCCCACCTGCCGTGAACCCGGCATTCCAAAACGGAAACCAGCAAGGTCGCTCGCTATTTGACCGAGTTGAGCGTCAGGGCCAGCAAGGCGGTGGACGTTTCAATAAACGCGGCCAAAACCAGAAGCCCCAGGGAGCCAGCGGTGATATGGATACCGAAATGAGCGGCGAGCAAAGCGAGAGCAACCCCGACGCCGTCTGCCGGTTTAACCTTCGCTGCACTCGGAAAGATTGTCCATTCGCCCATCAATCTCCTGCTGCACCTGAGGGTACTTCCCTCGACATCTCTGATGTCTGCTCATTCGGGGCAGCTTGCAAGAACCGAAAGTGTACAGGACGTCACCCATCACCCGCAGTCAAATCTGCACACCAATCCGAGGAGATGTGCCGATTTTTCCCCCATTGCACCAACCCGCATTGTCATTTCAAGCACCCCGACATGCCACTTTGCCGCAACGGTTCCGGCTGCACGACCGAGGGATGCAAGTTCACGCATGTCCAAACTGCCTGCAAATTTAACCCATGCATGAACCCGAATTGTCCATACAAACATGCCGAGGGCCAGCGTGGTTCTTTTCCCGACAAAGTATGGACACCCAAGGTCAGCGAGCGCAAATTTGTGGATGAGGACATGCCCGAAGAGTTGATCAAGCCTGAGACCACGGGAGACGTATCTCAAAACCAGGAGCTTACCGCATGACTCCGCCTTAATTGAAGTTGATGAAATTCTATTTGAAAGATCGCCGTGTGCGAGTACTATCTTGTACAATTTGAATTGTGATGATGAATGGCTGGCTGGGGAGGGCGTTCATAGTTTGATGCATTTGCTTTTCTCGATGGTTTCGAGGCTCATTTATCTGTACATAAATATCCCCGTGGAAAAGAAGAACAGCGAATTTGATTACCAAGAGGATATGTCCTAACTTGGAGAGATTAAGACTATTGCTTTGTCTCACATCCATGGAAACTCGTCTTAAAGCCGATAAGCCGATAAGCCGATAAGAGTCCCCCTTAGTAAGACATCTGAACCTCCAACCAAATGTAGACAGACGAAATCGACGTTCTAGCGCCTCACTTGCCTGTCCGTCAAGATGAGGTTTTTAGCCTCCAATGGCCTTGGAGCCAGGCAGCATCTGCTAGCGACTGCTTTTCGATCCCAGCACCGTGCTTTTCACGCGGCTGTCATTGGGGGTGGCATCACCGGTCTCACATCGGCTTTCCACCTGGTGCAACACCCCAAATGCTCTGGGGTCACAATATACGAAAAATCCCCTCGCCTTGGAGGTTGGATGCGATCTGAGCGAGTTCCAGTCAAAGGAGGCGATGTGTTATTTGAATACGGCCCTCGCACGTTAAGATGCTCGGAAACGCTTGTACCTCTTTGGTACATGGTAACTGTCCCTCAATTGAACACTGCGACTTCCGATACAAAAACCTCTAATGATTTTCTCTTTCTGGCTTCAAGGCTGAACAAGTAGGCTTAATGAATGAAGCAATCTGGACCCCCAAAAATAGTCCTGCCGCAGCCAATCGTTTCATCTATTACCCGGATCATCTCGTCCGCCTTCCAAGCCCACGTCCAGGTGTATCATTCGCGAATAACCTCAAAGATGCCATTCAGACAGTCTTAAAAGAACCTCTTTTCGAGACGCTCATACCGGCTATCCTTTTTGAGAGCTTCAAACCGCCACGAGGGGTCGATCAATGGCAGACGGATGAGTCCATCGCAGATTTCATCTCACGCCGTTTCACTCCGGAAATCGCAGACAATCTTGTTTCAGCCGGGATGCATGGGATATACGCGGGAGATATTGATAGATTGAGTGCCCAGGCTCTCATTGGTCCTTTACGCAACATGGAAGCTACTGGCATCATATCTAGCCTTTTCAACAGTATGCTCTCTAGTCAAAAACGCCAACTGTTTGATGATTATATTGCTGCGGAAATCTCCGGGACCCAATATATGGATTATCTGAAAGGCAATTCGAGTCCAGATGCAACAATAGACGCCCGGCAACGAAGAATGCAATCGACCACTCTCACCTTCAAACAGGGGACACAGCAGCTTGTGGACGCGATTGCTGCGCATTTGGCGAAGTCAAAAAAGGTCACAATAAAAACAAGTTCAGACGTTCAAGCCATGAGCCTAATAGCAGGTCATGATCAAATTTCCGTAGGTTCTTCCCTGACACACGACTGTATAATGATTTACATGCTGATGCTTACAGATTACCTCTCGTCAACCCGGCCATGGTATCAGTCGCGTCAACTATGACCGGGTCATTGCGTCGCTTCCAGCGCCCGCATTGGCCAACATCTTGGAGTCAACGCACACGAACCACCCAGGCCAGTCTCTCCCCGGCGAGACCATCAGAAAACTCAAGCAACGTGACTATGCCACCACTGTGATGGTTGTCAATTTATATTATGACGATCTCACACTTCCAGTGGACGGCTTTGGGTACCTGATTCCTCGCTCAGTTCCATTTGAACAAAATCCAGAATGCGGACTGGGTGTCCTCTTCGCGTCTGCTTCTAGCTGGGGCTTTACAAGCTCCACCTCCGATGCTCAATTCATCTCGCAGGATAATGCGCCGGGAACTAAACTTACAGTAATGATGGGTGGCCACTACTGGGATGACTGGAAAGAGTCCGATTACCCCGATCATGACTCCGCTGTCAAAATGGCTCGAGCTTTACTTGAGCGCCACATTGGTATCAAAGATGCTCCCAGCGTTACACGGAGCAGTCTCCAAAAGGACGCCATCCCCCAATACACTGTTGGGCATATCGACCGCAATTTTGATTTGTCTGCGTCGGTGAAGAAGGAGTTCAATAAACGACTTGTTCTCGCCGGAAACTGGTACACCGGAGTTGGTGTCAATGATTGCGTCCGGCAAGGTGCTCTTGCTGCAACAGTTGGAGTCGGCCAGGCGCATATTGAATACTTCTTGGACAACAGGCTCTCGCATGGAGGCAACGGCACTTTGGACTGGGATTTGGAGGGTGGTATTCCCACGGCCCCAGTGCAGTATATCACAACTAAAGACACCTAATGCTGAGTGATGCACTTGTGCACCAAGATGGGCTCGAGGTGTCTATTTGATCGGCATTTCAAAAAAGATAACTGTAACGATAGCTGTAACATATAGAAATATGAGATTTTTAAATCTTGTAATATGCACGAATACTGTAGATTTCAAATTTGTTCCTTGTACCACAGGGGACAGGCTGCGAGACCCCCAGCCGCCCCCACACTGTTTAGCGAGTCCCTGCCCTCGATAAATGTGGTTCCCGATGTATTGGTCCTCTATATTTACAACCGGTCCATAAAGTGAACCAAGCAAGAGTGAATATCCATCCGGGAGGGGTGGAATTGGGAACACCACGGATTTCCTCTCTGCAAGCTTCAAAGTTGCTCCAATGCCACAATTGTGTATTTGGTTGCACACAAAACCTTCGAAAATGGGAATGTATTCAACTCACATCGGGCTGCAGATGGTATCGGGTGTATAGCTTGGGGATGCTGTCACTAGTATGTCGAAGGTGCACACAGGGGCTTGCCCGCGTGTAACCATCCTGATCGTAAGATTCGAGTAAGACTCGACCGGGCCAGCCATATTGAATTGACGAGAGCACTCAGATATGTCCTCAAGCTTTTTCCTGGCCATCCTCCTTTGCTTCCCCATTGGAATCGAATCCGAGCGTTTCGAGTTGCCGAACCAATTCGTGAATTTTGATGACCTTCTCAAGCTGCTCGGGCAGCAAGGCCTCTCCCTGGTTCTTTTTGTCGCGCAGGTCTCGTGCTTGTCTGAGCTTCTTTTTGAGGTTGCGTGCTTTCTTTTCCTTCTCCGCCTCCAGATCAACGGGCTCAGGCTCAGTGGGGGTTTCGTCCTTTTTGGCGGGCACACGCCAATTGTCTGAGCCAGGTCCCTTCTTCTCATTTGAAGATCCCGAAGCCTCGACCTGCTTCGCTTGACGTTTCGCTTCGCGGCGCTTTGCGTTCTTATTGCTGGCAGCTGTGGCGTCTGTCGCTGCGGATTTGTCGTCTCCACTGCTCAAGGGCTCTGCACCCGGCACCCCGCTTTTTTCACGATTTTTCCACGCGGCGGCAGCACGGTTCTTGTAAAGCTCGACATCCTCTGGGGGCTTGTAACCAGGGCGAACGCGAATTTCTCGACGTTTGGAACCATCTGCACGGACCGATGAGGGGATGTAGCTTGCACCGGTTGCATCGGTGGTGATCCCGGCTTTCGAGACGTTAGAGGACATGGTGGTTGGAGGGTGTAGGATAAATTTAGGAAAAAAAAAAGAAGAAACAATCAGCAGAGAAATCGAAAGATCACCAGGGGCGACTCTCAAGAGCCCAAATGTATGAAAAGAAACAATGCAAACTTGACGGATGGCCGGAGTAGTCAGTGTGGACGGGCCAATCAGCGAACCGGGAATTCCCGCAGCTTTTCGTCCTGCGAACTTCCGTCCTTCTCACTCTCTCTCTCATCTCAATTCCCCAGATCTCCCTTTGCTTTCCTAGGTTGTGTCAACACCTTCCTTTCCATCACAATGGCCGGCGTATGTCACCCCCATCTTCAATGGTGCTTTGCGCCATACACGACTCCCTGGCTAACCGCGCATAACAGATCTCCAACGCTATCTACCAGCACGTCTCCCCACCCTCAATCCGATCCGATGGTCGCCGTTGTCGCCTTCAAGTCTAACCGTTGTCCTCGAATCGTGTTTAGGTCCCTCTTCCGCAAGAACGCTGTCTACCTGACCGCTATCTTCGCCGGTGCCTTCGCTTTCGAGATGTGCGTTACATCCATGAACCCCCGAATGATACTCAATTCCTGACCAAAGCTTCGCGAAACAGTTCCTTCGATACCGCCTCCAACAAGATCTGGGACTCCTGGAACGCCGGCGTATGTTACATCATCCGACCCTATCTTCTTCCTCTACCGAGACATACCCGGTGACATCTCGCTAACTGGTTATCTTTGCTTACAGCGCCAATGGAAGGACATCAAGCCCCGCTACCTTGCCGCTGCTGAGGAGGAGGACGATGAGTAAATCAATCACCGGGATCTGGTGACTTCTACCGTGTAGGTCTACGGTCAAAGGGGAAAGCAGAAGCAGGAAAAGCGATCGGCTGGATTCCTCATTATTACCCATTCCAGCCCGCGAGTTTGTACGCGATAGAGCCTTTTTATTTACATTGGAAATTTGTATTCTGGACTCAAATATGATGTGTTGATTCACGGATATATGTACTCCGTAAGATGTGGTGTTCGCGATCGTCTGTGGCGTTTGGGAGCGAGACCGCTCCGTCGATGTCATAACGAAAAATGCTAGAAAAATGCCCTTTCCCACTTGTCCCTAATTGTAACGCTTATCTCCGAACTTGGCCTTCTGTTCTACATCGCAATTTGTCTACGTCCAACTCTTGTGGACCTTCGTCCGATCTTCGACCGCCTCGCAAATCTGTAAGGTCTGACCTAATTGTTCGATCCACATCTTGTCGATTCTCCCCCCACTACAAATCCTCGGTGAAGTCGACTTACAATCGATCCCCCCAAAGCAGGTGCTTCCCGACACGCTGGACGCTCGCTTTCCGACCGTATACCTTTTATAAACCCTTGAATGTTTTTTGCTGCTTCAGCCCACTGAGTGCGCCAACAACCTTCCCAATTTCACACTTGTGCCGAGCGGCTCCGACCCTCTACTTCCATCCGAGAGTCTTAAGCCATGCTTATGCTCACAGAATGTGAGAAAGTCCTTGGCGATGGCCTTCTACGATTACCAGCCCAGCACAACTACCGATACAGCCCACAGGCGGAGAGAGACCTACTAGAGCTGCTCTTTCGATCGCTCGTGGGGCACAACGAGGAGCTGATACACCACCTGTTCCCCGAAGGTGTGCCTACTGGAGCATGGAAACTTGCTGAAGCTCAGGGAGCTCGAGAGGGTGCAGAATACACAGAAGCAGCGCGAGGAAAACGCTGCGGTCACATCTTCCGCGCCGGAGAGGCGACTTACCGATGTATAACGTGTGCTGCGGACGAAACCTGCGTGTTGTGTAGCAGATGCTTCGATGCATCTGACCACACGGGACACCAGTACCAGATTTCTCTATCCTCTGGCAACTGCGGTTGCTGTGACTGCGGCGATGATGAAGCCTGGCGACTACCTCTGTTCTGCGCGATCCATACCGATAGTGGTAATGTCAAGGGCAAAGAGCGTGCTCAGCGGCAGCTGCCTGCAGACTTAGTATCTTCTATTCGCCTTACCATTTCGCGTGTCTTAGATTATTTCTGCGATGTTATTTCTTGTTCGCCGGAGCAGCTACGTCTGCCCAAGACCATCGAAGGTATCAAGCAGGATGAAGAGGCATCGCGACTGTGCCCTGACTGGTCAGACGCGGGCGATCAAGCAGAGGAGGAGCCTGAATACTCGCTCTTGCTGTGGAATGACGAGAAACACACTATCCGAGATGTAGCTCATCAAGTGACCCGTGCTTGCCGTGAAAGGGATAGCTTTGGTGTTGCACGAGCCCATGAGACGAACGACATGGGTCGAAGTGTTATCAAGCATTCGAAAGATCTGCAGAGATTGCTAGCTGTGTCGAAGATTATTGAGGAGATCAAGGTCACTGTCACCATTCGGTCTGCACGCGACACATTCAGAGAGCAAATGTGTGCAACGCTCGTTGAATGGTTGGCAGATATCGCGGGATGCAGTATACTCGAGGATAATGAAATTTTCCGCCAAATCATCTGTGAAGAGCTCCTTGTTCCCTGGAGGAAAGGCAGTGGAGGTTACAATGCGGATATTGGTATGAAGGGAATTGACGACCATGAAAGGGCGGAGCACTTAGGTGGCCGCACCTTCATGCTCAGCCTTCCCACTCATGGCAATCTAGTTCTGCGAACCGATGACGATGATGAAGATGAAGATGACGAGGATGCTATTGATCAGACAAACGAGGTCGACGAGGATGAGGATTATGGAGAAGCCCATGACGATGCCGATGACGAAGATGATGACATGGATATGGAACTCACCCGCCTGCAAGCTGAGGCTGATGGGGACGGTGACGAGGACATGGAAATGGACATGGGTGCTGGAGGAGACCAGTTCGGACCAGACGAGCTTGCCTTAGCCCACCGTATCCTAGCGGGCCTAACTGGCTTGCGGCAGCCACCACCTGAGCCCACAGCCGAAGAAACAGAGGAAGAGGAGCAGCCGCCACATGATCAGTCCAATTCAACTCCTTCCCGTGAGATGGATGATCAGACACCCGACCCCAATAGCTTCGTTTCCATCCCACGAACCCCTTCAGGTGTGGTCAAACCAAAGCCAGGAAGAACAGAAGGGCACTGGCAAGTCCGGCCTCCCCTTCCGGCTGCTGGCGAGAAAGTTGCAGCGTATGAAGATCTGTGGCAGCGGACTCGTCTGGATTGGTTGATTCTCTTTGATCTGAGACTCTGGAAGAAGACTCGCACTGATCTGCGAGACTTGTATATCAGCACCGTTGTCAACGTGCCCCAGTTCAAGCGCATCATGGGTCTCCGCTTGTCTGCCCTATACACGGCCCTAGCTCAGCTTTACTTGGTTGCAGACCGTGAACCTGACCATTCCATTGTCAACCTCACTTTGCAACTTCTGACCACTCCCTCCATCACCGAGGAGATTGTGCTCCGTGGAAACTTCCTTACTAAAGTCATGTCCATTCTATATACTTTCCTGACGACAAGACAGGTCGGAGAGCCGCAAGCTGTCAATCCAAATGCCACTCTAGCATTCGATGCAGGCTCGGTAACCAACAGACGCTTGTATCACTTCTTCCTTGATCTCCGCTATCTGCTCCAATCCGAATACGTGCAGCATCGTGTGCGGACGGAAGAGCAATACCTGCCTCAGTTCTTGGATCTTGTGAAGCTCTCTCAGGGTATCTGTCCGAATGTTCGCGCCGTCGGTGAGCATGTAGAGTATGAAACGGATGCTTGGATCAGTGCTTCTATTCTCATGCGCGAGATAAATCGTCTCTGTCGACAGTTCTGTGAAGCGTTCAGAAATCCTGAAATTGATAATGGACAGAATCTTCTGCGGGCAATCAAGACCACAACAATCACCGCGATTATACATTCTGCAGGCGTGGAGCGCAAGCGCTTTGATCAGGCCGAGATCAAAGAAGAGGTTCGATTCAAGACATTGTACCCATTTGACTTCGAGGTCGGTTCTTCTGGCCAGATTCCTTGCCACCGTGTAGTGGAATTTGTCGTTGAAAAAGGCTCCATCAGTTTCCACCATGCTCTCCACTATACTCTGTCATGGCTCATTGAGTGTGGTCGTGATGTAAGCAGCGACGTTCTGCGCAAAGTCCTCTTCGATGCTGCTATGGATGCCAGAAATGAGCTCCATGCTGCCAAAGAAGCCGATAACAAGAATATTGATGATACTCTTTTGGCTCTTGGACCTGAAGATTTGCTGTTGACCATGTTCGATTACCCTCTGAGAGTGTGTGCTTGGCTTGCGCAGATGAAGGCTGGCATGTGGGTTCGCAATGGCCTTAGTCTTCGGCACCAGATGTCCCAATATCGCGGAGTTTCCTCCCGCGATTTCGCCTACTACCGAGACATCTTCCTTCTGCAGACTGCTCTGGTGACATGTGACCCGAGCAGGGTTCTTGCTTCCATCGCGCATCGATTCGGAGTGGTTGATTGGATGGCTCGCAACTACATGCCTCGTGCTGGTTATGAGGATTCTCAGATTGTTGATGTCGCCGAAGAATTTGTCCACCTGCTGGTCATTTTGTTGACCGATCGCACCTCCTTGACGGCGATTGATGACAGCGCTCATATGACCAAAGAGAACATTAGCCGAGACATTGCTCACGTTCTGTGCTTCAAGCCGCTCTCATTCTCCGATCTCTCAACCCGCCTGAGCGACAAACTTCTTGAATCGGACGAGTTCCAAGATGTGCTGGAAGAGGTCGCAAACTTCCGTCCTCCCGAGGGCTTGAGTGACTCTGGTACATTTGAGTTGAAACCGGAGTACCTTGATCTTGTGGACCCGTACAGTGCACACTACACCAAGAACCAGCGAGATGAGGCAGAGAATATATACAGGGAGTGGATGGCTAAGAAGACAGGAAAGAAGGCCATTGACATTGTCTATGAGCCGAAGCTTCGAACCATTAGCTCTGGCGTCTTCTCTGATCTGGCAGGTTTCACCGGAACAATGCTGTTTGCGCAGCTTGTCCACCAGTGCCTTGAATATGTTATCTTCTGCAAAGAGTGCACTCCATCAATTCCGCCTACTCGCGTGGAAACTTTCCTTCAGGTGATCCTGCATCTCATTCTTGCTGCGGTTCTCGAGGATGAGACTCAAGACGATAGTCCGGAAGCCGAGCAAGAGAGGTCTTTCAACCTACATGCCCTTTCTAAATCCAGGGAAATCAAGGCTGGTAACTTGACTATAGTTGGTCTTTTGGAAAGGATATCGGTGACAAACGAATTCGTTTCATGTGGACCTAAGATTCGTCATATTCTCAAGCGCCTGTGGCAAAAGCGTCCCCGCACCTACACTTCTGCGACCGCTTCTCTCAAATTCCCATTTGATCGTATTGATACAAACTCACCCGCGATCGATATTGACAACGAGAAGGAACTTAAGAAGAAGCAGGCTGTGGAGAGACAGGCGCGAGTGATGGCTCAATTCCAACAGCAGCAACAAAACTTCTTGAACAGTCAAGGTGATATTGACTGGGGTGAAGAAGATTTCAGTGACCTGGGATCCGAGACTGAAGCTGCACCTGAAACAAAGGTCTGGAAATACCCCAGTGGAACCTGCATCTTGTGTCAGGAGGAGACAAACGACTCGAGACTCTATGGCACATTCGCATTGCTGCAGGACAGCACGATTCTAAGACAGACCGACATCAGAGACCCTGATCGAATCCGCGAGGCCATCAGAACACCCTGCAGCTTGGATAGATCTGCTGAAGAAATCCGTCCTTTTGGTGTATCTGGAGAAAACCGAACCACAATTCGTCGGCTGGATTCATCTGGTGGTGAAGTTATCAGTGAAAAGGTTGGCCTCAGTAAGGGTTTCAACCCGAAGAGCACTTTGCGGGGACCAGTGACAACTGGTTGTGGACACATTATGCATTACTCTTGCTTCGAGGTCTACTATGCGGCCACACACAGACGGCATAGCCAACAAATTGCTCGGAACCACCCCGAGAACACCGGACTCAAGGAGTTTGTGTGCCCTCTGTGCAAAGCTCTAGGTAATGCATTCCTGCCAATCACCTGGAAGGGTAAGGAGGAGTCCTACCCTGGTGCATTGAGCACATCCTCCTCTTTCGAGGACTTCATGAACACAGGCCTCAAGAACTCTTTGAACCAGTCGCAAAATTTCCCTGTGCTCATGGTTGAGAAGGACAAGGGGTATCCGCAATCTTATACTGATTTGTTCGTCGACTATCTCTCGAAATCGATGGTTCCTCCGCTGGCTTCCAAGGTCGCCCAGCTCATAATACCCTCTTCAATCCCGGCAATCACCCAATCAGCGCCCGGACAATTCATTTCGAATAACGTGCGGATCGATATGCCTGGTCTCTTCCCTGGCTCCGAAGAAATCTCCCCATCAAGTCCTCTTCAGCAAGCTTCCAACCCGCATAGTCCAATGACTGAACTATTTCAGATCTATAAGCGTCTGAAGAAGACCATCAAAATGAATCACATCAACTCCATCTTCAACAACAGCCCTGATACGATCAACAATGATGACCTCGTTCACACGGACTCTCTGATTCGAAGCTTCGGTTTCAGTATTGCCGCGGTCGAGATCGCTCAACGTGGTATTGACTCGGAACCTGGGTCTACCCTGCTAGACAAGATTCCACCATTGACATTGACACATCTCCGTGTCTTGGCTGAGACCGCGCTTACATACGCTGCTGTTGGAATTGTTTCTGCGCGCAACAATACGAAGAGCCGCCCAGCTCTAGAATTCCAGGAGATGCATCGGCAGAAGATCTGTCAGTTGCTCGTCGGGCATCCCTGCCTGAGCGGCACGCCACTGCTGAACGATGTTCGGAACATTGAGCCTCTGCTTGCCATGGATACTTTTGTGTTCCTCGCAGAGTGCTCGCTCTCCCTACTGCCAGTTTTCAACATTGATATGCGACATCTGATTCAGATGTGCTACGTGGCTGAGATTGTCAAGGTCGCTGTTACATTCATCCTTTGGCCACTAGGTCTGAAGGAAGAGGTCGCCATTCAAGGAGAGGACAGTTTCACCGATGATGACCTTTCAACTGCCCGGTACGATGTGACGAAACATTTCTTTGAATCAGTTGTCTCTGAGCTCAGGGCCAACTCCGTCGGTCGCGCCGAGGGATCCTCGTGGCCTGCAGCAAGCGGTTTCGTTAAGGATGGAGAGGAGTCAGCAACTCCCGGCATCATCATTGCTCTGCGCCGTCTCGTTTCAAGCTACGCTCTTACCTTCCTGCGCAAGACTGTTATCCTTCTGAATGTTCAGCACGGTGTCGATTTCCCTAACACCGGTTTCACTGACGTTGCCTCGTCCGAATTGGACAGACTCACCAAGGCTCTTCATTTACCTTCCCTTGACGAGATCTTGATGACCATTAATCCAGCACGAACAAGCAGCAGTCCATTCGATGCTATCATTTCCGGATGGATCTTCCACTGGAATGCCTCGCGCTCGGGCATTCGCTTCGAGGATCACCGCCTGTGGCCCAGTCTTCCACACCCAGCCATCTTCGAACTTGTTGGCTTGCCCAAATACTTTGACAGCCTGATCGAAGAGGCAAACAGGCGCCGCTGCCCCAGTTCCAAGAAGGAGCTCAGTGACCCAAGTATCTGTCTCTTCTGCGGTGATATCTTTTGCTCTCAGGCAGTATGCTGCATGCATAACAAGCTGGGTGGCTGCAACCAACATGTTCAAAAGTATGATTCCCTAACCAATATCCTTGATTTAAATTTCACTTTTTCAAAAAAGTTGTGTCAGAAAACTAACATCCCAATACAGATGCGGAAAGAATATCGGTCTCTTCATAAACATCCGCAAGTGCACAGTTCTTTACCTCCACAATCAAAACGGATCTTGGCACTATGCTCCTTATCTCGACCGCCACGGCGAGGTAGACCCCGGTCTTCGACGCAATCGCCAATTGATTCTGAACCAAAAGCGTTACGACCGGCTCTTGCGCGACGTGTGGCTGTCTCACTCAATCCCCGCAACCATCAGCCGCAAACTAGAGTCCGAGATTAACAATGGTGGATGGGAAACGATATAATGAACGTCATTGACCAAAAGCAAATTGTACGGTTTTGTCTGCTGTTTTATCCCCTGCGCTGCGGTTATCATTTCATATGGAAGGCGAATATTCCGGCTAGCGGTGGGTTTGTTAATGATACTTGTATTTCTTTTTCTCCCCTCCTTCCTGATTGATCCTGTTGATTATTGGCCATTCCTATCCTGTACTTTTGATGACGATGTATATCGAATTCGAGGACTTTCCATACCTCACTTCGTTCGACTGTTCTCAGTACCATGGCGTGTTAACAGGTTCTTACACTTTACTCAGGCAAGCACTTCATGTCAGTCCTTCATGTCCTTGACTTTAGTAGAAGCAGTCTAGGGAACACCAGCTCAGGGCGATGGCTATAACGCTTAGACATATAGCGAGCCCCAGAGTTCAAATGATCCAAAACGAATACAATGGGGACCGTAAGTATTTCCCCAAGTGCGGGTCCGGTAGGGTCACCCCAACCAATTAACTTTTGGGAAGGCATGTACCACTCAGTATTAAGAGGGCTCGCTTCAAAAAAAGTTTCACTTTAACCCATGACTATAGAGAAGTATTCTGAGAAGATAATTTGAAGATTCATATGGCTTTGGTGACGATAGAGCGGTTTGAAAGTTTATGTGCAGATATGGAGGACCCGCCGAGGCATTCACTGAGCTTTTAAACCCCTTCAACATTGTTTACATGTTGTTAAAACAAGAACTTCTTAGAATGTACCTAAAGCTTATTTATAGAGGAAGATATAGTAGTATTTAATAGTACCTTCAGGGGTATGTACCGGAATTATGGTGAGGAATACTATACGTAAAACTAATGTGATTGTATAAAGGGTGACGAGACAATTACTAGTGGTTAGAAAGCTTTAGGTGGATTTTTATAAATCATTAAGTAATGTTTTTGCGCTTTAGATGGGCATCAATAACTATGCGTAATGATATGGAATTTCAGTACGATATGGTGGTGCGGTGAACTGTTTAGTGAATATATACAATTGATGGGGTAGGCCCGAAGACTGGTTTGGGGAAATACCTTTGACTAGATAGTGTAATTTCAGATTTCATGACTTATGAAGGTTCACATCTCTCTGGTAGCTTTCCTAAGCTGTATATTGTCCGGCTTCAACTACTGATAAGATAGCCCTTATCGCACGCGCCAAGAACGCGCAGATGCTAAAACTGACGTCGACCTACAACGTTTTTGATGCCCAAATCACAGCCATGAACAACGAGCAGTTCCGACGGCTGATAGCCGACAATACCTCCTCGGCCAAGTCTGGAGAGAAATCCTCACCCTCGTCCCGAAATGCAGCCCCGGGCAGCGCAACACCAGGCGGCGGGTTACTCGGTTCGCGAATGCGATCCAGCATTCCCATGACCCCGTACGTTTCCCCCTCCTTAGCCAGTGTACAACTCGGAGCTCTGCTAACTATGAAATGCTTGCATCGTCTAGGCGCGCCGTAACTGGTGTCGATTTTGCCCGCCAGCTCGCAGAACAGCGTCGCGAAGGAGGCGACCGACCCACAAAACGTTTCAAGTCCTCTGCTGCACCGAAGGGCTCCAAGTTACCAGCCGGCTATCAAGATCGCGCACAACTGCGCAATGCGAATGCTGAAGAAGAGGGAGATGATATCTCGAAGCGCATCAAGGCGCTGGAGGATATGGTGAAGCTGGGCCAAATTGACCAGGCCACATTCGAGAAATTGCAAAAGGAGCTTGGAGTCGGTGGAGACACTGGAAGTACGCATATGGTCAAGGGTCTGGACTGGGCATTACTACGCCGAGCCAGGGCCGGCGAAGACGTCTCACAGGCACCCGAGAAATCGGAGCCCGCTCCCGCGGACGAAGCGCTTGTCGGCGAAGATGCGGACGAGGCATTTGAGCGCCTCATGGAAGAAAAGGGAATGGAAGAGATCCAAGCTGCACCAAAAGAACAAAAGGAGAAGAAGAAGGGCACGATGGCGCCCCCGCCAGCACGGAAGAAGACCAGGGATGAGATTCTACAGGAGTTGAAGAGTAAGCGGGCTGCTGCGAGGGTGCCAGCTCCACCGCCTGAGTCAGTGTTGGGAGCTAAGTTTAAGAAGCTTGGTGGTGGCAAGCCGGAGAAGAAGCGATTTGTGGAGACGGATGAGAGTGGAAGGAGGAGGGAGGTTTTGCTTATCACTGATGCGGAGGGCAACACGAAACGGAAAACACGCTGGCTTGATAAGCCTGGTGAATATGTTAAGCGTGATACGATGCCTATGCCAGATAAGGATGCGAAGCCTCTTGGTATGGAAGTTCCGGCTGAGATTGCGGCTAAGATTGCTGCTAGCGCTGCGCTAGAAGAGGATGATGATGGCGATATCTTTGCGGATGTTGGCGCCGATTATAATCCTCTTGCTGGTATCGAGGATGAAGATGACTCTTCATCCGATGAAGAAGGGGAGGCGAAGGATACAGTCAAGCCACGGAAAGAGGAGAAGGCTGTCCAAGACGAGAACCAGAAACCTGCTGCTGAGGCACCTTTTTCCAAACCTCGCAACTACTTTGCTACTGCTTCTTCTTCTACGGCTGCTGAAGAAGAGCCTGAAGACCGTTCCAACCCTCTCACAAAGGACCCGACTATTCTCGCTGCGCTTAAGCGAGCAGCCGCTCTCCGGCAGGCCTCGCCATCCGCTGAAGACGAGGGCGACTCCACCGAGTCTTCCCTGCGGCAAAAGAAGTTCCTCGAGGAAGCTCGACGACGGGATGCCATGGATGCTGCGGATATGGATCTCGGGTTTGGAGGCAGTCGGAACGAGGACGACGAAGATGAGGACGCTGTGCTACTGGACTTTGAGGATCGTGGTGCCAAGAAGCGGAAGCGTGGACCCAAGAAAAAGAAGGGAGACAAGGACAGTGTGGATGATGTGATGCGTGTGCTGGAGGGACGACAGAAGGAGTCGAGGTAGGCATGAGGCTATTCACAGTACTGCTCTTCTTTGCCGACTTGTTGGCTTATGAATACTATCTCTACTACTCAGTTGCTCATCCTACATGATGCTACTAGATACCCTAATCTTGCAAATATGACTAGATCATGACCGCTGAATCCACAAACATCACGTTTACGTGCAGTAGTCCAACTAGGTAGAGTATCGCTACCCAGTAGAAGACAGGTATCGAGGTACTGCATCGGCTGCTATATGATCCACCTTCCTATGTTCTATGGTGTCCCCGGGGGTGGAGGATCTCACCAGTAAGCCAATTGCTGCGAGGAAACGTGATTTCCACCCCAAGCCCCCGCTCATTGTAGATTGCCACGAACCCTTTCAAGGAGCCGTGACTGGTCTTGGATTGTTGCTCTTGAAGCCTGAGCTGCAGGTTATCTGTTTCCTACCCTCTGCTCAGCCGACACTTCTAGGTGAGATTTCAGCTCGACGTCGTGGTTTACATTCTTGGTTTGTGTCTTCTCACCGGCGTTTGGGCGGATAATATCTCTCTTCCTCATCTAGGTTCACCTTGCAACAAATTTCCTGCCACGATCCAGCATGCGAACTTGGATGCACGAATGCGCTCATGTTCAGATGGTCCAAGCGTCGTAATAAGGGAGGTTCCAATTGTACAAGGGCACGTTTCACGAGAGTAACAGACATAAACTCAGTATGCAGTACCAGAGTAGGTAGCGAGGTATGCACGTAAGTATCTGGCGTTGTCTTCTTTCTGGACCCGAAACAAAACAGTCATGGACAGTCAGTTACCGTATGTAAATTACCCGGTCCAGGCGGAGCGGTTTTGTCCGTTTCCATGTACATCCATCAAACTTCCTAATGAGCATCTTGTGGCCTCGTAGGCCTCTACATACTCCTACTTCTTTCTTCTATGCACATGGATTATTTCAAACACGCAGAGCCATGACGGGGAAGCGCAAAGGGCCACCCCCGGAGAAGCGTCCTCCTATCACGCATTTTCTCTGTCTCCCGTTGGTCAATTTGAACTCGATCCCTCAGCTGGAAGCATCAATAGCTGCTTTCAAAAAGGATAATCCACCAGTTCCAGTTGCGGACTTACTCCAAAACCATGCTCAACCGTCAAGAGATGCCTCGCGGCCCCCCATCCCCGAGGGCGCTATTCGTCCCCTGGGCACGCTGCATCTAACACTCGGCGTCATGAGCCTCCCAAGCAAACGTCGTTTAGACGAAGCCATCTCTTTTCTACGGTCGCTCGACCTAGCCAAGCTGATGCACGAGGCGGAACAAGTAGCGCTCCGAAAGAAAAAGCGAAATTCCCCCAAACCAGCAAACGATGTGGCGAGACCTCCCAAACCCTTGTCCATCTCTCTGGAATCTCTGCATGCACTACCCAGAGCAAATTCAGCTACCGTTCTACATGCCTCGCCTGTCGACTCCACAGGCCGCCTGTACCCATTCTGCCTGATGCTGCGGGATAAATTTCTCGAAGCGGGTTTCCTGATTGAGTCGACAGGGAACACCAAGAACAAAGAGCCTGCGAGGAGCAGTGTTCCAGATCGAAAACAGAATCAACCGGGATTATCTAGCGCTCGGGAGACGACCGAACTGGATCCTTATGCTGCGGCTCTTGCCCGACAATCGAAATTACGGCCACTTCTTCTGCATGCGACGATTGTAAACACGATTTACGTGCGGCAACCGAAGCCCGCGCGTGGTTCTTCAAATTCTACCACACAATCTGCTAAGGGCAAGAAAACGGTGACGCGCTTTGAGTTTGATGCGAGAAAACTTCTGGATCGGTATAAAGACTATTATGCCGATGAAGCGAGGACAGTGCCGCGTCGGCAGGCCGTTTCTACTCCCCCTTCTGCGTCTGTACCGGCTAAGCCAAAGCATCCATTCGTCTGGGCGAAAACAATTCCGATTGACTCGGTGACTATCTGTGAGATGGGAGCGAAGAAGCTTGATCTTGATGGCGATACTGACGGGTTGAAAGCGCGGCTTGGCCAGGAGTATACCACTGTTGCGCGTCGGGGTTTCGGTCCCCGGTAAATGATGTCGAGTGGACTACAGCTTAAACCACGTAGTTGGTCAGATCAAATTCATTTCTATTATTCGTGGCGCTACAGTAGAAGTTGCTTGCTAATTCGTTGACAAAATGGCTCAAGGTTCCATCCCAAGCCAGCTTGGGACCAATTCCCAATTCCAATACCCAGTGGCTGTTAGTTTCCTTCCTCCGGGTTCTTCAAGTGGCATAAATCAATCACCTCACTCGGCTCATGATGGTCTCTACGCCTCTTTCAACAGACAACTCTGCAGCCTTGGCTTTAACAGCACTGATCATGCTTCGCTCAAAGTCATCACGGGTACGCAAGACAGCCTCGACCCATGAGAGCTGAAGATCCCAGTACTCCAGCTTGAAAGCCTCGTAGACACTGACGACTCCCTGGCCCTTTTCGGCTTCGAGCAGGCGGACCAGCCAGTCCACAAGACGCCATTTTTGCTTGATGGTTCCTTCGAAGGAGTCCTCGTATTTCTGGAAGAAGGCAAAGACAGTAAGGACATCGTCTTTGAACTTTTCTGTGAATGGATCTACGTTGCGGCGGAATTTGACGCCCTTGTTGCGGACAGAGGATAGGTACCGGACTAGCAATTCGTCGGAGAGTTCCTCCACAAGGATGTCGACTAGGGATGGGTGCAGGACGGGAGTGTAGTCGGTCATGTAATCTTCGAAGGTGGATGTGATCCGCTTGATGGTGTACTCGCCGTACCACTTTGCGGTGAACAGATCTGGGATCACAGTGGCGAGGTCCACTGCGAATATGACCTGCACGAACTGCGCCAGGCAGTGTGTGCTCAGATCCACGTAGCCGTCGCGTAGTGCATCTAGCTCCTCGCTCGCCCGTGTCGCCATGTACTTGGGTGTCACTAGTGGCTCGATGTCGCGCTTGAATCTTGAGAGATAGCCCATCTGGCCTGTCTCTTCATTGTCGTCGATGCAGGCAATCTGATCGCTGGCCACTCCGACTAACCAGTCCTGTAGCAATTGGATACCCTCGGCCTGTTCGGCACCGGCAGCCTTGACCTTGCTGCATTCTTCGTCGATCAAGGATTGCCATGCGCTCTGTCGGCCCTTCAGGGAACGGAACATGGCATCAATGATACCTTCAACCACATCAGCTCTTTCAGATGCGCCCGCAGCGACAACCTGCTCATGAAGCATACGCCACATATCCGCGAGTGTCTTGGTGCGGAAAACGCCTTCTGCGTTGGTATCCAGTGCATCTGGTTGCCGCTCCACAAGTCCTTTCTTTTCAGTCTCGAAAATGCGGTCCATCCATTCTTCAACGGCGCTGATAATGACACTCTGCCACTGGCGGATAAGTTCTGGCTCCCGGTCATCAAGAAGGTTGGGCTGAAGCTCATTCGGCATCCAGTCGAGTTTCTTCATCTTCTTGTAATACTTGTCACCCCAGTGGATAATCTTTAGCAGATTGTCTGCAGGAATCTCGGGGTCATCAATCATAGAGACAAGGAAGTCGTGCATCATGCGATGGTAAATATCGGTGTAGGTCTTGTAGATCTTCCATTTTTTCGGCACCAGGTTCTGCATTCCCTGCTTGACCGTGAAAAGATCATTGAAGAACCACCGGAAACTCTTTTCGAGAAGATCTGGATCACCGAGGAATTGGTCCTTGGTATTGTCGAATTGATTCTGTGCGTAGAATTCAATTGCCTGTATGAGCTTCTCTTTGTAACCGCGAACCGTCTTCGGTCCAATATTCATGGACTTGAACCGGCTAGCTAAGTCCTTGTGGTCCTTTTGCGCTTCTTGCAAAGCCCGCACGGTAGCATCATTCTTCTCCTCATTATACACCAAAACCGCCAATCGAACAACCATGCTCTTGTTATCCTCCTGAATCAACGGGATCAGGTTCATGCAGGCCGTCCCAAGATGATCATCAAACCAATCAATAACAGAGTCCAACCCCTGGAAATACTCCATCAGAGTATTCTCTGCACTAGGGTCCTGCGCCTTCCGGATCTGATCCATGGCCTCATCCCTGAAATCCCTTAGTCGAGAAATTTGCATGTGAGCCCGTAGCAGGTTTGGCTGATTCTCAAGATCATCATCATCCTCCCTTAGCAGCTCTTCAACCTCCTGCAGATCTGCACTGAAGTTTCCCAGCCCCTTCTTCATCATCAATGTCGCATCGAAGCCCCGCTGGATCCGCGCTAACCTATCAATCTGTGCGAAGTCCTCCACACTCTCCTGCGATTCTGCGCATAACTTGTCGATTCCGGCCAATTCGTCTCTCGTCTTCGCCACCTGGCGCTGGCCCTCAGTCAAGGTCCCGATACTGCGCTGCACGGCTTCGAGCTGGTCGCGGAGGCCTTCGCGGAGCCGTGAGTCGACGGCTGTTTTCTTGCGCAGGTACTCGGCTTTCAAGCCCCCAATCTTGTCTAGATCTTCCGGGTGTCGGAGCAGGTCTCCAAGTCGGGGCATTGCAACCGTGCCATCTGTACTGCCATTTTGTGCCATTGTGGCGGCCTTATCCATGATTGTTGAGAGGAGCTGGTGGTATTGGTGTAAGGGTCGGTAATCGGAGGCACCGCGGTGCGGCTCGATTCTTAGGTGCAGAAACGGTTGAAAGGTGCGGGCATGTGTCTGAAACCAATGGTATTGTCGTTTAGAAATTGGATTTTGTTTGTGCCATTAAGCAGGCTCCGAGATCCAGCACCGCATTACCGTGTACAACTTGTCGCTCCACCTGGAGATGGAGAGCTGCGGAGCTCCAATGGCTGGAGCGGCAGAATCCATACACGTGAGTCACCGCCCAGGAATTTGCGGCTTTGCATCGTACACTGATCACGTTGATCAGGAACTCCGTACTCGACCACTTTTGTTACGCGCGGATTGACAATTAGTTCAATTGTCTGCCGTCTCTTATCTCCTCCCACTCCATCAATTCACAACTACTGGGAACCTACCCGTCCGCAACCCTATCCGCGCAAAGCGATCTATTCCGAACGGCGCACGCCTAACCCACCGACAACTACAAACATCCTCAATCTCCTTCAAAATGAGCTACTTCCGTATCACCCTCCTCCGATCGGCAATTGGTCTTCCCCGCCGCACAACAGACGTCCTCAAGGCGCTTGGTCTGAAGAAGCGTATGGCCACTGTCTTCCACCCCGTGTCGTCCTCTGCTGCGGGTCAGATCATGAAGGTCAAGGAACTTGTCGAGGTTAAGGAGGTGGAGAACTACATGAGCCAGCATGAGGTGTGGCTCGAGCGGAAGCCTGACCCGGGATACTATGTTGAGAAGACCATTGCGCAGGAACGGGGAGAGTCGCTCCAGCAGTAGATACTGTTGGTCCATCTCTGTTCTTGAAATGGAATGAAAGGCCGAGAGGATGAGCGCTGGATCGTCTATGGATCTCCTTGGTTACGGAGCTTTCTGGACTCTGCCCGAGCCTTTCTTTCCAGAACTTGATGTGCATGGAGACTGTCTGGTTGTCTTTTTTTATGTTTTGCATGGAGCGGGCTTATTGTTTCTATGTCATGTATTTTATTTCTATGGCCACTTGGTTTCAGCCGTGGCCTTACTCTTTTCCTTTCTCTCTCGCCGACTATGTATTATACGGAACATTGACTCAATACACTTGAAAAGGAATATGTGCAATTTGAATTGATGTCACTAAAAATAGGATAAAGGCGCTGGCCGTTTGTGTGTTCAGTCTGCATAGGCAGATAGAAGGGCGTGCTTAAAATCATACCATAAACGCCGCAAGGTCCAGTTTAGAAGACGAGAGCGAGCCTCCAAGAGTGGCTCCGTCGGCTCCCTCCGCAGTCAACGACTTCAAATTCGGGGTTTATTTAGGCATCTGTTCCCCGCACCAGTAGCAACCACCTTGAATATACATTGAAAGACAGGAAAAGAGAATGCATCTTGCATACAAGGCTTAAGCTTTGTACAGAGTGTCAAGGAAGCCCACGGCCAAGCGGCTGATGACACTCTTATCTGGGATGCTGCCGGCAACACCATAGAGGGTGGAGGTATCGCCACGCTGCAAAATGTATGACTTTCCTTGCCTGCGACGCTCCTCAGCCTTCTCAAGTTCCTTGTCAATGACCTTGACCAAATCAGTGATGAGTTGGTCTACAGCCTTGGCGGTAGGGATGGTGAAAGCGCAGTGCATGGCCGGGGGCGATTGCAGAGCATTGAGGTGCCATCCCATGGCAGTCAAGTCATCGGCAATATCGTAGATATCGATGGCGCCGTTCTTGCTGCGGAAGGCGATCACGCTGACCATCGGGTTACCGATGAGCTCCATGTGCAGCGAGATGACGGGGTGCTCGCGAATAGCAGACTCAAATTTGCGCGCGGCATTAATGATTTCGGTACAGCTGTTGATGTAACCGGACTCACCGACGCTCATCAAGCTAGCCCAGCAACCAGCGATCAAAGCGCCTGGTCGTGAGCCAGCCACCGAGGGCGAAGCGTAGACACCACCTGACCAATCGGGGTACACAAAGTACTGGTGGCTTCGGTAGGCTTTATTGCGGTAGAGCAGAACGGAGTTACCCTTGGGCGCGAAGCCATACTTGTGGGTGTCCACACTGATGCTAGTGACACCAGGCTGGCGGAAGTCAAAACCGCCTTCCTCCTCATACGGCGAGGGGAACCCAGCCTTCTTGAGAGAGGCAATACAGAACGATCCCAAGCAGCAGTCCACGTGGAGGGGAATCTTATACTTGGTCGCCAGACGGGACAAAGCGGGAATGTCATCAACCATTCCGTGAGGGAAGTTCGGTGCAGATCCAACAAGAAGAATAGTGTTGGGGTTAATCAGACGGCGCACGGCATGTATGTCAACCTGGAACTCAGGCTCAGGACACGGAACACGGTGCAGCTTGATCTTGAAGTAGTTGCAGGCCTTAATGAAAGCAGCGTGGGCTGTGTCGGGAATGATCCTATAAACCGTCAGTAAGCGCAAAACGGCTGAATGTTCAAGAACCAAACTCACATTTCCGGCTCTTTGATACCGCGCTCCAAGAATCCCTTTTGCCGGGCACCCAGACAAGCCATGATGATCGATTCTGAGCCACCACTGGTGGTGACGCCAGCGCCATCAGAGGGGCCATTGAACATGTTCAAGACCTATATTAAATTAGCTTCTATACAATGACCCCATGTCTGCTTGGACGGGTTTCTCTCATGGAGTCACATACCATAGAGACAACCTCAGCCTCCATTTTCCGAACTCCAGGGAAGACGTCAGGATGAATCGGATTCGCAACACCAAATTGGCCAAAAGCCTCCGTTTGGAGTTTCAAAAGGTCCTCGCCTCCATGATACACAGCACCGCTCACCCGGCCATCTTCCCAGCGCGTGTGCTTCATATCAGCGAGTTTCTTGAGCTCCTCACGGACCTTCTCCGGACTCCAACCTTCCTTCGGAAGAGTAAGGTACCGATCAGTGTCCGGACCAGTCGGCACAAGCTTCTTCTGCAAATCATCCAAAGCAGTCTTCACCTCCTTGTCGACCTTGCCGCGCACACCGGGGGTGCGCAAAAGGACTGAGTAACAAAACAGGCGGATGGCGAGGTAGACATTGCGGATGCTGCCGAAAAGGCCGTAGCCGCGGAGGGAATAAAAGGTTTTGCGGGTATAACGGAAAAGGAAGAGTACAAATACAATGTTGCGAATACTGTGAATATTGAGAGGATTTGTTAGCAATGATCTGCCAAGTCCGATCCGCGTTGGTTTCGCGGGGAAAAGTCCTACTTACAGGTCCAGATTTACGGCGGACAAATGGGCACTGGACGCACGGCCATAGCCTTGCAGTTTGTTCTGCAAGGCGACTGGGAACGCCGAATAACTCATTGTGCCCGTGGGATGATCCTGGGGAATAACGATGCAGATGGGGAGATTGGAGATGATGGGGCGGAGGTGGATATTAAGTAAGGTCCGAGTCTCCGTACCCGTTCACGTCAGCCAAGCCGAGGCAGTCCACATGTGTCTTATCTGATATTGTAGATTGGACGCTGATGGACATTCAAGTTGATTTTCTGCTTACATCAATTTCAGTTTACATTTTGCTGCAAGCTTATAAGTCGACTTATTCATTGCTGTAGCCAAATAGGCTTATGCGCTTATGTACAGTAGAGAGGACTAACTCTCCCAACACTAACCCAATTTTTCCTTTCTGGGTTCCAAAGTGTATAAAAAAACACAAAACTTTTCTCAAAGCCTGAGAACATAACAAAAGGAGAATTCCCAAACACATAAAACACATCAAATCATCAGAGATATCTCAGCACCTTGACTTTCAAGCGGGCTGCCGCTATGCAAGCTCATGGACGCGGAAATGGTCTGGCGAATAATACGCACGCTATTGAACACAAAGGAAGAATGATAGTTGGAGAAGCTTAAACGGGAACGCCATTGCGCTCAGCCTCAAGAGCCAGCTCCTTCTCCTTGGCGGCGAAGATAGCCTGCTCCTCGGCGTTCAATTCCATCAGGGGCTTGTTCTCGCCAGACTTGAGGTTTCGGTGGTAGGCACGGATGATGCTGTCAGCGTCGTCAACGGCAATGGGACGGATGTCAGCCAGAGCCTTGATCTTGGCAGTGCACTCCTTGTACTGAGCATCGCTCATCTCGAGCTTGAGCTGCTGAGCACGAGACTTGATGGCGTTCCAGCCAGTCAGACGGGAGGCGAAGTGCACGTAACGGGTCATACCGAAATCAGCGGGGTTGATGATCTCGTAGGTGCTGGGGTTGTTAAGGATAGCCTTGGCGTGGATACCAGCCTTGTGGGTGAAGGCACAGAAACCGGTGATGTAGTTGTTGAAGGGAATGTTGACCTCAACAGCCTCAGCGACGAGGTCCTCAATGTCCTTGAGCTTCTCGAGCTTGTACTTGCCCTTGACGTATTCGGGGTCGGCGACCATCATGCGGGCCATCAGACCACCCAGAGGGGTGATACCGTTACGCTCACCGATACCGAGAACGGAGGTATCAATGTGGGTGGCACCGGCTTCAAGGGCACAGTAGGCATTGGCGATAGCGCAGCCAGTGTCGTTGTGGAAGTGGGTCTCGATGTCACAGCCGACAACACCACGGAGCACACGGACGAGCTCGTAAACCTGGCGGGGGAGGCACAGCCAACGGTGTCGGCAATACCAACACGCTGAACACCGACCTTGTCGACGGCAGAGTAGATGGACAGAAGGTCAACCAGGTCGGAACGGAAGGAGTCCTCGCTGGAGAAACGGATCTCAATGCCCTTGGACTTGACGAACTCAATGACCTCGATAGCAGTGTTCTTGATGTAGGTCATGTCCTTGCCGTGGGAGTGCTCACGGAGGTAGGAGGAGGTACCAATAACGACATCACTGGTTCAATGGTCAGTTATAAGTCCCATAAATTCTTAAGCTTTTGCTTCCATGACTCACACTCCATCAACACCAGTCTCAACAGCAACACGGGCATCATCCATGTGGCAGCGAATGTGGGTGAGGATCTACATCACAATTAGCCTCGAGATTTGAGCCGAGAACTCCCATTTCTCGGGAATTTGCCACCGAGATAAATAACGTACCTTGGCCTTCAGACCAAGCTTGCAGATAGCCTCGCAGTCGGCACGAGACTGCTCGGAAGCGCAGGGGCTAGTAAGCTCAATCTAAAATGGAAATTGTCAGTCTTAGATACGTTGCTGCCGGTATAGCGAATGACTCACGTAGTCCACACCGAACTCGTCCAAAGCCTTGGCGATCTCAATCTTCTTCTCGGTGTCGAAGAAAGCATTGGCAAACTGCTCACCCTCACGCAGAGTGCTCTCAATGATCTTGAACCGGGAGACATTGCTCAGGAAATCGGTGACGCCCACGTTGTGGCCGTAAGGGTTGCGGGAGGCGGAGGGGTGAGGGTTCTGGCGAGTCTCAATGCCAGTGAAGCCTGCTCGCAATCTTGCAATTAGAACTCCTTCGTCTTGACTGGGTACAACATCGAGCTCTGCAAGACAAAATTGACATACCGTCATGGCCGTTGGCGCCATTGGCCTGCACAGCGGGCTCGGGGTCGGCACCGGGACACATTGTGGGTATAGAAGTTGGTGGGGTTATGGAGGGGTAGTGGCGGTGGTTAAGGGTCAGGGTATAATGGATTAAGCTCAATACCCGGGGTCAAGTAAGTTTCTCGGACGATATTTATGTTCAAGAGAGGGGAGAATCAAGAGAAGTAAGAGTCATAAAGTGGAGTGGGCGGTGTGCCCATTTGCGTAGTAATCTTCCTTCGCTCGCTCGGCGGCAAAAAAATAGTCGAAAAATTTCACTTTGTTGCGGGGTGGAGCAAGGGTTGCGC